GGGGAGAGGAGATGTAGGGAGGTGGGGAGAAGGGTGTTTGTAGGGGGGGAGGGGTTGTGAGATGTACTAGGGAGTAGAGGATTACGGTGTTTCGCTTCAGTTCAGGAATCAACATCAACATCAACATCACCAGCAGAAGCACAAGCATAAACACCCCAGGAACGATATGCGCGCGAGCCTTGCCACCTGGCCTAGCTACTCACTCTGTCCATCTTGTACTCAAAAAAGGGGTTGGAAACATTTTTGTAGAAGAAGAAGTTTGTAGCCACGATCACCGCCCTAGAGAAAAATACACAGCAAGCCCGGCGTCGTCGTCAACACATCTTTGCTTTAATTTCCATCCTAACCCCCAACAACCCAAGCCACTCCAGGCCGAGAGTTAGATATAGTCCACCCCCGCCCATCAAGCCTCCCATCACGACGGCGTCACGCTGCGCTCCCGCCCCCTCGACGTCCCAAGAATACTCCGCCGCAGCTTCCCCGGACTATGCGGCGTCAACTCGCGCGCGGCCCCATCCCGATCCGCCGACGGCACAAACTGGCTCCGGACGACAACATGACCCTCGCCCACCTGCATCGACCGCTCGCCGCCACCGCTGCCCGAGTCGTCGATGAAAAAGGGCACGGAGCCGAGCTCGTCGTCGCTGCCAAACGTGCTGTGGTCCTTGACCGTAATCTTAAAGGCCGTGTCGGCGGCGCATTGGACCTTGAAGGTCTCGCTGCTGTCCGGCCAGGTGACCGGGTCGCCGGACCTGGACTTGATGGCTTTGGTCTTGTGGACTTCCTTGTCGCCCTTGCCCGTCTTCATCTCGACGTGTACGCGGACGTTGGAGCCCGAGGGGTACTCTGATGCCGAGACGATGGTGAATGATGCAATACCAGTCTCGGCGCCTCCGGGTGAGACACCCATCTGGCTGGAGATGGACTGGGCGCCCATCGATCGGTGGCGGTGGTGGTTAGTCGGGGTGACTGCTTGAGGGTTGGCGGAGCCAGGAGGCGAGTCCGGGTCCTGGTCGTCGACGGATATCTTGGGGTTAGCCGAGCCGTTGATTGAGTCAGCGTCCGTGTCGTTTTCGCCCTTCTTCTTGCCCCTGAACGTGCGACCCAGGAACGTTGCTCCTTTGACCACACCACCTCCCACAAACACGGCACCCTTGCCCACCCCTTTGACGGGTGCGCCAATCACCTTGCCAGGAGCAGCAAACGTGCCGTGGAAGGTCGAGGAGCCTTGTCTAGTGCGCGTGACATAATCTGGCTTGAACAGCATCTTCAGCCTGACCGCACCCGATTTGCCATCTAGTCCCAGTGTAACTTCTTGCGCCTGGAACGGCTCGAGTATGTCCAGATTAATGGCGGCTTTGCCCAGCAGGTCAGCCTTGTCGCCAAAGTCCCAGTCGTAAACAACAACATCAAACTGCGCCGCTGTTCTGGACCGAACTTGAACTTCAAAGAACTCGTTCCACGCCGGATGCAGCGTCTTCTTCTGGGTTTTGGTCTTGAATATCTCCTTGCCATTCAGGTTGAACTTGCAGTACGGATCACTGTAGCCGTTGCGGTCCGCAGCCGGCAGGTCAGCCGCATCAAGAACGTCGACGCGCAAGGTGCCGGAGTTGTTGAAGCTCTCGCTAGGATCCAGCTGCATCTTGACAGGAATGTACTTGAGGCTCACAGTGATCTTGCTCCCCTTGCCGTGCTCGTCTTTTAGCGTGAACAGAGTGGGCGCATACTTATAAATGTTAGCATATTCAAGCACGAACATGAAGCAGTCTCACCAGAGCTCGACGTAGGACATCGATCGTGTTCCCCGTCAGTTTGGCAATAATATGGCTTTCCTTGCCCTCGCCCTTTCTGTCCACTTCCTCTATCAGACGAAGCGTGATCTTCGAAAAGTCGAGCTCGCGAACCATGGCATCGCCAGTCTCGTTGAACGTGTGTTTCTTCGACCGAACCTTCGAGCTCGAATAAGAGGCAAACGCCATGTCGTCCATGACAATCTCAACGTAGCAGTCCGCCTCCGACAGATCCGCGTCGATCAGCTTGAAGACGACAAGCCCAGATTCTATCCAATATTAGCACATGTGAAACGCAAGCCACAAGAAAACCCACCGTATTGGCCAATGTTCTCCGCATCGATCCTCAGCTTCGGCACGACCTTCTTCGGCTTGTCTTCCAGCTCCGTCTGCTCGCGTTCTCCCTCTGCGAGCTTCTTGGCGAGATCTACTTCGCCATTAGCATCGCCAGCCTTGCGGAGAGAGGTAATGGTACCACTGCGGGACAGCGATCCACGCTCTCGGGCAGGCTCGATGCTCTTTCTGATCGAATCTGTGCTTGCTCTGTTAGTGGTGCCATCAAGACTGGGTCTACTCTCGTCAGTACTACCGCGCAAGCTCTCCCGATCCTCTTCGTCAGGATCGATTATAGGCTCCGTCGGGTAGAATGATGCAGTATAGTTCAGCGTGCCCTTGACGACGCCTCGGGCTCCGGAGCGGAGAGCGCCAGCAATAGGGTCCTTGTTTTCTTGTGCTTCGTATTCCCCTTCGCTGTTCTGCCTGAGGAAGTCTGCACATGGTAGCTCGATGTGACCCAACGATCGATCGCGCCCAACATTTTCTTGGTCCATTACTTCAAGCACTAGCTTCTCTCGAGCGGAGTGCACAGGCACGTACAGGACCTCGTCCCAGTCCGGGTTGAGATTGTTCTTGAATGTGACGGTACGGCCTTTCTCAATTCCCGAAAGGAGGACGCGCACGTATGGATCGGACTTGCCCATTGTTTCCACATTGCGAAGATCGCGGGCGTTGATGAAATGCAACCGCATAACACCAATCGGCGTGACGTAGCCGCCAGAGCCTCCAAGCGCTCCAGTCATCTGCACTGGCTTCCACTGTATCATCATTTTCGCCCGCCCTGTCTTGACACCAGCCAGGCTGTACCATTCGTGACCTTTGGCTTGCAAGTCAAGCATATCGTCGAGCTTGATCTGGTAGTTTCCGACAATGGGATCGACCGCAATGTCGCGATCGTCCTTGATCACGAGCCCCAACTTCGCCTTTCTACGGTCGGTGATGAGCATTTCCTTGGTGGCATCGGGCCAGATTGGGTCATTTGTTCTCTTGAGCTTCTTCGAGATCTGGACTTCCTTGCCGTTCAGAAGCAGGACCGCGTACGGGTTCAACTGTCCGATCATGCTCTTGGAGTGGTCGAGCTCTTTAGCACGCTCGACGGTAAACTTCACTATACCAGTAAGAGATTCTGGTGGGGGTTCCTCCACACCTCCCTCGAGCTTCCGGCCTTCCAGTACGGGGAAGAAGCGAATGTCACATTGCACGATGCCACGAGGTCGACCATTCGCCAGTACCTCAAGCTGCAGGTTCTCGTGTTCGGGTTGTGTTTCCAGTTGCTCGAGGTCGAAATTCGCTTTTCCGAGCTCCTTGTCTTTGCGGTACTCGTTGTAATCGTAGGTCCCGATAGTGAGCTGATCGCGAAGCGACGTCACAATAATGTTTACCGTCTCATTCCAGCGGGGGTTGGTATTCTCATGCGCAGTCTTGGTCCTACCAAGAGGGTCCCTGTCATTGATAGACACGACAGCATACGGGTCGGGAGTGCCGGAGAACTTGTCGGGGTTCTTGAGCCCTTGCGCTCCATGGAACTGTATCTGGACAACACCGATAGCTTGATCCACTGGATTTCCAGCAAGCATTTTAGCAACCTCGATCGGGAAGACGTTAGGATCGTACATCATCGGTCCCAGGTTTGCGTGAACCTGTTCCATGATGAAGCTTTCTAGGCCGGGAAGGAAATTGATATCGAAGCCAAAGGTATCGCCACCAAGAGGCTTGCAGACATAATCGATGGTGGGACGCTCCAGGAAGCATATCTCAATCCTCTCAATGTGTGGAAATGGCAACTGCAGCTTCATCTTCACCCGCATCAACCCAGAAAAGGCCATGTCTTCCACAATGACGTCCAAGCCCTTGCTGACCATACCCTTGCCAATCCTCACTTCAAGAACGACTTTTGGGTTGATCTTTGTTTTGATCTGCTTGGCCGTCAGATCAGCCACGTCGTTGGGCGTGAAGCTGAATTTCCAGTCCATCAACACGATGTCGTCCTCGGCTTTGGGGTAGGTTTTGACATGTTCCATCCGTGGTGGTTTTGTGCCCAGGGTGAAAGTCTTTAGCCGAAGACTGTCCAAAAAGGCCGGTGTTGCCGTCGAGAGAACCTGATCAACCGATTGCACGATGGTGTTGCACAGAATTGGTTGGTAGATGGGCCAAAACTTGACCAGAAAGCTGTTGATCCATTCCAGCGACTCATGGTCAGTCTCCAACTTCGTCTTCGCGAGCTCTCGATTGACGTCGTCTCGGAAGTTTCGGCGCACTCTGCGGAGAGAGGTTCGATAGTAGGTTGTACAGAACGCGCCTACGATGAAGATCCATCCCAGACCACCGCCCAGGATGCCAACAACCCAGCACGTAAGGCAAGCGAATACCATGATTCCAGCATTGTGGTACCAGTCTCCAAAGAACTTGTCGTCAATCTTGCCCTCGAGCCATGTCTGGTGATCAAGCAGTGTAGTGCCGTCGTCATCGTCGTTCTTCAGTGCGCCGAATCGAGGTGCCCAGCCTACGCGCGACCATTCATCCTCTTCCTCTTTTGTCTTGCCGTTGGCATTATCCGTCGGGGCATTGTCTGGAGTAATAGCACCAGATTTCGTAGCAGGGGGAAGATCGTATTTTTTGGCCGAGCCGTCATCCTAGCACGTCGGATAAGTATTATATTCCTGTACCAAACATTGCTTTGGAAACTCACGACATCAGATACGAGAGCGGTCGCTTTCGGATTGTGCTCCTTCTGCACACCTTCAGGAATGCGCTATGAGATTATTTTAGCCAGAATTCCTGTGCAATGCCCAAGTTGTGTCATGGGAGCTTACAGCTCTCGCCTGAGCGGCCTTCTCCTCTGGGCTGGCATTGGGATCGAACTGCAGAGCCGTGGCGCCACCCTTCTTTGCCTCGTTTACGAGCTTGTCCTCTGCGTCCTGTGCAGTGACTGAGCTGTTCGGATCCGCGGCGGCCTCGATCGCGCCCTGCTGCTTCAGCTCTGCTTCAGACCGTTGCGTTGCCATGGTCAATCACATATGCCAATCGCAGCACTTGTTAATGATGAGCAGGCTATGGACAAAGATCCGTGAAGCTTGAAGCTCGGGCTGAGGTTGTTTGCAGGAGGAGGTTATGGTAGCTGTATAAGTAGCTAAGCCTGACGTGACGTGGGCGTCGGGTCGGGGGTGGTGGTGGTGGTAGGACCAGACCCTAGACAGCAGCTCCGAAGCCAATTGCAGTCGTCCAGTTAGCTGTCTCGGAGGGCTGAAAAAAGAAAAGAGAATTAGGAAATGTGGTAGGAGGATGAGGTAGGGAATCGAAGAATGAAAAGAATGTGACGATGGTGGAAGAGGGAGAGAGAGTGGGAGCAGAGAGGACAAGACAAGAAATGGAGGTGGCAGATTACGAGGGTGTTGGGTAGGTGTGTGTTTGGTGAAGCTCCAGTTCCAGTTCCAGTCCCCCCAATCTACGAGCACTAATCCTTCGCCTAAGTCAAGATCGGGGATAGGTTCTAGTGATAGTTTGCATGGCATACGTAGATCTGACCAGCCGCGCCACGATGAATCTATGAAATCCATGATTAGCAGCAATTGGTCGCGTCCGTGAGCAATGCACTGCACGTCAAAAAAAGAGACCGGAGGAGGCCCGCCAGCCCGCTTCATTCCTCGCTTCTGGCGCACTTCTCAGCTGTCCACCACCTCTCCCTTCATGCCCGTCCCAAACACACAGTCCTTCACAATCATCATTCATTGTGTGACTCGGTACACAGGATGTCATTGCGCTTCCATGTAAGTCATCACGTTTGCATGTGCCGGTATTCCCAAACCTAAACCCCATCGTTCGCCTGGTAAGAAAGAGTAATTATCCCAGCAAATGACGCACACAGAAGAAGACAGACTCCACCAACTCCACCAGATCCACCGGCTGGGCTGTGCGCAACAGCTTCTAATCTTCCGTTGCCGATCCATTCATCCTGGGAAAACCCCGGTCGTCGTGTCGCATGGCATGTGTTCCAGGTTCCTAGGGGGGGTGTGTGGGTAGACCAGATCGGACGCGTATATATATCTAGGTGTGAATATGTGTGTGTATATAATATGTATTCGTACGTATCGTATGTATATATTGCCGTGACGCTTTCAAATAAATAAAAAAACACAACAGGAATCGTGTCAAGTCATGTCATTCTTGGTATCATGTCCAAAACTCCAGTCCCCACCCCCTTCGCTCGCTTTCTCCCAAAACCAGAACTATGTGTCTCGCGCATGTTGTTGTCCCAGACCAATGTCATCATGCGCTATCAAATCAATGCCAAAAAAAAAAAAAAGATTTCGTTCCTCCCTTCTCATGATGAGAATCGAGTAGAGACAGCTTCAGGACCTGCCACTCACAAGTCGCTGTAGCACGTGCGTCATCATCGCCAGGGTGCGTCGTTGGGATATCTGCGACCAGAAACACCATCGACAGGCGTCACATATCGGTGAAACCGTGGTCTCTCCGGCCGGTCTCGCTCTCGATCGTAATCCCGGTCGCGATCTCTCGACCTCACCCGGGTGCGTTCGCGGTCCCGTTCTCTTTCCCGATCACGGTCGCGATATCTATCACGATCGTCGCTAGAAGGCCTTCTGGCGGCCTTGTGCCGAGTCGGCAGACGCTCGTAGTCTGGGGGCTCTACAATCTTTGGCGTCCGTTGTCGACTGTCAGACGCAGGAGCGCCGCTGTATCGAACGTGGTGCCCTCCATCGTAGCGGCCTGGTCCGGGGACTGCTGACGATCTGCGTGGTTGCATGTGCTGCGCGACTGTGGTGGCAAACATTGGCTCGCGGGATGGTACGAAGCCTGATGGGGCGCCGTTGATTTCCACTGTAGGTGGTGGAACGTGGGAGTACCGACGCGGTCCTTCATTGTAGGGAGGGAAATAATCTCGTGAAGCGGGTGGAACCTCGTGGCTACGGCGCTGCCGGAGCACTGGATCTCTCCTGTGACGAGCACTTGGAACATCCGAGTCGGAATCCGTTGATGTATAACTGGCTCGCCGGCGACTAGGAGGACTGCGGTCTCTCGGGCTGTGGCTATGAGCGCTGCGTGGAGACTTTGGAGATCTCCGTTTTGTAGACTCTCTGTGCTCCATTGGTATTGGATTCGGGTCTTCGTATGCTTCTTCATCTTCGTCCTCGGGGATCTCTTCTCCATCGCCCTCCTTTTCGGGTAGGCTACGCCGGCGTGCCCACGGCACAAAGTGTCGGACAGTGTTTGCTACCATCCGGCCCCTGTCTTGCATGAATTCTCGTGGACTTTTGTTCTTCGACCATCGCCTGATAATGGTTGGCCTGCCTTCGCGGTTGCGATAGAGTGGATCTCGGAAATAGTTTGCGGCTCCGGCTCGTTCATCGGCCGAACTGTCGGCCAAGTCCTCACTGGGAGTCCGCTGATCTGGACGCGGTTGCTGCTGGGCGGCCCTCTGTTCTGCCAGAGCGTCCTTGCGCAGCTTCTCGGATACGTCTTCATACCACGATATCATGTCCTCATCGGGTTCGGATGGGAAGGCCTGCTTGGGCAGTAGCTTTGGAAAGGCAGCCCCAGTGGCTGGGTCTATAATCTCGAATCGCGAGACGGCGCATTGTAGAAATCCCACATGCTCTTCCGGTCCGAGCATCAATTGAATCGTCTGCCACGTTATGAAACCTTTCCTCTTCAAGGCCGGCACGCTCGGGGCGGTGTATCCTTCATCGCTCGGCGCAGGCTGCAGCGAATGAAGGCAGCCAAGAGCTTTGTAGATGAAGGCAATGGACGATGGCGGCTCTTTCTCGAACAGAATATCGTAATCCCCGCCGACTGCCCGATAGAATGCCGCGAGTTGTGAGGGTGTGACGTCCGGACAGTCAGGGTTTGCGTCATATGTCTTCGTCTATGGTTTGTTGAAGGGGGAGGTCAGCCATCTGCAAATGGAGAGGGACAGGACCCAAGAAGACGACTACTCATACAATGTAATTATAGATACCAGTCAACAGACGGTGAAGTAAGTCGGTTCCAACCTTGTTGTCTTGAAAGAGATAGCCCCAGTACTGCAGAGCCTCACGGGTCGGTGGGTCAAGCTGTTCGTCGTCCATGTTGGTGCAAACTATTCCAAAAGGAAGCTCGAAAGAACAGCAGCGCCAGACAGCTGGCTGATAGACTGGTCGATCATCAACGACTGCGACAGGGCTTCCATTCAGCTTTTGAGTGATTATTGCGCAGCAGCTGTGAAGTAATTATTGAGGAGGTCGTTCTGAGGCGGGAGGTCTGTCTTTTCTTGGCCAAACAGCACCACAAACTTGAACTTTGGGGGCTGCCTGGCCTGGCTGCCCCACTCCCCCCCACTTGTGTGCCGTCGCGCGCTAATATGTCATGATTCCAGTCGTCCACTGGCAGCAGCCTTTCACTTGGAGCACGCTAGTCAACTGATTTGTGCCGTCAACAGGCTTCACTTCAAGGCTGGGAGAGAGAGCGCTAATCTTTCGACTCCGCACAGGCATCGACAGCTGCCTAGGTAGTAATTAATAATTAGATCCAACTCTCTCGACGCGTCGGTAGTCGGTAGTGTCGTAGCACAGCCACACTTTGACCAGTCGCCTTATTGAGGCGCCGTTCAGGAGAGAGAATTAGATTAATCACACAGGCAGGCAGGCAGGCAGGCAGGCAGGCAGGCAGGCAGGCAGGCAGGCAGGCAGGCAGGCAGGCAGGCAGGCAGGCATGCATGATGATGATATGATGTTGTTCTATTACTTGATTCATTTTGTGTGTGGAAAAAAGGGTAGGTATAATTCTATTACAATGCAGTCCGATATATATCATCATCCGGCTAAGGCATACTACCTTTCCTGTGTACGTAACATCATGATAGGATTGACAATAACACATGTCGAGACTCCGGCACGTATGCGCACAGCTGCCCTCTCTAGTGCTCCAACAGCCTGAGCGAACCTTGCACAACGACATTCTCAAGAATGGAGCCGGGTGGAACGTCAATGGTGCTGCCCTCGCTCGCAACAATGATGACGGTTCCCTTCAGCACGACGCCACGGCCGAGGTTGACGGCACCGGTGATGGTGAGATGGTCAAGCTCGACAATCTTGGGTATGCTGGGGATGCGCGACTGGAAGCTCGAGACTTTCTTAAAGTCGCTGCCAAGCTTGATGAGGGGAGCCGGGCCGAATCGGTTGGGGTCGATGACCAGTTGGCCGTGCTGGAGGGTGTAGAGATCAGACTTGACAAGCATGAGGTCCGAGCACGTCTTGACCGGCAAGAAGCGGCGACGCGGGACATTGACACCGTGAGCGTTGGAGAAGTGACGAATGGCCGCACCGACGGCCGTCTCGAGTTGCAGGACGGACAGGTCCGCCTCACCCTTCTTGTCGGCAGGGATCGACTTTCCGTTGGGGATGATCTCCATGGAGAGCTCGTTGTTCTCAACAACGCGCTTGACGGCGCGCAGGTTCAGCCAGATGTTGTTCGTGTTGAAGTACTTGAACTTCTTGATCGACTTGAACTCGTTGACGTGCTCCTTGGGGACCTGGGCAATTTCGAGCAGACGGACGGACCCCTCGTAGTCGATAATGGTACCACCCTTGACATCGGCCTTGGTCTTGTCGGTCAGCTCCATAATGTACTCGGACTTGGTGTCAACCATGTGCTGAAGAATGCGGAGATCCACGACGGCGCCCAGGTTGTCGGCGTTGGACAGGAAGATGATCTCGACGCCCTTTTCGAGCAGCTTGTCGAGAATGCCCGAGTTGTAGAGCGACTCAAAGACGTCACCGTGGCCTGGTGGGTACCAGTTCGAGATGTCAGACTGGGCCGACTTTGGCGCGGGCAGGAGGGAGTCCTTGAGCACGCGTGGGTACTTGGACTGGTTGAAGGTCATAATGTCAATGTTGTGGCCTTCGTACTTCTTGATGATGTTGGCAGTGTCGGCGTCGGTGTTGAAGGAGTTCATGAGGACAAAGGGCACGTTGACGTCATATGTCCTGTTGAGGTACTCGATCTGGCGAACGGAAAGATCCAAGAAGGACATGCCATCGCGGACCTCGATGACGGACTTGGGACCGACACAGCCCATCGAGGTACCGAGGCCACCATTCAGCTTGACGACGGCCAGCTTGTTGAGGAAGGCGACGGACTCTGAGTTGGCGAGGTCGGCGTAGTCGACGACCTGCTCTGGCTTTGGGGGCGCAATGCGAGACCATTCGATGGCGTTGCCCTTGGCCTTGTCGTTCAAGTATCTCCGGAAGAGAGCGAAGAAGTTGTCCATTTCAGTCTCAAACCTCTAGGGAGCCAATTAGACTGTCTTCTTGTGGCTTTTCAAGTATATGGCTACGTACCTTCTTCTCTGCTGGGTCTTGGACTGTGTCGCTGAGCTGGTTGAGGGCATTGCGCATCTGGGATGCGGCGACTGAGGTGGAGGTGTTTTCAAAGGCCTGGGAGGAGCTCATGTTAGCATATGTTGATGGAGGGGTCTCCTAATGTGCCTGTCCTGTAGACAAGACTGAAGAAAGAGAAGAAGGTGTGGTGTAGCAAGCGAAAAGAGTGTGTGCCAGAGAGACTTTGCAAGACTGCCTCACAGTGATGCTCGTTCGGCGGTTGCGCTTGTTGCCACTGCTTGCTACACTCTTCGGATTGGTCGCTGTCATGGTGTGCAGTGAATCTGTCTGTGGTGGTATGACGGAAGAATCGTATCTTGTTCGCCGGCGAAAGCTCGTTTAAAGTGATGGCGGACTGTAATGGAGTGTCTGGAAGGTTCTGCGGTGTACGTGTCGTGTTGGAGAGGATGCATCACACTTGTCCAGAGTTGGCGGGCGCGTTGGACGGTGGTTTGACGGAACCTTCTCTTACAAGCACAGAGAGCGAGGAGTAGCCACTCCTCGAAGTCAATTGTGGTAGCTGAAGGCACTCTACAAACGCCAAAGTTTGACGCCCTCTTTTTTTTTTTCTTCATGATGCGTCGGTCGGTGGTGAGGCGGTGTGGGTGGTGGGGAGATGGTGCCGGATTGCAGACACGATTGCGATCCAGGGTCCAGACTTGGTCTTCGCAGCGCAATGGCATAGCAAGCAGAAATACGGCAGGTGGGACGAAGGAGAGATGCAACAACTTACAACGTGCGATTGAGTCTTGCCATGGTGTTTCCTGGCAAAGCCATCAGCTTCGCCGCCGTTGCCGGCAGCATCGCTGGGCTTCAGGTGTGAAGGGAGAGCAGTGAGCTTGGAGGCCATGATTGTAGAATGGATTGTGGTAAGAGGAAGATTGGTGTTTCAGGAGGAGGAAGAAGGAGGAGGAGAAGAAGAAAGGTGGGGAAAAGAGGGAGAAATGAGGTGTTGCAGGTGGTAGTAGCGGCAGGTAAGGTAGTAGTAGTAGTGAAAATTGATGAGGGGCAAAACAGTAGACGGCGGTGAGTGCAGTGGGAAGGATTTGCAGAGTCGGCCTGTCGATCAGATAGATAGCTGGCACAGCAGAGCACAGCACAGCACAGCACAAGCAATTGAGGTGCTTGTCAAGGGAGAGACGAGAGCAAGAGAGGAGAGGAAATGAATAGCAGGATTTGGGGCAGTCTTATATGTATATACTACTCGTAGTATATATCAAACCAGCTCTACTGCAGCCCCTGCACAACAAACATTTGATGATTGATTGATAGATAGCAGATGGCAGGATTGGGGATTGACTTGCATGAATGGATATATCTTCATTATTCATTTGACCATCCATCACCGTCGTCGGCAGCCCGCCCAGCACGAAGCACCAAGCACCAAGCACCAAGCACCAAGCACCCACACACGCCACACACGCCACTCACTGCCCAGAGCTCCCCTCCTCCCTCCTGGACCGTCCGCTGCGCCCGTGCCCCACCCTCCTCCCCCAGCGTTTTTCTCTGTTTTGCCCCAACAACAAAAAGCCTCGAGGCGGCGGTTGACAATCATCAGTCAATTGGCTTGGACCGCACAGCCTTGTTGCAGCATGTCTAAAGTATGCCTGTCCAACATTGTACATACTGCACATAACATCATGTATTGATTAGCCATCAGAGTCGTCGCATCGAGTCGCATAAATAAAATAAAAAGGTGCTTTTACCCCTGCCCCGTTGCCCCGCGCGCGCAATAGACTCCGCCTCCGCCAGCAGCTAGAGACCAGTCGGTACTAAAGTTACTGCGGCAGACTGAAGACTACCCGGCTGCACGCCTCTCTTGCTACCTACTACACTAATTACTTGTTACTACTACTACTACTACTACTACTACTACTACTACTACTACTACTACTACTACTTGCTAGCTCTACTACTAGTAATAGCTCTACTACCTACGCTGCTTGCTTGGCCCTAATTACTACTACCTACAACACCACTCCCATTCAACAATCCACAACCGCACGCTGCACCACACTAATCAATCACCTGGCTGACCGACCCGGCCCGGCATGCTTTCCGACACTGGCTAGACCGGAATTGCGGATCGGTTTGCATTCGCAGGTTTCGGGAACAACTGGATTGCATGCTTGCTTGGCCCACAGACGACACACTCTATTTTGCCATTCATATCTTTTCATCACGTCCACAATCCCTCAACAAATGCCCACATCCCGGGCTGCTTGTGCGCTTGTGCGCTTGTGCTCCTGTGCTCCTGTGCTCATTTTATACCACGAAAATACTCTATGCCCCTGAACCGGGTAACGCCTTCCTTTCAACCCGCTCAATTCTCCGAATCCAGCAGTCCGTACACGTTCCTGTCATGCCCCACCTGCTCATATATCCCCAATATCCGTCGCTTCCAACTTCCTATCCATCCTTCAACACCCTCTACACCCTCCTGATTATCTCAATCACCGGCGCGTCTGCAAAAGGGACTGCCACCGGCTTCTCCACCTGAAGCCGAATCGTAGACAACGACGTGAGCTGATGACTAAGTCCTGTCTTGCAGTCGTCTGCAAATGTCGTTGCCAGCGACTCTAATGTCTCAAACGAAGACTTTTCCATCGTCTTGATCCGTGCCATGTTAGTGAATGTATGCAAGTATGCCGACCAGAGAACCGTATCCTCGTTTCAGCAGCCATACAGACGTACCTCTGTCAAGATCTTCTCCACGTCCGAATACACTTCCCCGGACGTGCCCGAGACATTGTCGACCCACACATTAGCCACTACCAACTGTTTGCGCACCCTCTCATGACTATTCACGCCAATTATGCACGGCACGCGTACGTTCCTGAGAAACACCGTGCAAGACATCGCTCCGTCGTTCAGGAAGCAGTATCGAGCCCCAGCTCCCTCGCCCAGCATGCTTGCCTTGGGATAGCATATCTCAATCTCGCATGCCGCAAGCCTTTGACTCGACCCGGCCACTTCGGTGGCTGCCTCGTACAGGAAATCGGCCAAGTCCCACGTGCGCCTCCATTCTCCGGAGAGCTCGCCGACGGTGGCCATCAGTCGCTTGCTGAGCTTGCCATAGTGTACCGTGCTGCCGTCCACCGTGTCAGTCTGTGCGGCAGATGCGAATTGCTGGTCGAGCGTCAGGGTGATGGATATCAGTGCCGGCTGGCTCTTCTCGCGGCCCCACGAATCGTAGCCTGCGTTTGCCGTCACTCGGAGATTCTTGACAATCACCTTGTCTGCCACGTATGGGATCCTGGACACGATTTCGTGATGGGGGAGGATGATCCGGGACATGCTGCTGATGATGCAGGCCTATCTTAGAGATGGCTGGTATTTTTCGCTATTTCTCTTTTCCTACTGAAAAACCGGGGTTTCAAGGAAAGGGTTTCCGACACAGAGGTGTGAGGATTTGTTTGTGGCCAAAGTCAGACCATGCATATCAACTACAACTTTACAAACTTGTACCACAGGGCGTCATTGTCTGCCTTGCTGCCTGGCGTGCTCCGTCTGCCTGCCAAGACTAAGCGCGGAACCCTCCAGAATGCTGTAGTAGCTAGCTATATCACCACAAGCTCGACATAGCCAGGTCCACAACCTCAATTCTTCGCTCCACCAGCACATAACCTAGCACTCTCATCCAGCTTGCCCAATATGGCTGACGCACTCAAAGCCGAAGGCAACAAGCTTTTTGCAGAGAAGAAGTTTGCAGAGTCCATGTACGCAGCAGCATATCAACAACAAGCAAACAATCCTTTTAAGCTCACATAATTTGCAGTGAAAAGTTTACACAAGCTATCGAGCTCGATCCGAATAACCACGTGCTGTACTCGAATCGCTCGGGATCGTACGCCTCAATCAAGGACTTTGACAAGGCTCTGGAGGATGCGACAAAGGTTACAGAGATCAAGGCTGACTGGCCGAAAGGCTGGTCAAGGAAAGGAGCTGCTCTTCACGGCGGCGGCGACCTAGGTGCGTTTGCACTACATACTACAACACATGAGATCCACAGACTAACTTCCCGTAGTTGGCGCAACTGATGCCTACGAACAGGCCCTCAAGCTTGACGCCAACAATGCCCAGGCCAAGTCTGGTCTTGAGGCCGTGAGACGGGCGATTGAAGCAGAGGCAAGAGCTGACGGTCTGGGCGGTGACCCAAGCGGCGGCCTAGGCAACCTCTTCAACGACCCGAGCATGATGACCAAGCTTGCAAGCAATCCCAAGACGAGTTCTCTGCTCGGCGACCAGGATTTTATGCGCAAGCTACAGAGACTGCAGTCAAACCCGAATGCTATAGGCGAGGCACTGCAAGATCCGCGCATGCTGCAGGTCATGAGTGTTCTCCTCGGAATCGATATGCAGATGGGCAATCCAGGTGCAGACGGTGGCGCTCAGGCTGGGCGTGCAACAGAGGCCGAAGAGGATCTTCCAATGCCGGATGCCAGGCCGCCGCCGCCGCAGACACAAAAGGCACCAGAACCTGAGCCAGTAGAAGAAGAAATGGAAGACGAGGATGCTGTTGCGAGGCGCGAGGCCAAGGCCAAGGCTGACGAAGAGAAGAAGCTTGGTACTGACGCCTACAAGAAGCGACAGTTTGACACGGCCATCGAGCATTACAACAAAGCATGGGAGATTCACCAAGACATTACCTACCTCACCAACCTCAGCGCCGCAAAGTTCGAGAAGGGAGACTACCAAGGCGCGATTGAGGCGTGCCAGAAAGCCGTCGATCACGGACGTGAGGTATTCGCAGACTTTAAGATTATTGCAAAGGCCTTTGGACGTATGGGCTCGGCGTACGAGAAACTCGGTGACATGGCAAACGCAGTCGAATACTACAACCGCTCCCTGACCGAGCACCGCACCCCGGATGTCCTCAACAAGCTGCGCGCTGCGGAAAAAGCCAAGATCAAGGCCGAGAAGGACGCCTACATCGACCCGGCCAAGGCAGAGGAGGCCCGCGAGCTCGGCAACGCCAAGTTCAAGGAGAGCGACTGGCCCGCCGCGGTCGAGGCCTACAGCGAGATGATCAAGCGCGCCCCCACCGATCCGCGCGGATACTCGAACCGCGCCGCCTGCTTCATCAAACTGCTCACCTTCCCCTCGGCAGTGCAGGACTGCGACGAGGCCATCAAGCAGGACCCCGCCTTTGTCCGCGCCTACATCCGCAAGGCCCAGGCGTACTTTGGCATGCGCGAGTACAACAAGTGCGTCGACGCCTGTGCCGAAGCCACAGCAGCCGACAAGGACGGCAAAAACACGCGCGAGATCCAGCAGCAGGAGCAGAAGGCGCTCATGGCGCAGTACAGCGCGCGCGAGGGCGAGAGCGAGCAGGAGACGATGGAGCGGATACAGAGGGATCCCGAGGTGGGTTTTTTTTTTCTCTCTCTCTTTTCAATAACATCTTGAAGATAAGGATGTGTGCTAACTCTCGCTGCAGATTGTCCAGATCCTGCAGGATCCCGTCATGCAGAGCATTCTGCAGCAGGCCAAGGACAACCCGGCCGCGCTGCAGGAGCACATGAAGAGTCCGCACATTGCGCGGAACGTGCAGAAGCTGGTTGCTGCCGGCGTGATTCGGACGCGGTAGACGATGCTTGACGGGGTTTGCGTGACGAGATGGAATGGGGAGGAAAGGAAGGAAAGGGAAAGGGAAAGGGAAAGGGAAAGGGAAAGGGAAAGGGAAAGGGAAAGGGAAAGGGAAGAGGGAAAGGGGAAAGGGGAAAGAAAATAAAGTACGAGCCTGGGTCTGTGAGAGAGGGTGAGAGATGGAGAGGGAGAGAGAGAGAAGACTACTGGCGGCGGCGTTGGTAAAGCATAGCTAGCGATCGATCGATTGTACGTACGTTCACTCGAGCATATATATGTGTATATCCTGGGAATGCAATAGTACCGTTTGTGCCTGGCTTGCCTTGATTTGACTGGACTCGAATTGACCCAACCCGACTCGACGTGACGTGACGTGACTTGCCTTGGCTTCAGTGTATCTGACGCAGAAATGGGAGCTTGAAGTGGTGGTAGGCCCGGTCACATATAACACTAATTACTCGATATCACATCTCACATCCCACACCTCCTTTCCGAAGTGAACCTGTCGGGCCTGTTCGTGCTGGATGTAGTTGGCTGGCTAGATAGATAGCTTGATGGTCGGACGGCCGGACAGCCTGACTGACTGACTGACTGACTGACTGACTGACTGACTGGCTGACTGACTGACTGACTGACTGGCTGGCTGGCGGGCTGACTGACTGACTGACTGACTGACTAATTTACTATGCGATTGATGGAGTGAGTGAGGAAGTGAGTAAGTGAGTGAGTGAGTGAGTGAGTGAGTAAGTAAGTAGGTGAGTAAGTAAGTAGGTGAGTAAGTAGGTGAGTAAGTAAGTAAGTAAGTAAGTAAGTGAGTAAGTGAGTAAGTAAGTAAGTAGGTAAGTAGGTAAGTAAGTGAGTAAGTAAGTAGGTGAGTAAGTAAGTAAGTAAGTGAGTAAGTAAGTAAGTGAGTGAGTGAGTGAGTAAGTAAGTGAGTAAGTGAGTAAGTAAGTAGGTGAGTGAGTGAGTGAGTGAGTGATCCACTGCGTATCTTGTATATACGTAACCCACTGGTGGTAGTGAGATGAGGGGAGAGTAGGGTAGTACGTACAAACAGTAGTAAAGCAAGCAAGTCCAACAGCAAGCAAGCAAAACACCATCAATCACCCTCATAACCAAACCCCATAACCTCACTCATCGTCCATCGTCCGTCATCGACAGCTACACCTATCCTCCCTCTCCTCTCTCCCTCTCCTCTCAACTCCCCCTTCCCTCCCCTCTTAATCCCCTGAACTCTCCTCCCTCCTCCCTCCTCCTCTCCCTCCCCCCTCTCAACCCCCTGAACTCCCTCCTCTCCTCTCCTCCTCTCTCCCTCACCTTACCTCTTACCTCCCTCTTACCCCCCTTAACCCCCTACCCTCCTCCTCTCTCCTCTCCATCCTCTCCCTCCTCTCCCTCCTCTCCCTCCTCTCCCCCTCCTCTCCCTCCTCTCCTCTCCTCCTCCTCCCCTCCCCCCTCTCAACCCCCCCTTACCCCTTCACTCCCTCTTAACACTCCCATCCATCAGACCAGCCAAGTATCTATCGAACACTGATACCATACACGAGAGACTTTAGGGAGGAGGAGCTTACTGCGCTTTGAGAGCATGCTGGACAAGTAGTTCCGTCATGTCATGTCATGTCATGTCATTGCTTTGGTCTACGTGTTCTTTCTCCGTTTTCGAGCGGTTGTGGAAACATGATGCGGGATCCGAGGCTTGGGGTTGTGGATTGCGACGTGAGATGACATGACATGACAGAGCACACCTCAGCGCTGTAAAACACAACCCATAACCCACAGCCCATAACCCGCAGCCCACAAACCACAAACGACAAACCACAACCCACAGCCCATAACTCACAACCCCCACCACGCCGTCCCCCAATCCATCCATCCAACTCACCACCCACCCCCATACCCCCCACCCCGCTGCCCACCCCCAGCACTCCCAACCCCCCGCACAACCCTAATCTCACCAGGCCAATACCCACACACATACCCCACCACCCCCCCTTTCCGCCGCGCTTCCGCTTCCGCATCCACAAACACAGCCCTACGCTCCCTCCGAAACGCCGAGAGCACAGCTACCGTATCAATCGTCGCGTGTTCCGGAGAGCTGGATAAGAGTGGATGCTTGATGCGCTGCCGGGAGGCGAGAGGAGGTGGTGCGGCAGTGTCGTCGGCGCCGAAGAACGAAAAGTCGTTTGCGGCTGCGCGCCACAGGGCGTCGGAGTCGGGGTCTTGCGTGGCTGATGACATTCCGTGCTGTTTATTCTGGGTCCAGGTATCGTCTGCGTCGGAACGAGGATCGGCGGCATTCTGCCCCCTTGCCTTCACCCCGTCCTCGTCCCCGTCCTCGTCCTCGTCCGCTAGCTCTAGCACGATGTGCTCGAGGGCGAATTGCGAAGCGGCGTATTCTGCCTCGGCGAGGGCGCGGTTGCGGCCTGGTGGGAGGGTGTATGTTGATGTTGCTTCTAGCTGTGCTTTTTGCAGTTTCGCTGCGCAGGATTCTATGAGGCGGATGAGGGTTGTGGAGATGGAGCTGTCTGGCGAGGTTGGGGGGATGTTGGTTAGGGTTAGGGTGTGGAGGTGGGGGAGGTGGGGGAGGTGGGATGGGTGTAGGCTGGTTCGGTTGTTTGTGTTTGTGGTGATGAGGGTGTGGTGGATGCGGAGAGAGCGGAGGCGGGAGGGGGTTGTTGGGCTTAGGGCGTGGGTTATGGGGTGGGAGGCTGGTGGAGTGTGGTTGGTTGGGTCGTCTGGAGATGGTCTCGTGATGGTGCTTGGGAGGTTGTTTCTCGTGTTCACGCTTCCGACGTCCAGGACGCGGAGGTCCTGTTCCAGCAAGGCGGTTACAGAGTCGGGGGTTATCGGGTTGTTGGACATGTAGACTTCGCTGATGCCGCTGTTTTGATCCTCTTCGATTGCGAGGGGTCCTACCGTGCGGGTTGTGAGCGTACGCGCTACTTCTGTATCTAGAGATGCTTTGCCGCGCCATGGGTTCTGTGCGTGAGACGTGCTGAGATAGAGATGGGGCTCCGAGCTGTGTCGTCCCGGTGGAATACAATGCTGTATCAGGGTTCCCACGCCGATATCTGTGATTCGGTTCTCCCTGAGATCAAGAGACGCGACTCTTGTACGGACAGCTTGGGCTATGGTTGAGATATCCTCGTCTCTCAGCCCTAGCTGTCTCAATTTCAGAATCCTGAGAGATGAAAGCTCCCTCAGCGACTCAAACACCGTCACATCCTTCGCCGCAAGCGTCCGTGAAAGATCCAGATACACGAGCCCTTTCAGGTGGCGCAACAGCGTCGCAAGTCCCGAGGACGTGGCATTAGGGGTTGCAGAGGCATCAAGCAGGCGGAGGGAGTACGAAGGCGGCACGTTCCGAAAGAACCCCTGAATCTTCGAACTCGGCACACGAACCGTGTGCAAGGCCGAGTGATCAAAGAATGGCACTGCACGGACGATCAGAGCCTGCAGTCGCGGTAGACGCTCGAGAACATCTCGCAGCCAGTCTGAATGCGGTCCTCCGTACATTTCCGCATGAGCCGGTGGAAGACGCAGTGTATGTGTCAGTAAGCGAGTCGAGAGACTGGCCCATGACAGTGTTCGTTTGAATCTGGTGAGAGCAACTAACAGTCTCCATTAGATCTTGGTGGTTTGTAGTCTCGAATGCCAGGCTCATACTGTACGCGGCATCGTTGGCGATGCCAAAGTGTGATGCCGGACTGCCCCAGAGATGAGGCTGGAGTATTCTATACCATTCCTTGCAGACGAGTACGGCAGCACACAGATCGCGGGACCTGATATATCTCGCCACGAGGTTCCAGTGGTCGCGGCTTACGGCGTGGTCGTAGGACGGGAGTTCATCATTCATGCTGCTGGAATGAAGCGTCCTATGTGTAGGACAACAGTATACGTCAGAACGGAAGACGCTCTGACTGACCTGAGATCGAACATGGTATCGTGTCGCTCTGGGTCGGATGCTCAGATAGTTGCAAAGGTGGCGAAGCTTTGCGAATGACGTTGGATACGCTGTTGCCTGAGGCAGCTATCCCCAAGCCGAGTTCATGGGTTTCCCCCTTTATTTGAGAGTGAAACTTGACTGAACGAAAAGAATCCTCTCACATGTACCTACGAAGCGGAATTCGAGGAGGTGTAAGATCATGGTCCCTCGCAAGGTTCGGTTTCTGCTCGGCGTCAGTCTTGACAGCCTTTACCCCCAAGCCATCCATTTGTCTTGTATAGCAACCGAATTCCGTTCGTACGATACGAAAGCTGACTGAATGTTCCGAGAGTCGATCAGGTGTACTGTCATAGTAAACGCCCGACAGCGTGTCAATGTGGAAAAAGACGTGAACCCCCGCAAACAATATTGTTGTTCTCGAGTGACACAACAATTATACGCGTGCGAGTCACCTGCAAAACTGCTCCAAGTGAACAAAGTAAACCATCCTGCTGCCTGGACATGGGAGTCATAGCCAGCTAGCTTCCTCGTCCCCCATAAAAGCCTGTGAACTTCTCCAGCTCTCTCAATCCTCACATCATCCCCAAGTACATCTCCCCTTTCCGACGACGAAGTTCTGCGCAGTTGCAATGGCTTCCAAACCAAAGGCAACACGCCCAAAGGCCACTCGCGCTAAAGCAAAGGACAATCGCAAAAAGGCCAACTTACCTGCCGCGAAGCACAAACGTGCGAAAGTCACGCGCCAATCCGAAGACACGCAGACGCGTCCTGAAGAGGAAGCTGAGGCACTAATCGACTCCAAATCGTCCCAGTCGCCATTCCTGAACTTGCCCGCTGAGCTCCGGAACAGGATTTACGAATACGCTCTCACTATTCCTACTGGTTTGGATGTCGGTCCTGTGCACGCACGTTGCGAGGGCGACAAGCATTGTTGCGCTGGCAGACTGGAGATCTTCAAGACTCCTGACTCGAAGGAGGACTGGGCCCTGGGCCTTCTTGAGACCAACAAGCAGATACGCCGCGAAGCAGAACCTATCGTCTACAGCTGCAACCATTTCGTCTTCGATAGCTTCACTCATCTGGACGAGGTCCTATGCTTCGTCGGCCTAGACATGGCACGACGGATCCGCAGCATAACAGTCGAAGACTTACCAGACCCAGATGACCTACTCATACACTCGCTCTCACGCGATTGCCTAGACATATGCCGCAATATGCCCAGCATCGACATTCTCGCGTTCCAAATACTCACGCAGGAAGAAGTCGACGAGCGGAGTCAACAGTGGGCCGATATATATCACAAGCAAGTGAAACAGGTACGGATAGAATTAATTCCTGAAATGCTGGACTACCCGCCTGCGAGGGGAAGTTACTCGTCCAAACTTTACCGCCCCACTTATGCACCCCCATGGATCGAGAGCCAATACATCTACGTATGGATTGAGCTCGTGTGAAAGCTCGGCAGCAGCACAGAAGTAACCGACTAAGCCCGGCATTAGAACCGCTTCAAAACACAAGACTGGAAAGCTGGAACGATCAGAAGGGTATCGATCGAAGCACGATATACATTCAATGGCCGGCTAAGAGGACCGTCATCCGACTTGACGGAAACAGGGAGGGAAGCGATATGACAAAACAGAGCGAAACATCCTCACCGAGAAGCCCTTACAAATATGAGTCACAAGATGCAGGAGATAGTATGACCAGCACGAACATGGCATTTTGGTACTCACCCTCAACCCATGAAAGGTGATCGTTGTTCACGCCAAGCCGTGGATAATAGTCTACATGTGAAGTATCTATATTGAAAAAAAGTAGACTGGGCTTGGCTGCTCCCGTCTGGCAGCGAAATTAATATCATACAAGTGTACTGTGCATCTCGTGCATGAGTGAAAACGCACCTATATATGACATGTAATATACAAAAGCTACGCGGTACGCAGCATCGGTCTTTCATGGCATGACTCTACAAAGGACTAGTCCACCTCTCCTCTTTTCCACCGCCTCTCTGATCTCTAGCATACCTATGTCAGTAGAGATGAATATGCACTCTCCCGGATTCACTATGCCCTTGATCTCGTTTCGGTTCCGGCCTGCAAGGATAGCTTTCAGGTCGGCCCAAGTGGCAGTCATGCGCTTGGTGGGCTTGCTGATCATGGACATCTTCCTGATGACAGGCTCTGAGTTCCAGTATTTCAGGCCTATCCACAGACGACGCTGCGCAGGGTTTTGGGGCACATTGGCTATGCGCTGCAGTGGGGGTAGATTCAGCTGGACCTTGTGGTTCGGGTCTTGTGGAAGGACAGCTATGGGGTTGATAGCCTTTGCGCCAAATGCTTGGAGTTGAAGGTGCTGTTTTTTTGGAGGTAGTTTCTGGTCGACAACATAGACGTGCGACTCTGGAAGTATTCCACCGGCATCACGTTTCGTGTTCTGTTCCTGACCCCATTGCGCAAGTTCCTGCAATTCTCCAACCTCATGCTCGTGTAGCTCGGTCATATGTGTAAAGAAAGGAGAGTCAGGCAAGTCGAGGGAGTCCATCAGGTGTTTCGAGTTTCGTTCCAATGCTGCATCTGACTTTTCCGTTGGCCCCCATATGTGCCGAACGTTTGCGAGCCATTTGCGATCTGCCAAATAACTCTGTAGGACCTTGGGAGGGAACTGTTCAATCGTCCCCTGTTCACGCGCCAGTAGAGTGTTCACAAAACTCAGTTTTGGACTCCCAAACCAACGTCTTTCGTACTCTGCTTTGAGCGACCGCTGGGTCGATGGCGTGGCCTCCGAGGGCTGTGGATACGCTAGCCATGGCTTGTCCTGTATGGCTGAACTTTCCTGCTCTTTCACTGGTGTCTGCTGCTGCTCTTGTAATGCAAAGGTAGCTGGCGGCTTCTTTGATCCCAGGGTGACTGACGAGATGAATCCCTGTTTCTGTAGAGCCAGCATGAGAGCAACATGGACTTTGGTTGCTACGATGGACGTAAGGCCCAGCCGGACTTGTGAGGCATTCTGAATATGCGAGCACACATATCCGATGTGTGTAAGGGACATTGCGGGCGGAATTCGATGAGGTCGGGAGGTAGTGTCGTGGCGCGCGAGAGCCCCTCGGATTGGGGCGTGCCTTATAACAGCTTCAGATTGAAAGACGTAGTACGGTGCGTTGAATACAGGTCGACGGAGTGGTGAACGAGGTCGCGTGGATGAGAGCTCGCGCGATCTGGAAAAGTTCAAAAGTCAAGTCTTGATGCGGAGAGAGGACGGAGGAGAGACCATGGATATGCTAGTGCCAAAGCAGACTAGTGTGGCGTGAACGGCCTGAGGCGCAAACTTGGATGAAGCCCATTGGGTGTAGCCATGACAGCGACACAGGATCGAGGATGGCGCAGAGGTAATTGATTAGGCGCCTGCACGCCAGGCACTTCTACAACCCTGTGTGTAATAATAGCTCAGCCTCTCGCTATATCTTTCTCCTCTTCTTCTCCATACTTCCTCTGTTGCTTTCTGTGCGCTTTTGATTGTGTCTTGGTGCGTCTGTTCTTCCTGTTAAGATACCCCTCCGTGCCTCGTGGCTGCTCACAGACTGAATTATGCCTGCCCAGCAAGGGGAGGTGGCTCTCTCGACTCTGTACGTATCCATTGGACCATGCTATTGTCCACTTGTCTGACGATTGAAAAGCTTTGCCGATGTGCATTACGTCTTTAGCCCTCCGCATGTGAAACCGCCTCATCACCGGTTCGACAAGACATGCTATGTCTACCTCTATCACAATCCAATCCAGCGGAGGGGAAGGTTGGAGGTTGCCAATTATGCGGGAACACCTGAGCAGGATGCGTTTGTAGGCTGTCAGTTACTTCGAATCTCAAAAGGCAGGACCGAAAGCTAATACGACTTGTAGATCTCGATATGGTGCGCATTGAGCGCTCTCACAAGCACCCGACCCTCTTTACTATAGTCGTAGACGGCCTCACGCCACAGAATGGCAGCGCAGGCTCAACACCGCAGACAGACTTGTCGCAATGGCACCTCCCGGCTCCAGACCAGCGCGGTGAAGGCAGATACACGTACCGGCTCCATACTGTGGAAATGTACTTTTGGACAGTAGACGACTCGGAGATGTTCCTTGACTCGTTGAAAAGAGTGGTGCATGAGAGTCAACTGAGACTCCTAGACGCGCCCCAGCAACAACAGGTGCCATACCAACAACAGCAGCAAGCCCAAGTTGCCGATCACAGACAGTCCACCGTGAGTCCGGTCGTTCAGAAACTGGAACAGGTCGCCATCTCGAAGCCATATCAGGGGCAAGGACGCCCTGATAGCATCAGCACCACACACTCCTTCCCCGGCCCACCCACTGCTCCAACACCGTCCAACCCGCATACGACTTCTTCACCTCCCCCAGTAGAAGCACCTGCGAATTATGCCCCAATGGCCTACAATCCCGCCGCGCCCGCCGCCCCAGAGCCCATTGCGCATCGTGAACCGACTCCTCCACCCCCAGAAGCCGAGCACGGGACTGGTCTCACTGCAGCTGTAGCTCAGGACCATGGCAACCAATATGCGCCACCACATCTTCAACACCAAGGGTCGTTCCCACAACAGACCGGGCAACAACCATATATGCCAGGCCCACCACCACCACAACAACAGGGTGTAGGCAGCTTCTCGCCTCCACCATCGGGTACACCAGTAGGGATCCAGAGAACAAACACGACGAATTCGTTCCCGCCGCCACCACCGCAAGCCCAGTCATTTGCGCCCCCTCCAAATCAACCACAGAACACGGGTACACCCCCTCAAGGCATGCACCAGCAGCAACAGCCCTATGGCGGTTACCATAGCCAACAGCTTTCAAACTACCCAGGATCGCCAGGACATCCGCCAGTACAATCTCCAGGGTTTCAGCCTGTTCAGTCCCCGGGTTTCCCGCCAATCCAGTCGCCAGGCTTTCCTCCCGTGCCGGGCAACAAACCACCATCACATTCTCCAAGTCAACCGCCAACACCAGGGTATGCGCCTCAACCATCTCCTGGTATGCCTCCAGGTGGTTATACCCAATACAACTATGCGCAGAACATGTCCTCTTCAGACCCATACGCTGTTCACCAGCAGGCATACCGGCCGACAGAAAACGAAGCTGCACACCACAAACCACCTGCGCAGGCAGGCCAGAAGCCTGGCCGATTTGAGACTGGGGCGAAGAAATTCGAGAAAGGAGTTGGTGGATTCTTGAAGAAACTCGACAAGAAATTTTGAAGTTCTAAAGTCACAGGTACCGTGTTGACGAATCAGTTCTCCTCTGCTTAGCGATCTCCTTTGGTCTACTTTCTCTTGAAACCTTTCACTATATATCACTATTACGAGAATTTATACACTGTAGATAATTTCTCGAACGTTGATGGGATTATTAATGCAGTCGCAGAGGCCTCATCTACACTTGTTGTGCTCCCTACGCATGCTGCCTGCTCCGTATGCAGATTATGTCAACACCTGACCTCATCACACGCGCCCTCCAGCTCTGAGACAATACTATCTTACGTTCGCGGGGACATCTACTACTACTACTTACATCCACTGCGCTCCTCTTCGCAGATGGATCAAATTCACAATGTTTGACGCTGAAGTCTGCGCATGCGAGACAGATCTCACTAGCCTGAATCAGGCATCTGATCCCCCTTTTTAAGCAACCTCCCCCAAAATGCAGCACACGACGAGAGCATGTCGTACGCTTCTGTCTCGCTTTTGCACTGCCTCCTGTAGGTAGACGAAACATGGCTCACGCGTGAGTAGTACGTATAACATGCGGCCTTGTCGACTGCACATAGGTCTCAAGTTGATTTGATGTGAACAAAATGCCACTCGTCTGCGCCTTTGGCTGGGTGGATGGATGGGATGGGATGAGTATTCTTTTTCATCTCAGCTCGTTTGACTTCTTACTACTTCCACTGCTACCATACTCCACCCCGAACACGTAGACGCCGCTGAAGCTACCGTCAATATGTGCTGGATAACCCTCTCCGGGCCCAACGCGCCGCGCGTCTACACCTCGGACCACGACACTGATATTGAAAAACTCGCAGACGACAACGTTAGTAACAACGACGACGAAGAATCCCTCCTCCCAAACGCCCGCTGCGTCGACCTTGACTACAGCGTCTCGGTCGATCCTTACACCCCCGATCTCTATACGTCTACGTATCACCGGCACCGGCATCGCTACTCTCACCACCACAACCACCACCATCCGCATCTCCACCCGCATCTGCGGCATCGGCATCCGCGGCTTCATCCGCATTTGCCGCATTTGCATTTGCCGCATTTGCATCCGCATCTTTACTACGACCATCAGCACTATTATAATGGTGATGATGGTGATGATGATGGAGATGAGGCTAATGAGCCTGTATACCGCATCGCTGTCCCTGCTGGTGCTACCGCGACGGTGCCTAGGTATAAGTCCAAGTCTAAGGAGCGCCGCGTGCGTCGTGTTGTGGCTGGGTCGGATCGTGCGTCGCGTCCTGTGAAGAAGGCGATGGTGGATGTGGAGAAGCGTGTGCGGTTTGCGGATGATGTTGTTGAGGTTGGTGGTGGTGGTGGGGATGGAGAGGTGCGGATTCAGGGAAGTGGTGGTGGTGGGGATGCGAGGGTTGAGGAGAGGAGGCCGAGACGGGTGCCTAGACGGGTGAAGGGGAGGGAGAATCTGGTTGCTGGGAGGGCTGGCGCTGGTGGTGGTGGGTGGAGGTGGGAGAGAGGGGGGACGGGGCAAGGGGCAGGGCGGAAGGGTGGGAGTGGGTATCCGCCTTTTGGACCGGTTGAGGATTGGTGATGTTCTTTGGAGGTTCTGGGTTTGGTCTTTGAGGGGTTGGGCTAGGTGGTAATGGTGTTTCAGGGGGTTAATGGTGTTTGTGTCTGTGTCTTTCGGTCTGGTTCTGCAGGGTCGGAGGGTAGGGTCCAATTTGTTATATGCGCTGGAATCTCTTAGGTCTGGCGTGTGATATTTATCTTACCTAACGGCCGATTCTCTATATCCTTTCGTCTTTTCTCTATAGCGTATGCGAGATATCACATTACAATTACATGAAGACGACTGTCAGCATTCATGAGTGGTCTACAGGAACAAGAAGTCTATTTCCAAAGAGCGGCGTGTCTCCAAGGAATCTAATAATACACATAGCACAACCACCCATACATTCAAACCCGGGTATCATCCCATCCCATTCCACCACACCTCACCTTCCACGCCTCAACACAACCGCCATCCGCCCCAAGCCCCTCGACAACCAATCCGCCCTCCACGCCCACACCAACCCAAGCCCGACCCCCGACCCAACCGCCAGCCTCAACACATGCCCCAGCACCGCCTGCTGATGCCGCGCCGCCCGCTCCACATCCGAGTACCGCTCATTACCGAAACTGACACGCGAGTACTGCGTCGCCCACCCGAGCGCCGGCACCCACGCATTGAGCTGCTCCTCGATCCACTTGCGCAGCTTGTACGCGGGCGAGCGCACGTCGCTGCGCATCTCCGTGTAGTTGCGCAGGGCGAGGTCGTTGATTGTTGTGGCGTCGGGGTGGCGGGTGGCTGTGTATTGTTGGAGGGCTCGGGCGCGGGCTTCTTCGCGGGCTTCGCGGGCGGTGTGCGGGGAGGTGTGGGCGTGGGCGTCCAGGATGTCGTAGAGGACGCGGACGTCTTCGAGGCCGGCGTTCATGCCTTGGCCGTAGAAGGGGACCATGGCGTGTGCGGCGTCGCCGAGGATGACGGCGGAGGAGCCGAAGTGGTAGGGGGTGCATTTGATGGATATGAGAGGGAGGTGGGAGTTTTGTGTGTATTGGGCGCGGAGGGCGGCGGGGGAGATGAGGGTGTGGAGGACGCCGGGGAAGTTGGTGTCGAAGAAGGGGGTGAGGTGGGAGTCTGGGTCGGCGTCGAGGTGGGTGAAGGTTGCGACGGGGGCGAAGAGGGTGCAGGTGAAGGATTTGTCGAGGGAGGGGATGGCGATGAACATGAATTCCTCGCCGGGCCAGATGTGCAGGTGGTTTGGCGAGAGGCGAAAGGATCCGTCTTCGGCTGGGGGGACGGTGAATTCGCACCAGAGGGTGTCGATGTAGTCTTGTTGGTAGGAGACGCGGGCGAACTTCATGAGGTGGAAGCGTGCTGCTGAATGGGCGCCGTCGGCGCCGATTAGGAGGTCAAAGTCCACTTCTATCTCGATTCCGCGATTGTCGACGCGGTCTGCTCGGGGTTGATCTGAACGCTCGAACCAGGCTAGATTCTTCTTGAAGTCTGCTCCGGTCATCTTGTGGTTGAAGAAGAGCTTGACGTTGGGCATGGACTCCAGCTCATCGAGCAGACGTTTGTTTAGACCGCCACGGTCGACGGCCAGGATTGCCTGAACATAGAAGTTAGTTTGTATTCTCAAAAACAGGCATCATAACATACTCGGCCATGGATGTCGTATGCTTGCGACTGTTCGAACAGTTTGCCAAGCCTTTTGCCGTGAATCATGCGACCATGCATCGGAATAGTCTCCTTGAGAACAGCATCGAGGAGGGCCGGCCTGTCAGCTTTTCGTAAAGAATTAATGCCCCGTTCTGATAGTGCCAGGTTGATAGATCTCGTGAAGTTGAGTGGCACGGTGTTTGGATCTCGTAGATCTACCATAACATCGTTAGCCCTGCCCATGACGCGTGCATCCAGAATTGACCATGTCAAAGCAGACAAAACAAACGACTGGCATTCAGAATCTACCACTTACCACCTCGAAGCTCGTAGATTTCTACATTGTCTCCTCTTGTGGCCGCATAGAGGGCTGCTAGAGCTCCCACCGGTCCAGCACCAACGACGACCGTCTTTTGCGTGAAGGTCGACATGACGGACAGAATTGGCGCAATATATCGTCAGACGAAGAATAAAGAGAAGAGAAAAGAGAATCAAAGAATGTCATCATTGACGAAAGGCCGAGACGCCCGGCCGGGACCGGTAGCACATAGGCAACCCATAATAGTGCCAGACCAGAAATGGGCACGACGAGTTTTTCTTTTGGAGTGAATAACACCTAATTAACTAATAATCGTTGAGATCGCTACGTGCTCCCTAAGCGCTAAAATCCTCGATTCGCGTGCTTTGGCCTCGTTCAGCTGCGCCAGTTCGCGAGGTCGGACGCCATGATGCAGCCCTAAAATAGTGCAAGGGAGATCGTCATCTATCAAATGCACATCCACATCTTGTACAATGCACAACAACAACACTTTTCTGCATATCCACCAATAACCACCAACACTACCAATCTCATCAAGTGTGTGCCATGCAGGACGTGCCAAAGTCCCGCAAGTGCGCCGGTCAGGACTGCGGCAATGATGCTACTGCTCTCCAATGTCCTACCTGTCAAAAGCTAGGCCAGGAGAGCTTCTTCTGCTCGCAAGACTGCTTCAAACGGAATTGGGCAGGTAGCATGCGACTGTCCCATGTAGAGCGTTACTTTACTGACTGACTTGACATCAGACTTCCCATAAAACCATACATAAAACCCCCAGCAATCCTCTTAGGAAACTGTTTCCCCCAAAGGTGATTTCTGAGCCAGACCCACAAACCGGCCACTACGATCCGTTCCCCAGTTTTGCATATACAGGCGACCTTCGGCCTGTGTATCCTCTTTCGGAAAGGCGAGCGGTTCCTGAAAGCATAAGCAAGCCTGATTACGCGGAAGATAGTATTCCGCATTCAGAACTGGTATTTGTCGGCAGGCACAAGATTGCTATACTGGAGAAAGAGCAACAAGATGCCATGCGCAAAGTGTGCAGGTATGGACGGGAAGTATTGGATCTCGCAGCTGCAGCGGCCAAGCCGGGGGTAACAACCGACTACATTGACGAAGTAGTACACAAGGCCTGCGTAGAGCGAGATGTAAAACTACATGACCCTCTGCATCAAGACCAGTGCGCTGACGTGTGCAGTCATATCCTTCTCCCTTAAATTACTACAAGTTTCCCAAGTCCGTATGCACCTCGCCGAACGAAGTGATCTGCCATGGCATCCCGGATCAGCGAGTATTGGTTGATGGGGACATACTCAACATTGATATATCGCTCTACCACGGAGGATTCCATGCCGACCTGAACGAGACCTACTATATTGGAGACAAAGCAAAGGCTAATCCTGACGCGGTCCGGGTTGTCGAGACTGCGCGAGAATGCTTGGCCAAATCAATAGATATCGTAAAGCCTGGCATGCTGTTCAGGGACCCAGGCAACGTTATAGAGAAACATGCGAAGAGCAAGGGATGTAGCGTGATCAAAACCTACTGTGGACATGGAGTTGGCAAGGTGAGTTCACTGACGAATCTGGTGCAAGATATATACTTATTGATCATTCTAGCTGTTCCACTGTGCTCCTAACATCCCGCATTACGCGAAGAACAAGGCCGTCGGTACCGCAAAACCAGGTACATTGAGCCCATATCTACAATATTACGTTGCTGACGATCGCCAGGAATGTGCTTTACCATAGAGCCTATGATCAGCCTGGGAACTCACAAAGACAAGACTTGGCCTGACGACTGGACGAGCGTTACTCAGGATGGCTCTTTGACCGCACAGTTCGGTAAGCCCAGCTGGTCCTGTTGAATCCTTGACATGACTGATGACTGATGATATGTTAGAGCACACGTTACTGGTCACGGAAGAGGGAGTCGAGATATTGACTGCAAGATTGCCAGACTCCCCTGGAGGTATTGTGTAACTCCATAGTCCTCGCTGCTATTCTTGCAAATTTGAAACGATTTAGTGTCGTGCCAGGACTATACTCGCAAAATGTGGTATAAGGAAAAGCGCCTTTGGTGCCTGGAAGTCATAGGGAGCAGTCTCGGGTCATAGAAACTCATCATGCGGTGCACACTGCATCAAAGCAGATATAGATAGATAGATGGCCCATACGCACTATCCAAGCGTCAACTACTCATAGTTCAAGTCTACGAGAGCTCCATTCACACTTAAGTAGGGAAAAGGTTCCAAAGGTGCGACAGTGGCACGTTAGTCGTCGATTTTAGGAAGCGAGGCGCGACAACCTAAGCTGCTACCACCTTCCAACACATCAGTGCACGCACGTCATCTCAAAACAACTCTCGGGTCTTCAATATACACTCCCAGCCACTTTGAAAGCTTCCTCATTCCATACTTTTCGCATCGCTCGACTCCTCCAAGGCTGTTCTCATACCACAGGAACTTTGAAGAGCCCAACCTCCCCTCCACTTCTACAACACGCCCAAGCGCGGTTCAGCTTCTCAACGAAACCTCGAATTTTCGGTTTCTACAATCAGCTCCTGATCCTCTGGATACAAGCGAAGCTCGCACGCGTGAAGATCTACACCTTGTTATAGCGCCGCAGAGACTTTCAAAATGACGGGAGAAGCGTGGTTATACCTCTTTGCGGTGCTGGTCAATGCAGTAAACTTGTTTCTGCAGGTGTTTTTCACCATCATGTACAGTGATCTGGAATGGTAAGATTTTTTACTCTAGCTTTTCGCACTCCTTATGGCGTGCCTTATTGTCGACAAGCCGAGTGTAACTGGGCAGCGACACTAAGACTGTTGCACGCCATTCAAAATCGAGTCATCTGCTGATATCTCGCTAGCGATTATATCAATCCTATCGACCTTTGCAACAAGCTGAACACCTACATAATCCCCGAAGCTGTTGTCCACGCATTCTTGACCTTCCTACTACTCATCAACGGATACTGGCTAGCTCTTATCCTGAATCTGCCCCTCCTTGGATGGAACGCCAAGAAGTATGCCTCATTACACTCTATAAAAGTCAACTGCTAATGATCATAGAATCTTTGAGAACCAGCACCTGCTAGATGCTACTGAGATTTTCAGGAAGCTGAACGTTCACAAAAGAGTAAGCCTGAAAGCTTCATATCAGTCCACCGTCTAACTCGTCGCAGGAATCATTCATAAAACTCGGCTTCCACCTCATCATGTTCTTTTTCTATCTCTACAGCATGATTGTTGCCCTCATCCGTGAGGAGAATCACTGAGTGGCTTAGACGGCTGTACCCAGTTCGCATCAGGGAGACTACCGCGTCTCGAGGCGAAGGTGGAATGCCCAAGGGCATCCCACTGTACGAACAGGATGGCGAGAATGAACAACGACCTGTGTAATAGCGCTGGAGTAAGAGAACGGCTGAGCGTGTGACGCCTTGGTCAGTGAGCAGTGCTCAATTGAATTATGTACGTTGGGAGGGGTTTGCCCTTGCAGCAACCCTTCAGATTGGGGCTTCAGCTTGTAGATAGACGGCGGAGCGCTCTTCAACTTCACGAGAGACCAAGCTATGAAAACGAAGAGATGATACATAATTGTTTAAAGTAATTTCATCTTCCTGCAGTTTAGCTCTTACGATAAGTGGCACGTGACCATCATTTGCAGCCTGAATATCTTGGCAGGCAGAAACCAAGCTTGACTGCATGTCAATATATAGATTTATATCTCTACAATACTGGTAAGCCGCACCCAACCCCCGACACCCACAACCAACACCTGTACCTTGTCAAAAAATCGGAATGACGTCTACCAAGGGCAAGGTTCCGACTGGGTTCGCGGACGAAATCGTCATCTCCGAGACATCCTTCCGAACAGCTCGACATGCCCTCATCTCGAATCAACAGCCAAATTCAAAGAAGCGGAAACGGGAAGAGAAGGGAGACCTCTCGGTCGTCTCGGGACCGGGCTCATACAAAGGGCCATGGGCAAGATTTGAGGAAGAGCAGCCGGATTCGTCGTCAGAAGAGGAGGTGGAAGTAGAATACGAAGAAGACGAGATCGAGGAACAGCCGGCGAAGCCCTCAAAAGCAGGCACAAGCTACGGCGCAGAGCCAGACAAGGAGACGACCGTCTTCCACGGCGCCGAGCAGTTCGACTACCAGGGCCGCACATACATGCACATCCCGCAAGACCTAGGCATCGACCTACGCACCGACGACGTCGCAAAGAACTACATCCCCAAGAAACACATCCACACCTTCTCCGGCCACTCCAAAGCCATCACCCAGATGCGCTTCTTCCCACACTCGGGCCACCTCCTCCTCTCCGCCTCCGCCGACAACACAGTCAAGCTTTTCGACACATACCACGACCGCGCCCTCCTCCGCTCCTTCAACGGCCACACCAAATCCGTAAACGACGTCTCCTTCAACAACGACGGCTCCCGCTTCCTCTCCGCCTCCTACGACCGCTACATGAAGCTCTGGGACACCGAGTACGGGAAATGCATCGCCAAATTCACCACCGGCAAGACCCCGCACGTCGTCCGCTTCAACCCGGCCCCGCACCTCAACCACGAGTTCCTCGCGGGCATGAGCGACAAGAAGATCCTGCAGTACGACACCCGCGCGGGCACCCAGGTCCAGGAATACGACCACCATCTCGGCCCCGTAAACACAATCACCTTCTGCGACGAAAACCGCCGCTTCATCACCACCTCCGACGACAAGTCGCTACGCGCCTGGGAATACGGCATCCCCGTGCCCATCAAATTCATTGCGGAGCCGCACATGTTCGCCATGACGCGCGGCGACATGCACCCGAGCCAGAAATACGTCGCGTATGCCAACCAGGACAACCAAATCACCGTCTACTCCGCGCTCGACCGGTTCAAGCAGAACCGGAAAAAGGCGTTTTTGGGCCACAATCATGCCGGGTATGCGATTGACGTGGCGTTTAGTCCGGACGGGCAGTTTGTCAGTAGTGGCGATACGGGTGGGTATGTGTGCTTCTGGGACTGGAAGACGTGTAAGATGTATGAGAAGATCAAGGCGAGTGAGGGTCCGTTGATTGCGGTGCAGTGGCATCCGCGCGAGACGAGTAAGGTTGTGACGGGCGATTTGAATGGGACCATCAAGTATTGGGATTAGAATAAAAAAAACAGCCAAGTTATGTGAATAGACGACGTTATGACTTTGACGATGTCCCATGGAAAAATTCGTTATTCATCAAACGCTATTATGCTCATTTTGTTATATATGCCACGGCGCTCCGTTCACGCTAAATGCAGTTTCCCCAACCACTCCTATCTCGAACCCCCCTCCTGCTCACGCCCCCGTAACCCCCCGTCTCCCCCCTCTCTTGAACTTAAACCCACCACCATCGTCATCCTCATCATCGTCTTCATCTCTAGGTATCCCCCTACTCCGCTTCGCAGCCGGACCCTTGCCCGGCGCCGCACTCGCAGCCGCTCTCTTCCCCTTTGATGTCAATGACGATGACGACGACAATGCAGGCGGTGGAATCTCACTCTCCGCCCTCTCGCTGCGCGCCGGCGTCGGGCCCCTCGTCGTCGTCGTCGATGTCGTCTTGGCCCCCTTTCTCGTTCGCGGGGGCGCGACCATCTGCTCGATAAGCTCAGCCTCATGAGCTTTCTGCATCTGCTTAGCGGTTTTGCGGCGACGGGGCTGGAAGCCCGTTTCGTCGTCATAATCTTCATTATCATCGTGCCGCGCAGCTTGCGAGGTATGCCTACTCTGGCCGCGCGTAGTGTTGTTGCTATCCTCGAGGAAATAATTGTCCTCTATGCTGCCGATGCCATAGTCCTTCTTCTTGACCTCCTCGAGCGTGACGATGACTTTGTGGCCACGGAGCGGGGGCGCCGCCGCGTGACGCGCGCCCTGGCGTCTGAATTTCTTGAAGTTCTTGCGGCCGTTCCAGCGGTCGTCCCAGCGAGCGGCGTCATGCGCGGCGTTGTTCTGCTTCTGTAACATGCTTGAGTTGCGTGGTTTGATGTCCATTTCCTCGATGATGGCGAGGTTGCGGAGGGCCTTGATTTCGGTGTCGTCGTATTGCTGCTGCTCTTCTTCGGCGGCTTCGGCGCGGCGGCGCTCGTTTGCTTCTTGGGCTTCCTTCTGCTCGCGGAGAGCTTCGCGGACGTCAATGTCTTTGTTTTTGCGATTGGCGGCTTTGCGCAGCGCATTCATTTCGTCGACTTTGGACTTTTTGGGGGCTTGTTGCGCCAGGACTGCGGAAGGGCCAGGGTCGTCGTCTTGCACGAGGCCTGCCTCTATTCGACGTCTTTTGATGGCTGCTGCGGCTGGTAGAAGCTCTGCGAATTGATCGTCTTTATTGCTGTGAGGGCGTTTTCTTTGGATGCTATGATCGGGTTGTGTGTTGGGAGGATAGCTATCGGTAACAACGGATCGTTGTGTCACCCCGGCATCCTCCATCTCGTCGTCTGAATGACTGTGGATGATTATTGGTGCCTCATCATCGGAGTCGTCAAAGGCCTTGAATCTGCTTTGAGTAATGATCCTTCGTGGTTTGCGCCTCGTTAGTGTCGTTGAGACCTGCTGAGTTTCGAGCTGAGTCTGGTCATTACATTGAGATCCCTGGGTCTCCTGAGGCATCTGAGAGGAGCCGGGGGCAGTCGGCGGGGGTCGAGGTATTGATGAAGACACCGGCGGATACTGCAGCTGGCTGGTCATTGGGTCTTCTTCTTCCTGTAGGCGCCTCCTCAATACACTAGCGTCCTTCATCAGGATAGCATCCAGAAATTCATTCTGCTCAATGTCTCTCTGATCGAGTCGGAGTTGTACTTGGGTCTGAAACTCAATAGCCCACTCCTCCCAGCCTTTCTGAGCTCTCATGCGCACGCACACCACACCTCTACCTTCACTTCCATCTTCAAATTCACCCAAGCCCTTCTCGCCTGCGACGTTCTTCACATAGCGCACAAAGTCTTCCGGGGTCGTTTGCCCATGTTGGAGCTTGTATAGAAGAGCTTTACCACTGCCATTACTAATGGGTGCCTGGAGAGTATTATATTGAGCATCGTCACAGAAGATGAATGTGTAGCCAGCAAACACCTCACTTCTCTCGGGATCAGGAACGTAGTATTCCGCCGGACGGGGAATGGGTTCTTTACCAGCTGCAGGTAGGTAATCAATCGCACTGGGCCAATACTTGTCAAACTCATCTTCCAGCAGAGATCGTGCAGGGCCTTCGTAGTCACTCGCGCCAGTATTAGGTGTTCCAGCTCTAACGACAGCGTCAACGTAGGCATCGGTCACAATGTGTCTCGCATTAACTAGGGCTTGTAGTCCACTAGGTGTATTTCTCTTGTCTGCTATAACATGTGTAGTCTTGGGGCTATAGGATACGATCGTTTTGATTCCGAGAGGTTCGAGGCGCGCGCGCTCTATCGCGAGTGGATCGGGGAGCGTCTTCCGCTTGCTAGGGACGTTGAAGGAAAAGACAATAGGAGTCCAAGAGATCCTGGGAATCCATTAGCTTTCGATCATTCGACATTGACACGAATTCTAACGTGAACTTATGCTCCCATTTCCCAAGTTTTATTGTATGCTTCACGCCTGTCAACATGTGTGTTGAATTTTTGAAGGGTTCGCCGCCATCGACGACGGTACCGAATTTCGAGTTCTCAATCAGCTTGACGGTAGGTTTTTTACTCAGATCTGCCTATCCATTTTGGTCAGTCAATGTGTTTTTAGCTGTGTGTCGAGCTGGATTTGCTTACACCATCGCCCTCACTGACGGGCGAGATTTCAATCAGAAGGTGTCTCCGCGAAACTGACTTCGCATCGATGACTGAGCAGTCTTTTCATGTAAGCGAACAGTGTCACTCTAGAATAACGTATATCTTACGATTCTCGACGCCATCTTGGTGATCATGAGTCCGCCCTAAGAGATGTCTCGTTCCTGGCCGCAGCCACTTCCTCTTGTCTGAGCCTTATTAGTCGCGAAAGCTACTTGGGCTGAAATTAATAACGTACGGTGGAAAAGGTCTCCTTCATTCTCAAGCAGCCACATGTTTGCTTGAGAGGGACGAGGTAGCGAGCGGGCGAGACGCTACTCTGTGAATCCCGGGAGACGTGCGGCGAAAACGTCACAAGGCAACCACGCGTTAAGTCCGACGCGCAATCATGTGACCGCTTCTTTGATGCAAGATTGCTGCTTTTGAAAGTGCATAATACATTTTGAACGGATATTACTACTCGCAAGTACAGCATCGTGCGGTTCGAAATTAGAATCGCCGATAGGACTCAATGTATCATTTTCGTAGTGTCGTCCACTTATCTACCGATTTTCTATATCAGGGGTACTGGAAAATATCCAGGAGACATATAATACACCTTAGGCCCTCGTCTACTATCCACTCGACACTCATCTATCTTTCTTCATCGTCCTTTGCGACTATCACACATCCTTCTTTAGAGTACCATATCTTCCTTCCCAGGTTGCCCACGATGCCTTCCTCTAGCACATCTACCTCCTTTCGACTCTCCTCTCCCTCGACCTCATTCCACGGCCTGACCTCCTCGACCGTCGCTCCCATCTCAAAAACCCCGCTACACATGGCGCAAATGCCAACGTCCGCACTTGTGCTCTCGCCCGCTCGTACTGGCCCTAATGCCCGCTGCATCACGCCGCTCACTGCGAATTTCTTCGCTATGTCCAGCGCCGCACTATGTGGTACATTGGCCAGACTTGGTTGCAGCCGCAGCAGCGGATGGATGGCATGTGCCGAGCGATTCGTCAGCGTTGTGCGTAGTGTGACGAATGCATGCGGCTGCACCATGAATTTCGAATGTGCGAGACGCGTCACACTGTCGGTCCTAATATGACTTTGGTCATCACCCGAGCCAGCATCTTCCAGCACGCGCATGTCAATATCGATATCATCCAATCGTAGCGCCTCAACCATTTGAGCAGTGAGCCGAATCCCACGAACATCTACAGCGCCCGTGCGACCAGACGCTTCTTCGGTCCAGGAGCCGCGAATGCGTGACAGAAGAGCTTCGCGAAACCAGAATGCCTCGCGGGCAGCGCGCTCAAGTGCCGGATTGGCTTGTATAGAGGACACGACAAACTGGCGCTGGTTGGCGGGATTTAGTGAGGGGATTGGTGCGTGTGGGTGCATGATATAGAGTCTCGGGAGAATTATGGCAAAGCGCGAGGTATGGCCAGGCTGAATGGTCTCTGTGACGGTGGTGATGTCGGAGGAAGTCAGGGGCGTAGTATCTATTGAAGTAGCTGGTGAAGTTGATTGGAGGACGGAAATGGATATTGTAAGGGGCGTAGGCCAGGCGTTGCGGTAATCGAGGAGGAGCATGCAACTCTCGGTTGACGGCGTCGCAAGATTGCTCAGAGGTTGAAAAGTTGAGGGTTGGGTTACCGGGAGTGTGCAATTGCGGTCGAAGGAGACAACGTCGAAGCGATGAAGCTGAATACTGGCATTTACGGTAAAATTGATGGGGACTGAGACTTGGCGGGTATAGAAATGGTCTGCTGTGAGTTCTGTGCCTATGCTTGCGTAATCGATCTGCACTTTCCCTTCGAGCAGCCCTGGCTTGCCTAGTACCTCGATGTCGAGGGTCGTTGTCTCCTGAGGTGCGACATTTGCAGCATTCTTCTCGTCTGCTTGTAGCCAGCGCAGTGGTGGATTTCTTGCTACTTGAACCTCGAGTTCATGCAGCTCTGCTCTCGGGATATCTTTGTTGCTCATTGTATTTCGTTGAGAGGTCGTAGTGGTGTCTTCAAAGGAGACATGCAGGAAGTCATTAGTGGTATCCTTGGATGTGTTCTTTACGCTGATCCTAAAACATTTACGTTCGCCCTCGAGTAGCATGAGAGATGATTGCACCAAGGATACAGATGATACTGTCAAAAGAGGCTGTTTCGGGAGCACGGTGAGCGTAAGCGTCATTGGAATCGGATCATTCGTTGTGGTGGGGAGATTCGGTTCGGATGATGTTGATACGTTTGAGACAGGCCGTGACACAGGCGGCGGGATTGAAGCCTCTAGACCAATCCCCTTTATCTTGAGGCTCGGCTCTGGACTCCACGGTTCTACGAAGATAGGGAAGGTCTGAAGTCGACAGCCTCTGATCTTGATAGAGCATCCTGTGATTGTCAATTTCCCATCCTGCTGCGCGATCCCAATGACAGAAAACTTCTGTGTTCGGAATGGACCGAGATGTAGATCACTTTCCTCGGCCTTGAACTCGACACCTTCACCGACGAGGCCTAGCATCTCTATCTCGACCTCAAATTCATACGGATTTTGTAATGTAACGTGAAACTCATTCTCGTCACCTGCAACAAGAAGCGTCTCAGTGCCTTGATCTTGAGACTTTATAAATGGATCATGGATGAAGGGACTCTTTCTTTTGTCTTCTGCCAACTTGACTGCTTCCAGATCTGCTCGGCGGTGCTTTTTCATTGCAGACGACTCGGCTGACTCAACCATTGATACATTGCGGACTAGAAAATCGTCCCAGTAGTCTGTTTCAAGATCATCCAGACCGAGTTTACGAGCTGTACTGGTGGTGCGACTGATCGTTGCAGCGTGTCGCAGTTGCTCGTCCTTTGCTAGATTCACGTATACATCCGGACTGTCCGGTCTTGGCGCATTTCCAGGACCAGCGGCACGTAGAAGAGCCGCTGTGAAGTGCATAACACCTTTCAGGTCCGGGAGCGCTTCGCAAAAGTTGATACACATGCGTAGGATGTCGAGTTTCAGATTTAGATTCCCGAAATCATGTATAAGGGCGCGATTTTGTATGCGTTCTAAAACGACACTGGACCGTCGCCGACCCTGGTTATCCGTTGAAGACGGCGGGACGGCCGTACCATTCACTTGATCGCCATTGGGACCACGCAAAGGTATATTCGAGGTCTGTGTTCCATGGGACACGCCATATATGCGCCCAAGCAGATTCAGAAATTCTATAAGGCCAGTGTCCGGATCAGAGGCGCCTAGCCGGGTACCATCATTTGCTCCACCTCCACCGCCACCCATAAGCCCTAGGCCAGCAGCTGGATGAACGCCCATCTCCGCCGCACCAATCTTACGAGCCTGGACGATGGCTGGTATCATGAATGCTATGAGCTCTTTCATTACCAACGCACGTTTCCGATCCAGTCGTAAGGTCGAAAGCACGGATGCGATCCCTGTCAATATTATGGACCCATCCGCAATCGACATATTTGCTAATTCTGTGGGAAGAGGTACGGCGCGAAGCACCATCGCCGCAATGTCGTTCTTGGTAGGAGAGATTGTGATTCGTGAGATGTTCATATTTGACTTGGAAGCGTATGATTTGTCACACACAATACTTTCCAACGCTCGGTCCGTCAAAGACCCACCAGCTATATGTGACATGGCTAAGTATTTGGATAGACGAATTATGCACTCGGAATGTGCCTTGAAAGGCATCGCTTCTCCTGAGAAGTTACTGGCTCGTCCATATATGCTGAGGATCATTGTAATGAGGTCTGGAATAGCGGCATTTAGCTTCTGAATTGCCGCAATCTGAAAAGAAGATCTCGGGGACCCTCCAGAAATGGATGTGATGCTATTGGAAGGCGTGTGATGTGGAGATCGAATATTGGGCAAGTTGATGGTCTTCTCTGGATTGGGATAGCATATTTGGGGTATCTAGGAACATTAGCAATGCTAGCAGCCTACTGAATCCACCTATTGTACCTGAAAGTCAACGCGCCGCCATGCTAGAAGTATTAGACAAACCAAAATGTTTTCTAGACCTTTGGCGTGCCATAGATGGTCGCTTAGATTCTTGGCATTGTTTGCATGTTCAGTCAGCTCCCTCAAAGCATCAGGCCACAAACCCGCACACAAATACAAGCTGCCAACCGTGAGGCCGACTCGCCCAATGCCCTTGTTACGTGCTCTTTCCAATACTCCCCCAGGCCCGAATCCATGAACGGAGACTCTATCCTGGCTTGAGTTCCGGCTTTCGCTTGCAGGTTTTGACTTGGATGACGTGCTGCTAGATTTTGCGACAACTTCGGCTATGTTGACGCCGGGTATTTCGTCAAACGTTTTGGCAGGGGGGGAACGAGGTTCACTGGATGGCGAGAGCGGACTAGATCCTGGAACAGAAGATGGCATCTTTGGGGGCATAGACATTCGATATAGACCAGTAGGCGTAGGAGTTGTGGAAGAGTCCGGGCGTGTGGACGGCGCCATCTGGGAATTCCTCCTGCTTGCGTCCAGAGGAACAGTCTTTGTGTTAGATGGATTGCCTTCCGCCGTGAGAGATTCTGGAGATGATGGAGAGGGTATCGTTGGAAGGGCTTGAAGTGATCGAGCAAAGGCTGTCATCTCAGCCAGCAAAAGAGAGGATAAGTCACACATGATAGTCTTGAGGGTCGTTGTTTTCCACCTTGCCTGAGGAGGAACGGTGGTAGCTTCATCGGGAAGCGACCAATGTCTAGAGACGCGCTCGTAATTGAAGACAAGTAGCTGATGAACAAGAGCATTTGGGAATTGTTCTCGAACTCGATAGACCGCATCGTAAAGTGGCGATTCAAATTCAGGGTGAGATGAGTCACTTTCACTCGACTTTGAAGACTCGAACAATTTCTCATGCTCGCTAGCATCCGCAATGCCGAGGATCACGAATGGCTCTCTGAAGAGCTCGAATGGTGATAGAGCTAGCTGGGAGGGGGTAGGGAGTGTTGTCGCCAAGTCGTACAACAACATACCACTTGGGAAAGCCAAAGGGGAAAACAGATCTAGTAACACGTTAGATGTATTAAATCACCAGACAACCAATGCATACTCCTATTTGGCGTGAAATCAGGGCTCACATCGCCCAATCGTACATTGCACTCTGATTGAAGTGCTTGAACGAAGTGGGCAAACGTTTTCCTCTTTATGCGCCCTGCAGGCAGAAGAAGCGCCCGAATGCGCGCGGGCGCAATGGGCGATAATGGGTCGACTGCCATGACAACATTTGAGCCCTCTACCACAACTTTCGGAATAGGCCAAACAGGCGTCGAAGGCGTCAGTCCAGAAGAAATCTGCGCTACCTCATCACGATAATGCAGGGTTCCGACGCAAACAAGAACTGCCGAGATACCCTCATATACTTCGATTCAATAGTGGCATCCGGGGCAGGGTATTTGTCGTTGTTATTGTTGTTGTTGTTGAGGTGGTGGTGGTAGTGGTGGTGTAGAATGAAACACATGGGAATCGTCTTTTGAGGACGGGGGTTGAGGTTGTGGAGACACCACGACACGCACGGATTTAATCTTGGTCACGTGCACAGTCGCAGCCTATCACAGCCTGATTGCCTGATATAAGGCGCTAGTCCGGACATGGCTCAGGTGGAATCGGGGACGACAAATCACTCAGCATCAGCATCAGCATCACAATTCACTTCCCTGGCCTTCTCTTGTCCTGCATCGTCTGGCGTTCGAGAAACATAGAGTCTTTAGTCATTATATCTTACTCAAACAGTCCCAAACTTTCCATTTCCTGTTGTGTTTCCCTTTATCCACCGCCACCACGAGGTTGTAAGTGTCGCCACCAAACCTTTGTTGCGACAACACAACGTAAACAAGTCACAGCAATATCTCCTTTCTGTCATTATTCTCACTTTGCCTCTGCCATATATTGACTGGAATCTCCCATATCTCTCTCGTCTTTACCATCATATGCTGTCTGCCCTGTGTTGCTTAAAGATATACCCACAATGGCTTCCACTCTGGACTATGAACGGTTACGACAGCAGACTATGACCACTGGAGAGGATGCAGCTGTCACAGTCAATACCCGTGCTCTCATCGACAAGGTCCTCGCGCGTTACTCGAGCGAGTTCACGACGCTACGGGAGCTGGTTCAGAATGCCGCCGACGCAGGCGCCAAGAAAGTCACCATTACATTTGAGACTTCCCCGTCATTAGATATCCCAGCGCCACAGACAACGGATCGTCACCTCAGGCTTCAGCACACTATCAAGCATCATGCCATCTCAAATGTCGTAGTCACCAATGACGGCCAACCTTTCTCCGCGTCGGACTGGGCTCGTCTGAAGAGCATTGCTGAAGGAAACCCAGATGAGACAAAGATCGGCGCTTTTGGCGTGGGATTCTATTCTGTCTTTGCAGATTGCGATGAACCCTTTGTCATATCTGGGAGCAACACAATGGCGTTCTATTGGAAAGGCAACACATTATACACAAGATCTGGTCGACTACCACAGGGACATGATTCCTCGCTCACATCCTTCTCTCTGCCTTACAGAAATGTGTCGACATCTAACACGTCCATGGGTTCCTCGCCAGTTCCCGACCTTCTAAGCCTTTGTCAATTTCTAAGTACAAGCTTGACCTTTGTAGGATTGGAACAAATTGATCTTAACATCGATGACTGGAGCATCAGTACTTTCCGTAAGACCACATCGCCCGCCAGTGATCTTCCAATGCCGGCGGATTTTAAGCCTACCACTGATGGGGGCATCATGACCCTGCGAAATGTCAGCAGTAATACCGCACAAATCGATGCGACATGGAGTAACATCATCGGATGGGTCCGTGAACCTAAGAAACAAAGCGTCTTCAGACCAAGAGAAGACCATGGGAGCTCTGGGGGTGGTTGGAAAAGCTTTTTGTCTAAATTGACAATTGGCGGAGAGCCGTCGAAACCCCCGCCGAAGAAGTCTTCGCAGTCAATCGACGCACCGCCTGACGAGACTAAAGAAAGCGGCTCAGGTTCTTCTAGCGCTACTGTCTTCATAAGGGTCCATACTTTACATGTTCTGACAAAAGTCACGACCAGCTTCTCAAAGGAGCTAGAACGTGCTACGAAGAAACCCCCTCCGAAGAGTACTAGAGTCTCCGTGTTGACTTCACCCTTCGATGAATCATCGGCTTCACTTATAAGCCACAATGGCCGGACTTCTAGCCTAGCATCAAAGTTGTTCTCCTCTGTTCTACCAACAAACTCTGGACGCATATTCATAGGATTTCCTACCGGGCAGACCACAGGTCCACTCTGCCATATTTCTATGCCCTCCATCATTCCAACCGTCGAACGCGAAAGCATCGATCTGAACGCAAAATATATCAGTTCCTGGAACGGAGAGCTGCTACAAGTGGCTGGTATAGGTTGTAGACTAGCTTTCCTTGCCGAGATGCGAGGTTTACAGAGCAGAACTGAGCGTATGCTTAGCAATAGTGATGTGCTTGCAGACGTGGTAGCGAAGTCGATACCTGAAGCCATTCACATATATAAGCAATTCACATTCCAAGAGACGACACCTTCATCCAGAGTCGGTGCCATAATCGAACAAGGCTTTTGGACTTGCACCCATCAGACAAAGCGAACAACTTCAATGGTATTGCTCTCGACTCAGGGTATACTCCCAAGCCCGAAGGTTCGTATCACAGCGGAGAAGCTCAGCTTTCTCAATAACTTTCCTGTTGTCCCTGATGAGATAGTCTCGGCCGCTCCCGGCTTTATGGAAAGTCTGGTGTCGAATGGGTTTCTTTCTCAGATGACAGTCGATGACATCAAACAAGAATTGGAGGCCCGAGCCTTGAGCGAGACCGAGCTGCTCGAATTTCTCAAATGGTGTGGTGCCAAGGTCGCCGAGCAAAGGTTCACTACTGCTGAGATTCAGACTCTATTCAGATCAGCTATAGCTGATGTGCCCAATCAAAGCAAAATTCTGCAGTTGTCCTTGATCCAGACATTCTTGAATCCTGCCAAGATTGCGCCAGATCTGCCTCTTCCGCCATCAAATGCACCTTTCACAGCTACAAGTTCCATACCCATGCCTCAACTCAAGTCTTTCGGCTGGGTCGAGCTCCAAATCTTACCCTGGCTCGCCTTTGTTGTGCAACAGTCAGCTACCAATCGCGAGCTCCCTGAAGACATCAATATGCTCAGATCCGCTGCTTTTGCGGCCAGAGTTCTGTTAACGGTGTCGAAAGCATGGGAACAGTTGAACCAAGAGTCGAAGTTGAAAGTGGCGGAACTGCTAGGTCCACATACGGTAGTGCCAACCACGCAAGGAATGAAAAAACCAGAAGAAGCTTACTTACCGTCGGTAAAAGGTTTTAGTAATTTGGCGATTCTCACGACCCAAGGTCTGAAATCAAGATTTCTCAGCGAAATAGGGGTGCGATCAACTGTCGAACTGAGTGTGGCTTTCAAAGGTCTGGAGGGCACGTTCACGACCAGAGGCCGCGCATCTGCGCCAGAGGGGTGGGATCACGAGCAGATCCTGAAGTACTTCGCTTCTGTATTGGATGAAATACCCAAGAGCGATATAGAGCGCCTAAAAACTATTCCTTTCTGTTTGGCTGAGAAGGACCGTGGCAATTACCTCTGGAAGGTTTCAGAGCTATATGCACCGAGTGAAGGAATTCAGAGGATCCGGCTTCCGACTATCCGTTTACGCTCGCATCGACCTGACACTGCGGAAGGGAAACTCCTAAAGCAACTCGGACTTGTTCCATATCCCACCGTACAGACACTCATAACATGCCTCCGTCGCACAGCACAGGCGAAAGAAGCAAATTACCAAGATTACATTGGTATCATGAAGTACTTTACCAGTAACTTTCACAATAACCGCTATGACAAAGTAGACATGTCTCAGTATTCCCAGACGCTGTTTCTGATGTCGAAACAACGCGCGTTCCCTGCGTTATTCGCACCAGCGTCACTTTTCAGCAATGATCAAGCTGAGATTCTTGGTGTAAAAACAATACATGAAGACCTCAAGCCTCATGCAAATATGTTTGGAGTTGAAGCTCATCCACCTTCCATGATCTGTGTACAATCTCTCATATCTCAACCACCAAAAACGCTGAAGGAAGCCTCGCAGATGTTTTCATACATGGCGTCAAGAGTGAGTGAAAAAGACAAGGAATTGCTTGAGATGATATCAGACGCACAAATAGTCCCAATTTTCATCAGTATTGCTGAAGACGGAAGTAAATCATCTGTAACGTCTCATGAGCAATTCACGAGGGTATCATCCAGTGCGCAGGTCGTGCTGTCTGCCATGAGAACACCAAGCTCAGTCTTCATTGGAAAAGACCAGGAGTATAAAGACCTTTTGACATATGTCGACTTCGGTGAGCAAGCCAACATGTTCCTCCTGAAAGCTGGATCTAGGCATGAACCGAGTAGTATTGAGCTTCTTGGGATCGTTGCAGAGGATCCAGGCAAGTTTCTACGTTCTATTGGGGTAGATAAGTATTTGGAACTGCTTCGCAAGTTCGCAGACAACTGTACCAACATCAAATATGAGCAAGGTCTGTTTGAAAAGCTCAAGAGAACGCCTTTCTTGCTTGCACTCGAAGACAAGATGCCTGAAGGCGAGAAAGAGCTTGCACTCATTGACCTTGAGGACGATGAGGAGCCATATAAGATGAACTGGTCCCTGGAATTAGCGACTGATACAGTCGTCAATGATGATGTACGACAGTATGATCTTTTTCGACACCATATCAAGCTTGTTCCGCAAGAAGACTTGCTTGAGAAGTTCTATATCTTCCTTGGAGCAAAGAACCTCTCCAGTATCGTAACTAGTCGAATTCGACAGGGTGTACAAGTCCGAAACCAGGACAAGGCTCATCATCTACACAACGAGATCATTTCCCGCTCCCGGATTTTTCTCTATGAGCACGAGAAGGAAGGATCAAAGAATATCAAGCACAGCTCCAAATGGCTCAAGTCGAACCTCAAGCTTGTGCTGGTCGAGCACATCACTATTGATCACTCCCTGAAGGGCTCGAACATTACCAAGAAAGAAAAGAAAACGGCCAACTATACATCGAAAGACAAAACCCTTTCCATTACGGAACATTTTGACATGCATGACATTGGGCGAGAGATAGTTCCCATCCTTATTCAACGTCCAAAGCAAATGGACATCATGGCCTTCGAGCGAATCATGACTGAGTCACTTAAGCGCCTGCAGAAGAAGGGATACAACGTCGACCGCATTCTTCGACAACGTGAGATCGAAGCCACCGTACAAGAGTCACAACGTCAGAAACAGTTTGAAGAAGAGAAGGCCCGCCAAAATGAAATCACAAATACTGCCATGACGCCGTCCGATCCACGTACATCTATCGATAAAACAGTCAGAATGCCAGGTGCGTTCAGTCCAGACTCTCCACAGCGCCCAACCGACGCCGAGACCTCCTCCAACTCTCCTGAACAGGACTCCAACGACCCGCTCGACTCCCTCCGCAAAGCTGGCACAAATTTCTTTACCAGATTTCGTACTGGCTTCCGCGACTCCTCCACGCCAAACTCGAGCGGTCCCATATCCGAACCGACCCCCGATACTCCCAGATCCCCGGCGCAAGCTCAACGCTCCTCACAAACCCAAGTCGCCGATGCTATCCGCCGCTCTCGCCCACATGGCTCTTCGACGGTAAATTCCGCCCCAAATGTCCGGAGTATCGATGTGGCGCCTGATTCATACTGTGACGCGAACGCCGCGCACAACCTGACACATATGCCCGGTGATACCGCCGGCGCTCACGGTATCCGTTGTTTTGCAGCGCGAGAGTTCAATGGGGATCTACTAGAAAAGGTCCGCGGTAGCAGAGGCCAGTTCGGAGTGCTGCTGACATGTCTCGCCGGTATTTTTGGGCTGAGCAAAGAGCACATGCACATCTTCTACGACGCGGGCAGTAGTACGATTGCATTCAATCTGGGTGGGGCTTTATTTTTCAATGCCTGGTGGTTCTGGGCGTTACATGGCGAGGGTCAGGCAGAAGGCAAGCGGGCCACTATCACAGAGGTGTGGGATTACTGGTATATTGTGGCATGTCATGAGTTGGCGCATAATCTGGTCAAGGAACATAGTAGCGCGCATGAATATCTGTTGCAAGAGATTAGTTTGAGGTTCAGGGGTGCGTTTTATGGTGCTGTGTTCGGGAACACGGGGAGGGCTGGGGAGGAGAGGATGATTGAGGGCGGCGCGAGTGCGACTGCAAATACGAGTGTAGAAGGGCCAAAGGATGTCGGGGATCCATTCTCTGGGGAGATATGGGCACGCAGATGATTGCCGTTGGATGGATGCATGGATAAGTGGTGTATATGCTCGTTTGTATAGACTCAGTTACTACATTGCGCATTGCGCTTCCTATGGTATACCATATCTCATCTCTACCCTGTCAAGATCCATTCATGCTTTCACCAAACACTCAGGTCTATGCGAATTCGTCGCCTTTCCGCTGTCCAGACCATTTTCTGTGGCCACTGCGAACACACGCTCCGGGTAGTTTGAGATGATAGAGTCTACTCCATCATCAATAAGCTTGCTAATCGTCGCCTCGTCGTCCACTGTCCACGGCACCACACCCATCCCCATCCTGTGCGCCCGCTTGACCACCTCCGCCGTCACAAACGGCACATACCCCGGCGTATTCACAGACGCACTAGTCGGCGTACCATGCATCGGCGAGACGAACACCGCACCCGTGTCCGCCGCCGCAGCGACTCAATCCCCACCGTAGTGGGCGAGATTAAGGCCTCCCAGCCAAGGATATGCGCCCTGCGCGTCCGGAACGAGAGACTTAGCTTCGACGAGCGCGACAAGATCAGGATGCTGCGGATACCGATCGCGGATGGCGACCAGCGTGCGCCAGTCAAACGATTGAATCGTCGTGCGGCCCAGGAAACCGTGTTTCCCAAGCAGCGGCAGCAGATCCGTGACGTACGTCTCCATGGGGAGCGTCTCGTGCGGCGCCGTCGGGTCCAGCTTTGTCTCGAGATTGATGCGCACGTCCGGGTCGTCGTAGCATTGGATGAGCTCCAGCACTTCGACGAGCGTGGCGATGCGCGTGGGCGTGTGGACCACCTGCTGTGGGTGGTTGGCCAGGGGGACGGAGCAGTCGAGTGTTTTGACCTGCTCAAGGGTCAATTCGGCGATAAACTTGCCTACGTACTTGCCGCGGCATTTGTCGGCTTGGATGGAGTGATCGTGCCATATCACGGGCACGCGATCGGAGGTGAAGACTGTGTCCATTTCAAGGACGTCGGCGCCGACTTCCTGGTGTTGTTTGTGAGTCTTGGGGGACGGCGGCGCGGTGGGGGATTGTTAGGGAGAGCGGACTATTGCGTACGCGAATGCCTGGCCAGGTGGTTAGATGGTGGTGGGATCTTTGTTATGGTTTTGGGTGATTGTACGCACCCAGAGCGATTCCTCACTTCTCATACCGAGCCCTCCACGATGTGCCTGGACCTCGAGATGGCGAGGCCTGTTAAAAATGGCTGGTCGGGCATTGATGAGACTAAGTGAAGCCAACAGCCCAACTGACGCTCTCAACGGACTGAATAAACACATCCTGTGGCGATTCGCCGATCAATTGACACACTCTCAAGATTACAGATATTGTCCTGCGGGCAGTGAGTTTTAATATAACCACATGGAGCAAGTCGTTGGCGAACAAGCGTGCTACTCAGAAGAAAATCTGGAGCTACGCACGTCCGCCATGGATGCGGGATCGGACCGGCATATCCTTCTGGATACACCTCACCGGGGGTCCGTTCATGATCTGACCTATGGTCTGTTCAACCTCACCCGAGGTCTGCTAAAACATACCTAGAGGCCAAGGTCGCAAACTCTAACTACTTATTTCTACTAAGCCCCATCACATAGTACTTATATTCCTACATTCTTTTCGTTCGGGAAGTTAGAATCTAGATTGGAAAATTAACATGTAGATATAGAGAAGTGATGTACACTTGTACTATACTAATTACACACTATTAGAGTATAGGATTAGAGTGAGTTAGAGGCTGACTAGATAAACCAATTGGAAGTTGTGGAAAGACTTATGGTCCGAGCTTCCGGACCTCAGGTGAGTTAATAACAAACCCAAAGTGAGGTGCATAATCTCCGGCGTTTAGCGCTTAGTCCGTCTTTTGTGCTTCACAGGGCATGATATGGAGAATAGGTGGTGCCCAAGAAAGAACATAGCCAAAGCTAGAGGCGTAAATGGGCAGGGAAGTGGTAGATTTTGCGGCATTTTCTACTCGCGAATTACAGCGCAAGGTAACTCACCTGTGATTAGTGTGAAAATCTAAGCGCCAGTCTTGGTACCCCTTTAATATGCATAAATATCTGTTTCGCTTATTCTTCAATTTTATAAACATTTCTACTAGCACTTTACTATGTAGTGTGTTCTAAAGTATTAGTAGTATAGGTATATACTTGCTAGATATAATATGTTCCTACTTTCATGATCAATTTTTCTTAGTTTAAATAGAGGGCGTAACAAAGGACTATTACTGCTTAATACGGCCTCTTGTGCATTCGGTTATGCTTATTCACTATTATGCCTCATTTTAGTAATATGTCTAGATAAGCTGCGATCCTACAGGATTTGCCTAACGTAATTATCAACGCAGCCTGCTTCATATAGATGCTTTCGAGGGAAAATATATTACATGGGTATATAAATAGCCTTAAGGATCGCGATTGTGGGGATTCAGAGCCTAGCGTCTGTGTACAATCTGCAGACCCGCTACGATAAGTGGATAGACTTATACTACAAGCCCGAATACCCGAATACGTTTTTATGATAGATGGGCTGCAAAGTAGTACTAGTGTCATATGCAATAGCTGTAAGAGTAACTTAACGAAACGATTCGACAATTATCAAACAATCTGTTAACAGTAAAAAGGCTTACCCCTTCTAAGTTTCCACGACTCGATACTCCTAAGATAGTGTGGCACTATGCAGGTCAGGATGGAATACAGCTATAGTGTAGGGCGCAGCCTCTGCAATGTGCTATTGGAGATAGGCTATTAAAACAACGCAAAGGATGAGTAGAAAACAGGTCAGGAAATCTCCTATAACAGGGAAAATTTTACACTAAACTACTAGACACTTTTCCGGAGGTCTCTTCATATTATGTTTACAGTTTTTCTAGACACTTGCGCGGTTGTTACGTTCTATCGAGTTAATTTCATGTAGGATACTTAGAACTGGTTGTATCTCATATAACTGTCACTCGTCGCAAGCAAAACTTGCAAGTCACATCAAGTAATGGCTTCCAATGTCGAAAATTGGTTCGAAAGGATTCCTTATATTAAAGCAGACGTGATGGGAGCGTGTTTCGAATCTGAGAACCGCTTCCTCTAATCACAGGCCCGTTGATGTACTGAACAAGGACACAAAGATACCACTGTATTCTTCAGAGTCGCTCCATGGCTTCCTAGTTCTATAGCGATGATAATGATTAGGTGGTCTTGACCTACGTTAATTGTAGGTTGCCCGTCTTCTCTACTATATCATTTACATGTTCACTCTCAAACCATATCAGATCCTTCAGCTCCTCAGCGTATTGGATGCCGAATGCTTTCACCTGGCCTCCCTGGATCTTAAAGCCAGCTTTGAAGTGCATAACATCATAGCATCGCTGGAACGGCGGCGACGTCCAACGTGCAACAAAGTCTTCGCCAGCAACGTGCTCCAACGTCAACACATGCGCGAACTCTTTATCATATACTTCCGCGCGCAGTACCTTTTCCGGTGCGCGTAGCCACCAATCCGGCGAGTCGACAACCTCGAATGTCAACACACCATACCCGGGATGTGTATAACGCCCTGCATACGCCTCCAATCCCAGCGAATGCCCTGCCGCCGCATTCCCCTCCGCTGCTTTTGGAAACCACTTTTTCCGCGCCTGTCGCCACTCGCGCTCATCCTGATCACCAATCGCAAACCACTTCTGAACCCGATCCATGCGTCCTTCCCGCGGAACCCCAAGCATGTCATCCAGAGTCCGGTACGCAATAGCATGAATCGCCCCCGACGCTCTCTCCTCCACATTCCCCATCAACGCCAACGTCCAGTTCCGCTCCGGCACATACAGCATCCGCGAATTGAACCCATGCGTCGCCCCGTCATGCCCGATAATCGTCACCCCGCGGTACCTGCTCACCTCCCAGCCCAAAGCATACTCCTCCCTCCCATAGCTCGTCCGCACCCGCGGCCTCCGCAGCTCCGCGAAGCCCTCCTTATCCAGCAATCTCGGATCCTCCGCCAGCATCGCGCGCAGATACAGCGCATAGTCCGCCACACTAGAAATAATCGCCCCGTCGCCCGCATTCGCCGCGTTGCGCTCAAACCGCTGCTCCTCAAACCCCCGCGTCTCCTCATTCCAGAAATACGGCCGCGCAACGGCGCCCCCCTCGCCCCCTGCTTCCGCCGCAAGCGCCTCGTCAACGCTGTAGAACGTCGCGCGCATGCCCAGCGGCTGCCAGATCTTGGCGCGCATGTACTCGCCCAGCGGCGTCGCCGTGGCCGTCTCCAGGAAATGCGACACGGCGACGTACATCTGGTTGTTGTACGCGAAGCGAGTGCCGCGGGCGCCGGGCGCGAACGGGGGTAAGTAGCGGAGCCGGCGTGTCTCTGCGCGCGGGGTTGAGGATGCGGCGATTGCGCTGTCGTGGTTCGGCATGCCGGAGGTGTGGGTCAGGGCGTCGAGCAGGGTGATGTGCTGCGCGAGGTGCTTGTCCCGGAGCTCGAAGTCGTCGCCTAGGACGGATTTGAGGGTTGTGTGGAGGGAGTAGGGGTTGGGCGTGTGTTGCGAGTCTTGGATTAGGCGGAGGGCGCTCATTGCGGTGAAGGACTTTGTTGTGCTGGCGGTGGCGTATACGGTGTTTGCGTCGGCTTTGCTGGTGGGGAATTGGGCGTAGCCGTAGCCCTGAGGTGGTGTTAGATGCTTTTGCTTGGATTGGAGGGTGTGGTGTTGGAGTATAGGGGTGCCAAGGGGGGAGGATTGACTTACGGTTGCTACTGTTCCGTTGTCGTCGCTCCATGATACCGACAGGCCGGCGCAATGGAGCTTGCTGATTACTTCTTCGGCATATGCATCCAGTTCCGGTGTGATCGGACCGCCGTGCGTCGGAAATGGTGGTTGTAACGGAGAAGCCATTGTCGACTTCGCCCAGCTATGGATTCAAATTCGCACGACTTAAACTTCGAAACCTTGCGAGTGATATATCTGTATGAAAAGCTCTCGAGCTCTTATTATACCAAGATTTAATTATGACATGCAGATACTAAGTAACAGCATGACGCGTCCTCAGACAACTGTGTGTCGTCAGAGTGGGAGGCGGATCATCCTGAGCCATCCAGCTGAGCAGTTATTAGAACTAAGTATCCCAGGCTTATTTTTAGCGCCGACGATTGAGAATTACACTGCGGTACTACATCGCGACACCGCCTTTGAAGACCTTGAACTACTACTTATTATCGCTTAGTAGACTAATGCTCAGAACATGCTAGAAACATTGAGTAGTCTTAATCTTAGACTACCCCCAACAAATCTCCCAAAAAACACCCTAATAATACAAGACATACCTAACGTTTTCCCAAGACTAACGACTAGGAGAATATGAATAAGAAGACTCTATTCTTTCAACTTTAAATAAACGGTGGGTACTTTCTTAAGCTATAGGAGTGGTTAAGGTTATTGAACCTGGGTGTGGCTGGGTATTTCACTATGGTGGGAGAATTTATAGGGTTGGTTCTGAAGGGAATAAAGAGTCCGACTCTCTTCTTTTTGAGATTCTACTCGGAGCGCTAGTTGGGACAGGATGTTCATATGTAGGACGTAATAGTTCCGTCTCGTTTTCCAGCGACTTTACTCGGTTCTAGTGAGACCTGTTCTCCTTGCAGCCGTTTCGTGATATGCTCTAGCTGATGCCGAAGAGTCCGAGAGCGCGGAGAGTCAGGGAAAGAATCATCTCGAACCGTAGGTATATAAGCTGGCGAGGACAAGAATGGCGTTGCGCAACTGCGTCTCATCAAACGAGCAGGTTGATAGAAGTGAATTCTTCCCTCTCCTCAGTCGCAAGGTAGGTGTGCGGCTCGAGGAGCGCCGATGCAGATATGGCGTTGACGGAGAACTGCGTTACGCCGTGCTGCTCGGAGTTATCAACAGTCTCGTCCGCAGCAGCAAGCATGCGGTCTGCAGTGGCCAACTCCGCCTGCAGATCTCCATTTGATACCTGCGGTAGCTCCGCGGCCTCCTCGCCCGTGAGCTCTTCCAGATCGCTCATCGATTCAACTGCGTTCTCCAGGTCGGCTTCGTGCTCTGCAGCAGCGGCAGCGGCGGCGTCTTTCGCGAGAGATAGGACAAATTCCCACTCTGCTGGTGAGACTTTCTGTACGCTGAGGCGCGTCTTTGTGAGAGCTTCCATGCTTGAGAGAGCGCCGGTCCGGTGCGCTTTGAGCATGTCGAGAGAGACCAGAGACTTAAGTTTCTCCTCAAGGGCAACCTTAACGCAGTACCAGGTCGGGCTTTGCGGGTTCGACTTTGCGTCATAATACGGATGTTCCTTGTCGAACGCAGACGCTGGTCATAGATATTAGCATGGCTCTTCAACAACATGTTCTTGGCATTTACAGTCAACTCCAGCTTCCTCAACGATCACCATGACGCCTACAATCCCGGGATTGCGAGTATTCGAATGGTAGAAGAACGCTTTGTCGCCCTTCTTCATCTTCTGCATGTTGTTTCGTGCTTCACGGTTGCGGACCCCGTCCCACGACTCCGGGTGTTCACAATTGGCAAGGTCATCAACGGAGAACGCGACATCTTGGCCTTTGACAATGCGGGAGTCCGGCTCAGCTTTCATGAGCCAAAATGCAGTTTCTCTGTCATGATCGCGTTCTGGAGCAGCTGCTTCTTTGGCGGCTGGCTTCGTTGCGATGGCGCGTGCTTTAGTGGTGGACTTTTGCACAGCAGTGTCACCACGTTTGGGTTTGCTGACAGGCTTCGCACTCGTGACTTTCGGTCGGCCACGTGCTTTCTTGAGAACCGGAGGCTCTATGCTCTCGTCGGCCTTGCGTTTCCTGCTCGAAGGTCTTGGTGGTTGAGGCAATGGAGGCGGTGGAGATAGTGATTTGTTCGCTGGGGCAGCCGCACTCCTGGCGCGCGTAGATCTCCTCACGGGCGGCTCAGCCGTTGATGCTTTCTCGATAGCCACCGTAGCTTTACGAGGCCTGCCTGCCCTCTTAGGAGGAGGTTCTGCGCTCTTCAGGGAAGTCTTTGAGATTTTTCGCGTCTTGGCCATGTTGAATTGGATGTGTTTTGCGAGGAAGAGAAAGATAAGTTGATGCTGGCGTTGACGTTCCTGAAGCTGGAGGTGGTCTCGTCGCGTTTCGTTCCAGCGCGTGCGCACGGTCCTCCTGTCAGAGTAGACGAGGCGCTAGTGACGGTGGTGATAGAAAGTGAATAGTCTTGTTTACTCAAACCCAGTCATGGTCCTGAACAATATGACAGACTCTACAGGATACATGATGACATAGGAAGCCGTAAGCTGTGAACACAGTCTATTGCGCTATGCAAGGTTCTAGACGTAGCTCTTCCACAAACCAAAAACACTGCTCACTTAGTATTGATACAATCTCCTTTTGTTCATGAGGTGCAACCTAGGGTTCGGACTCGCGTGACCCCGAAGCCTGTGTATACCTTCTCCAAGATCAGAAAGGTTGTCTTCCCTTCGTGCTTCATATCCGGTGCTCTTTTCCAGCTCAACACTCTAGCATGTTGAGCGTTCCGGTGAATCACACTGTTCAAACCTAAATAGTGTAAGCAGGTGAGAGGTTAAGGTGCGTGCATTATGAATGGGACAGTGTTGGAGGCCAAGCTTGTAGTCTGAGTCTCATGGCTACCTAGAATGATGCCATCATCAAGAATGGTATGTCGAGCCTTCGATCAGTATTTGTAAAGATTTATCCAGATGTAAGTCAGCATGTCTATCCTTTGACGGATCAGCTTGGCCATGGCACTATTAAACGCTTGCAGGAAGAGCTGTCAACGTTGAGCTGTTTAGTCAGCGCTAGAAATCAGTGGGTCTGGTTGCTGTTTGCGTTGGTTGATAATCGTAAGCACCAATGCATATTTGATGAACAGCATCGTATGTGACTGAATTGATGCCGAGGCCAAATCGGTCCTCACTGTTCGTGTTCTACATTCGCCATCTCTTGTCTACTTCTCATTTGAAGGCGGGACTGGGCCTTCCAACTAGGATGTGTGCAAGCAAGCAGTAGCAGTTCAGCAAGTCACATAGAACAAAATTCTAGTTTGCAAAGGTACGAAGGCCGCCAGTCAGAACTTACTTGAACGTAAGACGAAGCGGGCCGAATAGCTTGACTCGCCAATCGTCAGGTGTCGTGGAGCGGCTGTTTCAACGAAACATGACAGGGGCGGTCTTCTCTCCGTGGCCTCCGTCGATAGATGTGGATTTGTGGCTTAGTTCTGTAGGGTAATTAGTAAAGTTCCCCGCGGTGAAAGCGGAATGATCAGACTTGTTGGGCGGCGTAGCATCGGAGGAAATACGGAAGGTCTAACGTCATGGCTCTCTGATTACGCAATAGACTCACTGCGTATCCTATGAGAAAGACATTCTGCACGCGGTAGGTACCATCATCTGGTTGGTTGTAACAGTGTTGATTTGGAGAACGGACCTATGATATCTAGTTCCGCGTTGATTAGATCTTGTAAGCAACAACACTGGTATGTAGCTGAATAAAGATGGCTGGATTCGCGCAAAGATGCGCCTGATAGAGGAACCCGGCACACGGCAGCCCGGCCACGGACCAGGCTTGGATTAGAGCTTGCTATGATTGGTCAGACAACCCTCAGCATCGCGGAGTAAGGCTCCGTGCACATGGGGAAAATCGGGACCATGTGGAGAGAAGTGCCGGTGCTGGGATTGCGGCGTGTAACTGTGTCTGCAGTTTGCGATGTGTTAGAGTGCATGCCTGGATATCAAGTTGCGGCGCAATTGCACAAGGAACTTGAATGTATCGGAGCCAGAAGAATTGGCCGAGCATTAGGAGACAAGGAAATAAGGAGCCAACGAGACAATGAGCCACAGATGTCATTGGGTCAACACGACGACTCGAGACAGTGAGGACGAGGGCGAGGGCGTCGCGTGACGGAACCGGGATAGAAGAATCATGCCCAGGTATTTGGCGTGTTTGGCGTGTTTGGCGTGCTTGGCTGTCGCTTCATTGCAACATTGCCCGCCAGCGCCAACGTGTTCCCCAAAGCTTCGCATGTCGATGAATGCTGGGCGGTGGACCGGCAGTGGGCCTAAGTGGGCACACAACACTACGACAACACTACAACATACCTTGGTCTTGTTACTCGTATGTTGGACCTCCGCAGATTCAATGCTCAGTATATCCCCCGTAGAGCTCCTCACTTCCGATTCGTTGCCACGGGACAAGGCAAAGACTTGTCCGACAACAGCAGGGCACGAAAGAGACGATGCTGATTTCTGCACATGCACAAGCGTCTGTGATGCATGGCCACAGAGGTGCATTCTTACAGGTGAACAGACCGACATGAGGCCCTCCATTACTGGAATATCCGACATTCCGCAGTGCAGTGACCAGCTAGGTCCAACTAGCTACCAGACCAGGATCACAGTATCATAATAGCACCAGCACCAGTACCAGCAGCACCAGCATCAACACCAAGCATCAGCACTATCAGACGCTCGGCCGGGGACGGTGGGGCGCAACAGGTGGAGGTGGAGTCAACCCAGCCAGCCCAGCAATTCATTCCCAGCGATGAGATAGATGCCCGGTTCTCTGCACTCTGCACTTCTGCACCACCACTATCCTGGGACCCTGTAACGTAACCCCTCTACTACTTCTCTGGGCTTAGGGCTTGATTCACTGGACTGGCGGCTTGTTTCCCTTTGCCCAGCCGCTCCCTAATGGCGGCCGTAGACATGCTTGATCTTATCCCCGCTCTATCTGTTGAACATCCAATCGTATCAGCTGCGACACCATATATATCCCCTGGGCCCTTCCCGTCATGCTGCACTTTTTTCGAATCCCGTTCGACTTGCCTTGTCGGATCCTAACTACCTGATCTTGATTCTTTCCATCCTTCAACATTTCTCCTGCGGACCATTCACCATGTTCCACCACAAGAAGAATATGGGCGATACCCCGAAGGAGGTGCTCAATTGGCGCATGTGGTATGGAGTATTTGTCTTCGGCATGATGGGTGCTGCTCGTGGTCTTGATGAAGGTAGGATTTATTTCGTCATCTTCCACTTGTCATGCCCCCTCTAACTTTGCGTAGGTCTCATTGGAACTACCGCCACCCTACCATCGTTCTCCAATCAGTTCCGTCTCAAGGATCCTGCCTTGAGCGAAGCTGAACAGGACAATAGACTCTCCAATATCACGAGTATGGTCCAGCTCGGCTCCATCCTTGGTGCTCTCATCGGCTTCTACATCACAGACAAGATTGGCCGTCTTTGGGCAACTCGTGAGTTATGTGTCGTCTGGGTGTCCGGTATCGCCATTTATCTAGGAGCTGCCGCCCACGGAAGTCTGGGAATGATTTATGCTGGTCGTTTCATCGCTGGCATCGGCATAGGGCAGACTACTGTCGTTGCTGTGAGTCTCAGCTTCCTATACTGGTCTGGCACACATTGACTCGTCACTAGCCAACATATCTCGCAGAGACAGCCCCAAGAGCCATCCGTGGCCTGTGTGTCTGTATCTTCTCCGGAAACGTGTACCTAGGTATTATGCTGTAGGTCATAACATACGCAACGAACACGCTCACATCTAACCTGAATATAGTGGCTATTTTGCTGCATATGGCAGTAGCCTGCACATCGCCAAAACAAGCTCTTTCCAGTGGGTGAACTGCAATCTACTCCACATCTACTTTGCATTCATCATCTTCACTGCTAGCTGGTTCGCAAAAGAATCGCCTCGATGGCTCATCAAGGTGGGAAGACACGAAGAAGCAGCCAAAGAGATGTCAACCCTCCGGAATCTGCCAATCGAGCACCCCTACGTCCAGACCGAGATCATTGACATCAACGACCAACTGAATCGTGAACGCGAGGCTACTCTAGGTCTTGGATGGATGGGATACGTCAAAGAGCTTTTTCTAATCCCTGCCAACCGGTACCGTGTTATGCTCTCCGTCATGTCGCAACTGCTTGGCCAATGGTCTGGCGCAAACAGCATCACGATATACGCCCCCGAGTACTTTGAAATGGTTGGACAGACTGGCACAGAAGAGAAGCTATTCGCCACCGCCATTTTTGGCGTTGTCAAGTTCGTATCTGCCATGCTCTGCGCCTTCTTCCTGATCGACTGGATCGGCCGCAAGCGCGCATTATACACTGGTATTTCGCTCCAGGCCTTTGCAATGCTATACATGGCACTCTTCCTCGTCATCGACACAACTGTGGATGACGAAAGTATTCCTCAGAGTCCATCACAAAAACGGGCTGCTATTGGAGCCATTGTCATGATATACCTGAGCGGTTTCGGATGGGCTATGGGCTGGAACAGCATCCAATACCTGATTAACTCGGAGATCTACCCTCTACGCCTGCGTGCCATCGGTGGCTCACTCGCCATGACTGTGCATTTCGCAAACCAATACGGTAACTCCAAGGCTGTGCCAAGCATGTTCACCGGTCTGACAACTGGTGGAACCATGTTTTTCTTCGCCGCCATCACTTGTATTGGCCTGATCTGGGTGTACTTCTTCTTACCGGAGACCCAAGGCAAGAGTCTCGAAGCCATGGACGCTATGTTCTCACTCCCATGGTACCTCATCGGCCGCAAGGGCGCTCAAATGACCCAGGGCATTGGAAGCACTGCTGAGGTCTACGGCATGGACGAAAAAGTGCCTGAGATTGAGACGTTGGAAAGAATTCCATCAGAGTCTAGGGAGAAGCGTGCAGATGCATGAAAGAATTATTTCACTGTATATGACGCTTGATATAGAACATAGTTTTCGAAAGTATGATGAAACGAAACAACAAAAAACTAGAACGCTTCTTTATGTTTGTGCCTTGTTGCCTTGAATTATGTGGGGGCCGCGCCTAATGCCACCTCTCCCAGAGTCCTTGCAGTTCATCGCAATATGTTCACGTTGCTGGATGTCATTCATAACTCATTACGTCTCTAGCCTATAACTATTCGAGAAGTCACTGGCACTCAACTACGACGTTTGTGTTCGTCATGCTCGTCATTCGAATCACCAAAGACGTGACACAGCTGCAAAATTTATCTGGCAGTCAGGCGAAGGGCGTCTCCGTTGCGCTGACTTATCGAGATCAATTGTCATACAGTTTAGCATGACTGGTGACGGAATTAGTCACATTCACTATGTACTGTCACATCAGATACCGCCTCAAGTAACCACTGCCACAGTCGTAATACGCGATGCTCATGAGAGTTATTCTGCCGAACAAGTATGTGCTGACTGCCAGCATCTATCAGGTGTGCTTTCCACAGAAGCACTGAGAATAGATGCAAGGCTGCGAACATCCAGAACCATAGCAGACATCCGAGAAGGTGCGTTGCAGGGTTGTAGACTGTGCAGCATCTTCATGGGACAGTTTGACACGGTCGCGAAAGACTTACTGGATGTGCATCGACGAAAGCGCGCTCATATCACGACAAGATACTATGAAGACGACGGTCATGTAGCGATGACGTTTCGGTGGAGAAGTGATTGTTGGCGAGCGCTGAAGATCAAATCTTTCACTCCGTTTCTGTTTCTCAGAACCACATGTACGTTTTTGTGGCTGGTTCGATGAGGGATATTGCTGACTCTTTTTAGTACCATCACTCGGACCCGGTGTGTGGCCTATGTCATCTCATACAGATAACGACACGACATGGAGCATAGCCAGACGATGGCTCTCGCAATGTTTGGATGGCCATTCAAGGTGTGATCTTGCCAGTCCGTTTCGGAGACTGCCATCACGGCTCATCGATATTGGAGACTCTGAGGAGGGCATATTTCCACGGCTATGCGCAACCCAAAATCTCGATCCCCAGACGCCTTATTTTACCATGTCACATTGCTGGGGCGGCTTAATTCCCTCACGTCTCTTGAGTTCGAATCTGCAGGAGTATTTACAACAGCTTCCACTGCATTTCATATCTCTGAAGTTCAGGGAAACAATGGCATGTGTAAAGAAGCTTGGCTATAGGTACATATGGATAGATTGTCTCTGTATCATGCAAGACTCCGCGTCAGACTGGGCAGCGGAATCGGTCTATATGGGAGACTTTTACCGGAATGCGCTGTGTAATATTGCAGCAAACAACAGCGATAGCTATGAACACAGTCTATTCACCACCCGAAACACACTTGCCATCGAACCTTGTTATGTCAACGTCATGGAAAGTTCAGGGGTTACGTCGGCATTCTTCTGCATCACAGCAGACATCTGGAGTCGTAAAGTAGCTGAAGGACCGATAATTCGACGTGGCTGGGTCGTTCAGGAGCTCGCACTGGCTCCTCGCATCTTGTATTTCGATCAAGATCAGCTTTACTGGCAATGTCGTTCTTCGAGAGCATGTGAACAGTATCCTGAGCATGACTTGTCCCACAGCGAGCACATCACCTTCATACCGCAGGCTCCCGTGTCCAGCGTGTCACACACCCCTTGGATGCTACAGAGTGATATCAAGGCTGATCGAAGATCGGAACGGGCGGAGCTTGAGCCAGGTTCAACGTGGCGTACGATCATGGCACGATATAGTGAATGTGCTCTATCTTTCGAGGAGAAGGATAAGTTGATTGCAATCTCGGGCGTAGCTCGTAGGTTTGGTAGCGCATCGGAATATTTCGCCGGAATGTGGAAGGCTGACCTGCCTATATCACTGCTCTGGAAAACATATTTGCAATGGCGAGGTGGTGGCTCGAGAAGAAGACTTGCTTCAGGGACGCCTACTTGGTCCTGGGCTTCCATCAGCGCCACGTTGGACTTTCCTGACACAAACAAGAGCAGGCCCGACATGGTAGTAGAATTGCAAGACACGCCCTTCCCGTCGTATAAGGCAGAAGTCATCGAGGTTTTCACACAAAAAGACACAGACGATCCTTTCGGACAAGTTTCCAAAGGGCACATATGCCTCGACGGAGCGCTCACAAACCAGAAAGTGAACCCGTTACCGAACCCACGCAACGACTTCCTCAACGGCAGAGCAGACCGATACTCCGATGGCGAGTTTGTAATCGCGTGTCAGTTCGACAGTCCGACCGACACAATGTCTCCAGGCGTGTACTTCTTTCTCGTCGGCGATGCATACATACATCCAGGCGGATGGATCACAGCCGGGCTTATGTTGCAGAGGACGCTGTCCAAAGGCGAATACCGCAGGCTAGGTGTCTTTTGGATCAACCCTGGTCCAGATCTTGCCATAAAAGGGTACGATCAGAAGCGCAGCATGGCTTCCTTCATGCAGAGCTGCCGTGGCTTTGCGGAAACGTCCGACACGACCGAGTGGCTTGAGAGAGGGAGGAGACGGACACATTCCTGCACAATTAAAATCATCTGAGATGGACGGAGTTAGCAGTCTCCTATTCCGATAGCTTGGAGAACTACATAAGGGGCCGTGACTAAGGTCGAGAACGAATGAATGTGATCAATATCACTACTTCGATACAAGTCGCAATACTCAGACTGCAAACAACGCACCCGAGAAGTCTGACATAGCCTATCCCGCTAAAACCTACTGTATAGCAGTAGCAGCTTCGCCATCGTCGCCACGGACAGACTCCATCATCCTCATCCGCTCTTTTCTACCCTTTTGGATGGACATGCTCATCTTCACCGGGTGAACGCCTGGAGTCTCAAATACAGCATCAATCTCCTCCAGACTCAGATTGCTCGTTTCCGGAAACACAAAGAATGCAGCTATGAGCTGAAACAAATTGTACGCAATGTATACTGTCCAGATCTTGTACCCAATCTTTGCTATCCCGATGGAGATGCCGTATGCTTCAATAGCGCCTGCCGCACCTTGAATCAGACCATAGAGGCCCATCCCTTTTGCGCGCAGCGGAAGCGACAGGATTTCTACGGGATAGAGATTGTGCATTGTGGCGATGAAGAGTGCAGAACAGACTTGGAAGATAAACATCCAAACGATGGTCAGTACTGACGTGGCCTTGGATCCAGTGACAGAGTACTGCCAGGAAGTTATAGTCGCGAGCGTCTGCATGGTGATGACGGATACGAGGCCAGCAAAGATGAGAGTGCGTCGCCAGAACTTGTCAACCAGGAATGCGCCTATCGACGTGAAAACGAAGTACGTCGCTGTAAGCCCCAGATTGATGCCTAGCTGGTCGATGCTCTTTGTAATTCCGACCGTTTCCAAAGCTGGCGTAGAATAGTACGACACGATCGAGCCCCCGTTCCAGGACTGGAAGCAGGAGTATAGGACGAGGACAAGAAGTCTGTAGCGTACGATCGAAGTCGCGAAGACTCGAAAGTCCCAGGCCGCCTTGAAACTTGTCCGAGTCGTCTCGAGCGATTCTTCGATCTGCGCCAGAATCAGCGCGACGATTGGCTCGTCCACCGAGCCAGACGTGGTCTGGTATCTCGCGATAACCTTCTTTGCCTCCTCGCGTTTCCCTCGCTGTACCAAGTATCGGGGTGACTCTGGAGTAATGAGATATATGAGCGAGCAGACGATCAACGGAAACAAGCCTTCGAGGATCAATGGAATCCTCCAAGCCCAGTGACTGCCAATAGTCGAGAACCCAATCAACGCAGCATTCATCGCCATACTGCCAACCTGGAAGCACGCGCCAAAGATACCAACCAGCCGTCCACGCAGATGCACCGGCGCAACCTCAGCCATGTACTGCGGACTCGACATCAGCGCCGACCCAAACCCCAGAAAAAACCTCCCAGCCATAAACGTCGGCATATTCGTCGCCAGTCCTTGCATAAGCGCCGCAGCCAACACAATAAAATTCCCCAAAAAACTCACCCCGCGCCGCCCGATCACATCAGAGAGCGCCAGAAACGGCGCGCCGCACACCGTCCCAATCCTCATCAGCGCATTGATCGTCCCAAACGTGCCCCCGCTCGTCCCGAAGCCGAAGTAGTCGTGCCAGAGCTGAAATGCGTTGATCCCGCCGATGACCGCCCAGTCGACCCCGTAGCCGGCTTGGTTGCAGCCTTGCACGAGCATGACGCCGCAGATACGCAGGCCGGTTAGGGAGCGCATGTTCATGGACTGGCGGGACAGGTTCATGAGGTCTTCCTCTGTGATGCGCTGTACTACGACTTCTTCGACGTGGACTGCGCTGAACTTCTCCTCCGCCGCCGAGACGCCGCGGTCCATGGCTTGCCTGATTTCTCGCATCTTGGGATTGAGTTATCTGGGTGTCTGGGATTATGTTAGCGAAGTCGTTGCTTCGACGCATTGAGTGTGGTCAAATTACCTACCTGTCTCAACTTGCTCTTCTAGACACAAAAGAACGCGGGATGCAATTCCAAAATCACCACTCATACAAGATGAAAATCCAACACACGTCCAACGTACTGAGCAGAAAGCAATGGCCGCTCTCTAAAACTAAGCGCCAGTCCACTATTGTAGCAAACAAAACTCCGCGTCTCCGCATCCGTCAACCCTAAAAGACCACATCACATATACCCCTTCTCGCAGGCAGGTCATACAGAATCTTCCGCAAGCCCCGGCATGTACAACCAGACTAGCAGCACGGTGTTACACGACCGCGATGCTCGGCACAGGGATCATTTGCGGGGTTGAGATTTTCCCGTCCATACGCTATCTGAACAGTCTGTTCTGCTTGAGATGTAGTGCATCCGATATGCGCGGGCGCGCGCGATATATCCGCGTGTTATACGTTATCGTTGAAGGGACTTGGTTCTGGAAGATTTGGGTTACGGGTTCCCTATACGCCCATGGGTAGTCAGGTCTTAATCTGATGATTCTCCTTACAAGGTCCTTCAGGCTAAATGGGTTCTAACGGTCCAGCAGGTGGGCAGGGTGCATTGTCGAGATTTTGAGGCAAGGCAGGCTTTTGGAGTTTTGATTTCACATGTCTATTGCCGCGATGACGGTGTCAGTGTGCAGAGGACGAGAAAGACGATTTGGAACGCCATACATCCCCTTTTTTCACGGTTTGCTTCCCTACGTACCTGAGGTTTGAACCAAAATTGCTCCGAAGGTCATTCAATACTCATGTCTCCCTTCCTATCACCCTCCTCCTCCCCCACTCCCTCGTCCCGCGCCTCCCGGATCAAATGACCGAAATAGTCGCGCAAAAAGTACGCCGAGCGTTTCGGATACCGTGTCTTCTCCGCGCTCTCAAAGTCGACAAACGTGACCCCGAACCGATCCGTGAAGCCGGCCGCCCATTCTGGCATCAGGTCAGCACAACATTTCCACTTTATATCTTGCCTTCCCCCCGATTTTGGCGGCAAGGAGATTGAATGCACTCACCCCAATTATCCGTAAACGTCCACGCAAAGTAGCTGCGCACGTCGACGCCATCGTCGCGTACCGCCTCGGCAAGCTCCGTCAGATAGTCCCTGAAAAACTGCACGCGGAAGCTATCGTCCAGCACGCTCGTCTCCGGCGCTCCACTACCATCACTACATTCGCCCTGCGCCGTCGTACCGTTCTCGGTCATATAGATGGGCACCTTGTACCGCGCCCATATCCACCTCAACAGCGCGCGGAAGCCCCACGGACACGCGCGCAGCCACGCCGTATCAGTCTCCAGACCCCGACTCTCACCCGCTCTGTTCTGGTCACACTTTTCAATATTCCCGCTATGATCTGTGATGTCAGGTGGCTCGACGCGATGCCGCACATAGAAGGTTGTGTACGTGTTCATGCCGTAAAAGGCGGAGCTGCCGCGCACGAGCTGGCGCTCCTCGGGGGTGAAGTCCGGCAACCGGGCGCCGAGCTGGGCGCGCATGGAAGGCGGATATGCGACGGGGCCGGAGCCGTACAGCGGGTCGGCAAACCAGGCGATTTCGAACTCGAGTGCGCGCTGGGCGGCGGCGGTGTCGAGCGGGCAGGACGGGTCCCAGGGGGCGGAGTAGTCTCCGTGGAGGGTGATGGCGATGGAGCCGTGCTGGACCGGGGCGAAGGTGGAATTGTAGAGTAGGGCAGCGCGGGCATGGGTGACGAGCTGAGTGTGGGCGACGATGAAGGGCTCGGTGGAGGAGTCGCCGGCTGGGTTGCGGTCGCGGAAGGAGGAGCGGGAGGGCGCGTGGACGCCGGCAGCGTAGCCGGCGAGGGCGTAGACGCCTGGCTCGTTGTAGGTGATCCAGTGCGTGACGCGGTCGCCGAAGCGGGTGAAGCAGAGGGCGGCGTAGCGGAGGAAGTCTGGCGTGTAGGCGGCTTGGTTGAGCATGCCGCAATAGCGGTCTTCGAGGGCTTGGGGCATATCCCAGTGGAAGAGCGTGACAAAGGGCGTGATGCCATTCGCAAGGAGCTCGTCGATCAGGTTGTTGTAGTATTCGATGCCTTTTTCGTTGACGGGATCGTTGGCGCCGCCAAGGGGGATGATGCGGCTCCATGAAAGGCTGAAGCGGTATGCGTTCACGCCATAGCTCTTCAAGAGCTTGACGTCGTCCTTGTAGAGATGGTATGAGCGGACTGCATCGTCTGGAGTAGATTCATCCTTGACTCGAGACGGTGAGGCGTGCGCGAATGTGTCCCAGATGGATTCTCCCTTGCCATCAACGTTCCAAGCGCCTTCGACTTGGGAGGCCGCAGTTGCGTATCCGTAGAAGAAGTCGGAGCGCAGAGCCCCTTTTACGGCGGATTCGCGAGGTGAGTCAAACGAGAATGGTTCCGAGGAGGCCATTGTCGAGGAATGGTGGACTGGCACGATTGGCCGGAGCTGAAGTCAGTCAGCGTATAACGACAATCGCTGACGACCGACCGCGCAGCATTCACGACCTCAGATAGATCACAATAAAGTACACTGAGAGCTGACGAAGAACGCGGGGAACCCTTCACTGTATTATGTTTTGATAGGTGGAACATCTCGCGATCCCTGCTGCTGTAGCTGTAGCTGTCTGAACATCGTAACTTCCTCTCCTCCATCATACGTCGCACATGTGAATCGCATCAGATCGAACCTTTCCTCGACGAGAACAACACCAGCAACATCACTCCGGATATGAAGCTCGTGTGTTTACCCTTTCGGTTCGTCGGCTAGTTTATGTCTCCATTCGTGCTTTACGAATATAGCATCATGAATTGGCGAGGAATGTAGAATGCAGATACTCCTGCAGATGTCAGCATAGATCCGAATGGACGAAAGGTCTTTCAATACCATACTGTACATAAAGTCACAAGGACCCATATCCAGCCCACTACTCGCAGTATCCCGCAGTAATTCACTACTGATGAGATTCCATCTATCTCACCCCATGTCTCCAAGTCTCCAAGATTCTAAACCTCTAAGCTTCTAAGCCATAACAACACTCGATTCGTATCAGCGGCCTAGCATGTTGTACTCCAAAGCAGTGCCGTTCTCGACATCCGTACTTCCTTGCTTTCTTCTTTTCTTGCCGGCTGGGCGCGCAAGTAAGTACGTGATATCATTCGATATCCGAAACGGATGTTCACCCAGCCTCGTGGTAACTGGACGGCAGCGGTAGCGGCGCGAAAAGCGTGTAGACTGCATCCGACACACCTGCCTACCTGCCTGCCTGTCTGTCTATCTATCTGTCTGCACATGCAAGGGCAGGGTCAAAGTCCAGGTCAAGGACATGCACCCCTGTCTATACACAGCATCCCGCCACGAGCCACCATACCATGCGATGCCATGAGGACAGCACGTTGCCGTGTCTTACAATACCATGGAACCATATATATGTGCAGGTTATTGACAGGGCAGTTAAAGATAAGAATCCCCTAGTCCCTGCCTTCGCTCGTACATGCGGCGGTGTTTTGGAATTATTGCTGGTAGTGGTGTAGAATGAAGGCAACGGAAGAGAGCGGATTATTAAGACGAAGAAGAGGCAAGCAAGTAAGTAAGAAAGGCTGGAGGATGGACAGGCTAGCAACAAATCACGAATACATACATACAAGGACAGTAGTAAATTTAAGCGTCTTGGTGTTGTATATAGCAAATCACAAAGCGCAAGGCATGTCTTATACATCACTCAATCCATGAAAGAATCACAAACAACACAAAAACATACTTACCGCGCAACGACTCACTTGATTGAATCGCCAACAACACAACCACTTACTCAATCAAACCACCAACAACACGACACTGTACCTACCTACTTAAGTACCCAATGCTCAGCCCATATTCAGTGAGTGGTAAGACAGCGTCATAGACATGGCCATCCACAAGGCTGTCCTTGCCTTGCCTTATGCTACCTTATCCTACCTCCCCTTGCCTTATCCTATCTTATCCTACCTCCCCTCACCCATGCTGCCCATGCCAGCCCCTCGCATCCAAATCAACAAAGCACCCCCACCATCACATCACATCACATCACGAAGCCTGGTATATCCATGCGTGGCCCCTCCCCACAATCCACCAAAACATCATGCTGGATTCACATGCTCACATGCTCACATCCTTACAATTCTCAATCCTGCTGCCCCTCAATCCTTACGTGTCCCCGGCCCCTCCATCCCCGCAATACGTGCATGTATGCCCGCGTACCTCGACAAAACAAGGACAATACAAGAACAAAAACAAGACAAGAACACGAGCACGAAAAGATGACACGAGGCCAAGAGGAGAAGATGACACGAGATGGGTCAGTACCCATGCCCATGCTCATGCCAATACCCGTGCCCGTGCCCGTGTCCATGGCATTGACAGTGGCAGTGGCGGTGGCGGTGGCGGTGGCTTGTCCAATGCATCCATCCAATTCATTCATTTGGCTGGTAAGTCCAGAATCGGCAGCGGCGGAGGCGGATGCGCGCATATACCCGTTTTGGGTTGGTATAAGGTATACTGTGTGCAGGATGGAGGATACTGACTAGGGGACGGGGGACAGAGGATGCGGTGTACAGTATGGAGTATACTCTGTACAGCATTAAGGGTACCGTAGAAGTATACAGCAGATAGTATATAGCAGATAGTATATAGCAGATAGTATATAGCAGATAGTATATAGCAGATAGTATATAGCAGATAGTATATAGCAGACAGTATAGAGCAGACAGTATAGAGCAGACAGTATAGAGCAGACAGTATAGAGCAGACAGTATATAATATATAATATACAACGCACAGTATAAAACATACAGCTGACGACGACCAAACGCAATGGCGTGCGTGGGTGTGTTCTTGAAGGTGGTCGTAATGTAGACGTGGATGTGGACGTGGACGTGTTCGTAATGCGGGCGTGGGTGAGCCTGTAGGGATGAAGATAAGCATGGATTCGGATAATCATTGATATAGATTTATAGACATGGAGATTCAGCATAGATAGCAACCGGGCAGACGCGTGAGCAGAGCAGCGCGGGGTAACATGATAGAATATAATATAATATGATATAATAGCGACCAGGGCAGCTGGGATTATGTATGGCTGAGGGATGGACGAGGAATAGATGGATGACTGGATGGTGGAGTGAGGGTGCAGCGAGGGTGGAGTACAGATGTACCTGGCAGGGTGCAGCAGAAATTACGAATGCCAAAAGGGCAATGACTGCATTTGCATGTTGCATTACATGAGGTACTGGACGCATGATGACTGGCAGCTGGATAGATGTGTGGATGTAGGGATGTATGGATGGCGAAGTGCATTTGCAGCAGCAATAGAGCCGCGCAACCAGCTACTGAAATAGCAGTAAGTGCATAGACAGTAAATAGCAGCCGCCAAAAATCCCCACTCACGCATCGCTGCGGCACAGTTCGACCGAAACCACGATCCGTCCATCCATATATATCCACGCAGCGGCTACAGAAACAAACACAATCCCAGCATAACACAGCCATTATTTTCGTTTACTTTGGTTGTATCAGTTGGCTGCGGCTATGCTTCTTCCAAAGGACAGGACAGGGCAGGGATAAAGTGTCTTGGCAGTTGGAGAGAAGCGCCGCCCTAATGCGAGGGGTTATGATGATGAGCATGCTGCATGACGAGCATGAGACTGCGTGGTGGTGCGTGGATGGTACAGTATACGATTGCTGGGGGTTTGTGTGGTGTACGGGTGCAGGGGATGTGTAATGCATGAGGTAGGGATACGGGGGCGTGGATGGTTGCATGGGAACGAGCATGGTAGATAGGCAAAGAAAGAAGCATGGCATACAAGCATGCCATATTATCACAATAAACCTCGATCACAGCACCCAAGCAAAAGTGAAAAAAAAGTAAAGAAAATCGGTAAATCAATTCAGGGTATATATATAATCTAACATCAGATCCACCAACCTCTCCCGTGAGTGCCCTTGAGGCTCATCGTCATCGTCCCCTAGCCTAGGTATAGAAAAACCATTTCAATAAAACAATCACCCGAGTTGCGCCAGTGAAAATGCATTACATGCCGAACACTGTGTGTTGGCGATCTTCTTGAGTCCATAACGGTAAGGGGGACGAGGGTGGGAAAAGCGCTGGGATATTACAATGGTGTTTTGTTGTTGGTTTGTTGTTTGTTGTACAAGGGTGTGTTGTGTGCGTGTATGTGTATTGATGTTGTTTGTATGTGTATGTGTATGTGTATGAGAATACAGCGAGAGAGGCCGATCCTGCGGGTCTTTCGGAAGGGTAATGTGGTCGTCGTCATGAAAGGTGTCGTTGCTGTTGGTATAGGTAGGTGTGGGAGGTAGAGCGCAGCAAGCAAGCAAGTAGCCTCAGGCCGCCAAACGTGGTACGTGCACACGCCGTAATAGCAAATAGCGCTACATTAAGTTTGATTGAACGCGCGCACGGAAGACCCGATGAGGCAGCGCGAACGATGAAAAGAGCCCATTACTCGCAACTGCTGCACCTGACGTTCGCGAGTCGTAGAGCATTGGAAGGCTGCTAGAACGTTTTTAAGCTTTTCGAACGTTTGATGGACGGGCGCGCTATGAGAGTTTTGCCATGTGGTGTCTGTTTTCGAGTCGCATAGGTAGGCATGCTGGGAGCGAGGCGTGGGTGAGTGCTGATTCGTGCACTACCATATGCGTGGCTTGGTTCGAAAGCTTGTTGCTTGATTTGGATCTCGATACGATTTTGTTGCTGTTATGCTGCTGTTTTGCGCGGATTGGAGGATTGGATGGGTGTGAGAATAGGCTTTTATCGATTCATGTTGCTTTTTTGGTTTGTCTTTGGTAAAAGGCGTGGTGGTTGATGAAGAGTAGAGGCCACTTTGGTGTATCCGGGTCTAAGTAGTCGTATAACTGTAGGAGTGACTTGGAGATGGCCGATAGAGGGAGATGATGTAGTGGTTGTAGATCAGGTTTGGTTGGCGTATGTGTGTATGTAGTATTGTATGCCAGGCCCTACTTTGGGATTGCTGGTAGAGGCCTTGTTGGCGGAGGGCCTGGAGGAGGCGGCAGTTGAGATACGGACATTGTAGACATCATGTTTATGTGAAGAAGCTGGTTGACTGACAGTGTGTGTCGAGAGTCGTACTGTTAAGTAGCAAAGAGGACTGTGTAATAGAGTCGTGGCCGAATTGGTCGTTGGATATCGAGCAGAATACGTGTCAGCAGAGGGGAGCGGCTTGGGGGTATTTATGTAGGGAGATTCGGAGAAGAAAGTGAGTTGAGAAAGGAAATAGTTTAGTTAGCCAGGGCTTGGTGGAACTGCAGAACATGTCATACACAGTCATCCAGGCTCGGATCGTGAGAAGTGCAGACAGGGGAGAGGGGGAGGGGGGGCCCCCCCTGGTCTGCGTTGAGGTGTGAGGTGAGTGAGCAGACAGAGCGGGGCGGCGTTGAGTTACAGTACGTACGCAGACGCAGACGCACAGGTACAGGCACAGACAGGCACAAGCACAGGCACAAGCACATACGTACACACGCACACACACGCAGGCAGGCAAAAGGCAGACGTGGAAAAGGAGAAAGGAGAGATTGATGGCTTGGGGCTTGCCGGTGGAGCGCAAGGGAGGGAGGGATGTGACAAGGCTGGCGGCAGAGGCAGAGAGAAGCAGAGGCAGCTTGTCCCTGGGCGGTGCATGCGCCGAACGCCCATCGCCCATCCATCGCCCGTCACCGTCACCGTCGCCGTCACCGTTCCAGCATATATGTGTGTGTGTATGTGTGTGTATGTGTGTGTGCGCATCCTGATAATTCCTCCATCATTCACCCCCCACCCCCGTTTCATCTCCGCCCGCGGTGGTCGGCTGATTTGTTTGGGCGGCCTGCGACAACACCGAGCATACACACCCTCCCTCCCCCCTGGTTTCCTCTCAGCTCTGTTCTGGCCGGGGTCTTAGCTTTCCAGCGTCAAAAATAACCATGACCACCTGAACTGAAATGTGTGTTTGAATGATGATGATGATGCTAGCGCTCTCCGATCATCGCAATCGGCCATCTCTCCAGACTCCAGGAGCCGGTACTTGGGTCGGAACATCCAGGTGTGGATGCTATGGCTTGCTGTTGGGGGGTTGGGTGGTATTAACAGTCCTGTGGTTCATAACTCTCCGTACATCCAGACAGATAGTAGTCCCCATTCTCATGTGAGAGTATGGGAGAGCCAGGCCAGACGGCCAAAAAAAATCCGATATACCGCAGCGGTAAAACACAGCAGGAACAGGAAACCAGAAACATGAGACTTGACAGGCTGTGGCGGTGAGGGACACATACACACACACACACACCACAAAGCTGGCACTGCTGGCACGCTGGCACGCAAGGCACGCTTCGTTCCTTGTTGTTTTTTGACGCCGGCGTCCGCCACACCTACTTACTACCACTACTCCTCCTGACTACTAACCTCTAATTACTACTACTGCTAACTCATTTGGAGATACACTGTAACCTAGCTAAGAATACCTAGGCACTTACCCGCAAGGCTAGCGCCCATTCCATTTCTGGGGCGTACGTTGACGCGTCGTCAAGGACGGGCCAGGAACAAGAAATGATCGGCCCATTTGCTCGCGAAACGAGCGCTGTCGCACATGGCCCATCCCTGTGCTGGGAATCCCAATACGATTATGATGAGTATGATTATGGGTATGATTATGATTCACAGAATGAAAAGAAAAAAAAAAGACAAGGAAAAAGGAAAGGAAAACATAATGGTAAGATTCCTCCTCCCCCTGCTAATCCCCATCCCCATCCCCGTCCCCAACAACAACAAAAATGCTAAAATTGTCTGTGGGACTGCGGTCAAGCAAGCGCCGAAAAAGAATAAGGGAAAAAGTCTATCTTTGTCCTGGTCCTCCCTGGATAGGGCGTGTGTGTGCGAGCGCGCGGCTAAGAAGCACCCAAGAACATCCTTTCGGGCATCAGATTGCCCAAAGCGTGCGCTTGATCTGTTCTGCAACCTAATGACCGTTTTTTCTTGTGTTGCGGCGTGCGTCGGTGTGAGTGTGGCAAATGGGCACCTAATTTCCCCTTTCCTTTCTGCGCGATAGAGAGAGTCAACACGTCCCCCTTGGCACCGACCAACGGGAATAGGTTGGGAGAAGCAAGCCTGAAACTTTCTAGCTGTCTATCGTCTAATTAATTAATCAACAAGTCGCGCCCCGTCCGTCCGGCATGTCTTCTGCCGCCGTTCGAGAAGCGCTTCCATTTCATTCCAGCCATCCGTCCATTCATCCCTTCCGGAGACGCGCACGCCCGGCTGGTTACAGATCAGGACAGAGCGGGACCCCTTTTGTGCGCGCTGGTCAAACGTAGCGGCATTCCAGACGAGGTTAGTTACTTGGAGACGAGATGAGACGAGACGACATGCTGCGACGCAACGTGCGACACGAACAGGAGTTCGCCTGTTAGACCTCGTGATGCAGGTAGACCGACACACAGACAACGGACACGGCGTTTTTGCCACGCTCCATGCAATGGCATCACGAGACTGATTACTACACATAATGCAAAACAAGGAGCGCGAGGAGACATGACGTCTGGCGAAACAGTAGCAATATCAGTACCAGTTCCAATTGATAGATAGCAATATTAACAATTATTAATAGACAAAATGATAACCGCCATGTCCCGATCGGTGTGTCCGCCGCGACAAGCAAGGGAGATGCCTGGCCTGGCAAAGAAGGGTCTACCTACTGAGTCATAAATCGGTTTGCATCATTGAGGAGTAGTCCCACAATGAGATACATAGATACATCCAGCCAACAGGGCGAGACTGGTGTCAAATTGCCATGTGCGTGTCGACGACGCTAGGACCCCAAAGCAAGGACACGCGCCTCGGCCTCTTTGCTGCCCATGCGTGCATTTCTCTGGAGATTTGATGAAGAGAGACACGCCTAGAGATAGAGGGAGAGAGGGAGAAAGCCAAGCCACGCGATGACTTTGCTAATTAATACTAATAAAGTTGTCGGTACCGTACTCTGTACAGTGTAATGTAGTGTCGCCCAACGCAACGCTTCTGGCACTGACTGCTCACTGGCATCTCTGGCGCATCTGGCGCAGACCGTACAGACTACTATGAACGGGCGACATTCGAGGGGGCTCAGCGTAGACAGACTGGGATGGAAAATGACACGATCATCCCACGGCATGGACCACCAGCTAATCAAAAGGATCAGATATCAACACGAATTAGATATTTGTCAGTCCTGTCAGTCGCTCGTCAGCACGCGCGCGTGACGAGAACACAAGACAAGAAAGGGAAAAAAAAGAAAAAAAAAGTTATATTATGACATGGCGGAGTGCAGGGTGGCGGTGTGAACTGTGGCGCTCGATGGACACGTGGGAAAAATCTTCTGACCAGGGGCAGGCTGCATTGTTGCTTGGCTGGATTTTGTTGGCTTGGGGTTGGATGCATAGGTATCCATTCTCCAAGTAATTAATTAACTAATGAGTCCAGAGATGATTAGTCTGATGTCGTTGAACTATATTAGCCGAAACAGGGTAGTTTGATAGAGAGAGAGCCTCGGAGACAGGTACCATGTGCTTGTGATTGGCTGCTGAGGGATTACAGTATACACACACCCCCGGTCGTCTTCTACGTCTGTTTTCCTGCCGCTGCTCCGGCTGTCTGTCTCGAAGCTTGCTTCGTATTGTCGCGATGGCGAGAGAGAGCAAAGCTGATGTCTATCCATCTATCCTGCTCAGCTTGCGTCATCGTGTCGTGAGTTGCGGCCATTCATCATGATCATGCGCGCCTAGGTATCCCACATGGCATGACCTGATCTACTACTCACCTCAGCTGGCGTGGGTACACGAACTGTTCTCTCCAGAGATCCACACCCGTCCTATCCATACACACACGCTGCTGTGATACCAAGGTACAGCCATTCGCATTCGTACCTGACTACCTGCTGCACGCGTCATCTGAGGGTATTCAGCCGATCCACCAGCTTGCATGTCCTCTCTTCCCCCTGGTCCTGGTCCCCTTCCTGGTCCTGGTGCTCGTCGATCAGATCATGCAACATCAATCACAAATACTTGTTACTACGCAGTCCCTGGTCTGGTTCATGACCACACATTTCTTGGCCTCTATCGCTATACATATTCTCCGACTGAGCAGTGAGTCGCGTCAAACAGCATCGTCTCAGTGAGTGGAGTTGTAGGCCGATTATGGGGGCAGATAGATGACAGATAGAGGACAGATATCATATCCGCGCTCTGCCATTGGGGACAAACAGTGCCATAGCGCTCGTGTAAATTCCATATTCCGGCTAGCAATTCAACTATCTACCATAGAGATACAGTGCACGTTAGACTCGGCGTCGGTCGAGCTGAGGGTCCGTCCGGGGTACAGAATATCTCGCAGGATTATCACGCAGTTGCTCACTATAATCTATATAAAAGCGGTACCAGCTCTGGTTAGTGGTTCAAGCAACTGTAATAATAGGGCCGATTCTGCTCGAGCTTACCTCTCTCTACAGCAGTCACCGTACCTGACCTGATTCCGTACCTGGCATTATTAGGCCTCACACCTGAACTATAGTTCTCGACCCTGCCGACTCTCCGCAGATCTGCGGTCTTGTTGTTGTAATTGTAATATCAGTTGATCTCAACATACGTGCACAAATGCACCTTCACCTACATGGCCATTCACGAGCTACCAGACACACCCGGGATGTATGTATCTATCTGCAACACCATCTGTATCAATCTGCCTTTCTGGTGATCTGGTCGGAGCGCAAACCCGGAACGACGCGCCACCGCCTGTTATCGAGATAGCGAACAAAGAAAACACCCTGGCTAGTCCATCGAGATTTCTGCTGGTCGACCCCAGGTTGGGCAGACTGGCATACCGTTGCGCGAAATGAGCGCTTTGCACTACTCGGCATTGCACCGCATGGCATGGCATGGCATGACATCTGCATAACATTGCATATGCTCTCACCGGCCACAGTCACGGCCACAGTCACGCACCGCCCAGTCATCCGTCCTGCATCTGCGTCTGCGTCTGCTTCTTCTCCGCCTATCGTTCGCTCAATGTTCGCGGGGACACGCAGACGTAGATAGGCTATAGCTACGGCCGCTTGGATATGCCTGTGCCAATCCTCCGACATCTCGATCTCAACACCACCACCATTTCCCTCCGAATCTTGACTCACCTGTTTTCAAGGCCCAGCTCTGGCTCCGGCTCCAGCTCCAGACCAGCGCCCTCTGATGCTATCGTATGATCTTCTCGTCAGCCACCATATCGCGTTTGCTTTTGCTTTTGCATCTGATCGGACACATCATGCCCCTTTGCCAGTCCTCCCCCTCCCCTCCCCTTCCCCTTCCCCATCCCCCGCAATCCCTGTCGCGCGTCCGCGGTCTTGCGATCTGAGCTTGAAGCCTTGAACTGTCCGCGCCATTTTTACGAACTGCCGCTCACCAGATAGATAGCAACTCTCAGGCTTGCAGGTCTTGCAGGTCTTGCAGTCTTGCATAGACAGGCCACACTCGCGTCGGTCCGGTCAGCCAGAACCAGACCGTGCTTGTTATCTGTCCATGTACCTGTCTGACCATCTATCAACTATCTATCACCTATCATCCATCATCCAATCCCCCTCCCCAAAACACATGCCACATCCGGCCCAACGCAGAGAATGACATGCCATCATCCACCAGCCGTGCGAGCATCAGTGTCGGTGAAGAGCGTCAGCAACGAGCGGGATATATATCTGCAAATGTATAGTAGTCATCGTACAGACAATGATTGACACGGTCAAGTCTGCAGTCCTGCCAGGGTAAAGCACACCTCACCGGAAATGCACGCAAACGCATCACCATCATGAATCTATCATCAGTTCATGACCAGGAACGGGCCAGGAACAGAAACAGTATTAGCGGCAGGAACACCCGCAGCCTGCAGCACGCTAACCTCCTGGGCTCAAGCTGCCTGCTTATGTAACATTGCAGTTCGCGCACTTCCAATGCAGCATGCAGTTCACTGTAGCTAAGTGATCGTCGCCCGTCTAATCCATGATCCACTCCACACAACTTACTCACTCACGCAGCAGACATATACACACATTACGCACGTACAAACTTGACAGGACGGTGCCTGACATGAGATACTACTGACCGCTGACCGGACGTGACGAGACTCACAGCTCGCAGCTCGCAGCTCCAACCCGCACACGCATCCCACACGTCGTTTTCAGCCCTCGTACATAATCAGTCAGTCAGACACAGCAAAACAAAGCAAGCAAACAAAAAGCAAGCAGAACCCAAGTATACGGATAGACATAATCCACAGTGGCGCTTGTAGCCTTGTCAGCGGGTCGTTCCAGCTCGCCTCCACTCCTCAGAGCCCGCCAGGCTGTCTGCCTCTGCCTCCTCTTCTCCCCCCTCACCAATACTCAAGCCACGCAACGCCATGCCTGGACCCAGCCCAGCCCAGCCCAAAACTGGCCGAGGCGAGATTCCAGCATGCATGCTGAATAGGGCTGGCTGTTGACCGGTATCGTATATTTCATGTTGTGTTATGCACAAGACCCACCAGCCAGCCAGCCAGCTAGCTAGTATGCCAGACGAGTGATGTGCACCACCATACGGGGAATGCAGGAACGCCATCTGCCTGTCCGCGGCCGGAACCTTGTTGGCTAGGTCATCGTATCTCGTTGCTGCTGGTGGAGCTCGCTTATCAAAGAGTGGAGAGAAGGAGTGGGAGGGGGTTTATCAAGTCCCACAGTCAGATGGGGGGAGGTGAGTAGATGCCAGTGGTAGCGAGGGCAGGGAAAATCCGACTTGAGGCTGATGATGGTACGCGTGTTCGTGTGTGTGGGTGATCGGAGAATTACTCATGTCCGACAGGCCAACAATCCCCATTCCAAACTTTCTGTTGATGGCCACGATAGCATATACCCAGCTCGGCCGATGAGGCTCTGCCTGACACTGACACTGACAAGTGCACAAGCGAAGCGTCAGAGATCATGACAAGAGTCAGTATCGTTACGTGTAAAAACAGGAGGCTCTGCGGAACCGCCAGCCCGTCCCAGCGCATCAGACGGACGCAGCCTCTGACACTGTATGCAAGGCGCGTCGCATCTTGAATGAACAATTAATGTCTACGCGCGTAAACATCGATACTCAACTTTCCTCTGTCGGCCTTTTCTCGCGCCCGACCCTCCATCTCCTTTTCGCATCCACCCATAGACAATTCCAAAGAGTCAGTCAGGGCAAGGAGATGGCACGCGCACGCTCTTCTGCTGCTTTTGCTATATGCTATACGCGATTTACGTTTCGTCTTGCTATTTGCATTATCCGTATCCAGCTTAGCCACGGGGATCACCCGTCCCGTCTACCTGCCCACCAAAGTATATCTCTTCAATCGATCGGTCGATGATGATTACAATATCCAAAAGAGACATAGGACACACACACACCCACGAAGCGAGGCTGACTGACATCAGAAGGTGTCCTCGGTACCACCTCTCTCCCATATCCAATATGATTCACTCAGGTGCGAATCACGACTATGCACTAATTAGTCTTTCAAAATTCCCCATGAGGTACGACTCCCGAGCTACTACTTCACCCTTCTAACATCCGTCCCATGGATCGTTTCAGAAAGACCCTGGCTGGGACAATTCGTCGCCCCAAATCATCGTGAGGTGACCAATAGCCCCCCGGCGAGCCAGCCTTAACTACTACTGTATCCACAATCGATCGCGTAAGGCGTGCAAGGCTGCTAGTGTACCAGATTTGCGACAAAGACCCGCTTTTTTCCCCAGATCGATCCCCTATGCTGGGCTCTCTCTGCCTCTCTCTCTTTCTCTCTCTCTCTATGTCTCTATCTGTCTCTATCTCTGTCTCTGTTACCCGACCTGCTGGCCTGAACCATTCATCGTTTGCGTCCAGGTCCTCCACATTTCTCACTCTCGATCCCTTAGCCTTATCCATCACTTAACCTTATCCTCCATCCTTGTCCTGGTCCTTGTCTTCCTCTTCCACACCCGTCGCCCCACCACACATGTGACCCCTTCCCTCTACTCCCCTAAAGACAAAAAAAAGACCATGACAATTATATTATTCAAGGAAAATAAACGTCCCCCTCGAATCAAGAATCACCATCCCAAGGGGAGATGTCCGACTGTCCGACCGACGGACCGACTGTATGAATCTCTCCGTCCGCGGAGCGTCGTCGTAGTAGACCAGACTAGACAGACTACAGTTACACACCTGTCGAGTATCGTACGATCTTGTCTACGCGCGCGTCTTGTGAACCATGGTTTGCGGTCCTCGGGGCTGGGGGCTGGGAGCGCTGCTCTGGCCGTTGTGGCTGCTGTGACCGTTGTGGTTGTGGCTGTTGTGGTAGTGGCTGCCACTGTGGCGGCTGCTGTGGCTAACGGGACAAAAGCCGTTGTTGGTAGAGACTAGATTCGGGAGGTAGGTAGATAGATTTGTTGGTAGAGTGGGTAAAATGAGTGGGTAGGTTTGTCTGCTTGTCTGTCTGTCTGTCCGGTCGGTTGGTTGGTCGGGACCGGATGTTTGCCGCTCCGATGCCGCGGAGGTGAGGTTTGTTGGGATGCGGATTGGCGATTGGCCTTGTGCCTTGTGCCTGGTGCCTTGTGTGTATCGTATCTCGGTGCTGGGTGTGGCTGTAGTGCGTTGTTGATGGGTAGTTCCGACGAGATTGGGGGGTTGTTGGATTGGATTGTAGATCTTGGATCTTGGATCTTGGGCTGAGAGGAGGGGAGGGGAGGGGAGGGGGAGTGGTGTTCTTGTGATGGAGCTTTGCCATGTCTGCGTGGGATAGTGTAGTGTAGGGCAGAGTATGGCAGAGTGCAAAGACCTCGGCAGCAGCAGCAGCTTCATACAATCCATAATCCAATCATCCAATCATCCAATCATCCATCCATTCAGTCATCCTCATCCTCATCATCCAAATCCTTGGCCGCCGCCTGCGTACTCACCCAATTTTCGAGCATCTGCTGACTCGATGCTATCCCTACACTTGCACCAGCACTACCAGCACTACCACTCGCCGTCCTTCCTGTTGCTGCTGCTGCTCCTCCTCCTGTCTTCCCAGCTGGTCCGCTGCGCTTGACGACGAGGCAAAGGATGCGTCCGTAGATGCTGAAGCCGTCGTAGCGCGTTGCCGAGACGAGTTTTTTCTTGTCGTCTTCGTCGTCGGCATTGTCGTTGTCCTTGTCCCCTGTTGATTTGTCTTTTCTCTTCTGCTTCGACGATGTAGAAGCCGCCCCTTCAACAGCCTCGTCTTCCTCGGCGCTGGAGTCTACGACGAAAAGCGCATCGCCATCGTCTGTCGTGTCGCGCGTCCTCCTCCTCTTCCTCTTCCGGTTTGCATCTCTCGCCGCAGTATCATTATCGGGTATCGCATCTAGCCCTCCTTCATCCTCATCCTCGTCTTCTTCCTCTCTCCTGAGCCCCGGCACAGACACATCCGCACCCGAAAGATCAACCGGCCTATCCCTCGATCCCGCGGCATCTGCATCAGCGCCAGCCAACCAACCGGTCAGCTTCCCAGTATTACTAGTCAAACGCGACGGCGGGTTCGACGCGTATGTCTTCTGCGTCGTGAGGAGGGTGTGGCGCGTTGATGACGAAGGCGCGGTTAGGAAGAGGGATACTTCGAAGTCTTCTGTAGTTTTAGAGTGTATGGGTTAGCGTCTTTGCTGGTTCATGATTTCGAATACCGATATTTATATTTAGATAAAGAGTTCGGAAATGCAAAAGTTTCGCACCTCCCGAGACAACATCCTTGACACCGCCCTTTTTGCCCTTTGGTTTTCCAGACTTTGTACCACTGCCACTACGGCGCTCGTTTTCCTCGCGCAGTTTGGGCAGGACGAGGGGTTGGATAGCGGCGATGATGCGTGCGAGAGCTGAGTTGTTGTTGCTGAGGAGCCAGGATTCGCTGTGGGCGGGATTGTCGAGGTAGATGCGCACTTCGAGGACGGAGTACTTTGTGATGCGCAGGTATCGCCGGATTGGGGCCATTGAGGGTTGTTGGCGTGGTAGTGTTGTGGTAGTGGTAGTGGGTGATGGTGATGTCGATGATGTTATGGGGTGGAGCGGAGCGGGAGGCGGGAGCTTGGACCCTGGCGCCGGAAGATCTTCGTCATGAGTGACATGGGAGAAATTTAGGTGTGAGGCTGCTGCATTTACTACTCCAACACCGACCTACCGTTTCATTTGACTCCTCAGTCTCTATGATCAAGATTATATGATTCAGACGAAGTTTCGACGATAACCCAACTCCATTGCGGCCCAAGCGACTGCTCGCAAGATTCACCTCAGAGCAGCACCTCCGAACCTCCGCACTCCATCCCGCCGTCCCCTATCAGATATAATGGTGCTCGAGCTACACGTCTGGGGACCAGCTTTCGGACTCCCCTCAATTGACGCAGAGTGCATAGCTACCGCAGCTTTCTTGAATTGTACCCTGACAGATGAAGACTGGACGATATCAGCCGCGCACGATCCGGCTTCAAGTCCGACAAGTAAGAGCCGCGAGGAACACACTTCATATAGCCACGCACAAAACTGATCGTCGTACAGAAAGCTTTCCGGCGCTCAAGGATGGCGATCAATGGATAGGCGGCTACCACGCAATCGTTCGGCATATCAGGAAGCAACCGCGCCCGTCATCGCGACTTGACGAGGCTCTTGATGCTCAGCAAGAAGCCGACACCATAGCGTACGTCCTGACAATCCATCACAGTAACGCATTTTCATACATCCATTGACACCAACTCAGCTTTTCTGCCCTCCTCGAGCGCCATGCCCTCCCCCTCATCGACATAGCCCTCTACACATCCTACGAGAACTACTCCTCCACCACCCGTCCCGCATACACACGCATCCTCCCATGGCACAGCAACTACTCCATCCCCCCATCCCGCCGCTCCGCCGCCCGCTCACGCACCGCCCATCTCGGCCTCCGCTCCCTTGACGTCGACACAACCCACGACAGCCTCGATACAGGCCACACCACCATCTCCACGCCGTCCGCCCGCTTCGAAGCCGAGAAGCGCGCCGCGACCGCATCCCTCCAGCAAACCCCCAAACCCGCCTTCTGGAATCGCAACCGCACCACCCTCAACCAAGCCTTACTCACCTCCAAATTCAAGCTCGACGCCCTCACGAAATCGCTCCTCGACCCCCTCTCCGACGTCCTCGCCGAAAAGCCATACCTCCTCACCACCTCCCTTCCCACATCCCTCGACTGTCTTGCCCTCGCATACCTCTCCCTCCTCCTCTTTCCGCCCGTCCCTCAAGCTTTCGTCGCCGATACCATGAAGACACAATACCCACGCTTAGCCGCCTATACTACCCGTCTCCGTGCCTCGCTACTGGGCGGTGATGTCGACGTTGCCGCTGTACTCGCACTTAATGACGGCGTTCCCCCGAATACAGACGACGTCCGCCGTGCCCGCGCGTGGAAGATGCTGCAGCTGCCCTGGGTCCCTGCGCCCACGGCCTCGTTTGGCGCTGGCGTGTATAGCGTCGCGGGACAGGTGCTTGCGCAGCTGCCGTTTGCGGGTAGGTACCTGAACAGCACAGAGATTGTGCATGCGGACGCGGATATGGTCCCGGATTCGTCGCGTGGAAGTAACAGCATGCTTGCCGAGAATATATTCCACGTCTCCGCGGGTGTCCTGGCGGCTGTTGTCGCAGGCACGACGTATCTTGCATTTGGACATGCGCAGCAGCGGACGGATAATTTGATTTTTGAGCGCCAGAATGGGCGGAGACGAGGGGGTGTCGCTAGTGGTGGGCTCGGGGATGCAGGGGACTTTCTGAATACTGCATTGGGAGGGGGATATGGGTTGAGATATTAAGCTCATTGGGGAGGCTTGTGTAAGGATAGCGCCATGCGACGTAAGGTTGTTTTGAAAATTAAAATGGTTGACTGATGGATAGACATAGTCCCCATCTTTATAAGAAATCTAGATTGAAATCTGTGACTGATCGACTGACTACGCACGCTATAACGCTGTTGCTCTATTCATTTCCAAGCAATGGCACTCACATGAAAACAAGGGAGACAAGGAGGCGAAAGACAAGGAAAGAGAGCCCCCTCCCTCGAAGAAAAAATTCAATGGCGATTTCATAGCCCAGTAGAAAGTATATGCTCGAACATGGGCGTAGTTGTGGGGATATCTATATATAAAAACGGGTTGGTTGAATGGAGCTTTGGGGGAGGAAAGGAGTGTATGTATATGTACCTTTATGCCTTGTTTCTCGAAGCCTACGCTGCCGCCGGTGTAGTATTAGCCTTCTCATCGGCGTGAGCGTGGTGACCAAATGGGTTGTGCTTCTTGTCCTTCTTGTCCTCCTTCTTGTCCTTCTTTGCCTCCTTTTTACGCGCCGACTCGGCCATGAGCTCCTCGAACGCCATGAAGTCTCCCTGCTCCTCGGGGTCGCGCTCGGCCTGTTAAAGTGCTGTTAGTTTTGATTTGTGAAGAAGGCGAAGACCATACCTTTGCGAACATCGGCCCAATGAGCATGAGAGCCTCGGCGCGCTCGACTCGCTTCTCGAGCTTGACTGCCTTGTCGTTGAGCACCTTGTCGCACACGTCGCGGAGCACGCTCTGGATCTCCATCTTGCTGCCTTTCCATGCCGCTGTGAGGATGAGGCCTGTGATTTTTTTCTCGTGCTCGGCTTTCTTTTCATCTGTCCATTCGGCGCCGCCAGCCTCTTCAAGCTTGGCCATCTCTTCGATCGCGAGCGATGCATCTATTGCCGTAGACATGGTCCCAAACGTCTCCTTGACAAGCGTGCCCTTGTCCTTTAATCTGCTGAAGAATCCGCCAATCCCGAGGAACTTTTGCGACTTCAGGAATGCGGACGCTTTCGAGGTATAAGTCGTTCCGATCGCATGCAGAATCTCGATACCGAAACTTTCCATCTTCAGATTCTCAATCTCCAGGCGGGTCTTCTCCGTGAATGCTTTTGTGACATCCTTGCCCTTGTCTGTCTCAGTCCAGACGCTGACTCGATCGACGAGCTTCTTGGCCAGGTCATCTACACGCTCCTCGCGGATGCGCTTGCGCTCCATCTCGTATGCCATAAGCTCTTCGCGCTGCTCCTTGGTGAGACCGCGTTTTCGCTCCTTCGCGCGGAGCTCTTTCTCTTTCTCCGTCATGCCGGCGGCATCAAGTCTTGCCTCCTCCTCGGATCGATCCATAATCGCAGGCCTTATGGGCAACGCGCCATGCTGGGGAGTGCTCGCGCCAGATCTGCTGGGTACGGCCTGTGGCTCTGGAGCTAGACCAGCACTTTTTGGTGTAGATCCAGCTGTTTGTGGGGCAGTAGGAGGCACGATGGGCTCCGTCTCTGATACGGATGGTGGAGGAGGGGCAGCGCTCGATCCTGTTGTCGACCCAGCGGGTGTGGCAGTAGAGTCTCCAGTACTGGACTCTCCGGTTTCTGCGGTCTTTACTTCACCAGCAGGCGCCTCTCCCGCTTCTTCCATCTCCCGCATCTGAATTTCCATGGTCTTTGTGAGGTCCTTCATGAGAGAGATCTCGCCAATCCTATGGCAGATGGGTCAAAAAGACTGTAACAAGTCACATCGGGCACTCCATACCAGTCATTAAAAGCCTCTCCTCCGAATATCATGCCGAAGAACTCTGACGGGTCCTCTATAGTCCTGTATCAGCAATACAATCCAGCACCCTGATGCTCGGACCACAAACTTACCGAACCCACTATGAGGCACCGCGCCTTCTTTCCCGAACTTGTCATATTGCTTCCTCAAGTTGTCATCGCTAAGGACCTGATATGCCTCGCCGATCTGCTGGAACTTGACGTGGGCCGTCTCGTCGCCGGGGTTCTTGTCGGGATGGAGCTTGATCGCGAGTTTGCGGTACGCTTTCTTGATCTCGAGCTCGGTTGCGGTCGGTTGAACCCCGAGCGCATCATAGTATGCTGTATCGACTACCATGGTGGTATAGATTGAAAAATGGCGAAGACGTTGTTGTTGGCGGCGGGGTTGAACGCGAAGGAATTATTTGCGTTCGAGCCTAACGACGCTGCTGTTGCCCGGCGCCACCGCGTGGCTGAGGCGCATGACGTCGACCGACGCGACGCTTCATCTTAGATGATTTTCCCCCCTTAATTAATGCCAAGTTCCACCCACAAGGATAAGTTTGGTTTGTTTTGGTTTTCATATCGTGCAGATCTCCGTCACTTCAGGGTGGCTAGGTGTTAGGATTTTCGCCAAATCAAAAAAAGCTGACCTTGCAGTCTTGAAGAGCTCGGCTGTCCGATTCAACATAAAGTCTCCACCTAGCCAGATCTAAGCCTTTTCCACTGGCCTGGCATACCTTCTCGGGATCGCGAGAATTTTCACCTTGTCGCTCTCTACTACATCCGAAGATAGGTGATAGATTGACATTATGGTCCTGGCTATGTACAGCTCATACTTAAAACCTATAGCATACCGGAAGTGTACTCTACCGACTTAGTCTCACTATAATTGAAGAATGCCGAAGCTGGGCGCCTGATCATCCTGGCTGTTAGGAGATGAGTCTATTTGTAGTACTATGAAAGCTACTATACATCGATGTCCTTCGAGACGGCTCCCACCGACGATGTAGAGACCAATTTCGATGGCGCTCGACTCGCATTCGTCACAGTCACTAGTTCCTCTGAATGTCACCACCAGGCAGACACTCTGAAGACTCAGATGAGTGGTTTTCACGCATGATAGAATACATAGCAGGCATGAATTTAATACCAGGAGGTGAATTGAGTAAAGGGCATGCATTATAAGTGTAAGAAACCCAGGAGCCCGCAGGCTGCCCCCGACATGGAGATTCAGCAAGGGCTATCCCTCATTGCCTCTACCACGATCGACAACAGAGTAGCAGCAGAGAGTGTGACCTCCTTCGCGAAAGACTTATGAGCCGCGAACGCCTTCATGAGAAAGGCTACAGTCGATGGCCGAGTACTAGCATCTACGACAACCCTACGGACGTGAACACGATAGGTCTATTGCGAAGCATGAGGAGATATGCGTAAAACTGCCTACGCGAGCATGATACTCGTCGTCATCGTATGAGAGATCAGGCTCCTTATTATTTCCTATTGTCCAGAGTAAGTCGTCGCATTATATTTTGACACGCCATTGATGACAAAGAGCATGTCGTAGTGTGTTTATACAGGTCCAGCCAATAATCCGCGCTGAATCGCGAATCGAGGCCGAATCCGGCAAGCATTTCCTAAGATCCTATGAAAACTCTTCGGTTTTGTAGAACCTGTCGAACTCATCCATGGATTGGTTTGTTCGCAATCGGCAGGTACAGCCGAGATCCTTCCTTGCCCCTCGTTTTGTATACCATTGCAGCATACTCATACAACATCATCTGAATTATTCTGTGACAATAGCCAGTCTTCGATGTGTTTATCCAGTCTTCTGTGTTTGCTCGGTGCAAAGATGAGTGGGTATAAATATACTCCTTTGGCTTCTGTGCATCACATCAGGCTGCTCCGAATCATTCCCAGACGGCCGTGCGACATTGCTGTGCTTCCTATACAATGTATCCTCAAGCCCTTTACGTTCAACAAACCAAAGGATCTTTTCTGGAAGCTTGAGTACCGTGCTCTATCTTATACATGGGGCCCACCAGACCCCATCCATGAGATCCTCATAAACGGCCGAAAGACCACCGTGCGAGAAAATCTTTACCATTTCCTCCAGATGGCAGAGAACAGGGACTATGGATACCTGTGGATCGATCAGCTTTGTATTGATCAGGGCAACGTCTCGGAGCGAAGTCAGCAGGTGGAGATGATGGAGCACATATACTCCCAGGCCAGCGAAATCTTGATCTGGCTCGGTGAAATCAAAAGTGAAACTAAGCCAGTGCACGGCTGTCATCCAGAATGGAATACCTGTCGTACATTCATGAGAGTGCTGAATGTCCGGTATGATGAATTGAGCAGTGTTATAGCGTCGATAAGAAAAATGACTGTGCAAGATTCTCCCGATCAACTCTTTGTCCAAGAAGTCACGCAAGAAATTACATCCGGGAACAGCAATTTCTCAGACCATCATACAGTTTCAAAAGATGATCCGGGAGGCGAATGCGGGTTATCATGTGTTTTGGTCCACGCCAAGCCAGAGGACCAAGCCCTCACACTGTTCCTCTCATCACTCACACATATATCTGAAAGACCCTACTGGAGTCGCCTGTGGATAATCCAAGAGATATTCCTAGCACCTACCGGTTCTCTTATCACAGTTCTATGGGGTGACCATTGTGCCAAATGGCCGATGCTATGTGATATGGTCAGTCTTGTCCAACTGCTTGACGAGGACCTCCGTCCGTATGGCTTCAAGCTAGGGAGGTCAGGCTGTCACCTTGAGACTCTTGCCACGATGTACATGGAGAATAGACGCTCACAGCGTACACCCTGGGACAAATGGTCATTCCACAAAGCTCTACAGATAGTGGCAGGTAATGCGTTCCAGTGTGCCGACGCAAGGGACCGATTTTATGGCCTCCAAGGTATCGTACGGGACGATGAACGCGTGCCAGTAGACTATAGTCTTACGATTGAGGAGGCCTTTGTCAAGTACTTCCCAGGTATTGCCGCGCGGCATGTGTGGGAGAAGGAATTCACCGGGCAATGCGAATTGAAAGCTTCAGGGAAACATATGGATGAGAAGAGGATTCGCGAGGAGACGTCCAAATTCACCTTTGACTCTTTCCTCTCGATGAAAGGCGATTGGCCTGATCCTGGTCAGCTTAGCCGTGCGAAACTTGACGAAATCGTTGATGCCTGTCTCGTATCTCTGAGAATTGCCGTCGAGCAACATCCCGAACAGCCCCTATAAAAGGCCAACTTGTTGCGTCTAGGGCTACGAGGGAGGACTCTTAGATGATATATTGCGGACTGCTGGCCAGACGAGCGAAGCTACGAAATCCTTATATCAAGGACAAAGGAAATATCATGCGCGCTTTAGCTCATGAGCAGTTTTCTAGCACTACAGCCTTGTCATAGTACCAATTCTATCGCCAAAATAGCATTTACAGTAAGGAACGGCTCGGTAAAATAGCGATAAAGTGACGATCAGGCCGTATCTACTCCCCCATGATCATCTGCAATGGTACCAGTGTGGATTCCATGATTCTCATCAGCCAACACCTTGTCACGTCTGGCGCTCGGAGCCTTGGCAGCGATGAATATGCTAACCACAGCACCGAGGAAAGCGACAATAGTATAAAAGGTCCACATCCTACAAAGACTGTCTGTAATAGCCTCTTTCACAGCCTTTTGTGAACCTTCGGATAATCTCTCGACAGCTGAAGACGCCGAAACTGCGAACCCGGTAGAGAGAATCCCAGAAAGAGTATCCTCTAAACCCATATCCCGAAACATTTGAAGCTTCTTGTGCATGTCGTTCTGGAAAATGACCTGACCGACAATGATACTGATACCAGCGCTGAGCATACGGAGATACACAAAAGCAGAAGTACCAGTAGCGATGTCCACAGGTTTTAAATGAGCCTGCAAGGCAACAAGAGGGCCCTGGAACAATGGACCTATACCGCATGCAGCGATGACCTGGAAGAAAACCATTCGCGTATCGCTACGATAGGCCCTCCAGTCGATGAACAGACCGAGACCACAAGTCAGGAAAATGGCAGCTATCCAAATTGGCACTCGAAACTTTCCAGTTGAGAAGATGTAGAACCCAGGTACAACGGTAGAAATGGCAAGCGTGAACGTCAAGATAAGACCCCAGAGCCCAGACAGAAAAGGCTCGTAACCAAGCACTATCTGGAAATACAATGGCATGAAATAGGCGACTGAAATGTACACCACGCCGTGTGTGACACAGACAATCAGGGTCGCAAGGTTCGATAGATTCTTCAGGATGCGGATTGGAACAATTGGACATGAGGCGAATTTCCATTCGTAAACGAAAGCGAAAATGAAGATCAACGCTTCAAAGATTATGAGGCAGACGACAGAAGCGGACTTCCATAGGTGTGTTGAACTTCCGAGCTGAAGTCCAAATAGTAACATGATCGTGGCTCCGACAAGCGCGATTCCACCAATCCAGTCAATGGTCTTCAGTCCTTCAATGACAGGCACGTCAGGCTTTGGAATGTCAAGCAAGAAGAAAATGAGAACAAGAGAGAGGCCCTCTATGGGTACTGTGTCTGTGTTAGTGAAAAGCTAACATAAACGTTCAAACATGCAACTGACCATTGATCCAAAAAAACCCATCTCCAATTGACATATTGAGTGAATGATCCACCAATAATTGGTCCTATCGCTGTTGCGAATGACCAGACCATGCCAACGATAGCCAAAAACAAGCCTCGTTGTCGCATGCTGAATAGATCGCTGATGATAATGTTAGGCAGTACCATTAGGCCACCGCCACCCATGCCCTGGACTGCTCGACCAAGAATGAGTATGCCAATCGTCCGAGACAACGCACATAAGATGCTCCCAGCGATGAAAGCCAGGCTCGCACCCATCAACATAGGCTTGCGGCCGAAGATATCACTGGTCTTGCTCCAGAGCGGCATGGCTGCGGCAGCTCCGATCAAAAAGGAAGATCCGATCCAGGCGAAAGAGGAATCTGAGGCCTGGAAGGTTTCCGTGATGGTAGGGAGAGCCGTAGGAATCATGGTGGCATCAAGAGCCGCTGGGAACGATGCAAGACAGATAGCGACCATAATGAATACTGTTTTTATAGCGTCTTTGTGCGGCTTGCACTGTGCGCTGAAAGTCGCTTTCTCGGTCGTGGTAGGTGATATGATCGGGTGAGAATCTGCCGTGGGTTGATTATCGGAAATATCATCCTGTGTATCTGATGCCATAATGACTGTGAGGATCTGAGAAGATCAACTATAACAGGGTGTCAATTTGTAGACTGAGGTCAAGCGCAATGTATGTACGTGAAAGCGCTCAATCTCATCTGAAGAATTTCATGTTGTTGTGTCATGCTACCGGAGAGGTAGCCACCGACGTAGGCGCATGGTAAGCTTCAATGGAAAGTGCATTCATGAATTGATTACCTGCTGATTGGTAGTAAGTACTATCGAATTAACCAGAGGAAAGCACATTCGATGAGTATCTCACATATTGCCATTGACATACTGTTTGATTGATGCAGGCATATCGTTATCTATAAGACTTTTGAGCCTCATGTGCTCAATTCGAATGGTATTCTACATTGTTAATATACACATAATCGTCAAAATCTTACATATTTTGTACAACCTCTTCGCACCGCTGGCAAAGGCTTTCTTCCTTATCTATAGGTGCTGTATAACGCCAGCACCTAGGACATTTGCTTTGCGACGGCGGAGTGATAACAACGCAGCCACGTAACGAAGGTGTGCCGCGTGTGCTTGATATAGATTCTGGTATGTCGAACCACTTCTGGAAAGACCACGCCGTGTGATCAACGTCCACTTGTCCATCGAACAGGAGATGAACCTTCGATAACACAAGGGCGTTAGCCAATCCTTCTGCAACGTCCTGAGGCCATATCTTGCGCAAAAGTTCTTCAAAGCCATGCTCGGCAGCCTCTTCGCCACATTTACTGGGCAGAACGATCCAAGCGTCGCACTCTAGACCTGACGCGATGTTCTTTGACATACGAGCTTCCTCCTGAGCTGTTTTGACCGCACCATTGAGCACTGAGACGAGATCAGCTGCGATACAGTTTAAGGAGCTATCCTGAGCGGGCACGCTCGAAGTTCTTGGGACCCAAGTTGATCGTATAGGATGCGGAGTGGTGTCACGAAGCTTCTGAGGTGTAAAGTCCCAGACCTCCTCGATCAACACAGGTGTGATCGGTCCGAGCATTCTACAAAGCTCCAAGAATATAGCCCGCAGAGCCAACTGAGCTTCGACGCGTGTTTCATGAGAGCCGGTGTATAATCTGTCTTTCAGTGTTTCGAAATAGAAGGATGAAAGATCCTTGACCACATAATTGTTGATGTGTCGAGCAGCCTCGTTGAATCGCGACTGTGTATACTCGTCATGTACAGTTCTAGACACCGCCGTAAGCTTCTCCAAAGCAAGAATATCGATGCGTGTTCGTATAGACTCTTCCGTGCGGTTCCACACCTCATCTTCAGCGCCCGAGAGCACGCCAATAAGCCATTTAAACGTGACACGATACTTCAACAGCGCGTTGTTAATCGACTGAAGTACCTGAGGACCTATCACGACGTCTTTGGTGTAGTCACTGCTGGCCACCCAGAGTCGGAGGGAATCTGGGCCTAATGCGCTCGAATTGCCCTTACCGCTCTTCTTGTTTTGCACGGTGGGGATCAGCGCACCAGTGATGATATCATGTGGATCAATGACGTTGCCTATTGACTTGCTCATCTTTTTCCCGTACTGGTCGAGTGTAAAGCCGTGAGTGATCAGCTTCTTGAAGGGAGCTCTTGGTACATGAACCTGCCTATCCTCTGTTGCCACTTGATTTTGTTGGCTTGCGACGTGCGTGAGTATTGAAGATTGAAACCATCCACGATGCTGGTCACTTCCTTCGAGATAGACATCCGCTAATGTGTTATCGGGACGCTGGGGTAGCATAGACCAACTTGTGCCGCTGTCGAACCACACATCCATCGTGTCTTTACCACGAGTATACGTCCCTTCCAGATTAGAAGGAATCCAGCATGTTTCGTCATCACCGTCCTCCCACCAAGCATCTACCCCACGCTCATCGATGATATTCATGATGTGAGAGATCGTGTGTTCATTCATGATGGCTTGATGGGGAGTAACATCTGTTCTGAATAAAGCTGGGATCGGAACACCCCATGACCTTTGTCGAGATACGCACCATTGGCTACGGCTTCGTATGAAACTTTCCAGCCTCTTCGACCCGGCGGGCGGAATGAATTGCACGTCTTTCATTGCTCGAAGAGTGTCAGACTTAATGTTGTCGACATTGGCAAACCACTGTTCGGTTGCACGTACGATGATCGGTTGTTTAGTCCTCCAGTCGATTGGATATTTATGTTCATACTCATGTGTGTTCAAAACGAAGCCAGTGTGTGATCCAAACTCGACGGTCTTGAGGTGACGCAGAATCGCTTCAGTCCCTTGGGTTTGGACAGACAGGCCCTGGAACAGCTCTGGCTGATCAGGGAAAGCGTCAGCGGTATACTTTCCATGATCATCGACGGGTGATAGGGGAGCAATTCCCAATGCAATGCATACATTGTAGTCGTCCATGCCATGTCCAGGGGCTAGATGTACGAGACCGGTACCCGAAGTCCCACTCACGAAATCAGCACTCATGATCAACTGATCTTCAGCCTGACTGCCTTGTAGGGGATTCTGATAGAAAGCCTTGCCGGCTATGTCGCGACCATTGAAGGGCCCGAGGACATGTTTCAAGGTCACGCCCAAGGTCCTCTCAATTTCTTCTACACGACATTGTGCTATGATGAGAAGACCGATCGCATCATCTGGATGAGATACGACAACGTACTCCAGTCCCATATGTACGGCGATTGCTTGATTCGCGGGAAGAGTCCAAGGTGTAGTCGTCCAGATCACTGCACTGAGGAGTTTCCCTTCCAAAATTCCTGCTGAATCGAGCTGAACGGGAAATTTGGTGACAGGAAACTTGATATATGCAGCACTAGATTTGCGGTTGTCGTCATATTCAAGCTCTGCTTCAGCTAATGCCGTTCTGGATGATGGCGACCAGTGGACAGGCTTGTATTGCCGATATACAAGGCCCTTCTTAACCATATCTCGGAAGACTTGCAATTGCCTCATTTCAAAGTCTTTTGACATTGTGATGTATGAATTGTCCCAATCAGCCATGATGGCCCATTCCTTGAATCCCTTCTTCTGTTCCTTGACTGTCTTTGTGGCTAATTTCCTCGCAGCACGTCTGACCTGTAGAGGTTGCAGGCGCGACTGACATTCAGATGCGATGTCACTGGAATTCTCTCCAGACCTCGTCTCAGCATCCTTCCGCAATTGCAAAGCCTTCATCTCTATGGGAAGCCCATGGCAGTCCCACCCAGGCACGTAATGCACTCTCTTTCCCTGACTTAGCTCAAAACGACATAATATATCTTTCAGTATCTTATTTAGCGCGTGACCAATGTGAAGTTTCCCATTGGCATATGGGGGCCCATCGTGAAGGACGAATGACGGGGCAGTCGCACGCTCTGCGGCCTGCCATGCATATAGATCATCGGTACATCGTTTGAGATAGGTATCGAAATTCGTCTGGCGAGGTTGAAAGGACGACTTGGGTATCTTGAGAGTATGACTCCATGGCGACGCATACAGAACCCGAGTCGGCTTCAGCATCGCTCCATCTTCTGCAAACAGCTCCTCTAGGCGCATGCTCAGGCATAGCTCACTCACTTTTTGGGAAGCAAGGACGCTAGTGCCCAAAAGGTGAAGGTGCGGCGGGCCAAGATTTCCCGCAGAACCTCAAACTTATTCTGTAGTAGCGACGTTCGACGCATGCATTGAGTTGCGACTTCACTTTCGCCAGATTGCCTCTTGACTCTTAACTCTCCCGAATACACACAACCGCCTCTGTATCATCACGACAATCCTTCTGTTCCTTAAACCTCTTCTTCATCAGCTCCCAGTCATTCGCCATGGCTGACACCGCAACCGCTAACCCACAATCGCCTGTTCCTCTAGACACCATTCCCATTTCCCCTTCTGATGGAACCACTCCAAATGGTACAGGCAGTAGCGACTCTACTTCAGCCGATACTGGTGCCATCAAGACTGTTTTCCATGATCCAGACAACTTCAACGTCAAGCACCCGCTGATGAACCAGTGGACTCTGTGGTTCACGAAGCCACCTAGCGGCAAGGTATGATCAAGCTCTTGACAAAGCCGACACTATGCTCACCGAATAGGGTGACAACTGGAACGACCTGCTCAAGGAGGTCATCAGCTTCGATTCAGTTGAAGAATTCTGGGGCATCTACGTATGTAAACCATGCAGTGTGTTTATGCTGTAGGCTCACCCGAACCAATAGAACAACATCACGCCTACTTCTGAGCTAGCGCTCAAGTCCGACTACCACCTATTCAAGAAAGGCGTACGCCCCGAGTGGGAGGATGCTCAGAACAAACACGGCGGCAAATGGGCCTTCCAGTTTAAGGAAAAGAAGATGGTTAATATCGATGGTCTCTGGCTCCATGTCATGCTTGCTGCTATTGGGGAGACTCTTGAAGATGAGGATGACGGCGAGGTCATGGGTGTGGTCGTCAACGTCCGCAAGGGCTTCTACAGAATTGGTCTGTGGACGCGCACCACAGGAAGGCCTGTGCCTGGAGGTGGCGATGGCAACAATGCCGGAGGCAAAGGTCGCTCGCTTGACCAGGGCAAAGAGATTCTCTTGAAGATTGGCAAGCGGTTCAAGGATGCTCTTGGCCTGAAAGACAACGAGGGCGTCGAGTTCGCTGGTCACACTGAAAGCGCGCATTCCGGCAGCACTCGCGCAAAGGCGAAGTTCGCCGTCTAAATACCTCCTATTCCACTCCACAACACCCCCTTCAACACCATATGTCAGTTTAAACAAAAGGATCAGGATTCTTGGCGTGCCCGGGATAAGGCATGCATGCACTGTAACTCAAAATGCCGCTGCGGTAGGCGGCTCACGGAGATGTTGGAGACCTCACAGGGGTGGCATTAGCACGGCGTTATTATGTGGCACTGCGATACGGCTTCGAGATATCATGGGTTATCAAGTGAGGCTTTACCGCATTATGCTCTATGGCTTGTGTGCCAGCTATAATTTGACATACAATAGAATCGTGTTGTACTTTGAACAAACTTCTAGGACGCCATGTTGGCATCAGGATGTACACAGCACTAGTGCATCATGGTAACAGCGCGATGGCATTCGTATCCATGGCAAAAAGTCCCGTCGCCGGGTTAAGTGAACTCATTATCAGCACTTCTTCGGCACAACCACAGCCATGGAGAGGCTGAATTGCAATTTGACATCCGTGCTAGGCAGATACTCTTCCTCCAAGGCAGAATGAAGACATGAAATTTCGGTAGGAAGTCAGACGATGCCGCGAAGGAAAAGCGGACCCGCAGAACCACATCGTGCTTAATGAAAATTAAGTATAGTATAAGTACACATAATAATAATGATAACCCTTGGGATATTCCGCCTGATGCATATGCAGCGCAAAGTATATTTGCGACGACTTACAAATCACGAAAGTAGAATGGGGTTAATTAAGAAATGGTGGATCCGCTCAAAAGCCCAGGTCATAGAAACGCACTCAGAGCTCGTTATGCCCAGCTGCTGATGGCGATGGCAGCGTTGCGCTGATTTTGTTCGTGAGGCTGGAAAAGGCAATGTCGAAGCGTGCGCCGGCCATCCAGGCGACGAAAATCTGTTGTTGGGTTGTGTTAGCGTGGGCCGAGGATTACGCGGACGGGGAAAGGGGGACTGGTGTGGGTCGATCTGCTGGCTGGATCTAGCCTCAGGCACAGCCAGGGGTCCCAGGGACGTGCTACGCGTCTATGAGAATTGAGGCTTACCATGAATCCCGAGATAGTGCCCAAGACCAGGAGGACAGCAAGACCCATGTAGATGATGTCCCACTTTGCTTCTTCAGCTTCCTTTTTAGCCTTTGCTTTTTGCTCGGGCGTCATTGCTTGTTGGTCGGCCGGGACGACACGCTCGGTCGGAGTTTGCGAGGGGAAAATCGATTCGATGAATTGCTCGATCTAGCGGGCGATGTTAGCTCGTTTCTTGTGTGCGTGTAGACTTCTGTGTCGTCTGTGAATATATATATACCTTTCCGCAGGCGATGCTGATCTCCAAGAAATTGGGGTCCCGCGGGTTGTTCTGCTTGTGAATCCGTCGAGCATAGTCTTTGAAGACGCCGCACAGCACCTGCAGATTCTGCGTCGAGTCGAGCATCAGCCGGCAGGCTTGACCCTTGGTGATCTTGATATTCCGCTGAAACATGGTCTTGTTGCGGAAGCACAGCTCGAGCGTCGCGATGGCCATGGCTTGTGGGATGGCGCAGAAATTGAACACGCTCTGGTCACGTAGGCCTGCTAGGTAGAATAAGCACTCATCTGCGCGTCTGAGCGCAGTCAGCACCATCTCGGCGCTGCAATTTAGTGCCTTTTCTTCATTTTCGGGCTTGAAGAGGTCCTCAAACTTGTCGACGTGCTTAGACCAGATCTCCTTGGGCCAAAATCTCCGACCGTCGTCCAGATCTTCCCGGATGTCGCGAATTATGTTTACCTGTTGTAGGAACTGGCCCATAGACTCCATAAGCTCCGGTCGTTCCAGTAGGGCAGGATTTGCAAGTTTGCCCTCCACGAACAGTCGGGTCAAGCCTTCTCCGACAAGCCCAGCAACGTAATGACAGTACAGCTCGTAGTCTTTGACAGTGTTCACGCCATTGACATTATGTTCGGCATTGTTTGCATAGTCTGCCATACCATCACCCATTTTCTTTGTGATATCCCGGATAATGTCTTTATAGGCTGGCTTGACCTTCTTAAATTCTTCGACCACGACATTGAACTCGACCAGTAGATCGCGATCCTTCTCGTTCGGGCCATTGCCAGTAAAGGTCCATCCATCTTTTTCGAGGATCTGGTCAAACTTCCGTAGTAGAGGCTCTTTCTCGGCAAGTGGTATCGTCATGTCATCCTCAATTGTGTCGAGACCGCGTAGAATGAGGTAGAAGAGGCACACAGGGACGAGGAGTTCGGGGTTGAGCTCCTTGATGACGGCACTGAAACTTCGGCTGGTCATGTCCAAGTAGTGGAAACATCTCTTCAACGACGGTGTCTCTTTCGACTCGTCGCGTTCGTGAACTGGGTTGTGCCATACTTTCCTGAGCGCAATGTCAGTCAACTCAGGAGACGGCGCATCTCCGGAAAAAGTGGTGCCGGGGGAACAGCTTCTTACCATTGTATGATATTCCGTAGCTCTTGGACGTGAAAGAGGTAGTAGACGACATCTCTTGCTTTCGGCATGGTGACAATGTTATTGCGACTCTGGTGGTTGCGAAGGCCAGACGTTCACCTAGCAAAGGTAAGGAAATTCACAGCATTTAGATCTAAGGCGCATCTGCCCTGTGCACGTTCCGTTCAGTCGGGGTGTGCCAAGCCAGTCCCGTGGCCCGGCGGGATCATGCCTTGTGGGGTAATAATCCGCGTATGCTCGCAACCAGTGTGCTTGTTCATCAGCTTACCAAATTTGATCCCGAGATGTGCCATAATTCGCGGAAAAGGTGAAAAAGTGAGAAGTGAGAAGATCTATTTCGCACATACACGTGGACTAATCCATTGAGACACCGGACCAACAGCATATATTCTCTCCACAGCTTCTGCGATGAAATAAGGAACATCTTCTCCCATATGAGTTTGTTACGATTTTAACTCGGATAAACATTCACGTCATATTCATCATATATTGAGAGCAGGCATGATTGTATCTGTACAAGTGGTCACTGGTGCGTTGATCTGGTAATCAGACGATTCGCGGATGACTCGTACACCTTGTACTTTTCGATCGACTTTTGATTTAAGCCTGTAAACTGGTATATGTCGCATTGAAGAACCAGACCAGACCATTGAAGTCTGAGGACTGGAGTAGGGTAGTTGTCGCAGTGTCTCCAGCATTCTGTTACACGACGCGTCAACGCGAACTTGAACTATTAGTCCGGATAATGTTGATGGGACACGCCGTTTCCCGTAGGAGCGTTTCGCCAACGCCGAAGGACAAATTATTTACTCGTGCCCAGAAGCTATAGAAATTGGTTCAGTAATTCCGATACGTCTTATATCTTCTCGCAAAATGCCCTGGTACGGCTTTGTAACCGCCAAAGAAAGCGCTTCAGCATTTTATTGAATGCAACAACGTTGCGGTTGTCGTGTGCAACGGAACGCCTGAGCTGTCCAAGTGCGCGGCTAGAGATGGTTGATGTGCACTAAGTTTTGCTTGATGAGGTCATGCACCTCATGAAAGCGCCAATGATGGCACACCACCGCATCGTTGCGTCAAACGCCCAAGGCGATGCGACCAGAGCTGGCAAGGCAAGGACAAGACGACGAGCTGGCCAGATGTGCGGTAAGACGAGGTATGTATGCATAGTTGCATGAATCCCGCAGCAAGGAGGAGACGACCACGCCCCAGACATCGTCAAGCAACGCGTGTCGTGCGTCTTTCCGATCTCCAAGAACGCCACGTGACTGATTGCTGGGGATCCCGCGTCGTTTCCTGGCCAGCAGCAGCCGAAGCGATCGAATCCCAGAGTTGAGCGGCGATCATTGTCGCAGTCTGGAGATAGTCAACGATGCGCAACGATGGACTGTGAATTTACTGGCTGACCAGGCACGCTCCAGCCTCTTTTTGTGGACTGGTTGGTGAGGCCCAGGCCTAAGTTAGGCTTGCAGGGTCTCTGGCCAAGTGGCTAAGAAGAAGATGCAATAATAAATCATCAAGAATGCTGGCGCTGGCCTATCCATGAACAGCAGCCAGGGCCAATCCGTTGTGTGAAGCACGGATACCCGCCCCAACTGTCAATTTACGTCATCGGCTGTTGTGCTGTGTCCTCCGCCCACTCAAAACCGTCATCGCTGCCGCTCGCAAAACCCCTGTTCCCTCCATTACCTCCTCTGCTTCCTCCTCTCAACTGCTTATATTTGCTCTCGTACACACTATATCCCTCACTTATTCCACAATCCACACTTCCAAAAACCTCTAATCAGGATGCATCGCACATACTCTATGCGCACGTCACGCGCTCCAACCCAGGAGCAGCTACGCAACCCTCCTCCACCTACCTCGTCCACCAAGTCCGGCCGACTGTTTGGAAAGGTCAACTTCGGTAAGCATCTCACTCGTGCAGCGCTCGAAAGAATTTATAACAATATTCACGAGTTCAAGACGAAGCCGGCGACAATGAAGACTGGAGGCGTTGCTGCAGCCTCATGCAGATAACGATTGGCTAACACTACTATCTAGCCCACTCTGTTCGCAAAAATGCTAGCGGTGCTTTCGGTCCAGATCTTGCGAAGAAGCTCTCGCAATTGGTAAAGATGGAGAAGAACACTATGCGCAGCATGGAACTTGTTAGCCGTGAACGCATGGAGGTCGCTGTAAGTTCACTACAACCAAAGTCGAATGCAATCTCTGCTAATCTGGCCGCAGCAACAACTTTCAATCTGGGGTGAGGCTTGTGATGACGACGTCTCCGATGTTACCGACAAGCTTGGTGTCTTGATTTACGAGATCGGTGAGCTTGAGGACCAGTTTGTGGACAAGTACGACCAATACCGCGTAACGATCAAGAGCATTCGCAATATTGAAGCTTCTGTACAGCCAAGCCGTGACCGTAAGTATTTTTGATCCCACGCATTATCCAATTCTAAAGTCACCTAGGCAAGCAGAAGATTACCGACCAGATCGCCCAGCTAAAGTATAAGGAACCTAACTCTCCAAAAATTGTTGTTCTCGAGCAGGAGCTTGTTCGCGCGGAGGCTGAATCGCTCGTTGCCGAGGCCCAGCTGTCAAACATTACTCGCGAGAAGCTCAAGGCTGCATTCACATACCAGTTTGACGCTCTCCGTGAACACTGCGAGAAGCTTGCAATTATCGCTGGCTACGGAAAGCATCTTCTCGAGCTCGTCGACGACACCCCCGTCACACCAGGCGAGACTCGTCAGGCCTATGATGGCTATGAGACTAGCAAGGCGTAAGTTTCACCCCATGCCTACGGACAAGCAAAGACTAATATGTCCAATAGCATCATACAAGATTGCGAGGAAGCGCTCGTCAATTGGGTCTCTGATGAAGCTGTGATTACATCTAATCTATCCCAACGCACTCGTGCCTCGTCTCAGCGCCGTGCTCCAAAGCAGCAAGAAACTTATGGTGTTGATTTAGTCGACGGGGAGGGCTCCGAATTTCACAACGATGACCAGTCCTCCGTGGTGCCCGAGCACCGTGGACGTGAGCAGGATCGCGAAATCGCGGCATAGTTGAATTATACCATATGATACCATTATCAAATCTTAATAGTTTGTTGGGCGCACTAATATTTTGGTGTTGCAAGTTTCATTGGATTCGATCGGACGCAATTAATGAAGTAATTAATACAAAATCTTAATCTGGTCACAGCTATGTAATGTGCAATATGATGTTGTGGAACCCTGATTCACATGCCAGACCACCCGCTTTGGGAAGGGACCCATCATATGTCTTTCACAACCAGCATTCGACCCTTATATCTTTAACTACTGGCTATGTCAGTCCCTAAACCCGTTGAAAGAGAGCATATCACCGTAGCTCCAACATCCATCGACGATATTCCACGAGTGGGATCCATTTAGTACAAGGAAGGCCTTGCGGGTGCTATCAGTCGAAAATTGATTCTTCTCGTCTTTCACAACAAAGTCTACGACCTCTAGAAATCTCATGGTGTTCCAAGATGCCTTGAAGGAGACAATGTTAAAATTAGTCATGAGTGGTTAGATACCCTCTGTCTTTTTGATACGACTGTACGAGGTTTCATGCACGCTCGGTGGCGTAGATGGTAGTCGAGGCTTTATTGGTAGTTGGTCTGCAGATTTCGTCATCATCAAGCTTTCGGCGTCACTTCTGTAAGCTCTCAAGGCGTCTCTGTACGACTTACTGATGATCAAGGTCGTGGTGGGGCTGGGTATCATGAGTGCCGATCGAGAACACTTCTATGCACGATGATGTCAAGTTTCTCAGCCTCGTCGACGACGATATAGAGCATAATCCAACTCGCATTGACCTCCTCCAAGAGTCTGTCGATGCCATGTCCCTTTTGTGTTACTAATTTGTTAGTAGATAATCATGGACGACTATGAATATCAAAGGTTCATCAACCCCGAGATCAAAGACCTCTTCTTCCCGATTCCCGGTCAAACAAAGCTGGAGTGCCTTTACTTCTGCGCTCAAGATGTGCGAACGAGTCTTCCAACATAATTACACTCACCTTAAAGCGTGTTAATTTCTTTCAAGGGCCTAGAAGCTACATCAGTGGACACTCTACGCCGGCAGACTATCACGGAAAATGACCTATCGGCCTGGCTAGAAAAAAGTGAATCCATGAGAAAGCCTAGAAGCTTTCGGCTGATGTGAGTTATCGTAAGTCCTGTGAATGCGAGCTGAGCCATGTCCTATTAGAGCAATGCCAACGGATCCAATCCTGCGCGAAAATGGGAAGCATTGTTTTCAAGCGACTCGAAGCTCTGTGGATCGCATCCTGGAAGCATTCCATTTACCGCAAAGGCTCCTAATTCTGGCTGCAATTGGGCCCACACTTGTCTATGGTACGGATTCCGGATTGTTTGAGTCGAGCTTTGAGGGTATGTTGGCTGCCATACTCCGGTTACTTCTCTACTTTATGAGTCAATACCAACTAATGCATGGGACCACCAGGGATACTTTACAGAGGTACTTGTGACAAGATGTAACAGGGTCCCCTGGCATGGAGAAGTATGCGTGTTACGATCGGAGCCACACGCGATCCCGCAGACGGCTCTATATGTTGTTTTGTACATGGTCTAGAGGATCGTGAAATAACAGTGATGACTCGCCAATTGACCCATCTTCGGGAGAAAGCGATCCATCCAACATCGGCGTGTCTCCTCGTGATCGAAATGACCATTGCTCGTGTTAGGCAGAAATCATTGAACATCGGCAAATGCATCACTGATCTCAATGATAGCATTGGCTTCAGGCAAAAAGATGCGGACACCCTTGCGATCTATCTGATAGACAGCGGTGATAAGTACTGAGAACAAGTCGATCTTGAGGGGCTTATCGTCCAAATTAATGCACTAAACGAGTAAGTAACAACCGACACAGTGATGTGGTATCTGTGAGGCCACACCTCTACCAGCCTCTCCACCGATGCCCTAGTCCTGTAGCATTATTTGGTCTTGTCTGATTGAATACGTTACAGGGGCCTCGGGGGAAACGACTGTATATGCAAGGAAGTAAATAACGCGCTGCATTGTCTCAGCGCTATGCATTCTCAAATCGTCAATGATGTCAGCAAAGCAGACGACGATGTCGCGATCAAGTGGATGGGTTCGAAAATAATCTCGCTCAAAGCGTACAACGATGGTTGCTGGAGAGCCGTGGATCATCAGCTTGCCCGTCTAGGAAGGGTCCGAGATCTTGTACAGTCACTTAAAGCCATCTAGACTTTGGTTACTCGACTGATGCATGGAACAGATCAGCAGTCTCATGGCGCAGAGAGACAACTACTATTCCCAGGCTATAGCTCAAGAATCAGCTGTACTTGCCAGGGGAGCGCGGCAAGATAATAAGCTCATGGCGCAGTTGGCCGACAGTTCTCGCAAAATTGCTACGACTTCACTCCGGGACGCTAAAGCAATGAAAGCGATATCTGTAGTCACCATGGTGTTTCTCCCTGCCACGTTTACCGCGGTATGTAGAGCCGTCGTTCGGATCGTATTACCTTATGGGTCAATGCTTATTCAGCTTTATAGACATACTTTAGTACTTCCTTCTGGAATTTGAGGGCTGGACCGGGAGAGTCAGTGGTTTCAGGGAACCATTGGATCTATTGGGTCGTGACAGTTATACTCACTAGTATCGTCAACATTTCAGCCTATGCTTGGTATAGACGCAATGAGCGCGTCGTCAAAAGTCTCGAGGAAGGAAAAGTCATTGTGCCACTTCAACATAGTCTAAAGAAAACAGTTAGACCGGGACATGATGAGCACAAGTCGGAGGCAAGGGATATCAAGCCACTTCATCATACCCTGAGACCATCATTTAGGGGTGTTGGGAGTGCATGATAAGCTGTTCATCTTGCTCCTCGTGGTAATATGACAAATAGCTGTTGTTGTCATAATGGCCAGAAACTTTCGATCGGGTTTGAATGGTAATTTTCGTTGGTTTAGTCTTCCGATCTGTTACTTCCCAGGCCTCCTCATGCTTTGCGCAGTCAGTGCCATGCCACCCACAGCGTTAAAGTCTACTTCAAAACAAACAGTCAGATATCTAGCGGTTTGGATCTTAATATCAGCGAAGTCATAAAGCTCTAATGGCAGATCCCAGAACGTGAATCTGCAAGCCACAACGGCACAGCCTAGTAGAATTGTATATCATCCACTTACTCCTATGTATCTTTAGGATGAATAAAACTCGTGCTTGGTATCAGTAGCCATAGGTCAGTGTTACACAGAAACCAAATAAATCCGACGTGATCACCGTAGATCCCACAGTCGATGACCACTTACAGGTCATCATAATCTCATGCAATGACACGAAGCCATTCAGCCGTTATCCCATCGTAAGAAACACATTCTGCACCTTACAATCCACACTCCCTAGCGAGCACGAGTGAGAGACAGAACAGGGATACCACAGATGCCCCGCACACACATGGATCTATCCATCCATCCATATGAACAAACCCGCCTCACAACTCCATCATCTATCCCCAATCGTCCCTTTACATTCAGACCTCAACCTCCCAACCACATCTACCCACCACCACCAAACCCACCCAAAATCATGCTCTCAAAACCACTACAATGCACCCTCTGCCGCAAACCATTCAAACGCCAACTCGCACTCACCCAACACCTCGGCGGCACATCCATACCCCCTCCATCACAATTCCACTGCCCATCCTGTCAAGCTCCGTTCTGCAGCGTAGATGCCATGCGTCTTCATCAGGATACTGTGCATATTCACGCTGACTTTCCTTTGGTCCCCGCACTGCCCGCCTCTACCAACCCCCCAGTACCCACACCAACATCACAGGCGCGCGAGGCCATAGACACAGACCTCTTCGAACGCATGAGCGCGCTGATACTGGATGAGGCGGGAATTGACGCGGATATGTATCCCGAAGATCGAGTGTATAGTGGGTATGCGCACTCCTTTGATGGGCTGGTAAATGCGGGACTTGGGTATCATCGGTCGGGTGGATTTGTGTCTGGTTCGGGGGCGGCGAGGAGGGGTGGGAATGTGCCTGTTGGAGGGAAGAAGGAGAAGGAGAAGAAAGAGAAGAAGGTGATGGTTGCCGGTGGGAAGAAAACAAGGACTAGGACAAGGCTGGGGTTGGAGAGGGGGGAGAACGGGAGTGAAAGTGGGGGAGGAGGATGGAGAAGAGGTGGAGGAGGAGGGTTATATCACGGGTCACAGTCGTTTTATGAGTATGAGTATGGGTATGACCATGGTAGCAAGGGAACTGAATTCGGGCTCTGTGATAAAGAATGCGGATGGTGTGGGCATTGTATGGATAATGTCGACATAGATTGCTGAGCTTCCATCGCAGTCGACGACTGATATGCGCTGTGCGCTATTAGCTGCGAGCGGATAACACCTTCGTAGAAGAGTATTAGAGCGAATTATTTTTTGAATGCCGAATTACCTGCTATGTCAACACGAGCCTGTGCCAGGTACCACATCAACTCATATCTATCAGGAACGAATGCATCAGGGAGGGTATATATCGCTATGCACCATAACCACAAGAAACAAACCATTGCGGGCAAATCTACGTGCGCATCGTAGTGTTTCCCATGTCCCATAAAACGCTCACATGACACCCTCCAGTTTGCTGAATGCAGCGATGACCTCCTTGTCCACGTTGACGAGCCAAAGTTCGTGGAACCTCTCTTGGCCTCCGCAGAGGGTGATGCTTGCTTGGATGCGCTCACGGACAAGCGCGACTATGTTTACAGTATGTACCACATCGGCATATACGAGTACGGACATGCGAGCATCCTCGGGGGTCTGAGCGCTTAGGTCGACAGTGTTGGGATCAGGTGGGGCCCATACAAGGCAGCTACAGCATCGTGTTAGCATTAATAGTGTTTTTGAAGGGAAACATAGTTACGTACTCGGTCGATTGATCATTTGTGCCATCGGTCAATTCAATGATGACATCTGTCCATACCGTCATGAGATCCTGAAGCTTGGCCAGGATCCAATCTGCATTGGTTTCCATAAGCCGTGCGAACAGCAACGCCATCAGCTTCCTGCGGGGCGGGTCTGCGATATTCTCAAAGTGGCTGAACCATTCTTCCAGAAGCCACTTCATGGTTTCTTCTGGATTCTCATCTGGTAGAGACATATTGATGGCCTCAAGCAAGACTTGTGGACTCGCGGTGCCGATGCGCGCTAGAACGGCGAAATAGTCGGTTTCAACGATACCATCTACCGAGGAAGCAGGAGCCTTAGGACCAGTGCGTTGATGTGCTGCCCATGCGCCCTTCAGGCCCTTGATTAGCCTGGGAAGGAAGCCTGTGCTGACCATGTCTCCTACAAGGACCTGTATAGCTTGCTCCCCGCCAAACTGATGAGCTGCTCGGATAATGATCTCAGTAAGACTAGTCACAGTGCCGTTTGCGTCTGGCGTCAGCGTGCCCATGAGACTGGCTAATCGCTGAATCAGAGGACCACGAAATTGGTCCGAGAGAATGTCTGATGGTGCAAGTAGCACGTATAACTGTGTCAAATCCAACGATATTCGTAATGCGTCTGATCCAGTCTCCAAGACATCGAGCAGGTATGGTGCTAGTGCGATCAGGTCTGCAGAGGCTGGTGCAGGCGACTGCGCAAGAATGGCACCCCACAGGTCTAGGGCATCTTCCAGTAAATATAGCCGAGTTTCCTGAATGAGTGAGTCAGCTCCTGCAGAAGACGAAAAGAACGACATGAAATTACTGATTCGGGCTCAACAGCGCCTTTAATGATTGGCAAAACAAGACTGTGATATACTTGAGACTCAGCTCGCATGGCGTTGATGAGACGAGCCAAGATCACAAGTATTGCTTGCTTCATGAGATGTTCCTGTCCGGACTGGTCCCACAGAGGTGACAGGAGTTTGACAATTCGATCTGCGTAGGGACTTATCTATCGTGAGTTAGTACAGGCCACTGCCACACATTGGCTTGCACGTACATGCTGCTCCAGTCCCTCGACAATGACACTAACGGTGTTGAGTAAAGCCATTTTCGTCTCCGACAATTCCACTTCTTCTATTAACTCCATTATGCGGGTGAGAACAGTAGGTGCATAAGGCAGAAAGTTCTCCGGCTTGAATTCCCATTCGTCTGCTGCATGCTTGAAATGTCTGGCTGCTGTGATACGTACGACTTGATCATTCGAGATGTCATTCCTATCAAGGAGCTGTTCAAATATATGGTATACCGGGCGTTTTGAGTCATTGGAGACCTTGACTGTTATCCATTGGCCGAGCAGGATGGCAATCCGTCGACGTAGAAGACTGCAACCTGGGAATGTCTGGCGCACCTCCTGCAAAAGCGTGTTATTTATGAAAGCATCGAAGTCGAGGTGCTGAGATAGGACTGGTGCTGCCAGACCAATGGCTGTATATATCGAGTCTTTGGATAATATGGCAGTTTCATTTGGAGCTCCTAAGGTCAGAACAACGGAAGACTTGGAGCTCGGACAGACTTACTGGAGACTGAGCAGAAGACATTGATTAAAGGCTCTATCACAATATTCTTGAAATTGATTGCCAAATCGAGAAACAACTTTTCAGAAGCCGAACGAATAGAGAACTCAAAGTCCTCGCCCTCCGCATCTTCACGTTTCTCCCATTCTTCCGGTTCTTCCTCCCATTGCCGGAGGTCACTCTGACGATACACAAAGAATTTGGTGATGACCAACTCGAGAATGGTTCTGACAAAGCCTTCGGTGAGAATCTGCTCCTTGACAATTTGCTGCGCTTGAGTCCTTTCTTCCTTTTCCTTCTCCTGGCGATACTTGAAGGTTTGTGCTGGATTGAATACCATTTTGATACAAGCTCGGAAAATGAGAAGGCCACGTTGGCAAGATCTTTCGAGAATCGAGGTGACGTCTTCGTATTCATCGCCGGCATCACCATCACTGCCAACATAACCCCCAATGTCATCGACTGACCGTATTCCAAAGGTCTCTCCCACTTGCATGATAGTGTCCCAATAGCTTTGTATGATGTTGGAGAATTGAGGTAGCAGAACGAAAGCGGAGGGATGTGTCCTCGCCATATCCACATGCAATTTGTTCAATTGCGTGAGATGCCTGGCGATCCGTCTTTGCACTTCTATAGACAGAGGACTGTCTTTGGGAAGAAATTCTTTGAATTCAGTAAGCTTTTGCAGGGTAATGGCCCAGAATTGCTGAACGTCGGCATCTCTGTGCGGAAATTCATAACCCGTAATCAAAAGACGACGTAAGGCCTTGATGGCCATTAAGCTAGTCTCAATGTCATCGAGTGCTCCTCCTTCGTCATCTCCACCTTGACGAAGAAAGGTTTCCCAAATCTGGACCTTCTCTAAATATATTTTTCCCAGCACATGCAGTATTTCAGGGGCGATGGCCTGAAGATTCTGTTTTGTCCGTAACAGACGGCCTGCAGATAGGTCTTTTATGAGGTGCAGAAGTATGAGCAGTGCGCGTGGAAGGTGTAGACGATAAGCTCCTGGCAGTATGGATTGACGCAGGATGTTTAGAAGCTGTTGTATCGCATCCGGCCTGGGAAATGTCAGTTGCATAACCGTCCTCTTCCTAGGTCATGACAGCATGGTACCAATCATTCGGATATTCAAATCTTGCAATCTTTGCCACCGCAATAGCATTCTGAAGAGCAAGCGGTGCGTCGGCTTCATTTATGCCACTCTCGAGCAGTCTCGCGCGTATCTTTGCTTTGTCCTCCTTGCTAACCGCACTAGACAGTGTCGGTCAATGTATGGATACGTGTGCGATACCTCAAAGACGTACTTAGTGGCAGTTTTCCTCCAATATTTGTCGATGCCATTCTTGAGCTTTATTATGGCTAGGTATCGGACATCTCGAGGGACTCGCTGGTCAATGAACACGGTCTGAAAAGTCATGAGCCCCAATGTTTGATAGACACGCCCGAATATGCTTACTTGTAGTAGAGGATAAAAGCCCTCTGATGTTTCCCATTTCTGTAGTTGTTTAGTGCCGCTTTGAATCTGTTGTGGATCACTCGAGGATGCTGAGCGAAGCACGTTGAAGAGGATCCCCTCCGTAAGAGGGTTTGCCTCTCCAGGAACCTCAATAGGACCTTCCACATCCATCGTGGGAGATACTTTTGCAGATTCGGTTGTTCACAAGGTTAAATTGTGCTTGATCGAGGTCGCACTATAGGTTCAAACCATTTTGTTGTCTTTTCTAAGCTATGAATAGCTTCAGTCAACAGTTCGGTAGCTTTGGTGGGGCATCACTGGTAGGATCAGCCTTGCCCAGAGTCCTGAGAGTGTACCACTATTAGCGCGCACCACCAACGCGCATTTTAGGGAGACGCGCCGATATTTTGCGGAGCTAGCCAGGCTTGGTAGCACTGGACAGTTTGCCTCGGCTTGCAATACGCACTCGAACATTCTCCATTGTCATCGCCGAAGCTTTGCTTCCTCCAAAGGTCACCCTGATCTCGTCTTATCCTCGGGATAGCAACGAGGGCAATGATCTTGCTCCCCAGATGACATGCCAACAGCCGACTTCGCCGCCGCGCAGCAGCGCCTAGCCAACCGACGTCGACAGCGCGTTGCAGAGAATCGAGCTCGCGAAGACGCGCATCGCGCAGCGCAGGCCGTGACACTGTCAAGCCTCCCCAGACCACTCAGCCGGCTAGGCAGCCTTGGAAACAGTCTCTGGGATGGTGTCAAGGGAAGAGAGGGCACACATCCTGCGTTCCGCGTAGGACAGATCGATGCAGAACTACTTGACGAGGAACTTCTCGACTTACTGAAAGGCCAGGTTGGGGAAGGTCTTAAATACTATGGATCTCATTTGAGGGATGAATACTCAGCAGAGATACTCTTGGCATTGCGCGCAATTCTGTTTAAACTCACGATCTGGGACCACAATGCATCATACGGGGCATCCCTACAGGGCTTGCGATACACAGATGCTCGCGACAACAGTCTAGCCAGGCCTCCGCCTAAGTCGTGGCAGAAAGGACTATATGGACTGCTGACGGTTGGATGTAGATATGGCTGGACTAAGTGGGAAGATTATCTGCTATCTCGCCCGGATGATCCAGATGCTATGGAATCACCAATAATGCAGCAACTATCCCGTCTGACTACGACTCTGAGCAACATTCACTCCTTGGCGGCGATGTCCTCCTTCCTCGTGTTTCTGACGAATGGGCGGTACCGAACCCTCCTTGATCGAGTACTTCGACTACGACTTACACCTACCTCGCATGCAACCTCTCGAGAAGTCTCTTTCGAATACTTGAATCGTCAGCTTGTATGGCATGCATTCACTGAGTTTCTCTTATTCTTATTGCCTCTCGTGGGAATCTCGCGTTGGCGTCGGATACTGTCTAGGACGTGGCGAAAAATCAGAACCTTCGTTACAAAGAGCATTCTGGGCCGCACCCCGGACTCAACTGAAGAAGATACTAGCCTTGGAGAATATGGTTACCTGCCGGAGCGGACTTGTGCGATCTGCTACCAAGATCAAAATCCATCGTCTGGCACATCTGAGACCGAAATTATGGCCCAGTCGTCCGGTGCTGGTGGCGTGATTGGTTCAGCCGCTACAGACATAACGAACCCCTACGAAACAATACCATGCGGTCATGTGTATTGTTATGTCTGCTTGGTTCAGAGAATAGAGGGCGAGGAAGGGCAAGGTTGGACTTGTTTACGCTGTGGTGATATGGTCAAAGAGTGTAGACCATGGGCTGGCGATGTCTTGGAAGAAGTACCCCGTCCAACTTCGAACGGGAAGACAGTAGGCTTTGCATCCGAACATTTCGATGCAGACAGCGAGGAAAGAAGTGACTTGCAGGGATCGAAGCCTGACGTTGTTCAACGCAGTGCAACGAGCGAAGGCGCAGATTCCGAAGCAGAAGAGTCTGATGTTTCCTACCGGAAACATGATCTGGGTCTTGATGAAAGCGAAGAATGGGCGAAGGCAAGCAATGCCAGCTCGGAGTAACCCAGGCAAGAGCCACTTTCACATGGAGAGGAGTTTGATGATTGTCATGTATAACACCACAATAGCTAATGAGTAACACCACTGCCAAAACAATCGGTATCTGACAGTGCAAACCGGGAGATCTGTCTAGGGAGTGTCCAGTGGTCGGTATCGATAATGAAGTTCCGAATTCGACTTCTGGAATAGATTCGGGTCCGATCCATGAAACTAATTAGCGCTAGCGTTGTTGCCTAATATGCGCCACGGTGGTGTAACTACGACAACTACGCAGTGACACATTCTACTCTTGTCCGGAAAGGCGAAAGCAAGTCAGATGATGGATGAATCATGGTATTCTTCACTATGAATGTAGTGTAAACATCCTAGGTAAATAAAATGAATTGATGGATGGGTCTTTAGTCTCTGTAGTCCCGTCCAGTGGTGCACCGTGCGGTTCTCCGGCCCCCTCACGTTAGAGATCGACGCAAACGGACACCGCGTCTGATCAGATTTACCATCATTCATCAATCCGCCCCCATCTGCACTGATCCATTGTTGTCGCGCAAACTCTGGCCATCATCATTTCATCCTGACTCATACGCTTGCCCATATATCTTCCATCTCACCAGAGTTGCCATGGAGCTGCCTTGATTTTGACCAACAGCAGTGCAATGCTTCCGCTTACGACAATCCTAGTAGTTGTAAGCTTCGCGCTGATCGGCCTTCCTAGTCTTCTTGCTGCCATCAACATTGCCCGGCGTAGGAAATCTGAAAAAGGGAGTGGCTTTTACGAAGATGTGGACGGAGTCGCAACAGAACAAAGTCAGAAACAATTTTCTGCCAAAGGTCCTATCATATCTCTGCTCGTGGTTTCAGTCCTCGCCCTGTCATCATCGTTCGCACTTGCAGTCTCTTCGACCCCTGCGAAACATGGTAACAATATACTTCTGCCAGCATGGCTCCATGCAGGCGAACACTTTGCAATTCTGATACAGGGCATCAACGTTGCTCTAGAACGAAATCCGATTCGACGCTTCAACAGCTCTGCATACACCGCTCTCAGTCATGCTATTGTGGCCATTACCGCGAGCTTGCTTTACACCCAATGGAACGGACGGACAGTAAAGGCATTGCTTCTCGTTGATGTGCTTTGCTCGATTGCTGCATTTGTCTCTGGTATGCTAGTTCCAAGACGTCCTAAAGTGTTTCTGGGAGGCAAAAATGTGGATGGGGAACGGACAGTTTCCTTGTTGAACAGGCTGACTTTCACCTGGATGGCTGAGCTCGTGGATTTGGTGCGTGCCAAGAGCTGGCTGACAATGGACGATGTACCCATATTGGGATACCAAAGCAGATCCAGCTGGCTTCTCAATACACACCCTGAGCTCCAGCCTGACCAGACCTTGTTTCGTCTGCTACTTCGCTGCCATCGTGGGGCGCTAGCCGCACAGTATTTCATGACATTCATGGATGCGATTACAGTCCAAGCGCCTTCTGTTGCCATGCTCATGTTGTTGCGAACATTAGAGAGCCGACATGCAAGCGGAGACCAGAGTGCACCGATCGCGTTGTGGGTTGTCCTGCTCGGCGTTTTTCTCTTCCTAACACAATTCGTTGAGAGCGTCGGTTGGTACATCTCATACTCCTACATCCAAGTTCCCTTTCGTACCCACTTGTCAGCTCTTGTCTATGCCAAAGCTTTGCGACGTAAAGATGTCAAGGGGGTGGCCGATGTGTCAGGGCTTGAGAGCGAGGATGCCGAGAACAAGACACAACAAGGAACGGTCAATTTAGTCGGAGTCGACGTTTTCAGGGTATCATACTTTGCCCTAGTGAACAACTGGTTCTTCGGCGCATTCTGCAAAATCTTGATATCTTTTAGCCTCCTTGGATACCTCGTGGGATGGCAAGCATTGCTCGCAGGGCTAACTGTCCAAATTCTGAGTATGCCTCTCAACACTTTCTTCTCGAAAAAATACGCAAAAGCACAGAATGATGTCATGAAAGTTCGCGATCGAAAACTTGCTGTTGTAACCGAAATATTGAAGGGGATTCGGCATGTCAAGTTTGCAGCCCACGAGGACAGAGTTCAAAGTCAAATTAAAGAAGTACGAGACGAAGAACTGAGCCAGCAGTGGAGGTCGTTCAGGGCTGACATTGGTCTTATGTTTTGTTGGCTGTTTGGGCCTATAATGCTGTCTGCCGTTGCATTGGCAGTTCATGCACTCGTGTATGGCGAGCTGTTACCCAGCGTCGCGTTCACAACAATGGGTGTGCTCAATAGTATTCAGGTCACGCTTGCTCTGATTCCAGAACTTGCAACCAACGCAATCGATGCCTGGGTAAGCCTGAAACGAGTGGAGAAGTATCTACACGCTCCAGAGATCCCAGAAGTTACAACTCCAGGCGAATCGATTGAGTTTCAGGATGCTGACTTTGCTTGGCCTGTCGACGATCAAGACGCGAACAGAGAGTTCATAATTCGAAAAGCTAACTTGTCGTTTCCAAACAATGAGCTCAGCATCATCGCGGGAGGCACAGGAAGTGGAAAGAGCTTAATGTTGGCTGCGATACTTGGTGAAGCGGACCTAATCTCGGGAGCCATCACTGTTCCTAAGGGTACACCAGGGGACTGTAACGACAATGAAATACTGAATCAGACAAACTGGATACAGCCTGGAACACTTGCATTCGTTAGTCAACAGCCATGGATTGAGAACGGGACCTTCAAGGAGAACATCCTCTTCAGACTGCCTTTTGACAAAGAAAGATACGAAAGCGTTGTCGATGCGTGTGCGTTGACTCAGGATCGCAAGATACTGAGTGATGGGGATGAGACAGAGATTGGTGCCAATGGAGTGAATGTCTCTGGCGGACAGAAATGGCGAATCACACTGGCAAGAGCGTTGTACTCAAGAGCAGGTGTTCTGATCATGGACGACATCTTCAGCGCCGTTGATGCTCACGTTGGCCGTCACATATTTGCGAATGCATTGTGTGGCAAGATCGGTGCTGGAAGAACTAGAATACTGGCCACGCATCACGTCTCTCTTGTCGTTGGCTCAGCAAAGTACGCCGTGCATCTAAGTAATGGCCAAGTTGAGTATTCTGGCAGCATTGAACATCTTAAACGAACAGGCGCGCTACAATCGATTCTCTTGGAAGAAGACAAGGTGCACGAGGAAGCAGTGGAAGAAGCCGAAGAGATCGTACCGATAGTCGTCGCCGAGGGCGACAACGAAGGGACAGGGATCATGCATAGAGAAGCTGGGTATCAGTCAATTAATACCTCGCACAACCACACTGTGAATCGTCGTCGATCATCGGCGCGGAAATCCTCCAACTCCATCCGGCCCAACGGACTCATGGACGAGGATAACAGCGGCAAAACAACACAAGTACCGAAAAAATTTGTTGAAGACGAATCAAGGCAGATTGGGCGCATTGCCTTCAACATATATGTGCGCTATTGGAAAGCAAGTGGTTACCTCTGGTTCTGGGCGGGCTATGCTGGTGTTCTGATAGCCCTGGAAGTTTTAAGACTCGGTCAGGTCAGATTATACCGAATGAAGCTTCAAAGGGTTGACTTGCTAACATTTCATGTAGTCGTGGTGGGTCAAACTCTGGACTCAGAGTTACGAGACAGAGCAAGTACCAAAAGCATACCATATTTCTCATCAACAACAGCTCATGATCGCGGGAACTTCGAATCAGACGATGCGTATACGAGAAGTTGACGCAAACCTTAAGTACTACCTTGGCATTTACTTTGGCTTTGCATGTCTGCTCTTGATCGCTGGAATTGGAAGGTCAATTTTCATGTTCACTGGATCAATTCGTGCCAGTCAAAAGCTATACGAGGATCTCACTTACCGAGTTCTACGCGCCAAGTTGAGATGGTGGGACACAATGCCTCTGGGCAGAATCTTGAACCGCTTTACATCAGACTTTACCATCGTCGACAGTGAGCTCTGCTGGACAATGTGTACCGTCTTTGATCAAACACTTGTCATCTTGGGGATCATTGTGGCCGGGTAAGCTATAGATTTCAAACTCGTCGGCTATCCTAACATCATCTCTAGCATTCTTGTTTCGCCATACGTTGTGGTGTTTTCGTTCCTTCTCATTGCTATTTCCTTGAGATACTCTCTCTACTACTTGGACGGTACCCGCGAGATGAAACGACTTGAGAGTATTGCAAAGAGCCCCATTTTCGAGATCCTTGGTACGACACTAACTGGACTCGGAACCATTCGAGCATTCAAGAAGCAGGATATCTATAAGACAAACATGTTTGCTAAGATTGATGTCTATGGTGCTACGAGCTACTACATAGCTGGGATGAATAGGTGGCTCTCGATAAGGTTGGGTTTGATCGGCGCCATATTTGCCGTAATCATAGCTGTCATTGTGACTAGCATAAAGGATTTCGATCCTTCATTAGCAGGATTTGCCCTCAGCTTTGCCCTGCAGTACACCGACGCGATTTACTGGCTGTTGCGACAATTTGGTATCACGGAGATGGCCATGAACTCCGTCGAGCGGATACAGGAATACACTGAGACTGAGATCGAAGACCAGGGTGGAAAGCCAGCTCCGGCTGCTTGGCCTAGCAAAGGGCGGCTTGAAATTGACAATCTTGTAGTTGGATACGCGGAAGATCTACCACCTGTTCTGCGCGGTATTACGCTGGGAATAGAGCCTAACGAAAGATGCGCCATCGTCGGAAGGACTGGTGCTGGCAAGTCATCTATGGCGCTTGCCCTTTTCCGTTTTCTGGCTGCACGAGAGGGCCGCATTGTCATTGACGGTATTGACATTGCGACTATGCGACTGAAGGATCTCCGAAGCCGGCTAGCCATCATACCACAGGACCCGGTGTTATTCTCTGGAACTGTCCGCTCGAACTTGGATCCGTTCAGCGAGCATAGTGACGATGCCTTGCGAGAAGCACTCGAACGGGTCCATCTCATCAAAGGAAATGACTCTGGGTCCAGTACACCGCCGACGACGTCTGGACCAACTGAGCCGACAGTCTCAACAGCTAACACGAATCCCTTCGCATCACTCTCCACCACGATTGCAGAGTCAGGCTCGAATCTCTCCCAGGGCCAACGACAACTCCTGTGTCTCGCCCGAGCTATCTTACATAGACCGAAGATCCTTATCTTGGATGAGGCGACGTCTGCCGTTGATAAAGCGACTGACACGCTCATTCAACAGAGTGTCCGCGAGCAATTTAGCGATAGCACTCTGCTCGTGATTGCTCATCGACTATCAACCATAGCTGATTTTGACCGCGTCTGTGTCCTGGGAGATGGCAAGATTCTAGAGTATGATAGACCAGAAGTGCTAATGCAAAAAGATGGAGGCAAAGGCGCCTTTGCTAGCATGGTAGAGGAGAGTGGTGAGAAGGATCTGATCAAGGAGATGTTGTCGGAGAGAAAAAAGTAGAGATATACCATGTCTCATTTGTGCCTTTTGGGAATCGATCTACCCTCAAGCACTTTTGAATAGGAATCAATACATATGATTGTACTCTACTACCGGGCAAATATGCGTCGCTAGATTGGTTTGTGTTGGAGTACTGACTAGAACAACTCACTGATGCCTTGCATTGCTTCAAAGGTTCGCTGTGCTGTGAGTTCGAGAGGAGTTCACACGACCAACAAATTCCAGTAGTAATGTTACATTGAATCCTCTATATGATGCGCTAATGAACGTGAGAAGAGAGACCTCTGGTCACATATTGTAAATCTCGAGGATTGTGAAGTCGTCCTCGGGCTTCAGTGCAATTCCGAGGACACCGTCTACATAGGTTGCAGCGCCCATACTGATGCTCTTCCTCAGCAGCCAAATGCAGTCTCTGCTTGCAACGATCGGATATCTGATCAACACGTCACTTCGCTACCATCGTCTATCCTTGCCTGTCACACATATCAGCTCCAGTCCGCGTGGCTCATTCTTGACATAGTCATACCTTTGCTTATGCTTCGGGTTCTTACTGCAGATGATGTACACATATCGGCCGCCCTTTCTCCTCACACTCCTGCATCCATCGCAGAATTTCTTGACTGATGTGCGAACTTTCATGCCTCGTACTTGTGTGTTTGAGAGTAGCGTGGAGGAGGAGAGGAGCGGCTGGGCGGTTTGCGCACGGAACATTGGGAGGAAAGGCGTCTGGCGCGTGAGCGTACGAAAGAGCGAGGTGCGAATGGACAACATGATGATGGGTTGTGTCCACGGAGATGGAAGCTCTATGGGTGGTTTGTTGGTTGGAGATGGTAGGTAATTGAGATTTATACAATACCGTGATGGATGAGGTTGAAACCTCAAGTGGTCAGTGCGCTAGGACTAATTAGTCCTCGCCGCATCACCTCCGAGCGACGTTCAAGATAGTGATGGCATCAAACATGTGAGCGTAGTGTTATATCATCTCTGACCCGGGACCAGCGCCTCAATTGAGAGACCTCTTGATATCATTATGCTTCGTGATGAATCTGTCGTCTTAAACCGATCACTCCAAGGTTGCGTCGAGCACCCGCGCCGTGTCCCAGCCGACCGTGTCTGCGTGCCACTCAGAGCAGCGGAGTCACGGAGCCGCAGGTTCCCATCGATGAGAGCCTCTTTGAAGCTAAGAGACTGTATTCGTCTTTGTGCATGGACAAGTGCTATGCTATATAAAACACAGAGGAATTCATATAGGAAAGGTTACGCGTTCAATGGCTCTGAACGATAGCCGTTGTAGCTGATGGCATTGCGTCTCTTTGTCCAGATAGGCACCGATAAACTCGAAGAAGTACTTCTGGATTTGAAATAAAGGTTGCGCTGTCGTGCTTGAACGAGAACGTCTAGTTCCGAGATCGTTGATACTTGAAGAGATATCGAACAGGGTGAGAGATGTGAGGTGAAAGTACGGTAACCATCACTTCAATGCCCAAAGAATCCCGCGTATCAGCAGCTCAGAATATCATTGCAACATAACCTGACACGAGCTCGCCCCGACGTGGTTTATGGTGCTAGGAACTGGTTCAAAAGTCATCAACAGACCTCAAGATGAGTCCGCAGTGAGTTTCGACTTGAAACTGGGTATTCTCAAGACAGTCTGTCTGTCAACTAAAAAACGGTGGCTGGAAAATACATCGCGATGGGAGATTGTGAACTCCCCGAACGATTTATCCGACTAGAGCTGTTATGATACCAGCCACCACAACTTCCACCATTTTCGCCTCGTCTGTCGGAACGTTTTGTATTCCTACGTGCGCTACAGATACCGGCAATCATCTTCGATTCACATGTTACTTGCATATTCTCCGCCACAACACGTCAGCCACGCAGTATTCTACATCCAAGATGCAACCCCAAATTCCCATAACCCACGTGTATACTATGGTCATTTGAGAAATGGCTGTACACACAAACGAAGCACAACCTGGGGAATCGGCCCAAGGAGAGTATATTCTGAAGACGGACTCCCCAACCTCTTCATGTACGTCGACATCATTGTGCATTTTGACCACCACGCTTGATACTATTGTTGTTGCCATCGTGATGATCGCGAGTAAGTCATGTAAACATCTACCAGATATAAGAAGGGCATGCCACCAAACAATGATAGGTATCAACTTCTGAACCTTACAAGCACATCTGACAACCTCATCTTACAATCATATTTCTCGCAATCCTCTAAGCCTGACAAAGAAGCACTTCTCCAGGATGCATTCATCAATCTTGTTCATCACTCTGTGCTCTGGAATTGCTACAGCAATTCCTCATCACCTGCATGGGCATGTACACGGAAAGCGTCAGGGCGACATTCCATCTTCAGTCTTGTCAAGCTTTCCCTCTGATCTGACGGGAACACAATTCTCTGGTTCTCCAACTGCGTTCCCACTTCCCCGTCGGACGAACGACGAGGTCTTTGGTAAGCGCCAGCTTACTATTGTTCTGCCGAGTTTGTCCTTGCCCAGCAACGTCCCAACTCTTCTTCCACTGAGCGAGTCGGCATCCAATGTGGGAGCAAAGAGACAGGTCGATCTCCCTACGAGCATATTACCATCGCTATCCTTACCCAGCGACTTGCCAACAACACTCCTCCCAGCCAGCAACTCAGTAACCGGTGTTGGAGCCAAGAGACAGGTCGATCTTCCTACGAGCATATTACCATCCCTGTCCTTACCCAGCGACCTACCAACGACAATACTTGCAATCAGCGACTCGGCAACCGGCGTAGGAGCCAAGAGACAGGTCGATCTTCCTACAAGCATACTACCATCACTATCCTTACCTAGCGATTTACCAACAACACTCCTACCAGCCAGCAATTCAGTAACCAGTGTTGAAGCCAAGAGACAGGTCGATCTGCCCACAAGCATCTTGACAACAGTGTCTCTACCATCTTTGAGTCTCACCACTCTGGATCCCCTCCCGACGCCTGCAACCAACCTGACATCTGCACTGGATATGAGACGTCAAGTCGACGTACCAACTTTAACGAGTCTTACTTCTCTCCCAATCTCTGGGCTGACTCTTTCGTCTGCTTCTCTTACTTTCATTGGCACTGGTAATCTCTACAGACGCCAGGACAATGCAACTTCGACTGTCGCGGCGCTTACATCGACCTTGTCTGCAGTCGCCACAGACAGCTCGCTAGCATCAGACGCTCTGACTACGGCGTCTATGCCATTGACTGCGGATACATCAACTCCCCTGGCAACCTCTGATGCCACCAGCGTCGCTGCGACTAGTGAATCAGCTGCGGTCTCGGTTACTAGCAGCGCGGTGTCTGCTGCGGAAACTTCGCTCTCCGATGTTGCGACACCAACCACTACTGCGTAAAAACTTGTACAAGAAAAGGACGGGATACAGAGGTTTTCTATGTTGTTAAGATGTGTTTTCTTTCTTTGATTGCAGTTGTTTGTTGACGTGTTTTTGTCTTTCAGCATTGTGTTGCGTTTCCTTTCCTACGATATCCTACATGTATGCACCGCATTTTGCGATGCTACGACATAACGAATCATGTCATTTAACTCAAGCTATTATGAATATTCAACACGATTATGAACTCTATACACTGATTTGTTTGTTTCACACATAAATTATGATCCACGTTGAATAGATATTCAGCACAGCACCAGGATCGACGTTCTCAGAGCCAGCTGTATTCGTAGTCATTTTGTATCAATACGTCATAATGTCTGACTTTCGATGTACTAAGGGCACTCGTTGGTTGCTGACATGGTAATAGTACCCACTGCGTCCGAGGTTGCGATCTACTGTATCAGTCATGATGCCTGAGGCAGTAATGCATACCCGATCTCAGGATATCTTGCACGTCAGACTCCGGCTTTGAAAAGACATCTTTCATCCGACCGCCAGTGAATCCTACACCATGATGAATGAAAGCAAGATATACTCTCTCTAAACACGTATACAGAAGCCAATCTGCGTTTGATGGAGCTAAGGAGCTATGTCTTCCAGTGCACCCGGAATGGGTACAGTCCGAGAAAGGAAGGGCAACGCGCAACGACCACTGAAAGCTCTACTAGTTCTCCTGCTCTTTGTTAATTTCGCACAAGGCCTCTACACGCTACCACTCAATAAGATCATCGAGCAAAGATTATGTCGCGAATACTACCAGGAGTACGATCCAAGTCACGTTCAGGCAGACGGCACAATTGATGAATCTATGTGTAAAATCAGCCAGATACAGTCGAGACTAGCAACTTTACAGGGTATAATGGAGACTACTTGGACTATTGGAGGTGAGATATATCCGGGCTCTCTTATCTTTAGCCGGAAGTAACGTGTTGTTAGACTTTTTAGTAACGATCCCGATGAGCTTCGTGGCTGCTCGCTACGGCGCAAAATTGGTGCTATATATCAATCTGATACCGCGCGCTTGCCTTCTTCTTTGGCCAGCCTTGTTCAATTACTTTGACAGAGTCGTCCCGACGACATCAATCATCGCTGCTCCGTTCTTGTCAGTGTTTGGTGGAGCATGCGTTTTTGAAACGATCATATATACACTTACAGCGAACATGTCCGATGACAATACCCAGAGGCATGGATACCCTCCTAGGTCTGCGATCACTCGCTGACTGTAATTTAGAGCAACACATCTTGCATGGATCAGTTCAATCAGTTACGTTGTCAATCTTCTCGGTCCAGCTACCTCGGCAGCTACAATGAAACTTGTCGTCTGGCTACCTCTTGGGATAGGTCTTCTGCTTCTTGCCTCCGCATCTATGACGATCAAACATATCCCAGACTATGTTCATCAACTTCATCCGATCAGAGGATCAGAATCAAATCCCTTGATTCCAGCACTATCTACCGAGACCACGCAATCCTCGTTGAAACGGGACGAGGACTTGCCTATGCATCTTGCAATATTGCATGAATTTCATGAGATCTTTAAACTAATCTTCCATCCTTTGCATATCAACATACGGCTACTACTCAGTAGCTTCGTCCTCACGGCAGTGGCTGGTTCCAACACGTATCTACTCGTCCAATATATTTCCCTTCGATATGGCTGGACCTTCACGGCCGCAGGCTTCCTTCTATCCGTTAAGTCCATCTTCAACCTCTTTCTCCTTACGACTCTCGTTCCTTCTCTCATGTACCTCGCTTCGCATGTTTTTAGGCCAGTGGGACTGAACTCAGTTGCTGCAATCCTAAGCCTCATCATATCGGTCATAGGCGCGTTTGGCATCGGCCTTTCTTTTGCCTTCTGGCAACTTCTAACCAGCCTTATAATCTATGCCATGGGGTCCGCGCTTCCGGTTTTCAAGTTTTCACTCCTTCGCGCGTCTTGTGTGTCTGGCATCGTGTCTTCTTCAAGTCGCTCTTCCGATGCACACACTCCGACACAGCTTTTCTCCTTGGCGATGCTATCGAAAACGGCTGGATCCCTTATTGGTGCACCTTTAATGGCTGTTTTGTGGGTTCATGGCATTGAAACCGGCGGCATCGCACTAGGTTTACCATATTTCGTCTCAGCAGGATTTTATGCCCTTGCGATTGGATTGATTGTCATGATGAAACTGGAGGAAGAGACTTTGACTCGGATAGAGTAGAAATGGGTCACTTGACTTCGCCATTGGACTACAGAAAGACACGACTTGGCTAGATGCTCGATTAGGCTATGAATGGCTCTAAAATCCTACGGAGTCATGTGTCTGCGGGGCACCTGCAGGCATCATAATTTCTGTTACTGTCATATCCACCAAGTCGAGCACACATCATTGGTGCGATATAGCCTACAAGTATGGTTCGAAACTTCTGAAATTTGCCAGCAAGCCATTCCCTGTGGGGCCTTTCCAAGATCCAGTTCGGCTCTTTCTATCTGGTTGCATATCTCCACATCTCGTAGCAATGTGGCTTATCAACACAGATACTCTACAGCTCGAAACTTTTCTTGATGACAGAATACCAGCATATGCTATCTTGTCACACACATGGGAAGATGGCGAGCTTACCTTCAAAGACATGCAAAACCCAGATCCTTTGCATAAAGCTAGCTTCCTTGGATTTGGAAAAGTTCACCGAACGTGTGAAATCGCACGGGACCATGGCATTGGATACGCTTGGGTCGATACCTGTTGGTCAGATCCCGTCTCAATGTGATAACGTGCATTGGAGAGAGCCTTGAGTCTGATGGAAATTCTAGCATCGACAAAACCAGCAGCTCCGAGCTTGCAGAAGCTATCAATAGCATGTTCAAATGGTATGAAAGGGCAGAAATATGCTACGCGTACCTATCAGATGTCTCTGTGAAGGAAGGGGATCCTTTACCTCGAAGCCGCTGGTTCATGCGAGGATGGACGCTTCAGGAACTACTGGCACCTCGTCGTCTGGTCTTTTACAACAAAGATTGGGCGTCTCTTGGGACATTAAAGCACCATGACGAGCTAGCTGATGATGAGTCCGATGACGATGAATTGATCGGTGAAGTCCCGTCAGAAAGTGCAGAGTCAGAAATTGACGAGCCACGCAACGACAAGATAGACGGCACAAGGTTGAAAGACGACAATTCAGACGAGAATGAGTCAGGCGGTAACCAGCGAGTTGAACACCAGCCAGATGACAATCTGGTCAACAACAAGTTGGTTGATCAGGTTTCTCATCTCGCTGGGATTGACGAGGAATTCATCACAAGCGAGTGGAAAGTGTCTGACGCAAGTATTGCGAAACGCATGTCTTGGGCCTCTACTAGGAAGACCACGAGGATTGAAGACACAGCGTATTGTCTCCTTGGGATTTTTGATGTTAACATGCCACTCCTTTACGGAGAGGGCGAAAAGGCGTTTCAGAGACTCCAAGAAGAAATCATGAAGACTTCCAATGACTTTACGATCTTCGCCTGGGGCATCGTGGTCCCAAGAACAAGTGTACCGAGTTTTCATGGCATGAGCAGACCGAACTTCGGAGAACACAATGGCTTATTGGCTTCGATTCCAGAGTTCTTCCAAGGCTGCCAAGAACTCATCACTGATGAGCTTGGTGAAAAAAGCGAGCCGTATGTCCAGACCAAACAGGTGCTCCACTTGGCCCTCCCTCGAGCAGTAGGTCTGTCTAAGCACCGAGCAAGTGGAGATTCAAGTCGAGTGGTCCTCCCTTGCCGCGCCTCTAGCAATTACTTGTCACTTCTTGCAATTGGCATCTGGTCTCCGCGTCCTGGTATATTTCAACGCTCATCAGAATATCTCTATCTCACCACCCGGGATGAAATAGCGTCTGAATACACCCAGCAAAAGTTTCATGTATCGCTGGCTCATTACAATATCTCCTCAGGCCCCAGTTTCTTGGTTCGCTCAAGTGAGTATATACTTTTCAGAAGGCTACCGCCGAACTCGTCAATTACATATGTCGACCCCGGTGTGTATTGGAACAAGCAGAACCGGATTATAGGCAGGAATAGCAAGCTTTCAGAAGATACTGAACCCTTGACAAAGATTACGATATCACACCAGGACGGCGATACACTTGACATCACGCTCCGTGGTTTCAGCTGGGCTAAAATAGTGGCCGTGAGACAACAAAAGCACTTCAACATTCAAAACGTGTCTGGTTCTGATGTTCTAGCACACGAATGGTCTGCTGGGCGAAGGGAGGTACATTTTGCGAACATGCGTATATCAGTGTACCCACCCAGAAAGATCAGTGACGGTCCGGAAGCTGGGATTCCAGTAGTGCCGATTGACGTTGTTTCGACTCAACATGAGGTTCATCGTGTGGGCGACAGGGATGACGCTGAGGAGGTGGAGGTGGAGGAGTGGGATCAGTTATTGCGTACTCGGCAACGAAAGACATGACGGCTGGTTCGAGTGCTTTAAATTGACAATGCTATGGACCTTACGTATGTCATTGATGATAGTATCTTCGTGAGAAGGGTCAAAGCAACGCGAATAACATCACTTATCACAATTTATGAGCATTGTCATTCTATGCGTTTTCTCATATCAATGATCAGGCTTACTAGCAACACTTATTGATTGACATGCTGGTAACCCTTTAGTATTATGATATCGCAAGCAATAAAAACGTCGATAACAACGTCAATGAGAACGACTGCCAAGCTATACCGGCCAAGATAGCAAAGTGAACAGGGACTAGGTTGAAACCACGAAGGGCACGCCCTCTGCATTTGCCGAGCTACCCAGACCACTGTGGGATAAAGACTGTCTATTCGTGAACTTCACTGGATCAACTTCGACTTGATCAATGTCAAGACGGATTGATCCATCACCATTTGGCACACAGCTGGGTTGAGTTGTCATATTTTACGTTATTTGAGCCTATATTGGACGATGTCATATGGCTTAAGTACATGAGTCATGTGTCTTCGATGCACATCTCATATATACTGCCTGGAAAGGCCTAGCAAGAATTGTAGTATGAGAAAACGCCCTGTGGGTCCCACTTGTTCTTCACCTCACGGATCCTGTCGAGGCCTTTACCATAGACGTACGATGGGTTCTCGTCGCCGGTAGCGAAGCTCATAACGCTGTGGGAGTTAGACTATGCAATTTTAATATGGAATGAAGTTACCCACACGTTGGGAGACTGGGCTCCATTCAAAGCATTGCGAAACTCCTGCCCGAGAGATTGAATCTCCTGTTCCATGCTTTCGTCGGTGTATGCCCAATACTACAAACAGCGTGAGTCAAAGGCAGTCTAGATACAGGGTGCATCTTACCTGAAGCACGTTGATAGGATTCTTCCTCCACGCAAACGCGGAGTCCTCAACTGGAATTTCCCGCACACGCCGGTAGTCGTAGAAGTTGACGCGCACGACAGTTTGTTTGGCTCCCTCGTTCTGAGCTGTGAAGTTCTCCCAGCGCTCGTACAGGGCACCCATGATCTCAGGGTCTACAGCCTCGAGAGATGCAGAGTGCACAGGGCGGTACGCACGTGGGAGATTACCGCCCTCGCTGCAGAGTGAGTCTTTCGCTTCATTGATCTCGTCAGCGGGCATAAGTTCGCCTGTGTTGATGTTGGGTGTGTACGTGTCGGCAAGCGCGTAGAGAGGAGCAAAGGCGGCCATTGCGGCCTCCGTGGAACCATTGAGAGATAGCTTAAGAAGGACGGTCGGCTGTGACTTCGTTAGCAATGAGGGGGGAGGGGGTTCGTAATAAGCGGCTAGCTACCTCGTAGACTGGGTGAGGGCGGCCGTAGACCATGGTGCAGCTTATGCCCTCAGCAGCTTTGCCCTGGGTGACACCCATCTGATCAATAGTGTTGATGACCTTCTTAGCCACATCGGCGCTTCCCGGGAAGCCGAGCATACCGCTTTAGTGCTGACCTTTGTTGATCTGGGGGTAAGCTCTGACAGTGAGCTCGCTCACAATACCAAAGTTGTGACCTGCTCCACGGAGGGCCCAAAAGAGGTCAGCGTTCTCTGTGGCTGAGGTAGTAACAACATTTCCGGTGGCCGTGACGAGACGGGCTGAGATTATATTGTCGGATCCCAGACCATAATTTGATACGAGGTTACCAATGCCTCCGCCCCTAACGGGTGTCAGCGGGATCGTACTTTAACCCACAGAGTGACCTACATAATGGATGGGACAGCACCAACACTGTCACATGCCGTTGCAACTTGAAACTGTCAGCCAATAGCTGTAAGCTGAAGCCATGAAGACCTACCAATGTGGGCGTCGGCGTTTTGTGCGGCCTTCAAAAGCTCTCCAGTGGTGGCACCAGCGCCAAGGGTCGCACATCCACTCTTGAGATCAACCGTGATTCTGTTCATGTCACGAAGGCTGATCAAGATACCCTCTGGTCCAACCTGGGACAGGGTCATGGACCAGCCATGACCACCAGCGCGGGCAAGGAATCTGATGTCATTGGACGTGGCCCACTTGACCTACATAGAGATAAACGGTCAATTATACAAAGCTCTTCGAGACGGTGGTGGATCTTACAGTCGCAGCTAAATCGGCCTCGGTGGCTGGGCAGACAACGGCACCAGGGGTTGGCCTCTTGTACTCACTAAACCTCGAGATACGGGTTTCATATTCGGCATGGCTGGGTAGAATGATTTTAGCCTCGCTAGAGAGAAGAGCCTTAAGCTCTGGAAGCTCGGTAGCCAGGGTAATGTTGGTCTGGGAGACAACATGGTTACTTTTGTCGAGGGCTGACGACGGCGCCTGAGGCATGTGTTGAGTAGTAGCGGCCATGTTGATGAAGGGTCTGGTGATGAGCTGGAGATTAATGATGGTGAAAGTACTCAATTAAGCAGAGGAGAGAATGAGATAACGGAGGTAGGTATTCTGGGCGTCGCCAGAAGCATATTTATATGTTGAAATCGTACCCGCAGCACGCTTCTCCACAAACTGCGAGATAGCTAGTCGAAGCTCCAGACAAACCGGAGAGTTCATAAGCTGTCCTCTTCTGGTCCGGATTTGCGTTTTTTGATATCATAGGTCTTGGCCTCAGCCCGCCACAAAAGCATAGTATCCGCAGTAGATATAGTCGATGGGGCAAGAGCCAATTAAGCGATTTATGTGTAGCCACATCGGTGCACTAAAGGAACGGGTCGATGCGAGATAATGGATAGTACCAGAGACCAGAGAACGAAGTGCATTAGTCAGGGACGTACGCTAGAGCAGTCGGAGTATATACTAGTACAATGGGTGTTGCATGTCTTGTTGTTCGAGGAACCCCAATCTCGATCGCGATGCACCTCAATGATTACATAAACCCGCCATCAACCAATCAGATAACTTATGGTCTATGCAGCCAACAAGCTCGATTTGTCGCCGGTCTCTACTGATGATTAGCTGACCGAAGTCTCTCGGCCACATTTTTGCGGTAACATAAGCAACTTGGAGGTGGCAACGATCAGCGATACTCAATCAGATTATGGAGAAACGATATCGAATAACCTTAAGATCAGTGGAAGTGATCTTTATCCATAAATCTATTCTATTTAAAATATTTTATATTATTATCGATGTGGTGGCTTCGAGTTGCGGCTAGAGTCGCTTTAGTTGTGGTTTCTTTATTTGTCGTTTGCCTAGAACCTGACTCTCTTGGCATTTTTCATTTTCACGCATGTGTTCACACACCCCTCATTAGATGGCTATTTTACGTCTCTACCTCTATATAAGAGTCTATGAATTAGAATATTAGTATAGACTTATAGAGTGGAGCAAGGCAATTAATTAATATATACTTTTTAAGCTCTATATTCTCTAATCCATTCTATAATAAAAGGATTTAATTACTTAGAGAAGAGGGAGAAGGTAGTTTTTCTAGAACCTAATTAACCCGTTTTTCGCACGAGCTCTTTTCTTAGAACTTCTAAGAAATCTTAACCTTTCTCTCTAACTCTTTATATAGACTCTAATAAGATAAAGTAAACTTATAGATGGATAGAGATATATCTAATTATCTATTTTATTAATTTTTAATACTCTTATATACTAAGGTTTAGGTATAAAAGTTGAAAAGCTCTATTCGGAAGGTTGGGGTGTGCCAAGATAGTCAGGTTCTAGGCAAACGACGAATGTTACCGGAAAAAATGTGGCCGAGAGCGAAGTATACCAACTAGTTCTCAACTCTAAGACTAACCATCCTTAACGTCTGCTATAACTCTTTCCAGTCATATAGGTTACTACTTTCTTCTGTCGATAGGCTAATCCGACCTATTGCCTTTTAGAGGCTGTTCCGATTTCTCTGTTCGGCTGATTGCGAGAATCGATCGGATACCCCCTAGCAGGGCTTTTTATCCTCTCTACGTTGCCGACCATATGTGACGTCCCACGACTCCATAGAAAACCAACCGGGATAATTATGACAGAATCGGTTAACAAGCAACAACATTACTGCAAGGACTTCTGGGTTGCATGTCTGGTGCTTATACATATGGACCAAAGAGGTATAGTCACATTGAAATGCTTCGCTGTGGCCATGACTGAATTCTTTACGCGGGCTTCCTACGTGTTTCCCCCATATTCCATGCCATGTGCCGCAGGACTCCATTTGTAACTTTTCGATGGCGCTTATTTCGTCACTCTTGAGAATAGAGCCGTCTTCCCGGCATACGACGTATCCTCCCTTCAGGTTGGTAGCGTTGGGTGTTAGAAGTTCATCTGGGATCATGTACTTTACTTCCTGGCCAGGCTCAAAGGGCTCCTCCTGACCTGAACAAGCCTTAAAGTCTTCGATAGGTACCGATTCGAGAGTGCCGATGTTGTCATGGATATGAGCATTAAAATGTTTATAGACATAATCCACGCCATCATTACGGGTCATCCGTTCAATCCAGCCCGGCGGCTTGCATTTGGTCTCTGCGACGACTATATCGGTGGTGATACCGATGATGAGGAGGATGCTTAGAGGATACATTGGTTGTATAGATGGCTCAGTGGTATATCGTTCGCGGTTGTATTTTCAAAAGATGTCTTTTTGAAAGTTGAGATATTATATATACTGAATAACGTTACTTATAGTCTATCCCAGTGAAACTACTATGACATACTCTGAAGCTCACATAGGATCGTTGTTCGACCGTAATTCGCGCAAGCCCGGGCACGGTGCTCTTCCAAATGACATTCTAAGAAACTAAACCCTCTTACTATAGAGTTAATTAGAGAGTATAGAACCTCCTGTAGAGTCCGACAGGCCAACAGAGATAATATGATGCGTACTGAGAACCGAATTAGCCAGCTTTGCATCCCGACAGAATAAGAACTTGAAGAAGCTCGGTCCCAACGGCCTGAAAGATGCATTTATCAGCGAAATGGAGGATGTAATAGGATCGAATTAACTACATTTCTGTAACTCAGCAAACGCTCTCTAGCTTTTTGTATCAATAGCAGGACGAGGCGTCATAGGTTTGATCATATTCATTGCATAACATGATCGCCGTTGGAAATATATGCCGCAAGTACCAGCTGCCCACTGAGACCTAGTCTGGAGTACTGTGCTGAGTTTCCTTGAACGTTATAAGCTAATGTAGTCAAGCGAACGAATTCGGTCTTTCGCATGGAATACACCATATTCCAAACAATGTCACGCTGTTATTCATACTCTTGACACTTCACGAATAGGGCTAACTTAAAAGGATACAGCTAAAGCCTAGCAGCTTCTTGATGGCCTGTACGAGCATACTATGAAACGCTATTAGATAGTAGGAAGCTTATCTTCATAGCTGTTGGGAGACTTTGTCTGAAAGTAGCAGATGCTCGCAATGCTACGCATTCCATCCCGTGTGGGTCTAGTACGACTGTCAGTTCTACCCCAGACTCTATTACGAATCTGCGAGAGTAGGAGAGAAATGCCAGAATACCAAAAGAAGCAATTGTCGCTCACAATCTCAATCAATCTGATAGTGTATCAGTTGCCTTTGACAAGCCGACGAGTCAAGTACGGTGCCATCCGAAGCATCGGCTTAGGCTGAATAGTGGACAACACCAATAATGTTCAGACGATGGCATGTAAAATTTCAAAACCGATATAACCGGGTTATAATGCCGCAGGATCGAGAGCGATATCTTGTAGAACGATCTGCCGTATGTAGCGTACGATGGGGCTCTGGACTGGGCACAATGGGACACATGGTGACATGGCTCACGAGAGCTGACTTAGTGCTACTGAATTCATGAGTTTAATACTGTGCGGTCGCCTACAGATTTACAAGGCATGGTCACGATAGACTCGGTTGCCGATATGTTTTGCGGGTCATTGATTTTGAGTTAGTGGTACAGTGTTCTGCGTGGCGAGGGGATCTCGCTTTTCGTCCGCGAATGATCACTTTCCATGCTAAACTGACGGTATGATGGACCAATGATAAGGAATGTGAATACGAATGGAAGGACTGTAGATCACGGCCAGAACATATGACTGCCGCTCGCCCGTTCACTGTATGCGGCGCAGTTGCATCGACGGATACTTTGCCGCTTTCCCCCGTTGAACCATGTTATCCCGAAGATCTGTCTACCAGCGAGGTCAACTAATTACTTCCAATCTGATACGGTCTTGACTTCTCTACCACAAATAGCTTCCAAAGTTCTGACGCGATGTACATTCCGGTCAAAGTGCCAGCTAAACCTGCTAGATTGACCAGTGTTGTTCTCCTTTGCATCATCGTATATTACATATACAGACGAATAAGCTCGGCTTCTCGCAACTCAAAGTATGGCACGCAATCGCCGCCGATGTACAAACATCGTGACCCGATCTTCGGTCTAGATTTGATCCTGAAGACCGGGCTCTCAATCAAGAACAACAGCTTCAACGAAGAGAATTTCGCCCGATTCGATCTGTACGGACCGACATTCCAAGGAATTGCATGGGCAACCCAGTGCATAAATTCGATCGAACCAAAAAACCTCGCTTCAGTCCTCGGCGGAAGTGATTGGGGAGTTCAGGAGATGCGACTGCCCACCTGGGCGCCATTCTGTGGAGCAGGTTTTCTGACAACTGACGGGGAGGAGGCGAAATGGAAGCGTTCATTGCTGAAACCTTTCTTCCATTCAAGCAATATCTCGGACCTGTCGTTGATGCACGCTGGTCTGTACCAGATGATGCGCATGTTCCCAAAGGATGACACCGCATTCGATTTACAGCCCTTGGTATTCGATCTGGTATGCTTTGGTTCAACAGCTTTCGCCATGGAAACTAATCGTTCTTAAGTATCTGGACTTGAGCACCTCATTCCTCTTTGGCGAGCCCATTGGAGCACTGTCCGGCAAGTGTCCACAACACGCCAAGGGGTTTGTCGATGCATTCCAAGCTGGAATCGCCGGTTGTGGTCTACGAATGGCTGTCGGCCCCTTGAGACATCTCATACCAAACAGATCATGGTTCGAGGCATGCAAAAAGAGCCATCAATTTGCTGACTACTACGTGGATCGCGCACTGGAGCATCGAGCTCGCTACCTTGCAAAACAGAAGGAGGCCGATCCAGGGGATGGAACACTGACGAAACCGCGCACGCTGTTGATCAAGATGGCTGAAGTCACCGGCGACAGGAAGTTGCTTCGTGACCAGATCGTCCAAGCCATGATGGGATCCCAAGACACTACAAGCGTCCTTATATGTAACGTTGTGCACCTGCTATCACGCCACAAGGATATCCAGCGTCAACTTCAGACCGAGATCATATCCCTAGGTACCAAAGATCCCTCGTTCGAAAACCTTGGCCGCATGCGATACCTCCAAGCCATTCTTAATGAGAGTGAGTATGCCAATTACCATATCTGTAAATGCATGCCGATCAAGTGCTAGCCCTGCGCCTCCATCCTGTCTTCCCACACATCGCCCGTGTTGCTATGAAAGACACCATTCTCCCCAGTGGCGGCGGCTCCGATGGCAAATCCCCAATTTTCTGTCCCGCAGGCTCACTGTTCCGCACCTCGATCTATACCCTGCACCGCCAAACCCGTACCTACGGTCCGGACGCCCACGAATTTAAGCCCGAGCGCTGGCTAGACAAGAGTTTCATGCCCGGTACGTATGAGTACGTGCCATTCGGCGTTGGTAGGCGATCGTGTCTTGGAAAGCACAAGGCCATGATGGAATCCTCGTATATGATTGTGAGGCTGTTCCAGCAGTATGAGATCAGTGCCGGCGATGCGACGGTGTATGAGGGGAAGTATATGCTGACGATGAGGAATGTGAATGGATGCGTAATCCGCCTCAAGACGCTGGCAAAGCAGGTGACTGAAAATGTCTAATTGAATAGCGTTGTGGGGAATCTATGATGTTGATCGTTTCAGATGTCATCATGGAATGCGGGTGAACTGATGCGGCGGTTGGTGTCCATAGAGGTGCTTTCCATGCTAGTCTCGAAATGCAAGCAATCGCTATTCATCACTTAGTGCTACCTAAGGAGTCGACTTCTTGATCGAAGATCTTCTTATCAACCAATTTTTGATCGCATTTCGATTCCCAAAGCCCGCAGGCCTCACGCAGATCTAGGACTCTCGTAGTCGATTTCGTAGTCGATGCTGTGACATTCACGTGCTACTGCCGACGTGCTCTGTGCCACAATTGGACAACTTGTCTATAGTGACGATATCAGTTTGTTTGCTCACAACGGGGGGTGATGATAACCCAACCCGGTAACCACAGCATTCCCGTCCACTGTGCGAGACTACGCACAATACGTGAGTGGTGTGATATATTGGTGACTGTAACAGGTAGGTAAGTGATATTAGTGATTGTAAAGACACTAATTACCAGAAATATAAGTAACTCAGCCAAACAGCTTGATCCTATCATAAGCGAGGCCAGCATCCCTGAACCCCTGAAACAAGAATGGTATAACCCACAAAGGTAACTACGAACGACGCACTTTGAGCCAGAAAAGAAACGCAATGCCCGCGACATTGAACACAATATACGCGAGCATCAAACCCACATTACGCCACCGCTCGTCATACTTAAAGCCCAGCGCATAGAGTACGGCGTCCGAACTGGCCACCGAGCAATAGAAGCAGGAAGCAGTGGCTGAAGGGTCCACAACGTACCCGCCTGCCGTAGCGATGTAGGCCTGAAGGTATTCCCCACAGGTGTTTCTCGCGGGGAGCGGGACTTCAACTAGCTCGGATGGCCTGCATCGAACATCTGCTCCCCACATTGCCACCGTTGATATGCCCCCTATGAGGTATGTCAAAGGCGTCACTCGGTTCATGAATTTCCAGAACGACGGTAATGCGGAGGGCCTTATGAGAACTCTAGATGCACCATCAGCGAAGTTCTTAGCCCTCAGTATGGCAGGGCAGTATAAGAAGTTTTTACTTACCCGGAAAAGACTTGCGATAGTGAGTAAATGAGCTGGGCGATATTGACAGCAACGCTAGTGTCTCCGATGCCGGCAATGACTAGCAGCGACAGCGTGGACATGAATACGCAGTAGCACCATATGAACAGAAATATCAGGCCACCTCGTGCGTGTATACTTGCCCCTGCGTGCCTGTAGAAGCCTATCGGATAATACCACGAGACATATATCAAGAGGGCAATCACAGTTTGCGACGGGATTTCGCCCAGTATACTTGCCACGAGAAACGCCGAAGAGGAAAATGTCTTAGACAGATGCTCCCGAGCTTCGAAAGCCGCACGACGTTGGGCGAACCGGTCTATAATGAGCTGGCAAAGACTACCAAACAGGATCATCAGACAGAAGATGGCGAAGATCTGGTTCTGGATGCCCTGGATGCTTGAATCTGGCCTCCAGAAGGAGACGCCGATGAAGAATGCCTATGGGATATCATGAGTACGTGCCAATGGATATCAAACATGAAGAACTAGACATACTGTTCCAACACTGAGTAGGACCTTCGGGTAGAGGTATGACGGAATGCGCCATTCTTGCTGGAGGTTGCGATATGTGACCCATAGGATCTGCTCAAGTAAAGGTGTAGCATACTCTTTTTGCGTCGGAGCGGTTGGGGGTATGGACTCCTGAGTCGACTTGGATCTTGTTAGATATCCCAAAGATGCTTTGATCTGTCTGTGCTCTTCCGAATCTTCCCAAACCTCGGCCCAATCCTTCTGCGTGCTTGAAGTGGGTGCAGAACAGGAGATTTCTAACAGCCATTCAGCCGTGTTCTCTCCCTTTATTCGCTTTCGTGCGCCATTGCTTTCAAAGTAGTCCACCAGATGACAAGAGGAGGGTCCAGTTGCGCCAAAGTAAAGCTGCCGTCCTCTTGGCCCAAGGATTAGAACATGATCGAACACATCAAATACGAGGGCTGATGGTTGATGGACGGTACACAGAATCGCCTGACCTGCTCTTGCAAGCTTTTGTAGAAGACAGCATATGAGCCAGGCTGTCTGGCTATCAAGACCCGAAGTGGGTTCATCCAAGAATAGAAGGACATCTGGTTCAGCTGCAAGCTCAACTGCAATTGACAGCTTCCTGCGTTGTTCGATGTTCAAACCTTGTATAGTCAGCCACATGAATTTTATGGTCCTAAAAGTGAGACCTTACCTGCGCCAGGAGTGCCCACTACGGCATCGGCATATGCATCCATACCTAAGGTGTTGATAATCGAATCGACATGTTGGGCTTTCTCTAATCTTGTCTTAGATCTAGGCTGCCTTAAGGTAGCGCTGAACATTAATGCTTCGCGCACCGTACATGTTTCTACATGTACGTCTGTTTGTTGCACAAAACCTGTCTGTCTCTGGAAGGCGGCGTCCCTGACTTTTCCGTTGACGCTGATGTTCCCGGTGACCACCCCAACTCTCGTTCTGGCTGCCAGAACATCGAGTAATGTCGTCTTTCCCGCGCCTGTTGCACCCTTGATGGTCGCGATTAGTGACACACCGATATCGATGATGAGATAAGACATACCATGAGCGCTGTCAACGTGCCAGGCTTTACCCATCCATCGATTCCCGATAGTATCTGTTTAGACGATAACTTGGTTCCAATCCTGTACCCAACGTCATCCCAGGTAAGTATTGAGCCCTTATGCAACGCACTGGGAATTTCTTCTGTCTGTACGATAGTACTTGGCGAGTCTAGCCCTGCATTCGGACTCTCCTCACTACCAGTAATTCGGCCAATTTCTTCATCGACCTGACTGATAGCTCCCCGTCTTGAGCTAGACTTTTTTTGGAAAATCAAGACGTCGCCTCGTGGACGTTGGGCAGAGATGAACTCTGCAGCAAGGAGATGAATAATGCAAAAGCATATCATGAAAGCAACCAGAATACCGTAGTTACGCCAAAGATTCTCAATCTTGAACGAAAACTGGGATTCGATGTAGCGAGACCCGTTGACTTCTGTTCCGCCCGGGACTGAGCCAACCGAATCGCATGTCTGCGGAGCATTGGCTTGGTTGTAGGACTGACCAGAAGGGATGAACCCTGAGCACGAAAAATAGCGACCCGAAAACTAGATTTAACGATTAGCTCTTGCCTCCTCTGCGGTTGGGTAAACTGTGACCCTACTTCATTTACCATGACAGACTCGAATGCGTATGCCATAGGATTCAGATAGCTGATCCACCGGATCCAAGGCGGCATGTCTTGTGATGGGAGCACAAATCCTGAGGTTATGATTAGGTTCAGGATCCAAACCGAGACTGGAACCATTGATTGCGCAAAGGTCCGTGATAGCGACCCTACCATTCGAAAGAACATTGACATCGTCAGATGACACGTAAAACCAAACAGGTAGAAGGTAAAGAATGCAGCAGGCGCCCGTCGTAGGTTGGTAAGTAAGTAGATTGACAAATTGAATGCCAAAGATGCGATTATCTTAGACGGTAGATCAGCTAGCATAGATGCAAGAGCCTCAGCCGACGGATGATAGAGAGAGTAGCGAGACTGCTTCTCCACGATTGGTCTTTGTGCCCACATTGTCAATACCTGACTTGGAGTTAGCTCTAGTATTCGCCCTTTGCATGACTCAGACATTTCAAATACCTCAAAAGCACTGGCGTTGGCATTCAGAATAGTGGCGAAGAAGATGATGGCTCCTCGACTAAAGAAGTTCCCTGTGTTGGGTTGGAGATCGTAAAAAACACTCCCGATGATGAGACCCAGAATAGCAAGCCCAGATATGCCCGAGAGGGTGGCAACATAGCTATGCTTGAGCCTTTGGCTTGCACGTATGAGACAGAGCCCCAGCTGACGAGCAAAGGGAATCATGTATGTCGACCTAAGCAACGTTAACTTCGAACATGCGATCGTGGTGGCACTCTGGATCTAGCCATTACCGTTTTATCACAGGATTAGAGCACGGTTTAGACTCGGTGGTTCCAGAGTCGGACACGAAGTGTCCATCAATCTCCTGGAGTAGCATGCCATACTCCTTACTCGACTTCCACACCCGCTCGAAGTCTGCGGCAGTTCTAGGCACACGGTTATGGGCCTCTTTCGCTATCATTCTTTCGGCGGGATTTGTCAAGGATGTTAAGAAATCTGGTGTGGTCATGTCGGGCTTGCAAATGAACCCTAGGTCCTCAAAGAACGACTTCGCCCTATTCGTAGGACCGAAGTATACCTGTAATCCATCATATAGCAAGGAAACCGAGTCAAATTCCTGTGATAATTAGCAGAATGTGAGAGGTTGATGGTCAGATCTCACCTGGTACATTGCTTCCGATGCTTGATAAAGTGACATGATACTCACAGACTGAAGTACAGTACACATGGCACGTTGAAGTTTGACGAAGAAAAGGGCCGTCGCATGATCAAGGCCACGGGTACTATTGTCCCAGGCCTGAATTTGACAGCATTTCATCATGGCTTCTGCAACACTAAGCCTTTGGCGCTCACCACCGCTTATTCCTCGAACAAGATCATCCCCTATCTTACTATCAGCAACCTTCTCGAGGCTGAATAGTCTGATAGTTGCATCAGCATAAGACCGTATGTGATCATTCCTTGACACGCCCGCTTGAGGAGACGCAGGAGTGACGGCTGCTGCAGTGAACTCCAGAGTCTCACGTACAGTGAGCTCTGGAAAATGCACAGTTTGTTCGGCGTGGTACACAGCTCTATCTCGATATGTCTTGCGCAGACGATTAGAATTGATTTCTAAAGTTGGTGTAAGTTGGTGCTCTTGTAAATAGTGGTGGCAAGTATCACCTCCGTACTCAAGTTTACTATCCGCATCCCGCATTAAGCCATCCATTTCTCCAGTCAAGGTTTTAAGGAGTGTAGTGCAGCCACTTCCAGGTCTGCCAAGGATCAGGTGCATCTGAGATTCTCTTACGATACCATCAAAGCATCTCAATATACATACGTCTTTTGCATGTCTATGTTGGACTCGTCCCAGAAGCACAGACGGATAGTTCCCGCATGTATGCTGAAAATCCGCTGTGACTGCATGACCGTGAACAGACAAGTTTCGGAAGACGAGCGGTGTAAGCTTCTGTGAGCTTGGTGTTTTCTGCTCTGAGAATTCGATGGTATGAAGCCAGTGCGCAGAAGACTCCTGAAGAAGTGACGATGGACCCATTTCTGCTACGGGCGACATATCGAAGGAAATTTCAGGAAAGGCTGTTTACAAGTTTCACCCAAACCGTTTGTGACAGCCGCGACTCCTTCCCTAGAGCTCAGGCGGTATGTGCAGCTTACATCAAGATTGAGACTGGAGAACGAACTGGCCGACGTGAGATGCCTCTGCGGCGTGGAGGAAAATCATCATTTGTTGAGATTGCAAGGGAGCGCGTGCCGGCCGATGCGTCAGCTTTTGATACGAGACAATACCGATTAATACATAGTATGTAAGTTACATTCGGACTACACACGTTTAGTAAATTGCTATTCAGATGCCAGAGTAAGATTAAGTCAGACGGATATCGTCTGTCTGGGATACTTTTGGGAACATGTGTCACAGCCAAGGGAGCCCGCATGTCGGACACGATCATCTCGCATACTGGACCCTGTTCGTTGTTGCATGCGACAATAATGTGTTTAGGAGGCTTGGGCACCAGCTATGCTTATCCATCCTCGAGCGTGAGAAGCCAATCGATGCAAAACACTGCAAGTTGTGGAGGAATGCCTTCGATCTCGGATGAAAACGGTATCCCGCACTGGAATCCATGCAAGTACAGGGTGAGGCCATCTGATGACTGTGATCGTTGTTCGAGCATGGATCATAGATTGTGTGCCTTGCTGACTCCATTCCCAGACCTTGGGGGCTGCAAAATTCGGCCCTGCTTCCTTCTTTTAATTTGATGTGCAGTGTAGATCCGCGCATAGCCTTCCATGTTATAATATGTGGTCACTAGACGGCGTTACGACACCATAGCTGGTCGATGTGCCTTTGTTTTCGAGGGTCCGCAATGGTCGAGTTCCGAAAATCGTTTGCCTTACTGGTGCTACACCTTGACCTGGAAGCTGAAGCGTCAGCCCAACTTCAGTATCTGCAGGGTGCAGGCTCGTTCATGTTAGTGCATCCACTCTGACAACAGAGTAGAATTCCATACTGATTAGCCAACTGGACTGATGCAGTCATGGTGGGTTGATCCGTTTCTTTCATCCAATCAGGGCTGCAAGATCATATCGCGTGAATGACAGACCCACTCGAGAACGCCTGCTCTGTACAAGGCTCTCAGCCTCTCGGCAGTAAGAAGACTGGCTGATTGGTATGTGTAGATTGATACAAGCAGGCTGAGTCGAGGCGTTTGGCGCGGGAACGGATCGAAGTCGGGAGGAATTTCTGACCCCGGCGCTAACTAGAATTTAGTACGCGGGGGCAGGCAGTTCCCACTAAGATTGATTAGTACACCGATATAAACGTGTATGTATATGGTACCCAAATTGTCCTGATGAGAATGTTTGATATGTACGCTAAACGATTGAGAGATCAATTCAGGTGCACTTCCAGCGACTCGTGTAGATGAGGTCCAGATGGAGTGGAGAATGCTTGCAGACCTAGATCTTAGCAAAGCAATAATATTAACTCTCAGCTTCAACATAGCCAGGTATGAGGTAGTTTTCAAGCGGTTGGAATGCCTCATACCGAATTATGGGGACCGTGAATGCCCCCTTGTGCTGACGTGTGATCCTGCGCTACTGGCGTCTTCACAGGAGCTGGGAACACCCAAGCGACATATTGCGGCCACCCACATTTCATTACGTATCCAGTCTTTCAAACAGGGAAGAGACTCCCAGTGACGCAATACTTCAAGAATTACTTTTTAGGGATGCTCGCTCAGATAACAGCTTGACCAATGGATATTGATATGTTGCGTCCCCATTCTAGATACGATTCCAACCCTAAACGACGCGCTTTCGCATGCGGAACTTCACCTTCTGCTTTGGCTTCTCCGTCGCAATTCCAAACCCCGAAGTATCCATTGTAATGTTTGGTGTCAAGAACTCGACATCAAACATCGACAGCATTGTGGCCATGATGAGAAGAAGCTGTCTCCGAGCGAGATGTCGACCCGGGCATGCGCCATAGCCTCCTCCATATGGAATCCATGCTCCGTCTAGTCCTTTGAGTGTGAACAATTTCTCACCAGCCTTCTCAATCCCCTTATCACCAAGGTCGTCATGGGAGAGGCCATCTTTACGGGGGCCACTCAGAGGGTCGCTTGGGTCAAGGATGAATCTTTCGGCCCAGAAGGTGTTCAGGGGATGTTTGCCATCCTTTGTATTCCAGTAGGAGTTGTCCATATGTGCAGGATAAGAGTTGACCATGAAGACCTTGTTTCTTGGGACAAACCAACGGCCATCAGTAAAGTCTTGATGTGGTGAACAGCGGGTGGTGAAGACATGGACGTGAAGTCGTAAGGTCTCTGCGTACACAGAGTTCATCAGTGGATCTTGAAGTAGGTCTTCAACATTGAATGAAACCCCATCACTTCTTTTGGTAAGATTAGCCAAAGACTGGCGTAACTTGCTCTGAAGCTCTTGATCCTCGAACACATGTAGAATGGTGAGCAATGCATTGGGTACGATGTTCGTGACAGAGCTGCTAATGTCAGTAACAATGCACCGAACTCACGAATGGATATGGCTTACGTCCACAGAAGGCCCAGATCAACTGATGACACTGCTGCATCGTCTTGTTCATCAGCAGCGAGTAAGTACCTCTGTCTTGATCTCACAAGCTCGGATCCCCAGAACGGATCTCCATCTCCATCGGGTAAGATTGATGCCTCAGTAAATCCCTTCCGCGCTTCAATATACCAGGCCTGTAAATGAGCAAGCATGCGATCGCGAGCTCTATGAGCCTTGGGTGCCAGGAACCACGGAAACCTCTTCCCTAGGAATCGGATCCCACGGTCAAAGTCCCAAAGGTCGCGTAAGAAGTTTTTCCGAGTGAGTAATGTTGGTCCAAATAGAGCCTCCAGAATGGAGTTGCCGACATTTTGTTCAAAGAACTCAAGTAGATCCGGCATTTCAACCCATTCCTCCGTTACTCCAAGACTCGAAAGTCTGGACCGAAAGTTGTGTTCAAAGCGCTGGAGTAAAGGCCCAAGACCTTCTTTGGCGAGTCCTTTCAGAAGCCCGTTGTGCGTAAGGTAGTCAAGCCGATTACGTGGTTCCACGTTACTGTCTGGATGAGGTTTCTGATATACACCAGAGTTGTCCGCTTTATATGTTCTGATAGACTCCTCTCGCATACCGAAGATGTACTTGAGGCCGACAGTATAAGCGAAAATAGGACTTGACAACCACTTCTGCCTCCACAGGGCGGCAAGAGTGGTTGGCCCACTGATCATGTATATCTCATCAACGGGAAGTGATATGCGTACAGGGGCAAGATATCCCGCGTATCGACTACAACTATGTCAGTCTGAAGACTTATATAGTACAAGAACAGTTGATTGATACACACGTAGCTCTATCCATGAATTTTGCACCCCCAAACAAGAGACCAAGCGCGCTGCCGAGAATCGGTACAGCATGAGGTAGAGTGGGTGGAATCTTCGGGTGCTGCTCTAGGTCTTTGGTTGTATCATGGGGAATGCGAGCATGCAATCTTTTGAAGAGAACATCATATACAATATAGTTCAAAACAAAAGGCAGAGTAACCACACATGCAATAGCAATTCCCTTCTGCACAAAATCATCATCAGACCAACATCCTCGGATGAAGTCGATCATGACTATGTGAGGAATCTCGAGGAAATGATAATTTGAAAAATCGGCCAGGAGAAATACGCGAGTATATGTTGAGCAGGAGGTAACATCCAGTAACATTCTATATGAGTCTGGGAAGACCTGACCACTTTATACTTAAAGGACTGTATGCTGAATAAGGGAAACACATTGACACTGAAATAAGAAAGTATATGTGGAGTCGTGTTACTGTGGACCTGACCGGTCGGTAGATTTTGCCCTTATCGCCTGCCCCATGTAGCATCGCAATCAGCCCCTTGGGAGTTGACCAATCCAGAATACATGAAAGCGAAGACCGAGACATTCATTCTGGCTACATTGCTTCTCGTGCTGCAATACCTCGGCTTCACAACTACTATAGGGAAGTCAAACCCGTTGACGCCTTTGCAGAAGCGCTGACAGGACGTAAGACCGCCAAGATTGCGTAGTTCAGACCCCAAATACTACAAGGATACACATCGATATCCACAGCTGGATAAAAATAGTCGTAGTGGTTGCGCTCACGTTGCAGGGTGAGATTTCAGCCATGTTGCTGCCCCAGCCAATAACCGAAGACTCCGCATGGGGGTCATATGAAGGCTGCATAGCCAGCTCAGCAGCGTGAACCTCGACTTCGGCTTACTTGTAATCTTCTCCATACTTCCTCTGGAATGCAAATCGTCTTTAGCAATCGTAACTTGTACATCTGATACGAGTCGAACGACTCTACCGATAGCAGAAAGATGGAGATAGATACGGACAGTTACACCTCCATCCATCGGAAGACATATGAGGTGCGCTTTGGATCCTTATAAGGTTAAAAACTTGAGCATGCTGATACATTCAGGTGACCATCGGGATCTTCTTTGGCATTTCGGTTTTGACTTTGCTTGCGAGACTGACAACACGCCTCACAACACAAAGACGGCTGGCTCTCGATGACTACTTCCTCATCTTTGCTCTGGCCTGTCTGTGTGTATCGGCTGCCATGCTCTTCGTGAATGCAGAGGCGTACTTCCTCGACAATGCGATCCAACACGATGTGACCCTTGCGTACAGACTCACGCCGAAAGAACTGGATATGGTTATTAACGGCACAACTCCATTGAAAACGTTTCTCTGCCTGGCATGGACTGCAATTTTCTGTGTCAAGTTCTCTTTCCTGGCTTTCTTCTATAACCTCATCGATAGAGTGCGTGGCATTCGCATTTGGTATTGGTCGGTCGTTGTCTTTACGATAGTAACCTGGATGTTTCTGGTTTCCGAGCCGTTCATACTGTGCCCTTACTCCGGCGTCGACTCATGTACGCCACCTACATCTTTTATCTTCATTTTCGCTGACCTTTGAGTAGTGAAGTGCTTGGATCCGTCTCGCTCACTGTTGAATGTGTCTTTGACTGGATTCATCACAGGACTGGACTGCTTGACTGACATCATGAGTGAGTTTACATACCAGTCAGAGGCATATCTAACACTTTGTAGTTGTTAGCATTCCAGTCATAATTCTGAGACAATCAAATTTGAAGTTCCGTCAGAAAATGGTCCTAGGTATCTTCCTTTGCCTGTCGCTCGTGATGGTGGCGATGGCCATAACACGAGTGAGCAAAGTGAAGAATGATATCGGCACCGACGTCCCGTGGTCGCTGTTTTGGCAGTTCATGGAGGCAGCTGTGGCAGTCTTCATGGCATCATTGACAACCTTCCGAACGGCATTTGTGAAACACAATCAGTCGGGCCAGCACGCCCCACCACCGCTCTATTCGTACAAACGTTTACTCCGAGGCCGAAAGAACAAATCGTCCGAGAACGACTTCGAGGACACCGAAATAGGTCACCTGCCTCAGGTTCCACGGCCGACCATGACCGGGCTGGGGACGTTTATCAGGGGCTACAATCGAAGTCATGCACTCCACAGTATGGACGATACCTTGTGCGGTAGCGAATCTAATCGGAGCATCGTTGTGAAAAAGCAGTTTGTAAGTCACACAAATTGTTCGCCAGCTGAGGATCACACTAACATACCAAAGTCAGTCCAGTCTACCCACGAATCGGAGGTGAGCCCTCCATCAACAGCTTATGAGGAATATGAGCCACGCGATACATTTAGACGGTAAACAAGAGCTCTCCCCTCGGAGCTTAGAGACAGGCTCTCGGTTTAAGCCCAACGTGGAAATGCGCAACATGTACCGTAGATTTCATTAAATGTGGAGCGTTCCAGTCTTGGAAGGGTGGGTAAATAGATCATGTTTTCTGTTCGAAATAAATGTGTAGCGGATATATTGTTTGGCACTAGCGTACCTCGAAAGTGAATCCGTGCATGCAATTGTGTGCTGATTGAGCAACTTGATAGTTTCTTTTGTGTCTCTAGCCGAGATGATACACCTTCATCGGTTGCCTTCTCGACAACATTCACGTCGATATTTTGCGGAAGCAGTTCGAAGCGTGTGCGTTAGCCAGAGAGGCCACCAGACAAGCCGTTGGCTGTACGCGGAAGAGTCATGAACATAGGAATGTAAGCGACCCTCTTTGTTCGAATGTCTTAGACTAGAGTAAGCGCTAGGATGTGGATGTGTGTTTAGCAGACCGCGCAGGTACGCAGCCTCAATAACAATCTCCACCAAGGCCGATAGAGTGACGTGGGGCTAAACTGAGGCACGGGCGAACTTTCATATGCGGCGCAGATGATGGCAAGGCTTGTCCACAAGGTAAGCAGGGTGGATACAAAAGTGGTCTATTGCTTGTTTCTTACCTGTATCAATACCGAGCTTGAAACATTGCACGACCTCAGCTGCCAGACGCGACAACCTTAAAGGCACCTTTGGACCGCGCGTCTTGATTAGTGCAGCACATATTCCGTCCAAGACTCAATCCGCAATGGTCTTCTCATTTCTGGACCATGGTCCGGCATGGCTTGTGGTGTTGTTCTACGCTGTCCCACTATGGCTATGCTTTACTGCGTACGTCATTTACAAAGGCTACAAAGCTCGCATGCCTTTCTACAGACTTCGCGAAGCTGGCATGGTAAGTCTATATCTGCAATGTATAGTGGCCAGAACCTTGGACTCACAATTGATCAGCCAATGCCACCATGGAATCCCATCCTTGGCCACCTTCTAGTAATGCCGGAAATACTAAAGACAATGCCGAAGGATTCCCAGCAGACTGATGCGTTCGTCATTCTGTCTCGCAAATTTGGAAAGACGGATTCGCTCTTCTACTTGGACTTATGGCCATTTTGTGACCCATTCCTTATCGTTTCCTCGCCTAGTCATGCGATTCAAGCTTGTCAGGAACATGATTTGATCAAGCCTGGCTCGCTGAAGCCGTTCTTCCAGCCACTCGCTGGTGGTGATAATCTTTTCACCATGAACGGTCCCACATGGAAATCGTCGCGAGCTTTGTTCAGTCCAGGTTTTAACGATCGCTACCTCCGCAACCAGACCCATCACATTGTTGAAGAAGCGCTGGTCTATCTCGAGGTCCTCAGGTCGCATGCACGCAAGCAGGACATGTTTTCTCTAGACGAAGCTACGCTCTGGTACACTATGGACATAATTGGCGCAGTCACATTGTGGGTTCAGCTTCTCCTGGCCAGAAAGCGTGTATTGACAGTTTCTAGTAACTCGAGACTCCACTCGCAGACGCAACACAACGAGCTTGCCACCGCCATGAGAAGTCAAATCTCGTGGCAATGCCTCAATGACGAGTTGAATCCATTCATCCGATGGAACCCGATCAGACCCATAATGCAATGGTACAACGGCCATCGGATGAACAATTACATTTCCAAGGAGCTTGACCAGCGTTTCAAAGAATGGGCCAGCGACGACAAAGCTGCCTCGACAAGATCCATCATGAACCTGACAATTGCCGATTACATGCGCGAGGGTAAGCCGTCCAAATCAGGAGAGACCGCCGATCGATTAGACAATAGCTTTAAGTCATGGGCCGCTACACAGATCCGACTGTTTCTTTTTGCCGGTCACGACTCCACGTCTTCGTCTATTTGTTATTGCTACTACCTTCTCCAGCATAATCCCGGCGCAATGCAAAAGCTTCGCGATGAGCACGACGCTGTCCTTGGAGAGAACCTGACGGACACCCCCAAGCTTCTTTGTGACCAGCCAGATCTGTTGAATAAGCTGCCATATACGGAGGCTGTCATAAAGGAAGCCATGCGATTGTTTCCTGCTGCATCTGGCATGCGTGGAGGTCGACCTGATGTATCCCTTCGAGACAACGACTCCGGACAACTCTACCCAACAGATACAATGAACATCTGGATCGTACACGGAGCTCTGCAACGTAATCCCAAATACTGGCCAAGGCCTAACGAGTTTCTGCCGGAACGCTGGTTGGTCAATTCGAGCGACCCTTTGCACCCGGTCAAAGGCGCTTGGCGACCGTTCGAACATGGACCTAGAAACTGTCTGGGGCAGACACTGGCAATGCTGGATATTAAAGTGACTCTGGCTCTCACTGTAAGGGAATTTGACATTAAGGAAGTTTATGATGAATGGGACAAGATTAATCCATCGGACGGAATCAAAAGACTTGAAGGAGAAAGGGCCTACCAAATTATGAATGGAGGAAGTCATCCGGCAGACGGATATCCATGTCGTGTGACGTTAAGAAAATAGAATAGAAGAAAATTGAAGGATCAACTCAATGTTGACGATCCGAGTCTAGCTACACCCATGTTTGATCATTGCGTAGCATCGGCCAATCATCCTAGCATGATCCCTTCTCATCGATCACGTTCCATAAGTAAGTAACTCAACTGTACCGTCACCTCGCATATTTGAGCGTCACTGAAGGCCTGGTTGTGTAGCTTCGAGTCACCTTCGGCCGGCTCAGATGTGCGAAGCTATTGGTGGACACCTCTAATGATTGCAAACAACAACGACTAGCAGCAAATGCATCAGGCAGCCAAGACAGTATACTTAGAGTGGTGGGAATTCAGGGCATGGCTGTGAGCTGCACATACGACTACTTCAGTGGGAGCCAATCTCGGACGCTCCCAGACAGGTCAGTCTGCCCGTTAAATAATACAGCGACAGATAAGCTCTTGCAAAAGTTCTTCCTTACGATAGGACTTTGTAACAAGGCAGCCTAAAGTCTCTGCTGTCAGATTGGATAGTAATCTGTACTCTGTAGGTCTGGCCTGGGGCTACAGTAGTATCATCAAATCTTGCTATTTCTTTGCCTCTGGTGTCTTCGCTGCACTAAATAGTATGGAGTACCGCATGTAGTAGGTTTGGACCAAGGCAACCGGCTTTTACATATTATCGCGTTGTATGCAGTCAAGCATCGCGTGAGATGGTAATGATCGATGTGGGAAGGACGGGCGCGTCGTGAAAGCTGCGCGCGTCGTGGAGGATGATCAGAAACAAGATATCGGTGGCTGCATTGTGGATTCGTAGGACGAAAGATAAAGACGACCTGAGGATGTTAGTCTGGTTCTAGGAAAGTGTGGGACTTCGAAAGAGAATGAATTAGAAACTTTCACCCATGAAAAGAAAAGGTGACAAAGCGTCCACCGGAGCTCTAGTACGCCTACCGTACTACCGACTTTGATTTCGTGTTTCCTTGGCCAACGCACAAGCGACTGTAGGTGCAACCTCTCAGCTTGTTCTTTATGGCATCAACTCCTGAACGAGCAGTATGCTCTCGGTTGTATTCATCTCCGCAGTCGGGTCTCCTTCTGGAAGCCTTTTGCTGACTGTAGATGCAACATCCCCGCGACCGCTCAGCCCTCGACCATTCAATCAACAGGAGGTTTGCTGTTAGTAAATGAACTGAGAGGGGTAAGATGTCGTACTTGGTGAATTAGGCTCATGTACAGCCTGACTCGCCCTCATTGTCCCTTATTTCCTTCCTCAAGTCAAGGCCTTTAGATGATCTCCAAAGAGCTGTGTCTATACTTTCGCTCGCTCGGGATCCTTAAATCTGTCCAAGCAGACCTATCTCAGCGTAGAATGCGTTCCAAACGATGGTAATTCCGGCTTCTCTCGGCACTAGAAAGGAGTATAGAAAAAACTGCTAGAGAAATACGATAATTATCTGATCGACATCCAATCGATTCAGATCAGCGTCGGTCATCAGACTACTAGGTGTCTGGAAAACCGTATAACTCATTGGTTTCCTAGAGCTACAGCGTTGGGTTTGGTCGATCACGTTAAGAAGGCAGGTACCCTAGGCCATCCGTTCAAGGCTAAATTCACTTGTCTCTAGGGGCAAAGATTTACGACGACTAAGACGATGACGATGACAATTCTTCCGATCAAAAGCTGCGCGAGCACTACTCAAATGTAGCATAAAAAGAAAAACAAACGAAGGAGTCAAGCCGGATGATCGATATAAAACACGCGCTATAAAGCAGTTCGAGGTTCGCGATACAATGATGATTCTCCGTACTGGTCTTCTAGTCTCACTCAACCATCTAGAGCGGTAGCAGTGGATACGTTCATTCAATCATTCTGTCGGCTTTTGGTGGGGATACACCCGAGACATGTCTTCTTTACTATGGAAATGCGCTGTCATAAAATTGAACATCTATTTTCCGAGACTTGATCCTGCGGTATGTCCTACCTGGACCCAATTGGCGATATTGCTTTGGGCAGCCATGATCATAATATTGCTTTCTCTCTCGGTTTACACATCACCACCATCTCCGGGTGATGAATCCAGGTTTCATCGTTCCATGGCCATTCTGCTTCCTTACTTTCGAACAGTCTCAAGTCATAGCGTTCCAACAGCTCGATGATCAAACATTTGATCAGAAGATCGGCAACATATTTTCCTAGACATTGTCTCGGTCCAAATCCGAACCGCCAGTAACGATAGCGCGTATCTTTGCCGAGCTTCTGTCTTTCCAAAAATCTCTGTGGTCGATACTGCTCCCTATCATTACCCCAGAACGGATCGCGGATGTTGAGAGCATATGCGTCTACTATAAATTTCGTTCCTGGTGGCACAACGTAGCCGTCCAGGACGCGAACATTAGGACAGGACTGTGGGACGGAGAAGGCAGCCAGCGGCCGCAGCCGAGATGACTCCAGGATGCAGGAATTAAGAAGATTATTAGTCTCCAGAAGATATGCGTTTCGATCGGCAGCTCTTCCACCAAATTCATTCCGCAATTCTTCCTGTATACTCGGATGGGCAGCCAAGAAGACCACGTTCCATGAGATTCCTCCCATGGTAACATCTAGATTGGCAAACAACATTTCATCTAGTGTTTGCAGGACCTCCTCCCTCGTGATTGTACCTTCAGCCACAGCTGAGTACATGTCAATGATCGAAGGCTTAAACGAGTCGCCAGAGTAATTTTCGACTGCTCGGGAGTATGCTTCGTCAGTCCACGAAGCCCACTTTGACTTGAATTCTTTCAACTCGCGGTTGGCTTGCAGCGGGAGGAACTGGGAAATCCAGAAGCGGGGCATGCCTCCTTTGACCACGTATTTCATAAGCTGTTCTCGTCCAGGAATAATTGCGAGTAGCCGAGCCTTTAGATCGTCACCAAAGTCGCCAAACAAAACTTTAGCAACTGCCAAGAATGGCAAGAGCTTCAAGTCTTCGACGGGATGTAAGCGACCATTATCGCGAAACTCCGGGTTGTCCACAAGCCCTGCAATCCAAGACCTCGTCAATTCTGTGAAGTCTTCGGTGTAAGCCAAAGTAGATCGATGCAAGAAGGCCGGCTCGGACGCTTTGCGCACTGCTTTCCAACCTTGACCGCTGATCAGTCCGAGGCAGGACCCAAGGAGCGTGTACATGAGCTGTCCACTATCATTCGCGTGAGCTTTTTGGTGAGTATGCGAGTCCTTGAAGACAGCTTCAACATGTCGAGCCTCAGTAAGAACCACCTCCGGCGATTGACCCGACCAGATCCGATATAGAGATCCATACCGGTTCTGCCATTTGGCGCTGTTCGTTCGTCCGTGGAGAAACTTTTCTGTGTCGCCTTGACCATTAGGAAAAGTGAACGGGAGTGATGGAAGGGGCTGCTGTGTCTCGTGCTGGATAATTGGGTATTTTTGATGTAGGTATGTCTTTGGTTTGTTAACGATTGTACACTATTTCATAAGATCTTCTTACACTGAAGAGTATAGAGAAAAGAGCAGCAAAAAAGCGGCGAGCATATGAATATCGTAATTCAACCAGAATGAAGACACAAAAGAGTGGTAACACAAGCAAGATGAATCTATCAAGCAGGACGGGATTACTAGAGACCGCCATGATCATGGTGCTATGGAACTGGGTAGACAAAAGGGGTAGAGAAAAGGGGGTTTCGAAGTTCGTAGCGAGAAGTATGCTGAGAACCTCAAGTAAAGAAGGTCGCGTTCATCTCAAGCTTGTTAACAGCCCTTCCAAGAACACAATCATAAAACCTTGAACGGTGATGTATCTCAACCCTCCGACACTTTGTTCTCGGCAAGACATGCAACATTCCGCTAGCGAGTCTTGGCAGTCGGCGAGGTTGTCAACCGCCGATCGCCAAACAACCCTGCTGACCACGTTTTAATCCTTGTGAGAAAACCTCGCCGACTTGAGATTATGGCTTCGCACACCGTCCGCGTAGTATGGAACATTTACTCTTGTCAGCACTCCTTCGGGATTTCTCAGCTCTCGTAACAAGGCTTCTCGATTTGGGATCTCACTCAGGGCATCGAATGCAGAATGACAATGTCTACATCCAAAGAGAATCCTTTTCGCGAGGCTTATCACTAGGACCCATCGAGCCGGATGTGTGGCTTGCCACGTGGTTGCCATTTATACAATCCATGCTTTTGGCTTGAGCCTCCAGAACCGTGCGCGATTGAACAGACAAGGCGCTGGACCAAGCTCAGTGTTGGGCTTGCTCTAGAGTCTAGACCGAGATCTAAGACCTCTTGACCACCATCAAACAACTTTGTTTTTTCACACTCGTTACGCATTCCGCGAGGCTTAACGTGGCGAGAGACTAGTCATCCCACACGAAGGATCGCATGATAGCAACGTAATCACCCGTGTTCGACGAAATGAGCTCCTCATGAGCACATTGAGGAGCTGAGCCATAGCCTCAACGAGTCTCGAAATAGGCTATCCGTTTCATGACTGAGACTCCTTCCAATGGGCGATGCGAAGTGGCGCATCGAACAACACGAGAGGGCGCAGGCCGGTGGGGTGAAGGCAACGACGTTATCTGGTTCATTGAAATACAAAGAGTCGGTTCTCGAGCAAGTGAAAAATCAAAGAATCTCAAGTTTGCAATTTCCTTGAAAGGTCGTTCATTGTATCTTTACGTACAGTATCAGTCGATTTCAAGTTCTAGCAAAATGAAGCTCATAAACATCATCACTTTGTCCATCCTATCACACTTCGTGTCCAGCAGCCCAGTCTGCTACACACCTCCTCCTTCATGCTCTCAAGAGACTATCGAAGGCGCATGCACATGTTCCCATGATATGCCCTACCAACGATCGCGCTCAACAATCACACTAGGCGCTAAAATCGAGGATGTCAGTGCAATCATGAAGAACTGTAAGTTAAAACTCAGCAGTATCAACCCATATCTAACCCATCACAGTCCACCAAACAGCCTGGATCGGCGTCCCGCACCCCATCAGTGTCTCCGGCACAGATTTGACTCCCGGCGCTGTTCGCGTCATGCCCGCCAACGGTGTCGAATTCGTCGAGCAAATCTACAACATGGCCACACAACCTGATGGCTCCTTCAATCTCGCCTTGCAACAAGCTGACCGGCCAATGTTCTACTGGAATACAAGCGACCACCAAATGATCTTCGACGGGTTCTGGGACAGCATGACTGTCACAAAGGTCAGCGAGCACGAGACGGCCGTAGACTGGCGCGCTTGGGGCTGCATCAATCAGCCGTCTGGCTTCAGTGTTTTCCAACGGGAGGCACTAAAAGGGGTGGTCAAGACCCTGAGTGAAGCTCGCCAGTTGGATGAGCGAAAGACGAGCGAGAGAGTTACTAAGGTCGTGCCTCCTGAGTGGGAAGATGTCAATTGCTGTTATCAAAACAAGGGTAATGGCACTGCAGCCCGTGAGCCCGTGTCGCCTGCTAGATCACGATTGAGGGTGCGTACAGAGAGACAAATTGTTGATGGTTATTAAGCGATCGGGTTGCAGGTCCATTTTCGTATCTTGCTTGGACCCGGTGGTACGTGTGGTGTAGATAGAGCGATTCTTTTCTATGTGGTGTGTGTATTTGGCGCGATTTTGTTTTATGTCCATCATTGTTGTAAGCTGAATTGAGAGTTATAAATAGAAGGGTGAAAGGTGATAAGAGTAGAGTGAGCGACACAGTTGGAGGTAATATAGCATTGGATCATTCGAAATTAGACGCTCGCTTGTTATGCTACTACATAATCTAGAATCAAGAATAGACTTTGTTGAACTGTGCTTAACGATTGCTTTAACGGACGCTTTGGTGTTGTCGTAATTGATCATAAGTCTATTCTCGTACTTTTACATAGAACATTATATAATGTGTATGCCCAGCCTCAAGCATCGTGGACAGGTGTCATTCCAATGCTTTCGTATTGAAGTAAACAATACTTTTGTTGGGTCCCATCCTAGAGTCTATATTACAATCAAGTTAAAGAGCACAGTACTGCAGATATATATGATTCCAATCGTATTCATAAATTCGAATAACCTCCGGCTTCCTTCAGGCTACACACCAAAGTCTCTATCCGTACCCTGATGTCATCCAGCAACAACTCATGTGTGTTTGACAAAGCTTCATCCTCCGCTAGCCCTAAGTCCCGCACCACTTTGTTCACTTCACCAACAATTTCCATCATCTTCGACAGCTCTTTATTCATAACATGGGTCTGTAGCATCTTCTGTGCTTCTGAGTCGACTTGGAAACCTCCGAGATGCAGTAAGACGCTAGGCCTTTCCTTGGTCTGAGTATCCTGCTCGGATGCGTGTGACGATCGCTCGAAGAGTGTCAGCGTCTGTGAAAGACAAACAATGACGAGTAGTAGAGTGGATATAGGATTTGAGAAGACATTATGACATTTTAATACGTTGCTCATGCTTGGAAGTAGCGCTTGACTTAGTCGGAGTAATTCGTCAAGAGGAGGACCCTTCGTGGTGGACTTATTGCTCAGAGACTCTACCCTCTGAATCCAAGAGCCAACTTCAGGTGTTGTTGTAGGAGTATCAAAGCTGCATGGATCCTCTCCAACTCTACTAGAGGCCGGCGTAGAAAGAGAACAAGGGGAGAGAGAGGCTAAGCTTTGTTGGGGTGTCAACGGCATAGGTGTAAAGCGAATATCGGACATCATGGTATCGGTCTTTCCGCCGTTTGCTCCTACACAGCTGTTGGAGCTCGATGAGGTCTCATATAAGGCCAGTGGTGCGTTCGCATCGAAAGTCAAGCTGTCGTTGAGATCAAAGCTGGGAATGTCATCAGAGAACGTCCAGTCATCGAGTATACCGGCACTCCCTGGAACATTCCAGGGATCTTCGAACATGAAAGCATCGGGCTCGAAGCTTCCATATAACGGTGTTGAGTTGAAAGATGAAGTATCCAGAGAGCTTGTTCCGGACATCTTTGATCTGGAAACCCTCTTTTTCTTGTCCCCTATAGTGCGACCCATATTTGATTCGCTGTAGAGACATTGTTTACCGCCCTTTCGGCACCTTTGGCAACCGTCTTGTTCCCCGGTACAACGGACCTTATATATGATCAGCTGCATATATGGAGACTGTTACTATTATCTTACCTTTGAACCATGGCAATTATCGCAGGCAAGTCTCTTTTTCCTGCCAAGTTCTGTTACGTTGGCTGTCGCTGAGCGGTCCATAATGACACAGATAGCGCGAGGTTGGATCTGATGGACGTGGTCACAGTATAGAATTTGAAATCATTGCGAGACGTGACGATGAAAAGCTTTCGACTTTTTCAATCAGATCTTAGTTACTATTGCAGCTGAATGCATAGTTCGTCACCATGGCCCAGTCGAAAATCTCGAACGTTTACTGTAGCGACGCCACAAACCTGTCAGGGACAACATGTCTGACGGACCCTTTATGTCGCAACGTCCTATTTCAGTTGTTGGACTCGCCAAGAGGGAGTAGGAATGCAACGCACCCGTCAGCGTACGTTGATGACTGTAAGCGCAATCCTCCGGAAGAAGTCGAACGACATAAGTTACGAGGAGGAATCGTATGGTTCTTGGAAGTTCCTACTGTCAGAGCCACAAGGAATCGAGCACAGAGTTTGGGGCGTAATGAGTGTGGTTGGTATTATAAACAGTCATTGGTGACGTGGTGGGTCGTACTCGCCTAATCAGAACTAGCAGCTAGTTAGCTAAAACCTTTATTTCCACTTTAGAGTCCCTCTCTCTCTTCATAATAGATGTAACCAATGACTTTATTCTATTTCTGATTTAATACGTATTGATTTACATAAACTCGTAGCGTGCAGAGCATAAACACGTGTAAATACGCCATGATCGAGCCACACTCCTGAAATAGCATTATAATGCTACGCTGCTATGAGGGCTTATTTCAACCTGAGTAACGGTTTGTCGTACTCTCCAATGGCGTTCTAGGCCTCCGTAAAGGACTCGCGATCTTCATGCTCTAGAATGATCAAAACCTATGTAAACACTTGGATAGCATTTAATTTCAAACTATCCATCCGGTGTGGGACACACCTGCATCGTGGTTGAGTATGACACCTTGGAACTTCATTGGTGCGCAGCACTGTTCGACTGCTCACCGCGGATCTGCACGCTAGGCATCTAAGCATACATGTGCATAAAGCGCGTCCTATAAGTTTAGCGGTGTGTCTGAATCTAGACTGCACCCCGTAAAACAGTTGTCAGTCTGCCTGCATATAGTATAATTGGGCACTGATGGATGCATATTTCCAGCACGACGGAGGCGACCAACGAACGCATGGCCAAGGCCCGTGTTTGTGGGTGTCCTAGTAAGGCCCTGCATGTACGCTGTACGAAGCACGACCACGCCGGATTCAGATTGGTGACACGGAGCATTATTACTTAGGTAATATTTTCATGGACCTGCTCCGTCATAGTCAGGCTACAGCGACGTTGGCCCTATCCTACTCCTCCTTTTCCGAGATACCTGACAAAAAGTCAAGGGCAACGACAACGATGAGGATACAGTTCCGCCCAGGCCGCTGTTCATGCGCTTATGCTATCATTTCATGAAGCGTTTCAGGCCAAGTCTAGAAAGGAGACACGGAGCAGCACGCAAGCCGACTCTGAGTCTGCCTTTTGTGTCACCGGAGGAACTGCGTCCGATATTGGCGACATATCTCACCAAATCTGGTGACACTGACGAGTCGGTGAGGAGGGTGATTATCGTATTTATCCGGATAGGATTTGATCTTTGTTTCAAGGAACATGAAGCAGACAGTCACATCAGAAGTAAGACCGATCACGATTGCTTGCCAAGCATTGGCTGTGATACCTACAGACAAAGCTGACCAGGAAGCCCGCAGAGACTTAACCATGATTTGACAGTGTCCGGAGTCAAGATTTCACAGAATTAATGAAGCTTGGCTGGAAGCAGGTATTCCATCAAACAAAGACTCTGAGTTCAGTTCTCTTTCTTTGCTTTTTCTAAAATATGCGCACGGCTTTTAATCAATCGGCAGGCTGAGTAACAGCGATCCTACTACTCGTATCAAGTAGCTAGTCCACAATTGTCTTTTGCTCAATAGTCTGAACACTGGCCATGTCCTTTCCATGCGCCTCTTTCAGCCTCATGGCTTTCTGCCTCTCTGCAAAGTACTCCACCATAGCGATACCGCCGCGGTGATGGAAGAACAAGTTCAAGTACATCATCGTTTGCTCGGCGTTCTGTCGTGCTCGCTTCCACATTTTGAGCTCGTAGTTCTCCAGTGCACTTCCAAAGTATCCAGATTTGTTTGCAGAGATGATCTCCAAGGCCAGCTCCAGAGAATCCTGCATGGCCACATTCACGCCTACTCCCGCAAATGGTGTCATTAAATGAGCTGCATCTCCGACAAGCGTGACTCTAGGGTTATTCGACCAGGTGAAATCGACCGGTAATTGATAAAGAGGCCGGCCGACAGTGTCATCGTCACTCTCCAGAATCAAAGATTGCAAATTCTCACTGAAGTCGGCGAACAAAGCATCAGCAACGGCCTTTCGCGCCGTTTGATCCGTGAAGCTGATCCCACAAGTTTGATACCATGTCTCAGGGAGGCGAGCGAATGCGTATGCTTGAATGCCACCATCACCGTTTCGTTGGCACATGATACCCTTATCAGAGCCAAGATTGAGACACATGCCATTGCCAACATGCTGTGCTAACATTGGGTGCTTTGCATCTGCGTCGGTGATATGGCACTCAAGACCTCCCACGCCGGAATAGAAGGGCTTCACGTCAGAAAGAAGAGAGCGAACTTTTGACCACGCGCCATCAGCGCCGATGACAAAGTCGAAGCCCTCCTCGGTGCGGTCTGCGAAGTGTAGCTTGAGCTTTTGGCCCGGATTGTCCTCAACACGTAGCAGTTTAGATTTCCATTGAATGACTGAGTCGTTCAGAGAATCTAGCAACATGCTGCGTAGTTGCCGTCTATCAATCTCAGGACGGTTGGCGAACTCGTCTGCTGGGCGACCTTCATCACCTCGGCTTTCGTCCATCAATGTCGTTCCATCTGGAGCGATGATTCGGAGCGTTTCTCCCTCTGGACGTGCGTACTTCAAGAACTCATCCAAAAGCCCGGCTTCTTTTAATGCTCGTTGTCCCGAGTCAGGGTGAATGTCAAGTGATCCGCCGCTGTTTCTGGAATATCTATCGGCATCTAAATCATACAAAGTGACATTTATAGAGTTTTTATGCAATATACTGGCGAGAGTAAGACCAGCAGGGCCAGCTACATTAGGCGTTAGAGCATCATACGTATTAGATAGAAAATTCCTCATACGTACCTCCGATAATAGCAACTTTGGGACTCGACATTTTGCCTTAACATGGAGAGGAAATGTTTGGAGTGTAAGTTGCGTCTAGATGGTTTCATGTACCAAATAGAAGTCATTCACGTCAGTCCAAAATGCACCGTGAAATTGTGAGACCCTCATCACCACAGTCCATCGGTGGCCGATTCGGTGAGGCTGTACTATCGGTGCCTGTCAGCTATGATATTGGGCCGATACACGGAGCTTCTGACACATTAGCCGATACGAGGACTAGATCCTTGAGCGAGTTGTCGATTCTTGGTCTTCCGTATGGTATTACTATTTTGAGCTCTCTTTAGGCGCCGAGGAACTGATCGGGGTCTGTGGCTCCCACGTAACGAACCTTAGTCTCGGATGCATCACTCAGCCGGAGATGGTATCTGCACCTATCCAGCTCCGCTGAAGTTCCTGCGAAGAAGGGTTTCCCTTGTAAGTTATAGATACGCACCTGCATGCTGAAGATTGGGTCTCGCTAGTTCAAATCTCAAACCTCGACTATGGACATCAAGAACTCACTACATGTCCCTTTTGCCGGCCTACATGTGCCAAGCCTGATATCTAAGGCTATATCGACCATCCTTGAGGTACCGGAATCGCATGTATTGGACGACAGCAACTTTATCGCTCTAGGGGGCGATTCCCTATCAGCCATCAAGGTTGCCGCACATTGTCACAAAAATGGACTCTTGCTCCCCACAGGCGCCATACTTCGTGCGAAGCGGCTCGATGAGCTGGTATCACTGGCAGCTCCAGCACCGATAACAGCGCCCCCTACACCAGACCCCTATGCGGCGATCGACTTCTCTTCGCCAGAGCTTGGTTCAGATCATGTGAACATAACGCCAGCGAAGGCCCTGGACGGCTCTGCGCATGACATAATCACTGCAGAGGATATCCTAAATGGGCATCATAATGAGAGCCTAACAGAGTTGCAACTCTTGTTATTACGCGGAAGCTTACGAACCCCTTCTCTTAATGTCCTTACCATCCAGGACGCGTTCAAAGGCCAGAGCTTAGAGGCCATCAAACTTGCGTGGGAGCGTGTTGTGCAGTCTGAACCCATATTTTCAGAACTGTTGCAGGGAATGGCTGTCGCACCAAATGCCCTTTTTCGATGGCGAGAGTTGCATGTCCCGGACGAAGAAGCGTTCGACGAGCAGATGAGCCGACAACCGGAAGTCGACGGATCTATTTCATCGTTCGACATAGTGACGATCGATGGACCGATTGGAGCAGAGCCTAACAAGATTATCACAGTCTGGAGGGTCCACCACGCGTTCATCGACGGCTATTCCATCCAGCTCATTCGAAACAAAGTCCGCGACGTTCTGAGAGGCGAGGAGATCCGCGCAGGCCCCCACTTTGGCGCTATAGTGAGGCAGATCAAAGATATACAGATGTCTAATAAAGACGCAGCACGCGAGTTCTGGGACAAACAGCACGAGCAGTTCGCATCAGCAGCCCGTCAACTGGTTCTATCACCGCAGCGGCTTTCAGGAACACAGCCCGGCCGAACGGAAAGCTTGACAGTACAGTTTCCTGACGAAAGTCTGTTAGCGATTAGCAAGGCAAATGGCTTCACACCTGCAGCTTATTACTCGGCAGCTTGGGCGTTGACCTTGAGCAAGTATACGAACAGCAACCAAGTTTGCTTTGGCATCGTTATGTCAGGGCGAGACTTGCCCGTCGACGGAATATTCGAAGTGGTTGGGCCTTTGATCAATACTCTGCCATTGTTTGTCGCTGTTGATGCGGCCTTGAATGCTCAGTCATTAGTACATGACGTCTCTCAGAAGATGCAAGATCTGAATCAGTTTTCGTCGTCCAGCATCGAAGATGGGGTCGATCGTCAATTCTCATCTGTCCTTGCCATGCAATTTAGCAATGATGATGAGGCATCAGACTTCACCGACAGTCCTGCTCCGCGGAAGTTTGAGATGGAATCGGACATTCCTCTGTCCATCATCGTCGAAGGACATGGTCAAGTTCGGCTCATCTTCAATTCGAGCTACTATGAGTGGAATGACATGAAGCTCTTAGGCGAGGTCTATTTGAAAAGCATGCACGCACTTCTCAAGACCAGTAACCCCCTGCTGAGCTGCCTTGACAGCCTGCTTCCTGCCAGAGCGGTCAAGAACGTAATGGAGTGGAGCAATTGCTTCTCTGTAGAGACGTTTGATGATTCGAAACATGAAGACTTGGTGACGCTCTTTGAAAAGGCAGTTGAAAGCAACCCAGAAGGCATAGCGATCGCACGAGGTCGCGTAGAATTGACGTATCGTGAATTTGACCAGGCTGCAGGCGCTGTGGCACATACGCTTGCTTTTATCGAACCGGAGGAATGCGTTTGCGTGTATGCAGATCGATCCATCAACTGGCTGATTGCCATATATGGGATCCTGAAGGCGAAAGGTGCGTCCAAGATGATGACTCCATCTATTGAAGAAGATTATCATTGTAGCTGACTTGCTTGCCGTCCATAGGAGTTTATACGCCACTTGATCCTTCGGCGCCAGCAGAACTGCGAGGAATGAACCTGAAGCGCAGTGGTGCACGCGTCTTTTTGATACCCGGACGAGGCAATGGGGACATCGAATATGTTAAAAATAGTCCTACGAGTCCCGAAGACGCGCCGGCGCCTCAGCTCCTATATATTGATGAGATTCTCTCGTCCGTAACACCGACAGACACATGCAATGTCCAAGCCTACAACCGCAGTGTCGTCAGTGGACAGCCATTCGCTAGGCGACGCTCGCCTCAACCAGACCGTCTCGCTTATGTGTGCTTCACCTCTGGCTCCACAGGTCAGCCCAAAGCTGTCCGATGCACTCACAAGGGCCTCGTCGCCTTCCAAAAAGATGAACAAGTGCGCCTTTTCGCCGCTCCTGGGGTGACTGTGGCCCAGGTCATGTCCCCTGTCTTTGATGGAAGTATCCACGAGATCTTCTCTGCCCTGAGCTATGGTGCGACGCTAAGACTTGCTCCAATCAATGCCGAAGATCCATTTGGGCACTTGCGTGAAAGTCAATCTACAATCCTGACTCCGTCAATTGCAAAAGTACTGGAGCCTCACGACTTTCCTAGTCTCCAAAATGTGAGCCTACCTGTCCAGATCATGTTGTGCCTGACTAAAATGTTACCCATAGGTATATCTCGTCGGCGAACAAGTGCCGCAATCCGTCTGCAACACATGGGGCAAGAAGCTATCTTTGTATAATATGTATGGACCCACAGAGGCTACATGCGGGGCAACAATCAAACGACTACTCCCAGACCAATGCGTAAACTTAGGGCATCCCAATCCCTCTTCGCGGCTCTATATCCTGGACCGCAACTTGCAAGTCTTACCTCCCGGTGCTGTTGGCGAGGTATTCTTGGCTGGTGTACAGGTCTCGAAGGGATATATTGGTCTACCTGAGCAAAATGCAGCTCGGTTTCTCCTCGACGCAGTTTTGCCTGAGAGTAATGAAAAAATGTATCGAACAGGGGACCTGGGATATTTCGAACCTGCGACTGGTGAGATTCATTTATTAGGCCGCAACGATCGTCAGATCAAGCTGCGCGGTTACCGACTTGATTTACATGATCTCGAGGTTAGAGCAGCGAGAGTGCTTCCAATGTGCGATGGCGTTGCTATCTTTCAACGCAAGGATTATCTGATCGCTGCCATTCGGACTACCACTGCCACCGTAGCATCGATTAAGTCGAATCTCGCAAAGGAACTGCCTCCTTACGCCATGCCGAGACATATTATTCGCCTCAAGAACTTCCCTCTTACCTCTGCTGGCAAACTTGACTACAAAGCTCTTGATTTGCTGGAACAAAAGGAGCGAACGACACTAGGGTCGACTGTCCTCACACCCACAGAAAAGATCATCGCAGACGTATGGCGCATCGTCCTCAAGATGGATCGAGACATTCAAATACACAAGGACTCCAATTTCCTTTCACTGGGTGGACATTCCATCTTACAGCTTCAGCTCGCCAGTCGCTTGTCTTCAGTACTCAGGCAACGTGTCAATATCCGGAGCGTCATCCAGAACCCAGTCTTATCCGATATGGCGAGGGTCATTATGGGTAAAGGTGCACGTCGCTTGTCCAAATCTCATAATGGGTCAGTTTCCGCGAGACTTGGACAAAGTAGCGTGTCCCCCATCGAGCGTGACTGGTTCATGAAGTACCAGGCTGATCTGGGATCCTCAGCATTCAATGTTTCCTACCTTTGTGACCTCGACGATTCAAAACTTGATCGAGACTGCCTTATCACGGCTTTCAATACTGTTCTATCCAGGTATGACATTCTTCGATCAATGTTCAGGCAGAGAGGAAACGTTGTCCAACGTTTGCTATTCGAGAAGCCGCCCCAGGTTTTGGCCGTAGATTCCTTCCTCTTGCGAAAAGCCATCAACACCGAGTTCGATCTCTCAAGCGACTATCCGATTCGCGTACTGGTGGCAGAGAAACAGCTTCTAGTCTGCATCAGTCACATAATCTGCGATTTGAAGACTCTCGAGGTCCTTCTTCAAGAAGTCGCCGCTTTATATAATGGTGCGGACACGTTACCGCGACCTCAACGCTTCTACTCAGACACAGAGTGGATGATGCCCATAGAAGCGGACTCGGCGGCTTTCTGGTCCCCATACTTGACTGATATCGAGCACCACAATAAACCCTATCTCTCACGGCCTCGTACATCATACTCCGGCTCGTCAAAATTATACATGCTTCCCATTGAATCCATGTCCATCCTGCAGGATCTGCACTCCCGACAAGGCGTCACTTTTCATCAGACCGCTCTGTCTCTAGTATATCTCGCGCTGCAGATCGAGGGGTCTTCTCACACCGATATGGTTCTCGGCGCCCCCTATCTTGGCCGCTCGGCGGAAGATCTCAACACAGTCGGCCTTTTCCTTCAGCCTTTCCCCATTCGTGTCTATAAGCCGGCCAAGGAGTCAGACGTCGATTCATTTGTCCGTTCAGTCCACACGTCTGCGCAAGCAGCACTCGCGCACGCCCTGCCATGGGACCAACTCCTGCAGGTCCTGCGCCAGAGCTCCGATGATTCGCTGCGCGCTGCAGTGTCGGGCTCAGAGCACCCCAACCACGCACTTTTCGACGCCATGGTTACATTCCACGACAACCGTGATAGTCCCAGATTACCGATTGATGGACTACAGCCAGTGCTATCGTGGGCCGAGGGCGCGAAGTTCGGCATCATGTTTGAGTTCTCGGCCATCAGTGACACAATCCTCACTTTACGGCTGGAGTATGACGTTGATTTGTTCTCTTTCGAGCAGGTTGCCATCTTAGGAAGAAGGATCAGTTCTGGATTAAATGCAATGAGGCAGGGAGGGATGTTAAAGGCAGTGGAGGAAGCAATGCATGTTGCAAGTGAGACTGCGGACCTTGTCAGTATTCCTTTTGGTGAGTCTTTGGCTGCGCTCCAGACTTTGGCCAAATAAAAAGCGTAAGCATTGCTGGTGTTGGGTTGGACTATTGCTAGATTTATCATCTCTGTTTTGACTCAGCTCAAAGTATTTTCATCACTACTTCAAACATCTCCCTCACTCGCATTCGTGATGTCATAACTGCAACCTGGCTCTATTGTCGTGATGTTTGTGAATGGCTAGTCATTTTTATATTCAGTGGATATTACTGTTTTGAATTACATGCGCATATCACATCGTCAACAGTATTTCGCTTCATATGAACCTATGGGAGTTGTCCAAGGAGTCCACCTCCATCTCTACCTTTTTGGAGCATTGTTCGCAACCACAGGTGTCTTATTGTCCCACACATCGTTCTCGCACGAATCTAACAGAAACTTGGCCACGCTTGCACGAGAAATACTGGGGAACCACGGCAACCCTACTCCATCCTCACCATAGCAATGGGCCTCTTTTGCGGGTCCATTGCTGAACATGCAACTGCGCACCAATACCCACTTGATGTGTCCCTGCACATCGTTGTCATCACCATAGGCCTTCACAAACCTGTCCACGTCGGCGTGGTCATCCCAGCTGAAGTGCACAGACGTATACTTGACCGCCAGGCGAATAGGCAAAGCGAGATTGGGCCACGAAGACCCTACGCCCAGAGCTTGCAGCACAACCAATTTGTTGATCTGGTGCTGCGACATGAGCGGAAGGAGAAGCTTGTGGACGTCGTATTGAAGATGTGGTGGGCATTGACCTGGAGGAGGAGGGTCCTGGGCACTTTTGGCCGTGTTGTTCAGTGTGACGATTACGGCCGGTCGGGGATGCGTTTTGATGTGCGAGATTGCCTTTTGTAAGTCGTCTTTGTTGAGCGGAGTTCCTTGGAGGACTGTGAGGTTCTCGGAGGCGGGTTTCCCACGAACATAGTCGAGAGAGTCCGGATTCCGGACGAGGGCTGTGACAGCGTGGCCTATGCAGGTGGACTGTTGGAATTGTACAGTCCAGATGGGTGCGGGATGGAGTACATACCTCTGCTTAAGGCTTGTTCCAGCACGAGCTTGCCCACAGAGCCAGACGCACCAATCAGGAGGATGTGAACTGAGCTGTCACGAGGTCTCTTGGTTTCTTCGTCCATGTTGTTAGGGTTGAAGTGCAAAGCTCAGCGAAAGATTTGGTGGAAACCTATTGCGCAAGTGTTTTGGAAGGAAGCAATGTGAGTGTAGCTAGAGACTTAGAGGCCGGCGAGGTTGACTACGTGCAGTAGGGTATTCAAGGTTGGCCAAGACGCCGATGCAATGTTCCTGCCGACGAGTCTGTCCGCACAATGAATGGAAAGATTGGTCCGAATGTTGTACGTGTGGCGCAGTGGCGTTATGCAGGGATACGATCACGACGGCTCAGCCCTCGTGTAGGCGTTCCACGACTTTTACGGCTTCATGGCAGCGGCGTTCTGTATGGATGGCACTAGATTGGTCCGTGCGTGACTTACTGTAGTCCAGGAACCTTGAATGAATTCATGGCGTCTGGAAGTGGAAAAACAGGGTACAGAATATGCTGCTTCCATGACTTTAGGAGAAGAACTATGAGGACTACGCCTACAGCCCCGGATAGAACAAGCTGAATTCACAAAGCATAAAATTGGCAATGAGATAGAATAGGAAGACTCCGAAGAAAGCACTAGAGATGATCAAGTGTACATGTTTTGGTGAAGCTTTTAGATGGAGCGACGAGTTGGTTTGATTTGGACTAATAAAGGGGGTCTAACATATAAGGGAAGATGTCTATGTATGTACAACTACAATCATGCACGGCTGACCAGGAACCCACCATTCTGCAAGCTCTGAAACATCTGCTTCCTGTCAAACTTCTTACTTGCAGCGCGGATGTGCTTCAGGTTCTCTTCTCCGTAGCTAGCCAGGACATTCTGTGTGAACGATCCTCCATTTGCAAAGATGAACTTTTCGTCCAACCCGCGCTGCTCCGCCTCATCGATAGTAGCTTGGGTTATCTCATCTACAATATCGTAGATCTTCTCATTATCCCTGTCGTCAGTCCATTGAGCACCATACGTCAGAATTGTTTGCGCCCCATTAATATCGCCCATTACATTACCACCCCGTTCCTTCGAGATGCGAGTCGTCGCCGATCCATAAGGATGCATTACCATTTGAAAGGCCGTAGTATTCGTTGAGTACTTCTGTGTCATCTCATGATAACGGTTGTACACGGATGTGTAGAGATCTGTATCAACGCGGATTGTGCACGAAGTGCTATAGCGATTTGCTGGTGGGAGGTGGTTGGTCAGGTTCTGCATGATTGAATACACAGTGCCATTGACAGCATCATGAATAGCAGAGACTGGCGTGAGAGCATCAAACGCAGCGAATACCTCGGGCTGATAGGTAGGCTCAACGTAGAAAAAATCTACCATGAACCCTCCGAAAGGGAGAATCGTGAAGACCAATCCAGCTTTGTCGTCAGACTCCATCGCCACCTGGGTTTTTTGTAGAGCGTCAAAGACCGGTAAGGGATCAAGAGATGAATATACCAGTGCGCGGAACCAGATGTCATGAACTTTGCTAGTATAAAGCTCGAAATGCGTGACTATACCAAAGTTGTTGACACCACCTTTGAGTGCACGGAACAGATCAGGATTCTCTGTCGCACTGGCGATAACAACTCGACTGTCACTGGTGATGACCTCTGCGCTTTTGATGTTGTCGGCACCCATCCCTGTGTAGGTACTCACCAGAGGCAACCCACCTCCAAGAAGAACACCACCCACACCGGGCTGGACAGTGTGACCAGAGACCACACTCACATTGTATGGATCCAGGTATTCCTGAACAGTACCAAAGCGGTTACCGGTGCCCACTCGTACGCTGGATCTGTCCGGACGAAGCTGAATGGTATTCAACTCTTGCGTGTCGATTATCACGCCGTGTGAGACGCCTGCCCAGCCCGGATTTACATTGTGTCCCCCTGAGCGGACGGAGAACTTCGCTTGAGTAAGATCAATGATCTTGAGGGTGATTGCGACTGCAGCATTGCTGTTTGGTGTAATAAAGCAAGCTGGTGGAAGGTGGCATTGGGATGCACTTGAATGAGTCTTAGTATTTGCAAACGGCACATCTTAATATGAGTGGGACTCACTAGTTCTTCTGAAGGAGTGTATCGTAGGATACTTGATTCGTCGAATCGGTGTAGTGACCTCTCAGAACAGTTTTGAGAATTGTACAAGCATTCTCGTTACGCTGTGCCTGATCGTTTGGCGGTTTTTGGCTGCCAATAGAATCAATGATTGGACGTGCTTCCTGCACAAGGCCCTTGAGTTCAGTGTTGTTGCCTTGAGGTATAGAGTAGAGGATCTGTAACACAGAATCCGACGGCGAACTCGGACGGCCTTGCACGCAACGGGCCGATGCCAATGCAACGGCGATGACGAAGTGATTGAATCGCATATTCGAAAAGATGGGAATTGGGTCAACCTTGAATGATTGCCTGACGAGATGCTGTACAACTGTAACAGAAAATCGGTGAAGTGAGAGACACCGTGACTTATAAGTCACTTTTCTTTACTATTTTATATTCCAATTCGTTCCCCTAGCAGGCCCATTGCGGTACGGCAGCTTTGCAAGGCTGTGCCTAGCCCGGTCCGAGCAGGACAATCTATTGGTTAAGCTCATGGCTTTCGCTTCTGAGTTTCTTTTGTTTGTGTCTAATCCACGTGCGTATTGAAGCTAGGAACGTTCTCAGAATAGGTCAGACGTCCAGGGTAGGACATTCCCTCGTACTAAGTGCACAGACCCACCTGCAGTATGACTTATCCGAGCTATCTAGACTAGTTCTGGTTTAGTCAGGCGAAACATCCTCACCTCAGCTTCATCCTCATCAATAACTCACCTCGCCGATAAACCTCGCCGATAATCATCTGTTGTTACGAACAAAGCATAGCCACGCTGATGCCAGCCTTCAGATAATGTCAGATAAGGCATTGTGTTGCATCGCTACCACCGATGACTGAGTCGATGGAGACCGCAGCGGCGTGGGTCGACGGCGAGGGATCGCACTCCGATTGCGTTTTGACAAGGTCCTGTCGTTCATACCGATCTTTCGAAAGTAAGGGCAGTATGAGCTTCGTCAATCTGTGAATTCCATTGAGCGTCTCAGCCGCCCAAATTGTACATGCCAGGGCGCCGACTACGCATTACAGTGAGCATATTTCCAATATCTCGTTATCCTCAAGCATCATCTTTGATCCCACGGTGAATTTACCCGCTTGTCTTAATCTACTCCAAGCCTGTCCAATGCCAAATGACCAGCACAAAGCTTCTCAGCTGCAAGTTGTGGCTGTATCGCGGTCGCAACCGGCATATCATGACATACATGGCCACAAGACCTTGACCGCAATTGTTCGCTCACCCTCCACTGAGCCCTTGAGTCTTGAGCCCAACAATGGTATTGTAGGTCATAGATCTGCTGTTCATGATGCACAAGTATACGCTTTATTTTCCGATCATTACGACTACTGGACATCTCGGCTCGGCATAGCTCGCGATGCGTGGGATTGGGCGCATTGGGGGGAGAATTTAACCATAAAAGCTCCCCCTGGAGTTAACGAGCATGATGTCATGCTTGGGGACATCTGGGACTTCGAGGACACGCTCGCCGGGCAAGGAGTACAGCTCGAGGTTTGTGGTGGGCGGAATCCATGTAGCCGCTTAGCTTGGAGGTTGGGACAGAAAGGCGCGTGGCTTGCAGAGCTCGCTGCGTCAGGCCTCTGTGGGGTCTATCTGAAAGTCATACGAGGAGGGACTATTGGTCCTGGCAGTTCGGGACGTATCGTTCGACCTCAGCGCCAGTTGCGACAGCTGATTCCGGTTGCGATGATAGCACAGACGATCTTCAGCTCGAATGCGGACCAAACAACGAAACATCGTGCAAAACGCATCCTTAGTGCCCCGGTACTACAGAACATGAATAGGCAAATCCTGGAGAGGAAACTGAGCATGATCGAAGACGAAGAGATGAAAGGAAAGGGCTCGTGGCAGGGATGGCGAGACTTACGGATATCATCAGTCACTGAAGAATCGTCAGATGTTAAGTCGTTCTACATTGAAGCCACAGATAACTTGGACTTGGCAAACTTCTTTCCGGGTCAGTTCCTTACCGTCAAATTACCCACTGGCGATATCCGGTCATGGTCACTATCGGACTGGACTGACCCGTCCATGCCACCGACGCACTACCGACTCAGCATCAAACGACAAGCCATGGCTTCTCTATGGATGCATGAGCATGCTGTGCCAGGCGTCATCCTCAGTGCGCTTTCACCACGCGGTAAATTCATGCTAGATTGGAAACCCCAATTCCCTCCTCGGCAACTGTACATATCCAATGGCATTGGAATTACTCCTCTTCTAGCTATGCTCAAAGCGCATTCCCTCCATAAGACGCTTCTTAGGACGCCTGCAGTGTTCGTCCATGTTGCTCGTGACGGCTCTACCGACGGTCATCTTTTCCAGCGTGAGCTCCCTTCGTTTCCGAACCTGCGAGTCATTCGCTTTTTCACCAGGCCTCGTCCAGAGATAGACGTTCTTGGTCGCGACTATGATTTCGGTGGTCGACCTGGTCGAGTCTTCTACGAAGACTTGTTGAGGAATTCGTACATGATCAACCCTCTGAATATCACCCCAATCGAGCTGGCAGGATGTATCTCTGTGGCTTATATTTGTGGCTCAAATGCCTTCGCGTCAGCGACTCGCGACCATTTGCTTGCCTGCAAAATGAATGAATCATCTATCCATTCCGAATCATTTGCCAGAGATACCTCAGCGAAAGCCCAGCTCGACACTACGGAAGAGCTGCCAGAACAATCTCAGATTGTGCTGAAACGCGCGAGGCGCACAATCACGTGGAAGAGAAGCTCTAAAATATCGCTACTCCAGCTATTGGAAAAGGAAAATCTTGAACCGGACTATGGATGTAGGGAGGGCACCTGCGGAGCCTGTGAGATCCAAATGCTCCAAGGACAAGTAGTGAGTAGTATAGGCGACGGATATAAGGAAGGGAGCAGAATCAAGGCATGTTGTACCATGCCACGATCAGTACTTGTAGAGCTAGATTTTTAGATATAAATAAATGGTATGGACTGTGTATCAATATGGTAGATGATCCGGTTGGAGTGAATAACAGTTGTAGACTGATTTATGTTCTTTGCCTATGGTTCGAAAGAGACGGCATGTAGGGGTCGTCAGTGCCAGAAACGATACTGGCAGAATTAGTATCGGATCGTACCTAATCTATTATCTTTGTCGTCTTTCCAGCTGTTGTTCACTCAAATCATCATACGCACAGTTCTACCTCCACATTATCCTCACACTTGATTAATTAACCATTTGTTGATCGCCACCCCCCTTGGTCCGTGGCAGAAGGACCCGCTAAGGCCCCTAAACTACGGGCACGATCCCGGCCGCCTTGGGATCAGTGGTAGCACCGCACCGCCGCACCCACCAGCACCACTGTTGTCCGTTCGTACCATTTGTTTAGGTCTTCGGTCAAGCAACAAAACAACTGCATCGCAACCACTTCCTACCTCGCGGATCTACCCGAACATACGGCGTTGCATGATCCTCTTCCTCAGTCAAGAATTCGCCCGGAGCGATTGAAATGGCTCTAAAAGGAGAGCAGTGGATTACGGTGCAGCAGAAGACGTTCACCAAATGGTAGGTACCTTGCGGGCGGGGGTCAAAGAGGAGACGCCGCCACGACTTCGCGGGACCACGCACATGAGACTAATTCTAACCATGCCACAGGCTGAATAGCAAATTGACTGCTCGAGAGGTCTTCATTAAAGACCTTGTTAAAGATTTGTCAGATGGGGTGAGTCTCACAGATACCAGATCGTCTTGCTCAGACGTTATGATCCGCGACTCATCCCCCGTTATAGGTTATACTCATTCACCTTCTGGAGATACTTGGAAATGAATCCCTCGGTCGTTATGCCTCCCGTCCGAAGCTTCGAGTACAGCAATTCGAGAATGTCAACAAATGCCTGGATTTTATCAGGGCAAGAGGAATACAGATGACCAACATTGGTGCGGAGGATGTTGTAGATGGAAACAGAAAGATCATACTCGGCCTCATATGGACATTAATTTTACGCTTCACCATTAGCGACATTAACTCAGAAGGCTTGAGTGCGAAAGAAGGTTTACTATTGTGGTGTCAGCGCAAGACTGCCTGCTATGATGATGTGGACGTCCGAGACTTCTCAACAAGTTGGAATGATGGACTGGCATTCTGTGCCCTCCTGGATATACACAGACCCGACCTGATCGACTATGACAGCCTAGACAAGAACGACCATAAGGGGAACATGCAGCTTGCGTTCGACATTGCAGCTAAAGAGATTGGCATTCCAGATTTGTTGGACGTGGAAGATGTATGCGACGTCCCTAAGCCAGACGAGCGGTCGCTCATGACGTATATTGCTTACTGGTTTCACGCCTTCTCGCACATGGAAAAGGTGGAAAATGCCGGAAGAAGGGTTGAGAAATTCGTACAAAGCATGCAAGGAGCATGGGAAATGCAGAACTCTTTCGAGAAACGCATGAAAGAACTGCTCAGGCAGATCGCTCAACAAAATCAGATCTGGCAAGAAGCGAAGTTCGACGGCACATATCTCGACGCTAAACAACAGGCCCAGGCACTGTCCAGCTACAAGAAGAAGGAGAAACGCGCGTGGGTGGCAGAGAAACAGGACGTCACGGGTCTACTGGGCAACATCAAGACGAAGCTGAACACATACAGGCTAAAACCTTATGAGCCACCACCGGAATTGAGCATAGATGCGCTCGAACAGGCGTGGAGCGGGCTGATGAAAGCAGAAAAACATCGAAGTCAAGCCATCAACGAAACGATCAGAGATATCAAGAACAAGCTACGTAGAACATTTGCGGACAAGGCTAATGACTTCGCCCTGGCTCTGAACACACTGTCAACGTCAATCTCCGGTCTCGAAGGAGATGTCGAAGATCAGTCACGCCATACTCATAAGCTTGCAGAAAGCCTGGATCCTCTAGACAAGTATCTGGATCTGATAGCAGACCTAGACGAGCAGTGCGAGGAAGCCAATATTGAAGAAAACGACTTCACTACCTTCACATACGAAGAATTAGAGTACGAACTGAATTTGGTCAAGTCTAGCGTCAATAAGAAGCTTGTTTTCCTCGAGAACCAATTAGTGGCACGCAATATGACGAATCTTACCCCGATCCAGTTGGAAGAATTCGAATCGGTATTCAGGCATTTCGATCGAGACATGAGCAACTCACTCCAGGAAATCGAATTCTCCGCTGCACTGGCCAGTCTTGGACTCGTGTATGACGAAGGCGAGATGCACGACAAGTTCCTCGAGACGAGTGGCGGACGAGACTACGTAACCTTTGAACAGTTCATCCGCTTCATGGTCGACGAGACAGAGGATCAAAACACAGCCGAGCAGGTCTTTGAAAGTTTCAAGGAAGTGGCTGATGGCAAGGTACGTCATTGCATGCTCTTTGACTCGGACTCCGCAAACACTAAATCTATGTAGCCGTACGTCACTGAACTTGATCTGCGACACTCCCTTGTGCCGGAAGAAATTATCGATGATCTTGTGAAGAGCATGCCGGAGCACAAGGGGCCGGATTTGCAAGAAGACCGCGACCTTCCCAAATATGACTACATTACATACATGGACAAATTTATGGGCAAGCCTGCGGCGAATGGACATGCAAACGGCCTCTAGGACAGGTGTAGGGGAATTTATGTCGTACAGTCCGGTCTTTACGAGAGGTCGAGCTTTATTCATTTAATTAGATCAGCGATTATTGCATGAGAAGGTCCCTCTGGTTGGGTATTGTGGACCTTTTTAGGCGCGGATAGGTACGAGGAGTTAGGTAGTAGTAGTAGTATTGATATAGGCCACGGGCCTGTGCCAATAGAGGTTCCATCAAGCATGCAGTGAGGATTACATACTACCTCTCGTTGTTACAGATGGAGTATCACAGTGTCTCCTATGTCCGGATGCCACATGGTCTGGGAAATCCCACAGTGCACTTTTTTAGCATAGCTAGACGCCAAGTGCCCCTACATACTACGTATTGGTTTGATACACGGGCAGGGAGCGTTTCAGGGGGTCTGTGTGAGGTGGGCACACTTGAAACAAATTGGTGACTCTGCTGGTCCTGACTGGTCCCGCGCCGCAGTGCGCCGGTCGTTATCTTCTCCTGGGCGCATGGTGGGGTGGGATCTTCCGCAATGAGTATTGCAGTGCCGATGAGCTATCTGCAGGCTTTTCAAGAGATCATCGTGCCGACTGCAATACAAACAGACTTGCGATGATGGATGGCTCAAGTGTGTATTTTTACTGCCGCGGAGGCAGACGATAGTTCGGGCGGCCGGTGAGGGGTGTTGGCGGGGCATGGATCCATCACATTGCTGCAAGTATAATGCTGAAATCTACGTTTGCTAATGAAACAGCCAGAGCTAGGGCCAGGTAATTACAAGGTACAGGAATGAGTGGTTTGGCGAGTTCAGTAGCTGTGTATTATTTGACCAGGAGAAGAGGCAGTAATAGGCAATAGGCAGAAGGCAGAAGGCAGAAGGCAGATAATAGTGAGAATTAATATAGCGACAAACCTTGTGCAGCGCGCGCCCAACCTTAGGCACAGGTGAATGTGGGCGACCCGCGCTATGAGACGGCCGGTCTTGGCTAAACCTGCCCTCCATTCATTTCTCCCTCCAAACACTCTCTCACAGGCAACATTCTCCCACCTCATCTTCCACCGCCGCCCCCGACCTCGTCCTTCTCCATGCTTGGGTGCTCTACGCATCTTAATCTCGCCGCCAGCTTTGTTAAGTCGCCTACTCGCGTCCCACGACGCTTTTGATCGGACAACTGAAGAGCGAGCGCTGGCTGGACCATTCACAACCTTTGTTACGACACAATCACTCTACGGAGACACCACTCCACGCTACCCCCTCACTGTTCGAGCGTACATGAGAGTCCATCTCCCTCTACCGCTATCGAAATATTATTAGTGCAAGCTCGTGTTTGGCTTGTTGAGATTGCAACAACTCCACTGCTTGCGCTCTTACCTGACCCCCTGTTCAGCTCCAGCAACGGCTGCACCCTTGAGATATCCTAGCGACGGGACCAATTCAACTCATAAATACACTTCGACCGCATATCATCATGTCTCACTCGAACAACCCGTATGTCGCCCCTCTCTTTCATGACTTCTATCTCGCAACTCCCAACAGGCCTAAGCAAGCTACCTATAGAGCTTTCAAAGTCCAGCCTGGAAAGGGAGTTATGCGTGCCAGATATGACTGCGGCAATCAACCTGCTTACACGTTCCAGACTCTACTCTCGTGAACAATTCATGAACCCGGGCCCTGCCCCACGCCCTCCGACCGATCGCCCCCGCCTCAATTTGACGCCTTCTGTTACCAACTTACCAGGAAATATGACTGGACTAAGCCTACAGTCACCTTCAGCTGCCAGCTCAACGTCCTCGCTGCATAAGACACAGACTGAGCGCAGTTCCAGTGCTGGGGATGGCGGTGCTAGACAAGGCTACGCTAAGATCAAAGAAGAAGGTATTCTGAAGAGCGTCTTCTGGTCAGAGAAATGGCTTGTCCTTCGTGACTTCCAACTCGACTTTCTGAAGAGCCACCAGTCGACCAAAGTTTCATTTTCGATCCAGCTGCGCGATGTTACAAACGTTGCCCGGTCCGAAGATCATCCTTTCGCCTTCGAGATCATTCGTCATGCGAATCCATCTTCCAGCGGAGCGTCTCCTCCTCGCGATGGTCCAACGAAGTCTCTAATCTGCAAAGTAGATGATGATGACAGTGTATATGGCTGGATTGACGCGATTTATAACCGGTGTCCCAGCATGGGTGGAGTCAGCAATCCCACAAACTTCACACACCGAATTCACGTCGGCTTCGACCCTACAAGCGGTGCGTTTGTTGGCTTGCCACAGGAATGGGAGAGGCTACTTAGCGCATCTGCCATTACCAAGGACGACTATGCAAAGAATCCGAAAGCTGTGCTGGAGGCTCTTGAATTTTACACCGAAAAGCTTGTCAAGCCTAACAATGACCCTAGCTCGACGCCAACTTCCTCCATTGAATCTAATAAGCAGCTTGGATATAGTGGCGGAAACGGCATTGCCCCACCACGACCAGCACCACCAGACAGCTACTATGGCAAAGACAGCTATAGTTCGGGCAGGGGAGATGCTCGGACGCCACCTAATCAATACGCATCTCAAAACGAGAAAGCAGCTTCGGATGCATACCAGCAGCAGAACGAGGCAACTCGACAAGAAGAAGATCGTCGTAGAAGACGTGAGGAGGAAGACCGCATGCGACGCGAGCGCGAACGCCAAGAAATTGAACGACGAGAACGCGAAGAGTTGGCCGAATACAACGCCTCTCTCCCGAAGACCAAAGTTCCTCTTGCAAAGCAGGAAATTGGAGGTTACGGAGACACCCCTGCTAGCAACCCTGACCGTTACAATCCTTCGCGACCAGCTCCTCAGACCCCGACAGCCGCCCGACAGCAGCAGCAGTCCCCTGGATCGCTACGACAACCAATGACAGCACAACGACCGGCCCCGTCAGCTCCGTCGACACAGAATGGAGCAAATGCCTTTCCTAAGCCCGGTCAAACCAAGCCAGCTCCGTCTGCACAAGCAGCGCGGCAGCAGGCGTCTGGACCACGATACGCGCCGCAACAGCAGTCGTCGCCGCAAAGACCAGGGAATGGTGCTACTCAAGGAAATGGACAGAGTCGCATCCCCGCTGCGCAAGCACCAAAGCCATTAAACGTGCCCCCGAAGACAGCGCAAAATATCAATCAAAGTCAGGCCGTCAAAGCTGCTGAGGCAGCACTCACAAAGAAAGAGGATATACCTCAACTTTCGTCGCACTCGCAGCCGCAGCAGCCGCCGCCATCGAGCCGCAAAGATGTCCGCATGTCGAGCATGTCAGAAGCCGAAGTCATGGCGAAATTGCGAGAAGTGGTGTCCAAAGAGAAGCCGCTCGATTCTTACAACAAGCAGAAGAAGATTGGCCAAGGTGCATCTGGTTCGGTGTATGTCGCACGAATTCGCGAGGGTGCAACTTCGCCCACCGCTCGTGACATTCTTAGACAAAACGGACCTAGATCGCAAGTCGCTATCAAGCAAATGGATCTCAGGAATCAGCCTCGTAAGGAACTGATTGTCAACGAGATCATCGTCATGAAGGACAGCAAGCATCCGAACATTGTCAATTTCCTAGATGCTTTTCTGCAAGAAGAGCAATCAGAACTCTGGGTAGTTATGGAGTTCATGGAGGGTGGAGCATTGACAGACGTTATTGATAACAATCCATCGATCAGTGAAGATCAGATTGCGACCATATGTCTGGAGGTAAGGAATAGCCTCCAGCGAAACGACGTGATGGCTAACATTCTATTTAGACATGCAAAGGTCTTGAGCATCTTCACAACCAGAACATTATACATCGTGATATCAAGAGCGACAATGTCCTCCTGGATGCCAGAGGAAACGTTAAGATTAGTAAGTGGACCAAACCCGCGTAATGCGAGAAGTAGAGACTGACTTTCTGAAGCCGATTTCGGTTTCTGTGCCAAGCTCACGGAGCAACGAAGTAAAAGAGCCACCATGGTGGGAACGCCATACTGGATGGCACCGGAAGTCGTCAAGCAGAAAGAGTACGGTAACAAGGTCGACATCTGGTCCCTGGGCATCATGGCCATCGAAATGATTGAATCTGAGCCGCCGTACCTCAATGAGGAGCCTTTGAAGGCGCTCTATCTCATTGCCACCAACGGCACCCCGCGTCTGAAGAAGCCAGAGAAGCTCTCAAAGGAACTCAAGGCCTTCTTGGCTGTCTGTTTATGCGTCGATGTGAAGAGTCGGGCCAGTGCCAGCGAGCTCATGACTCAAGACTTCATGAAGGTTGGGTGCAGTCTGAACAGCCTTGCCCAGTTACTAGCTTTCCGCAAGACCGGTAGCCACTAGAGTGGCGCTGCGCCATGAGTTGCTTCCTGGATTTGATATTTTCTGCGTCACGAGCACATCGACACGATACCACTTTACGAGGATGGCGGATTTGAAATTTTTACTGCATGTTGCGCTGCCCTAGGATCCGCGATTTGACGACAAGGGCGACGATTTGAATGACAATGGTTATGATCAGAGATATGAAACTTGAACTGTACTGAATGATGTGTCTGTGATAAGAAAATATGCGCTACATTGATGTCACTAGATGAAGGGGTTGATGAGGGTACGCAGGTACCACACGTGTGGAAGCAGGAGACGGGACAATTACCAGCGTTGACTGGCGTGCACTGAAGCAAGCAAGCGTTTCTTGGAATTTGATACCGGGCGTTTGAGATGTGTGTTACGTCCGTATTACTAGAATCTTAGGACTAAGCGTACTTAATAGAGCGAAAATGAGCGCTTCATGCTTTTGTATGGGCTGGAAATAGTCCATGTATCAGTTGCTGATGCTAGTTGTTTGTGTGAGTGACTAGCTAAAGAAGGTGAAGTGATCGAACGCTTGAAGACTAGACTTTATTGCACCTATCGACTCCCATTGCCAGACTCCGATAAGTCGTCGGACGGATTGTTTACTTATAACATTACGTCTGTATAGAATCTGAGCCGGTGGGAAGGACTATATTTCGTTCTTTCACTTCGTTAAGATCAATAAAGGTTGACTGGAATATAGACCTTTGTGCACTTCCTGTTTCATCAGCTGCGGTAACTGATCTAGGGGCAGGCTTTACGAAAGGACACTTCGTTGGTCGACTTTCTTGATACGGTAAGCTAGGATGATGTTGAGTACAATTCCCGCACTCCCGAACATGTCACCGCCTGCCCATAGGCTTTTCCTTGTAGCTGTATGTCTCCGCCATGGTATATATGTACAGTTCAACCACACGCAGCGTTGGACACCGCAGGCTTCCCAAACGCCTTGAACAAAAGATTCCCCGTTCTGACCACGTTACAATGCACATTCTAGTGGTGATCATCCTTCTTGTCATGTCCGTGGTGCTCCTCCTTCAGAAACACGGCTTCGAAGACAAGGTAGCCGGCAAATGCAACGGTGGCTATGCCGAGACCAGGGAAGGCGCGCCGGAAGCGATTGCGTGTGCTGAAGGGTCCTGTGTATCTCCACGCTTCACTGCGAGTTGTCAGAACGTTGTATGGGTGCGACGGAGGGTATACTGAGGGGTCGACGAACTATCGCTTCCATGGGTCGTTGGCTGGCATGCCGGATGATGCGGCGAGCTTTTGCGGGTCGAAGCCCGTGAGGTTGGGTTTAGGAGCCATTCTGCGCGATCAGAGCTACTCCGGTCAGCAATTGGTAATGTTGCGAGGTGATAGTCGTACAAATAGAGGTTTGTGATGTGTTGAACGTTCTGCGAGCCGGACAGAGGTTGCTGTGAGGGCATGAGGTTATCGTTGGTCTGGGGTGAGGTCGATTTCGTGGATGGCCCGTGCGTGCTCTCTTGCTCCGGATCTTCGTAGCTACCTGTCATTGAGATTCGCAATACATTCAACGACACACAACAATACTCAAATTCCACCGTCCAATCACTCCACGCCGCCCTCAGTGTGTTAAGTGAAGTCACAGATCTAAACGCCAGGTTTAACGTTACCCAGCGACGCGTCTCCTACATATACTCAAGCCTCTCGCTACTGCGAATGAACTACTCAAGCACACGGCGGACGTCAACACTCCTTCACTATTCATAAGTCGGGCGTTATGGCGCGCCCCGGGGGGCGCTTTGCGCCTCAGAACATGTCGAATCCTTACAACAATTTCAATCAAAATGCTCTCCAATCGTCACATCTCCCGCACCCGGGTCAGAACATACCGTCACAAAACCTCGGTGGCCACCCAGGCTTCGGCGGCGCGAACCCTAATCTGAATGCTTTCACGTCTAGCAATGATCTTGGTTTAGGAGGTGGATTTGGCAGTAGTGCGGGCTTTCGTGGTAGTGGCGGGGGTACAGGTCTGGACAGCCAGACGGCAAGAGCGGGATTTGCGCACGGCGCTGCGTTGCAGCAACAACAAGCTCATGAGGCAGCGGGTATGGGTGGTCTAGGTACTAAGGCCCTTAGCACTAGGATACGAGAGGTGTGGAAGACAAATCTTGCGCAAGAGATGGAGATGCTAAGAAACTTGATCGAGAAGTACCCATACATTAGCATGGCAAGTTTAATATGTCTTACGGAGCCACAGATTTGCTAATTCGGCCAGGATACGGAGTTTCCTGGTGTTGTCGCGAGACCGATGGGAGAATTTCCGACAAAGGCCAGCTATCATTACCAGACCGTTAGATGCAACGTCGATCTTTTGAAGATAATACAGCTAGGTGTGACGTTGTTCAACATCGAGGGAGAGGTGCCACCCGTGCAATTGGAAGCGGGAACTATTGGTCGACCGGGCTATGGCAACAATTTGATCATGTGCCCTACCACTTGGTCTTTTAACTTTTCCTTCAACCTCGAGGACGACATGTACAATGAGGAATCGATCTCAATGCTGAAGAAGTCAGGTGCAGACTTCGATAAGCACTCGCAGCAAGGAATTGATCCTCTCGCATTTGGTTCTCTGCTCATATCATCTGGCTTGGTGCTCAACGAGGATGTACATTGGCTCTCATTCCACTCAGGATATGACTTTGCGTACCTGGTCAAGATCATGTGGTCTCAACAACTACCTGCCGACGAAGAGGACTACCGTGAACTAGTGGCTAAATACTTTCCAAGCATACTTGATGTCAAGTTTCTCTGGCGCCACGCTCGTAACCTTCTGGCCCGGAATCAGTTATCCTCCTCCGCAGTCACGATACTCAGCAATCTTGGCACCAAATCAGGACTTCAAGATCTTGCAGATGAACTTGGATGCCAACGGGTCGGCACACAACACTCAGCCGGATCAGATGCATGGCTTACGGGGACGGTCTTCTTCCAGATGAAGAACAAGATCTTCGACGGCCAGATACCCCATGAGATGAACGGGCAGATGTGGGGCTTGACAGGTGTGGGAGCACCTGCATCAGCAGCCGCGCAAGCGGCAGCGATGGCAGCACAAGGCCACTCAGCGAACGGGAATCCAGCTCTTGCTAATGCTTTCCAGATGGGGTATCACACGAATTCTTCGAATACGCAGAGAGATGGTGCCCCGAGCACCCCGACGACCAATGCCGCTGGTCTTGCCTCGGGAACCCCAGGTCCCGGTCATGGGCACGGCCTCGGAAGCATGACACCAGGCGGAGGCTCCGGCGTGTTCGGTAATTTCTCGTACAAAGGATAGAATTGTGGTACTCTTGTATTGTAATATATTAGCATCGCTGCTCTTTCTACGGTACCGCAGCGATAAAGGGACGGTTTGAATTAGACCAGGCGCTCGAGTCTACTAAACCCAGGTGATGGGCTTACTATCGGACGGGTCAAGGCGCTCTTATTAGGAAAATAATGATATTCCTCATTTGCAATGCAATTGAAATCATTCATTGGCGTCCCATGGTGGAAATGTCTTTGGTGATATGAACCGATATGAGTCTCGTTCCAAGCATGAAGATGGAGACACGCCCATCTCTCCTGTTGATTACGTCTAGGGTTTGTTCAAGGGATTTTTGTTATTGCATCTGTTCATCAACATGCCTTTTTACCTATCTCATTTGGTGATAATGGAACTTGAAGGAGGTCGAGGGTTAGTCATGCTCATGCTCAGGACAACCCGATTAGGAAATGACACCCGGTCTCCACCTGGGGCAGCCGTATCCATATGATATCACCCCGCGTTCTACCAAAACACAGAACCCGTCCGAAATGGCTGACAATATCGCCTTTGTCATAAAATAGAGGCAAACACATCGCATTGATTCTGCGAGGACTCCGCACTCTTTGTCTCCAATCGGACGTGGACATCCCATGCTATCGATGCCTCTTTTACCCATCATATAACCTCACCAGCGCCCAGATGGCTTCTACTCATCACATTGAAGCTTCGCACTCTGCTATACCCCACTTGTAGCTTACTTTCTATCGAGCCTCCAACCGCTCTTCAGACACGCACAATGGTTCTCGAGCGCCTCAAGCAAGTCGCATCTCATGTCACCGGCAACACACCGCTTCCGCATCCCTCCGATCCGCTCTCAGAATCCGAGATCGAAACTGCCGTAGCTATTGTCCGAAGGGAGCACTCCAATGTTGCTTTCAATGCTATCACGCTGTGGGAGCCGCGTAAGGCTGAGATGCTAGCCTGGGTTGCCGACCCAGCGCATACTACGCGGCCGCACAGAGTCGCCGAGGTGGTAGCCATTGGTAAGGGGAGCAAGGTCTACGATGGTCTTGTGAGTCTAGACGAGGGCAAGATCGTCTCATGGCAGTACACACCGGGTGTGCAGCCATTAATCACGATGGAGGATTTGCAGATTGTCGAGAGCATCGTGAGGAAAGACCCGAAGGTTATTGAGCAGTGCGGACTCATTGGCATTGGACCGGAAGAAATGCACAAGGTGTACTGTGATCGTGAGTCACGTGTGTTTTAAAGAGTGATTATGGCTAATTTGTGATATATAGCATGGACAATCGGATTTGATGAGCGCTTTGGCAATGAAGTCCGGCTGCAGCAAGCTCTTATGTACTACCGCCCTGATATTGACGACAGTCAATACAGCTTTCCGCTCGATTTCTGTCCCATTTTCAATGCTGACACGCATGAGATTATTCACATTGATGTACCCCCTGTCCGTAGGCCGATCAACAAGGCCCCTCCAAACAATTACCACGCCGAGGCAATTGAGAGAGATGGTGGATACCGCACAGATATCAAGCCTATCCATATCACTCAGCCAGAAGGTGTATCGTTTACCATGGATGGTTGCATAGTCAACTGGCAGAACTGGTCACTTCACATTGGCTTCAACTACAGGGAAGGCATCGTGTTGAACAACATCACTTTCAACGACAAAGGCAACGTTCGACCCATCTTCTGGCGACTTTCCTTGGCTGAGATGGTTGTGCCATATGGTAATCCCGAGCATCCTCATCAGCGCAAGCATGCTTTCGATTTAGGCGAGTACGGCGGTGGTTACATGACCAATAGTCTTTCGCTAGGCTGCGATTGTAAGGGCGCAATTCACTACATGGATGCAGCTTTTGTGAATCGCGCTGGAGCCCCGACAACTATCAAGAACGCAATCTGCATACATGAGGAAGACGCCGGAATCTTGTTCAAGCACACTGATTTTCGCGATGATACGGTCACAGTAACTCGGGCTCGCAAGCTAGTCATCAGCCATATTTTCACGGCAGCTAACTATGAATATTGCGTGTATTGGATCTTCCACCAGGACGGAACTGTGCAGCTCGAGATCAAACTCACGGGTATCTTGAATACATATGCCATGAATCCTGGTGAGGACACCAACGGCTGGGGCACAGAGGTGTATCCAGGTGTCAACGCACATAACCATCAGCACTTGTTCTGTCTCCGTGTAGACCCCAACATTGACGGTCCAAACAATACTGTCTTCCAAGTCGACGCAGCTCAGGGTGCAGGCGAAGTAGGCTCAACAGGGAACAAATACGGTAACGCCTTCTACGCAAAAAAGACAAAGTTCGAGACTGCAGAGCAGAGTCAGAGCGACTACGACGGCGATTCTAGCCGTACATGGGAGATGTGCAACGAGAACAAGATCAATCCATACAGTCACAAGCCCGTCAGCTACAAACTCGTCAGTAGAGAAGTGCCAAAGCTCTTACCGAAAGAGGGCGGCCTGGTGTGGAAGCGAGCCGGCTTCGCTCGCCACGCTGTCCATGTCACACCATGTATGTTCCTCCTGCTCCTATACCTAACAGTACTGACAGACACAGACGACGATAGCCAAATCCACCCTGCCGGCCGTCACGTCCCACAGACCAGCGGCGAACCTTCGCAAGGCATCCCGGCGTGGATCTCTGCCAATCCGTCTGCGCCTATCGCCAACAAGGACATTGTGCTCTGGCACACCTTCGGCATCACGCATTTCCCCTCACCGGAGGACTTCCCCGTCATGCCTGCTGAGCCGATGACGTTGTTATTGCGACCACGGAACTTCTTCACAAAGAATCCAGCTCTGGATGTTCCGCCGAGTTATTGCAGTGTGCCAAGTGGGAAGAAGCAGAGGTTTCCGGGGGCTATGGCGGGGGTGGGTGAAAGCAAGGCGGCGAATCCGAAGAAAGGGTGTGGGTGTTAGGGCAGGCTGTGAGTAGGATGGAGGAACTTTATTCGATCGAGAGGGTCCATACTTCTGCAAGATTCATGCTTATATTCAATCCGAGGCTGAGTGAGACTCCATTTAGACCCGAGCTTCACCAGATGCGCGCTCTACACAAGGCTGACAATCTAAATATTGTAAATTTCCACTGCTGTTGTTGGTTCCTACATGAGTCTGAACGGACAAGGTTAATCCATGGATAAGATGCATGCCCAGAGCCCGATACTACCATGACATGTGTGTGTCCGCCTGCCCCAAACTCCGAGCTCTCCTAATGCATGTCATGAGGCTTCGGAGTAGCCCCCCAAACTCGTCTATGCAATCTATCTATATCTCCACACCCCCCCCCGGATCTCGGCCGCGTCGCGTCCGATTGCTTGCCTAGCGAACGCTAGCGGATCGTACCGCGTTTCGTATGTCCCTACCGAGCTACCTTATCCAGCCTAGCGCCACATTCCAAAGTGAAACTTTGTGAGCAGTCAGTGAGGTTCGGACTGTAATTATGCGTTGGGCCTGTGGCTTGTCTTTTTACGGAATGACGCGCCCTAGGTAACGTAGTGGGGTGGGTATTCACATGGGGTTGCGAACAGCGTGTTCTGGGGTAATAATGAATTTGAATATCCATGGATGGGATACATATATACCCATGCTTCGTGTGACTCCGGTTCGTGTCAAGAACCTTTTTCACCCCTTTCCATTACGGAGATGCTCGGGGAGTCTTTGATATTACCCCCTTTGTTCCCTCGGGTTAATACCTGTCTCCCTCTTCGCAATCTATGGTCTGTCTGTAGACTTGTGTTCTTCTGCATGATAGCTCTACTTGACGTTCTTTCTGACACTTTCGTCGCTATCCTACCTATTTCGCCACCTCCTCCTGATTACCTCCCAGTAATATCGCTTCTACACTCACTCACCACCACCACACTTGCGATGCAGATCCACGTCTCCGCCATACTACCGCTCTTCCTCCTCCTCGCACTCTCCCTCGTCTCCACCGTCGCAGCACTACCATCACCGTCATCGCCCTCATCCTGTCCATCCGCCATCTGCGCCGTCCGCGGCACTCTCCGCCCATTGACAAAACCATACTGGACGAGTTCTAGCTCGACGCACAGCAGTAGCAGCAGCAGCAGTGATCCGGCGGTATGTGCGGTGCAGTGTACGAGGGATACCAACTGCGCGACGTTTGCGATTGGTGCGGGTGGATGTAGCCTTTTTGACCGGAATATGTAAGTTTGTCCTTGTCTGCATTTTGGGGGGGAGAGGGGGTTTAGTTACTGTCGGGGAGAAGTCAGGGCGAGATGAGGAGTGTTTGAGAGGGGTTAGGAATGGGACTGCATTGGGGACGGTCGAGCTGACGAGATGATGTGCAGAAATATACTTGTGGATCAAGATCCGCAAGGTGCGAATGTGTTTTGGGCGAGAGGGTGTACTGGGTGTGCGTAGTTTGTGGGATCGAGGGCTGGTCTGGCATGTGCGGATGGAGGAGGATGATAATGATGATGATGAAGGAAGAGATCGCGCGATGGCTGGAGTGACATATGCGTTGCTCAATGAAGCCGTGTGCTAGAGCGGAGCTGCCTAACGATTTCACACAAAGATGGAGCTGTGGCCTAGTTAAGATGAGTCTGTGAGGACATGGTGATGGTGCGACTGTGCCTTTACAAAGTGGTGGACGAGCGTTCTGGCAGCTCCTGCTCATATCCTGCGGCCTAGCAGCACTTCACGTGTTGGGTCAGAAATCGCCGAGAAGACTAATACATACCGGTACTCGTCTACCCAGCTCTTGGATTTCCAGTCCACTGGCTCGGCGATATCCCATTCTGAGGACAGGTATCATGAGTTCGATCCAACAGACCCAAAACTTCCGGCCATGCCAAGACAGTCCATTGAAAACCTTGCGAGCGAGTAATGGCAGTTCTGTATGGCGACGAGAAGGGGGCTGAAGGATGCAGGACACAAGAGTGCGGAAATGCCGCGCATCGGTTTGTCCAAGTAGAATACTTCTGTCATCATATCATCGCTACTATCATCTACCCAGATTTCTTCCACTTTCGTCCCATTCCACCCACCTCCTACAAACCTCATCTACTCTCCTGACACCCTCCAGAGTGGCTTCGACCTCAAACCATTCGCGATGCGTCGTGCCGCACGCACACTCGATATCGACTTGCTGGTCGGCAAGTTCGAGATGGATCAGCCGCTCGACGCGCGTTGCGTGTGGAACGTGGCGAACGCCGTTACCAGAACTGCGCGCGCGTCTATGGTCAGGTCGCTGTTGATGAGTCGGCTGGAGAGAAGCACGGCGGGGATGTGCTCCAGGGGATGCTGCCGGTGACGTTGCTGATGATCCTGACGGGGACACAGCGGGAGAACTCGCAACATACGGATAGTATCTGAGCAGATTCGGTACGGTGCCGCACTGTTGCCCCCACTCGCGCATGCGCCGCCAGACGTTGTCCGTCCGCCCTATCTTCAACAAGATGGTAGCTGGCTTTGTAAGCTTTGTGGACATCTTCCCCAAACTGTTGGAACGGGCGCTGGAGTATTCTGAGAGCACGTCACTTGCGCGACGGCCGCGTGGGATGTCTGGTCGGGCGGATAAGAGTGTGGACGAGGTGCGTTGTGGTGGTGGTGAGGTGGTGGAGGGAGTCAACCAGAACATATAGATGTATCCCGGCTCGTCATGCAACGAGGGTGGCGATGAGAGATATCGTAGGAGAGACATGCTGATCGCGGGTGGAAGGGACGTAGGAATCGGAGATTTCATATTTTGTTTGGGTGATCTCATGGGATTGGTTTGCTGACCAAGTGAATTTGCTGGGCTGACCGAGCTATCGCTGACGGTCTTTCGTGCTGGTATGCGTGAGATAGTTGGGTTGACAGTAGCGCTTTGATGGTTCGGAGCAATTTCTGTGCTGTGCGGTCTTGACGCTTCCATTGGTTTTTGATATGATGGGCGAATGGTAGTGGACTCTTGCTGCCTTTGTTTTGCCTCTCTTCGCCTGACTTGTTTCAGCCCGTCGTGATCGGTATCAGTCGAGCCGCAGCAGAGGAACTGCCAAAACCCTATCTTCCTGGGCTTCGCGGCAGGCTTAGACATGTACGGTGGTTTCTGAAAGCGCGAGTCACTCCGCCGTGCGATCATGACGGGTCCAGAAACGTTCTCCCATGTCCTTGGCCGAGCAATGCCTTGTGTTGGCGCATTATATCGCTCTGAATGATCTTGCCGTGTACGCTTCTGTATACTTCGAGCTTCTTTCTCTGGCACATTGTTCTCGAATTCCAGCACACCAAGTCTCTGTACCAATGTATCTATACTACTCCGCTCTCTTAAAGGTATTATTGTTGTTTCTTCTTCAACTATGTCGAGATCGTTGTTCCGTACCGTAAGCAGGTCGGCTTGGTCTTGATGTTGCCAGCAAAAGAATGCTGCGGCATCTCGGTCATTACCGACGGAGACTACTGCGAGAACACCTGATGGTCGCTTAGTTTTCACGGCTAATGCTCGTCTACATGGTCTTCCGCTCGAGGTTATGCCCTTACACGTTGTCGAAGGGTTCTTCGAATCAGAACGAGGCAGTAGAGCTTCGGGGGTATGATGTATAACCGGCATAGCGGTGACCTAGATAATGAAGGTAAATAAGGCTAGCATAAATCGAGGCTTCAGCAGTTACAGCAGTGTGCCAGCATACAGTGCTCCGGTGATGGGCGAGCACAAACTGTTTGCATTCACAGTATGAGCGTCTACTCTTTATCGTTTGCAGTGACAAGCAAGCGCCTTTTCTGTGGCAAAATGCGGGCTTGTACCTTGAACTGGACCGTAAGTGTCCATGCTCGACGGTCTTCATAGAGTTGCGCGCGCATGAATGGACGATGGCTGGGATTGTGGTTGGGAAATAGACGTGGGTGGACTCGAGGGAGCAGTCATCTGTATCAGCCACATACACAGCCGCATATATGTGGCGCAGCACATTGCTTGCATTCAGTGACCAGAATGATGAATGCAGCTCACTAACGCTTCTTAAGTCTAGGCAGAATGTCTAATCCTCGAATTTTAGCTTTACAGTCTAGGTTTACCATGGAATACGCTGCCTCAACAGGAATATCAAGGGTAGCAGCACTCCGCACACATAGACTACCTGATATCGTCCTTTTTGGCGAAGGAGACTTCTGCTGCACTCTGGCGATCAACCGCCGGGTATAGATCAGACGCGCCATACAAGGTATGCCCGAGACGCCGATTTCCTGTGTTCCATGCAAACGTAGTCAGCAGTCCGAGAAAGTTAGAACTGTTGGGTGATTAAATGCTTGAAAAGGTGCAAAGCTAACCCAAATAAGCTACTATGTATGGGCTTAAGTGCGGCCCGAGCATCGGAGAATCGACACAAGTCCGAGGCTCATTGATCTCCATATTGTTTGCAAGAAATCAAGTCAGTTCACTCGTACAGAGATTACCGAGAAGGACGACGGCGCCTTCACCTTCAAATATGCAGGATTCTCCACATTTAACACAACAACGTTCAAATTAAATGGCATTACTGTAACCCCGAAGTCCGGGGCAGACTATGATGTTGTAGATTACCCTTTTACGGTTGGTTTTCGAGTTACGCGCAAGCATATCTGCCGAACCCTGTTCCCGCCAAGGAGGAGTACTATCTGTGTCCATTATAAATACGACATTGAAGTCGCGGATTTGGACCAAGGCCCCAATGCGAAGCTGCTTTCGACGGTTTAGTCAACGAAGCTTCCGTCTTGTCACCGCACTTCACCGTCACTACAACCCATCTTGTAACCTCCCAATCTCCTGCAGCATCATCAGAATGGCTCACGAAAAAGATCCACGCTGGACGGCAGTCGACGAATATGTCAATGCCAACCTCCTGGCCGACGCGAAACTCAACGGCGCACTCGAGGAAGCGCTTAAGCGTACTCGAGCACAACGGCTCCCTGATATCGCCGTCTCCGCTGCGCAGGGCAAGTTCCTCCAGCTCCAGTGTAAGCTCATTGGTGCAAGAAACGTTCTCGAGGTTGGAACACTGGGCGGCTACAGCTCAATTTTCCTTGCAGCCACAAGCCCAGAAATCCGAGTGGTCACGGTCGAGGTCAATGAGCACCACGCCGCCGTTGCGAGAGAGAACATTGCAGCTGCCGGCTATGCAGATCGTGTGGAGGTGATTGTCGGCGCTGGTAGAGACGTCTTGCCAGAACTGCTCGCTAATGTCAACGCTGGAAAGCGTGAAAAGTTCGACTTCGTCTTCATTGACGCGGACAAGCCGAACAATTGGTTCTACTTCGACACGGCAGTAAAGATGTGCAGACCGCGAGCGCAGATCATTGTCGACAATGTGATACGAGGAGGAAGGTTAGCAAATCCGGAAGCCTTTGAGGATCCCAGTGTTGCAGGATCGCGTGAGGTGATTGAGAAAGTTGGGAGGGATCCTAGAGTTGATGCTGTCGCACTTCAGACGGTTGGCGAGAAAAGCTATGATGGGATGCTCATTACTGTTGTCAAGGATACTTGAACTAAGTATGGCTTAGAGGGCGAGACCTGATCAAAGCAAATGCCAAAGAATTCCTCAAATCGCGTTGTTTCGTATGCACCATTTTGCAAGTACCATTTCTATACTCCTGAGCTGCGAGCTCATTCTGAATTCGTGGTGCTATCTCTAAGGGTTTCACGACGAGTATATATCAGGATTCTGTTCTTTGTCCGTGGCACGATGGATTCGATCGGTCTCACCAACAAGATGAAGATCTAACCAATGTCGGGCGACTGACTCTCAGCTATAGAGTTCTGTAATCAGATGTGTCCACATGATCAGCTGGATGAATAAAGCCTTATCAGGGTGCCGAAGCGATGTCGGAAAGCATAGTATTATGATCGGAACAAGTGATGTGCACACCAACTTACACTTTTCATATCAAATGAATGATCCAAAGATCGGAGTTTTCGGTCAGTACCTTTGCGGGATTGTTGGTGCGTACCTGTTCGATTGTGTCACTTTACAGAACGAAATGAAGCTCGACGGGGACTGCTCGCCCATATAAATGCAACAGTTGTGAGACCCAGAGGTCGGAACGCTCTACCCACGAACCTTTTTAAGGTCAAGCCTCCAGAGCGAATGCCGGCTCACATAGAAACGTCTAAGTGATCAAGTACCAAGATGCTGTCGTGCTTCCGAACAAGCTACTGTACTGTCCCATACTTTATTTCAACACATTCAGACAATCTTCAGAGTTACTGAAAGGAATAGGCAGTACGTGGCCTCTCTAGAAGCTCTAGCAGCGCTGCTTTGTGCTTCTGCTTAGATAGGTTATCCGAAGCTTTTCGTTCTACAATAATTCTTCAAGAACTCTACCTCTGCTATTGTACTTACAAATTTTAGAGTTGGTACATCCATGTGCAAGAATTCTGGTTCTGAGCATACCTTGCATCCTTCCAACTTCGGCATATAACTCGATATCACTTGTCGCATTCAGATCGATTAGCTTCTCTGCTGGTACCTTCATGCACACTGTTGCAGGGTTCAATCTCCTGCGAGGATTCCTCGATGGTCTAGGCGATTCTGATATATCGTCAGGGAAGAGACACTGCTTGACGTCAACTTGATCGAAAAAATTTATGCACTTATCAAGTGCACTTTGTGCGAGTAGATTTGCATAGCAAAATGTAGCATCTGCTTTATTACCTTTTGCATGTGGTCATCGATTATAGGATGAAGCAATAAGAGCCTGTATCTGGCTGCTGCTGAAACGACTTGTCATAATCTTGCTACGTCAAATTTCGAAGGTGTTCATACCACAACGCCGAAGACCTCTCGACCAAAACCATAGTGAATAAAGCTTACTTGAATTATAGAAGGAAAGTTAGCAACTCAGGACTTGCCATAAGTGAAGCGAGACCTTTGAATCTTGATAGCATAGAGTTGAAAGCTTCGAGTTAACGCGAGATTCTACCATTGTCTAACCACAGTCAAGTGGTCTTAGACTGTCAGTGATAGGCAAGAGCTAATATGCTGAGATACTTGGAAATGGAGCGAGCGACCTATCAGGGGGTCACATCACGGGAGTCAAGGGAGCTGAGAGCTAGATAGAGTGGATTTAAAAGAGGCATATGCCTGAGCATAACTAATCTATCACCGCTTAGCTCGGGAGAATGCCAGAAGGCATGGACGACGAGATAATAATAAGGCATGTAAGGGTGAGCCCTGGCAATCCAAGTCACAATCCAAGCATAGACAGCAGTATGATTCGAGCCGAGAGATATCTCAAGACAATAGGATGCAATTGAACGCGCAGACAGGACTGGGTATCTAGAAACGAGACGCTAAGTGTACAAATCAAACATAAGTGTGAAGGGTCCCACCCTCCCATTCACCCTGCAGCCAAGTCTGCAGTCCCCTATATACAAAAGACGCCTATCAGGCTTTCCAAACCCACTCAGGGTATACTCCTGCTATACAATTCCAATGCAAGCATCCAAACACTAGGCAAACCCCACTCAGGGGTATTCTCCGCCGCTAGATATGCAATGGCTGTATCGCCCAACAACAGCCAAAGCCACGCAATGTAAACAAACACTAGGCAAGAAACCCACGCAGGGTATGCATCCGCCGCTAGTTGCAATGGCCGTCCCACAGCCAAAGCCACGCAATAAAAACACACCCCAGGCGGCAAGAGACGCACTCCTTTGGTTGGAATGACCCGCCAAGTTCCTCCAAAGCACAGACTGGTGAACGTGCAGCTCTTGACAGGCTCCTCGAGTGACGAGAACTTGAGCAGAGCTTGATCCCAGATTGAGAACATGAGCAGTGCTTGAACCCAGGTTGAGAACATGAGCAGAGCTTGAACTCGAGTTGAGAACGTGAGCAATGCTTGATCTCCGAGGACACGAATGAGCGCCAAGTCTGGAGGAGAGCGACTGGACGAGAGGATATAGACGTTGGAAGGTAGTCAGACCCAGGAATAGCGCGACTGCATGCCTCGTTTTTGACGTCAAGGATGCAGTAGAACTCCCCTAAGCTTCGGTGGAATTCAAGATTTCGACGTCTTGATGTGAGGGAAACAAGGTCGAGCGCGGTCGAAAAGAACAATCTTGACAATGTCCATCCGAGCGAACCACGACACTTGTAACCCTTACTTCCAGTTGCTTCCCCAAGAACCAGGAGAAGTAGGTTGAGGCAGCGGGGGCGTAGGTTCGCATCGCTCCCATGCCTGGACCTTGAACCGGTCCAACTCCTCCAGTCTGTTCTCCTGGAGCATGATCCATCCGAAGACGGGCTCCCAATCCTCGTCCATCTCTTGGTATGCCGGGAGCAGCTCCCGCTCAATCGCCTCACTGGCGGACATGCGAGGCCCGCCCAGCACCAGAAAGCTCTCCATGACGACCTGGAGCTGATCGTCGTACTGTGGGAGCTTGTTGACTTGTTGTACCACGCGCTTGCGGTTGTGGTACGCTTCCCACTGCCTCCTGTTGCTGCTGCTATGGTCCTTGACGGGCCTCCTGCCGGGATGCTCGACAGGTACCACACCTGTCGCCAGTTTGTGGATAACGGCACCAAGAGACCATAGATCGGCCTGCTCACTATGGTCACCGTCCCCAGCCTGGTAGTCTGCCGTTCCAGGATACGGCTTCTCGTCGCCGAGAAAGTGTGCGCATCCGATATCCCCGAGTTTGATGTTGGGATAGTCTTGACCAGGAAGTCGGTCGGACACTAGCATGTTTTCAGGCTTGATGTCTTGGTGGATGATGGGACGCCAGTTTGGCTGCTGGAAGTAGGTGCCGTCTTCGCGGTAGGTGCGGCCCTCATGCAGGAAAGCAAGAGCCTCTGCGAGACAGCGAGCGACATGCAGAATGAATGACTGAGGAGGCGAGCGTCGCTCTGTAAGCTCGTTGATGTCGACGTCGGCTCGTCGCAGTTCCTGTGTGAAGTCCCCAAGGTCCCCAAAGGAGCAAAGCTCGTACTTGAGGAATAAACCGGATTCGTAGCGCATGGCCCGGAGCATCCGAACAATTTTTTCACTGCTTCCGGGCCTATCCGTGCAGACAATCTCCGCATATCGGGCCTCTTCTTCTCCGTTGTAGGACCTCAGGAAGTGTTTGACCACGCAATGACGGCCCATCACAACAGCATCTTTCTCAACGTGGTACTCACGAGCGATGTAGACAACGCCAAAGCCACCAGATCCGAGCTGCTTGGTGATGTGGGAGTGCTCTAGTCGACCAGGCAGAACTGCTTGTTTCTCCGCTGGCTTGTGCGAAGATGATGTCGACCGACCTGACTGAGCTGCTTGTTTCTCTGCAGGCTTTCGCGAAAAAGATGTTGATTGACTTGGCTGAGCTGTTTGTCTGTCTGTTGGCTCGCCAGGAGAAGAGATTGATGTTGATGCCGAACTGAGGTATAGACGACAGTCCGACGGGGTGTTGGGGGACTCGTTCGAGACAGACCAATCGACTGGCGACTGCATCTCGATACGAGGGAGGGACCACGTCAGAGAATCGTGGTTGTTGTTGTTGTGTGTGGTGTTGAGGGAGGATGAGGTGTGTGAGAAATTGAGTTTGTGAGAATCTTCTTGCATTTGTGAGTGTATTGAAGCTGATCAAAGCTGTGCAAGGAGAGATTTGTGAGATGTAAAGATGATCGTTGAGAAAGGGAAAATTTTGCTTCTTTATAGGGGAGCCCGGAAGTGCGAGGATGTTCATCCAGCAACCAAGCCTGGCGAACCATGGTCCATGTTTCCAAGATATCTTCATTTGGTGGGCGAGACTGAAAAATTTCGACTTGGTACTTTGTATAGAATTTCAATGGCTTGCCAAATTTGTTATGTTGCTATGCCGTGTCTCTGAACTGTAATCAGTCAACGGCCTGACTTGTCAATGGTCGTATCTTGGTACATCCTGTACAGGTTGCCGAAATACGAATAACCTAAAGATACATATGAACAATAAACAAGCATCGCGATCTCTATTCTACCATTACATAGAAATCTATTCGATCATTCAATATGAATAGTTAAGATATTCCTCTCATTCGCAACAGAAGGCCAGGAACCGACATTGACACTGACACGTGTACATATATTCTCAGTCTACAATTTGGCAGCAAGGTAGGGAAAAGGAAATCTCGTCATTGGACGTAGGGTTCTTATATTGTTGGAGATGTTTGTCAAATGGGGCTTGACGATCCGCGCTGGGGCATGATACTTCTCATGGTTGGCAAATTACATACATGATGTGCTTTATTAGCATTACAAGGCATTCAGCAGGAGAGGAGACGACACATAATAATTACAGCGCATAAGCAATTTACAATGCCAAATATCACGAATAAGGCATACAGTGCAAAGGGGCATGAGTGGATGTAGAAAACGCCTCGTTGCCGTAGTAGGAAATAGTATTCTTGGGTTAAGCGAGAAACCGTACCATTGCGCCGGTGCCGTTCTAAAAAAAGATCCCAACCGTTGCACCGAACCACTGAAGATGATTTCTATACATTTCGCTCATGGTTCATCGAACGGCGGTATTATGGTGCTCAAAAATGCTGCCGCAACATGCTGTCCAAGGATCGCTGGGGCTGAGAGTTGTGCAAGCTGGACGGTGTGGGCGGCGCCGGACTCATGACGCCTTCGCTAGCAATATTTAGAATTCTTTGTGTTCTCCTCCCTTCCGTATATCCGTCCGATGGAAAAGCGTTGATCGAAGAGGTGTTGATCTCGTCAAGAGATGTACTGAGGTTGGTGATGTCGTTTGGCGCGAAGTGAATGTAGTTGATCGACCCGTACCGGCGGGCCGTCGCAACCCGCAGATGTATGAGATGTTGAATTCCGTGTCCGTGACAATTTCCACCTAGCCTGAGAAATCAAATGCCAGCATTGTTTCGTACGTCTCAGCTGGCGTTCTGGTCATCCTCGGTGATGGGCGGAGCATGTATGACCACACGCGACGTATTTGACTGTCAATTTACAGATAGATGAACCCGGAGAAGGACACGCCTGCCAACCATGTACGAAGTAGATGCAGCCACAGCCTGGATATTGCTCAACGATTTGCATACACATGTTGATGAGATGTGAGAGGATAGTGGTGAAGTTCGAATGAAGTATGAAGACGGGGACAAATGGAACAAGTAAATATACTGACAAGTCCCAGGACAATAGGGTGCTTTAGACCCTACTGCGCAATGGCACAGAACGATTGAGCAAAACAGAACGAGTGATCTTAGAAGAGAGTGAACGCAGGTAAGACATGGCACAGTATGAGAAGAATGACGGATAACGGCGTCAGGACCAGTATAATCTGTCGCTGCCTTCGAGTGGAGACCAGGACTGAACCCAAAGAAGGACAAACAGGGAGGGTTCGTCTGATATCTAGGAATCGTATGGTGGCTTGTGACCAAGAACCGGCGGGCATGTTGGGTCCTAAGTCAATAGGGCAGCGCAAGGTGGGGATAAGCCGGAACGACCGATACGACAGGCTGAAAATCTACTTGAGCATTATGACTGCCAACATTGTCAGGGACCAGACAAGCAGCACGGGGAGGCCAGATCAAGGATGGCATGATTACCATCGAGGCGGCCGAGCTATGGCAGCAGCTGGAGTGGAGTTGGTCTAGAGGCACAGTAGTAATGGGCACATGTGGAGCAATGCGCGAGTACGGCAACAAAGGGAATATCAACATGGGCATCAGGATCCGCGCCAACCACGCGATTATTTGGACTATGGACGAAAGACATTCCCAATGATTCGGATGGCATGGCAGTGTGTTGGCGGTGATGAAGCAGCTAGCATACTGGCAGTGCTATTCGACGACGAGTGCCATTTGAGATCCATGGGGCGTAGAATGAATGCGGACAGGGAGGCGGAATCCGTTGGCTTTTTGGCATAGACGTCAATGTTTCCCGTGCTGAGTAGTGTTGGGGGTCCAAGTGTAAGTCTTGCACAGACGAGAGAGCATGAGTATAGTAATAATACCCAAGGTAAGCCATTGTCCAAGTGAGAGCAGACTCAGTGCCATGGAATCATGAGTGAAAAGGTGGACGTGGGGAGCGCAAGGATATGCAGACATCGAGTCAGCCCTACATTTTGACCTTTTCTGTCTCTCCTGTCAACCCCTTCCCCTTGACCCCTTAGCCCCTTGACCAACAGACCAGAAGCGACTGCGGCTCTGTGATTCGTCCGCGTCTAATTGCCGAGGGATGGACGGCGTGGTAAGCGGCCGCCTGCCCACACCGCCCGGAACAATCATCGCAATGATCGCATGCACCACGAACCACGACCGCGCACGACTCAACCGTTGCATCTCACTTCGCATCCCCACGTTTTCGACCAGTCTCGTGGGCCCATCGAACTCTTTTTGACTGACCCCATGCCGAATGCCTCTGCGTCGAATATCGTCTTCGTATTGCGCTACAGAGATATCAACGCATCGCGTCTGGCGCGCCTGGAGCGAGCCACCACCCGGGCATCTCCCACCGCATCTAGCATCTAATGACCGTCCCAATGAGAACTCCAATGATGATCTTCAGTCGGCAACAGACGCTTCGGCCTGGGTGAGATGTCGTCAGTGCCCAGGGCCTCGCGTGGCACGGGTAGTAGGCGAGTCACTCCGACGTCTATCTTTCTCGGCCTAGTCTGGCTTCTTCAGAATGCCACACCGTCTTCGAGACTCGTATAATGAACCGATCACGCCCGTATGGAATGGACCAGGTCGGTGTAGTTCTTCTATGGATATAATGAAGTTTGCCTTCCTGCAAGATGTCTGGCGCGTGGGGTGCAGTGTCCGAGACGGCAGTCATGTCATTTTGCGTTTCTTCCCAAAGGACACTCACAAGGTTGGTCATTCTCGAATTAGTCAAGCCCCAATCTTGATTACCCTTTGTTGCTAAGATGGAAGCCTTCTGAATTAGTCGACATCTGTTCTAGCTTCCAAGGGTATCAAGCAAGGGATTTGAATATTAGCCAATACGGAATCTCTGCGTGCCACCCTCTTCTTGTATCGCTGATCTCACCAGCCATCTGTCCTTGCGTGCAGATGACGAAGCAATATGAGTGAGACACAGAGACTGTCGGCCGAAGTTTGTTTCACATCGTTCCCAAACAGAAAGACTGTCACCGTTCGATCAATACTTAGGGTCGATGGTTCGCGGTGAATGGTGTTGCGAACCACCAATAGCAAGCATAAAATCCTCTTCTTTACCTAGCGACAGGACTACCCGACTTCTGGACACGAGAGTAACGTCGATTTCTGCACCGTAGCTATACATACTTTAGTTGGATTCCAGGGCTTTTGGCCTTGGCCGACACATGACTTGAGCAAGGCAAATGCAACAGAGAGGCGTAATCGTGAACGAGTAAGAGTAGGTAGGCTGCAATCAATTCCATCATACAGCTGCAGGCCGTTGTCTTCGCCTTACCGGTTCCTACCTTGACGTCTCCACGAATGCTGCCTAGCATCGCGGCAGATGCATGCGAACTCTTGACAGAAGCCTCGCGAACGCTTTCTCACTTGGTCGCGTTCGCGTGCATGTGGCCGTGCGATGACATGGATTGCTTATCTGACATCTTGTGTCCACGTAAGTACTATGAAAGTATTAAGACTCCGCTAAAAAGCAGCAGAGATGTTGTTATAGCGCTGTCTTAAAAAATAGAAAGTGTGGGTATACAATTCCAAAACGAACGAAGATCATCTATGCCATAGCCAGACGCCACCACTCAAAGAAGCAAAACATCTCGTCCAATTTGGAGAAGAAGAAGAAGAGAAAACATAGCTGCGCTTCACCAACTCAGCTGTCTCCACCCCCCATCAAAACTCGAAATGCGCCTCTCGAGTATCGCGTGCGGCGTCAGAGGCGCTTACACCAGCTCTGTCACACTTGCGCGCCAATCTGCAGCCTGATACACCTACACTTGCACTCTCACGCACCACATCACTTGCGTCCCTAGCATACCTTGTCAATGCATGTCCATGGAGTCGACCAGCACCATCCACAGTTTGTATTGTATGGGCCCACGCTCTCTCCATGGTGCCCCCCGGCGCCGCATCTGCCCATCCCACTCACTCGCCATACACCACAGCCACGTACGTCGCCGTCGTCACACCCGGGTTCTGCTCGCGCCGTTCCGCGTCGTATCACCATCAGCTCTATACCACGCCGACAGGTCTTGCAGATCTGCATCATTCGTTCGTGTTTGACATGAGGCTCCAGCGGCGTCGCGTCGTCTTGGGGCAGGCAGTCTGGACTCCCCGGGCACAGTTCCAACACGAGGCAAGTACGAATGAGCAATTTCGATGGAGAATCAATCCAACTGGGAACGCAGACAACACGCAGCTGTTGCTTGTCAAGTGATCGCTCGTGCATGCGCGGTCCGAGCATGGAACAAGCGCCACTTCTGCAGACTGATCCAATGGGGCACAGCAGTCGGTCGGGCAACGCTAGACGAGATGAACATTCTCAGATCGGCCGGGGAGTTGTATGTGTCCGGGAGCCGGGAAGAGTGCCTTGCAGCTGGACCAAGGAGGAAGATGTTTGTGCTTTTTGATGAAACGATGGTGGTGTTGACAAATATGAAGATGATCCCTAACTAATGCCCTAGTGACTTGGTGGGCAATATAGAAATGGTAGACCGTCATAGATTATGAAATGTTATTTGTAAGTATATCTACTTGCTGCTTAGCATCTTTGATGGCCAGGCAACAATCACCAGTAATGTACACGCGTATGCTCACAAATAGCCTTGGAGTATATGCTCAAGCCTCCACTGTCCACCTAGGACGATGAACGTACCATACATTGGACTATAAATTGCGCGTCCGAAAGCATCTGAGAGTCTATGGTCACTGAAAAGGACACCGAATGCTCCCTAAGCAATAATTGCTGTCACCCAACGCCATGTATGCATCACATGCATGAGAAGTTCAGCATATTGCCTACTTATCTCCCTTCTTTTTTCTCAGCGTATTGCCCTGTCCCTGGAAATGGACACCCTCCGGTGGTTTCTCCTGATCGCCCTCCTTCTTCGCAGGTTTGATCTCGTACCCAAAAAATAGTTTTCCAGGGGGCAGACGCAAGGGCTGCGGGCCATTAGTTCTCCTTATGGTAGGAGGAAGAGCGTTGGGCAGGGTGTTCGATGTGCCAACAACTGGTGTGGAAGGCTTCGGGGTCGCCGGTTTGCTGCCTTTCTTGCTGCTCAGCTTGTGCCCTGACGAGAGGAAGTGGCTCGACACTGCTCTAGCGCCTGTGGCTGCGGTCGAGGATCCAGGGGCAATGGAGGCATAGTTTATAGCCTGCGCCATAGTACCGTGCGGATGGAGCATGCCACCTTTGCCCGCCAGAACGCCGCCTGCGCCGCTCGCCGTGCTGCGAGGCGTCGATGTGCCTGATGTGCGCTTGGGTTCCTCATAGCCTATAGGTGGTGCGAAGTCGACGGATAAATCAGTCTCAAGTGTACATATCGCTTTCGTGGCGTTATCCGGCCTGGTCTCAAGGACAGCAATGTGGTACACTGTGTCATTATAGCTGAATGTGAAGATGTCTCCGGTTGTCAGGCAAGAGAAGTTTCGGAACGCATTTTCAAGAACTGCCTTCGGGTCTGAGATCTCCAGAAAAGAACAGTCTTGAGGTTGGAGCTTGATGAAAGTGCCTAGAGGAAGGTCTGTGGACTTGACTTGGAGCATATCCCCGACGTCGACCTTCAAGGTCTCCATGAGCTATACAGAATGATTAGCACTTGATTCTGTTGCTATTATGAATAGCTGTCTCAACTGCGTACCCAGTATGGTAGGTATATCTTCCCCTCTTCTGCTGTGAATTCCAGTACACCAGCATGTGTCTTCTTGTTTGCGTTGTCCTTGTTGTTTGTGAGCTCGAAGAGCATAGGATAAGTAATGTGAAGCCTCGTTAGTTTGTCCAGAGCACTCGGAGGTAGAAAGACTTTGCCGCCATGATTCGCCTCAGGTCGGTCTGGGCCTGGCAACATGGCAACGGGCATGCATCGAAACCACTCGTCGAACCGCCGAGGGGCGCCTCCTTGTCGTCGCAAGAGAGCGGCCTGGTATAGAGCCATCGGATCATCCTCGTCGAAGTATCTGGGATCCTGAAAGTGAATGTTAGAGAGATGCTTGATTGCGACCTCACTTCATTTCTTCGCGGGGTGTTGCACTTGCCATGATTATAGAGGAGGGCCGAATTGGTAGGTAGGCACCCTGGAAGATCGGAGATCTAGGTGGGCTGGAAAAAATACTTGCTTACAGTGGCCACGAGGAAAGATGCGCAGCAGTAGGAGGTTCGAGGATGAAGGCAGGCGTGACACCGATATTTGTGGATGTTGATGCGGGATGTTCGGACATAGTGAAGGCTCCCACTGATGACGCTGGACAGTCTGGACTTGGTGACACCGAGGCCGTATAGAGGCCCAAGCTCCAAACGTCGGATGCACACCAGAGCCTCATCTCCATTGTTACAGCACCCAACACACAACAATCTCAGTCGCAATACATTTGTTACACTGCAGGAACTGCTTTATCTCTAACGATAAACTATTAGGACAATGACAGGCAGGTTGGCGCCTAGACCGAAGCGCGCCAGCGAGAATTACGCCCGTACACATCACCAAGACGGCGAAGGGTCAAGCACAAAGAAGCCCCGCTTTGATCCACGAAACCCATCAAACCTAGCTCCTGACGCGAACGAGGAAGATGAGATCCTTGAGGCAGACGTTATTGGCAAAGGAGCTGCCACCAAGCGTAACGCAGTCAATATCGACGGGTACGACTCGGATAGCTCCAACGACAATTTTGATGCTCGTGCAGATGCGAAAGCACAAGACGCAAGAAAGTCCAAAGAAGAGGAAGACCAAGACATGTTTGCAGATCTTGAGGAAGCTGATGGAGATGAGGAAGAACTGAGTCGAGAAGGCAAGAAGAAAAAGAGTGTCAAGTTCATGGAGAACCAGGATGTCGAAGGCGCGGTTGCGGACAGCAAAGCCGGTGGACACGTGTCTGCCAACTTTCGTCTAGATGCCGACGACATTGACCATGAAGCGGAAAGCAGCAGCGACAGCGGAGGCGATGAGGAGCGAGACAGAGTCCCTAGGGGCATCGACAAAGAATTGGGAGCCGGTCATAAGACGAAACATGCGCCAAAACTGGACGCTTTTAATATGAAATCAGAAGGGGAGGAGGGACGCTTCGATGAGAATGGCAATTTTGTCCGCAAAGCTGGCGACCCGGACGCAGTACACGATACATGGCTTGAAGGGATATCCAAGAAGGACATAAAGAAGGCCAAGGACGCCAGGGCAAAACGCGAGCAAGAAGAGCGCCAACGACGGCTAGACGATGACGAGCTGCTAACCAGTGATCTTCTCAAGGCACTCATACCTCATCTAGAACTAGGTGAAACATCACTCGAAGCACTGCAACGGCTGAACAAGGGTCGAAAACAGCCTATTCCTGCGTGGAAGCAGAAAAAGATGCTGAGGAATGGCACTTCGATGGATGTCGATCCCGTAACAGCTGCGGCAGAACAAAAGAAGAAAGAGGCCATCGATGCTATAACCGACAGCACCACGAAACTGATGAACCGGGGAACAGATGATATATACGAGCAAGAACGCGAGCTATTGACTCGATGGTATCAACGCGAGACTGGAGACGCCTGGGTCGATCCACCATCCCAGGCTGCGGACGACGTAGGACCGGAAAATGCGCAACAATTCGAGTTTCGGTATGCACAAGATCCAAACTTGACGCCTAATGGCCCTTATACGAAGGAGACACTTGAACAATGGATAGCAAGTGGGCAATTCGCTGCCACAGTTGAATTTAAACGCGTCGGAGCCACCGAGTGGACGACAACGATTTGAAGAACGATGTTCTACCCAAACAGGTAATACGAAAGGCACACCAGCACCAAAACCTTTGAGGGTCAGGCCAGCAGCCATGTTGCTTCTATTGAATTTAAATAGGAATCGGACCTACTCAACGTCGCTCGTACGACGCCAAGAATACACCGGACTCCCGACCGAGCACGGTAGGAAGCAGAAGGGAATGTGATGGCGACTCGACTTTGATGCTCTGTAGGATACCCTGTCTACACACTACCGAATCACTCGGTCACAACTAATTATCTCTCGCGGGTTGAAGTCCTCAAAAGTCAAAACGCAGACCGAGTCATGCATCGGAACAGATAATGTCAGTCATCGTTCGACGGACACAGCTGCTAGTTTCGTATCATGCAACGTGTATGCCGGGGTAGGTTCGTAGAGATAAGGTGCGATAAAGTAGCCCGTCTGTGTCTACGTCCCATGTCAGAGGAGTAGACTGCGAAAAGCAAATGATGCAACAAGCTGCAGTCGTTTCACAACGCTTAATATGCTCACTGCCCGGTCCTACAATGATGCTCACCCCACCATACATCACATGATCATCGATCGATGCGGTGACGGTGATCCTGGGTACGGGGTACCAGCAAGTCGGGGCCCGTCTTACTCAGAAGTGGGGTCACATTGCATATAGTACAGTGGAAGCAAGAAGGAATCCATGAATGCATACAATTGTTTTTATGACCAACATCAGATGCACATTTGTCACTGGCAACACAACAGCTCCCTTCAGTCGATATACATGCTGCTGGCGAGGATGTTGTGTGACATGAGCGATTCGCTCGTGTCAAAGGACATGGCAGCGGATGGTTTTGCGGTCGATCGAGCACGAAGACGGATGCTGGCAGCCCCGCTTCGGGGTGTGTTGCATGACGGTATTACGGGTGAAGGAATAAAAGGCTACGGGGACGTATAGATGAATTCCAATGGATGACAGAGCTGTTGCTGCGTGCATACACCACAGGACCAGCTTTGGATCCTGACATGGGCGCGCGCTGAGCGGTTAGAATGTGTTGCATCGCGCTTGGCTCCGCTGCGATCTACTGCTTTCCTGGAGCAAGACACATGAGATGGCTTGCTCTTGTACCTCTGCAGCGTCTGCAGCCAGCATGCCAAATCGGACCGTCACACAATGGCCGATGACTGCATCCAAATCCCCAAGGAGCAATAACAAGGAGCCTCTATAAGATATGTGATACTTCACCCCCCCATAGGACTGAGGTGAGAGGAACAGACAAGACGAAGCCACGAATGCGCTACGATCGTAGCTTTGCGGCCCGCGTACGTACCGGCTCCCCTGAGTCTTGCCCCCCTCCCCCTTTGCACCTCGTGGGAAAAGGATCGACAAGGGTAAACGGTCTAGAAGGCTTCCCTCGAACGTCGCCGAGGCCAGTGTGTCAATATTGTTATATTGCTGAGCAGTGCAGACATGTCCCACCACGCAACCAGCTGTTCATAGCATGCATTCTACGCGATACTGCAAGTGGAAGCTCAAAACGAAGGGGTGCGCTGGTGACTGGCGTAGGATCCTTGCTAGGACGCGCATGGCGTGGTGTATGATGCTATGAAGCAATAGAGCAAGTGGATCATCACGCTCGCCCGACGAAGAGAGCGAGCGCAGGTATTGACCAGGATGTCGAGAGCAGGACGAGGTAGTATGATAGCGGTTATCGGGGTAACAAATCAGGTATTACACTTTAATCGTACCGCAGCGATTGAGAAATGGTAATGAGAAGAAATTGGACAAGGAAGCAGCCCATTACCCAAAAACAAGAAGAAAAAAAAAACCAATAACTGTTGCTCCCTGACAAAGGAAGTCAAACAGGTTGGGCAGCAAGCAGCGTGGCTTTTTTGTCGAGGGCCGTCCCGCGCACCAATCACTGCACGGCCTCCGAGAGGTCACATCGAAATCTACTCGCGACAGACAATACTGTACACACACCTGTGAGGCGCTGCAGCTGACAGAGATTATGTAGAGCGGCCACGGCAGCAGCAGTGCTAGGCTAGGAGCGACTACGCTATTAGTTGCTAGGTTTGTAGATGCAGATGCACGCGGTTCGCATGGATGAAATGAATGGTTTGTTATTATTGGAGGTTGGGCATTCGTCTCAGGAAAAGACACGTTAATTACGGTCTTCCAGGACGAGTCTAGACTAGGATTCGATGATCGCAACGAGACGGCAGATTCATGACAAGGCATCTATGGGTGGGAAAGACGGATGTCAGTTGTCAAACGTCTAGTCATGATCATGCAGCAGCAACAACAGCAACAACAACAACAATAACAATGACAACGCTTCGCCCAGGACGCGTCTAAGCTGCACGTAGAGTCCAGTGGACGTCAATCTTGCACCAAGGACGAACCAGACGGCAGAGACGCGTCGATAGTGCCCGTCGCGTGAATTATTAGACGTGGGCGAGAAATGAGATGGCGGTGCCAAGCTTGGGACAGCAACCCATGGATTGGCAGGAAATGGTAAAACCTTTTAATCCAGCTGAGAGAAACAAAAGTGTCTGGAAACCCCCTGCTATGTATGCGGGAGTGAGAGGTTGAGACATGAGGTGGTGAAGTGTCGTGAGTAATTAGTGGTAACACTGAATTCTTTCGTCGCAGCCAGAGATGAAGAAGCATGAGAAAGGCAAAGGGGGCATTGGATTGTGCATGATAGATAGATACATAACACATGGTAAGATGGTACATTGTAGTTGGGTGGGTAGACGGTCCCGGCCAGGTAGATTAATACCTAATAGTTAGCTACTACTAACCAGGTAGGGCCACGGTGAGTCAAAGTGCAAAGCAAGTCATCAAGGACTAATTACATACAGTACTAATTACTTGTCCATGTATGTATGTATGCATAGTGGATAACGCGAACACGGCAGCATCCATAAGTCATTCTATGAAGGGCCAAGAATTCCTCTCCCTCCCTGCTGTTGCTCCTTGTTGCTCAGGAGGTCAGTCAGAGTCAGCCCTCTCAGCTCACCCCTGACTATCAATGACTACTGATGATGGCTGTTACTTCTTTGAGCCTCTATCGACGACACGATCAGACTAGACGAATAGCGCGCCAGTGCCTCATTCGGTGATCAGTCAATGGTACAGACAGTTCTTGGATATAATAGGGGGGGGAGGGGGTAAAGTAGTGAGAGACTGTGGAGCAGTGTGTAGAAGACTCGTAGAAGGCAATGAATGATGATGATGATGATGATGATGGTAGTAATAATAGTGATAATAATAACAATGAAACAGCACGGCCAGAGAAGTAAAGGGAATAAATACCTGTGAGCAAGTGAGTGAGAGAGGAGGGGGAGGGGGTTCCGTAGCCAGCCAGCACCAGCAGCTTTAGCCTGCTTGGGACCACACACAGCTCGAGGAATAAAATTTCCCACCATTCTGGAATCTGTGCTTTGTCCTTCACCAACAACCAACACACACACACACTCACACTGACACTGACACCACCTCTTTCAATCACCTTTTCTTCCTTTTTCCTCATCCACCTGCAGCATTCCGGGCTGTTCTGTGTAGTACACACACCTATCTCGCCGTCAATCCGAGAACGAGGACGACGACGACGACGACGACGCTGCTGCTGCTCAGCTCATCATCACCTACAAATCAACTCTCTACTACGCCCGTCCGCTCTCACACCGACTAAGCCCTGCTCTCCCTCCCCTACCTACCTACCTACCGACCTACCTACTACCTACGCACACCTACATATCTGCCCAGCTTCCGTCAAAGAAGTACCGCAGCCTACTCTTAATCTGTCTCTAGCCTTACTCGTCGTCTTCATCTTCTTCTTCTTCTTCGTCAATATTCTTTTCTCTTGTCCAGGTTCTGCTGCCAGCGTCATCCGCATCCGCGAGTCCCGGCGATTTGTTCAGAAGCCGTGCCAGACAAGAGCGCAGTGCCCGACGTGCGCACCCGCCGCGACAAAACGAGAAAGAAGCTTGACCATCGCTTGATCATCCCAGAAAGCCGCGTGCACCTTCGGCTCCTCCTCCACAACCACCACAACCACCACAACCACCACCACCCTCCTCCTCCTCATACTCCTGTTCCACCTCAGCTGTGCAGTGCAGTCGCTTTGTACCTCTGCAAAGTGCCACCGCCTACCTCTTCCCAATACGCCCTCGTCTCTTCCTGGTTCATCCACTCTCGCTCGGCGTGCTCTCTAGCTCGCTGCGACCTGTGACTGACCTAGTCTCGACTTGTTCGTCGCGCTCTCTCTCTCTCTCTCTCTCTCTCTCTCTCTCTCTCTCTCTCTTTCTCTCTCTCGATCTACATCCATTGTCGCCGCCTCTATCGCAACCTAGCTTTGGCTCTTGTCCATCAGACCTCCAAGCTTCAAGGCCTTGAGACAGTCAGCCATCGCTATAACAAATACTGCTCATCTCGAGCAAATGCTGCATGCGCGACTGCTGCAGTAATCACGGCCTATTACTTACGCCCACGGCTTTCACGCTCATTGCTCGGAAATTATGAACCCATCTTACGACATGTACGAACCACAACAGAGGTCGCCTGGCTCTCATCGCCAACAACAGCAGCAGCATCGAGACCTTACTCGCCAGACTTCTCGTCAGTTCGATGCGTATGGCACCGTGCCGTCTAGCCTTTACCAGATGGACGACAACTCGCGATATGACGTTGCGCCGCGGAACTATGACCGCTTGAATGCGACCATGCACAACTATCCTCACAACGATTTCGGCGGATCTGGTTGGAATACTGGAAATAATGGAAGTTTCGGTGCGAATCAGAACCTGGCTCCTTTCACCGGAAGGATGAAAGGCAACCAACCTCGCGGCCGATTGCCCACCGTAGGCTACAGCCATTTGTTGAACTACGCATGCTGACAATAACATAGGACTGGATGCAAACCTCCCAACAACCACCCGTTCCTCCTTTCCCTGGCCTCGGCCACAACGTACCCTCACCTTTGACTGGTGGTCAAAGCGGCTATGGGTTGCGGCAAGATCACATCCCTGAAGATCCTGACGAGCTCATCCCCACTGCTATCGTTATCAAGAATATCCCTTTTGCTGTTAAAAAAGAGGCGCTTCTCCAGCTCATGACAGAGATGAGACTCCCTCTGCCCTACGCTTTCAACTACCACTTTGACGGTGGTGTGTTTCGCGGTCTTGCCTTTGCTAATTTCACCACGTCCGACGAGACTGCTGCTGTCATCGACAATCTCAATCATTTTGAGCTTCACGGAAGGAAACTTCGAGTTGAATATAAGAAGATGCTTCCGTTGGCAGAGCGCGAGCGAATCGAAAGAGAGAAAAGAGAACGTCGCGGCCAACTGCAAGAGCAGCACATGCCCCAGCCAGGTCCTACGCTTAATCAGCAGCCGTCGATAGGATCTCTCCATTCTCATGGCCAAGCTCCTGCGACATCTCCGTCACCTGTCCAGGGCAGATCTGTTAAACCTGGTAGGACTTTGATGGCCCGGCAACCCCCGTCACTGGCTCCGTCGACTAACGAGGGAGCAGAATATGATCTAAATGATCCAGAGGTGCTCAGGTACTACACACAACTTCTACTCTTCAGAGAGGACCATCAGCGCACGGAAATGGTGTTCCCGGCTACTCTACATCCGACTGAAAGACGTGTTATCCACACCATCGCACACGAATTTGGGCTGATGCACCTGTCCAAAGGTGTCGGAGATCAACGACAGGTATATGTCCACAAACTGAACGCTCCCAACACAAGCCCTCCAATTCCACAGGGATACGATCCAAACCGAAGAGCGTTGAACCGCGCGGCCACCACAGACTTCAGTGATGTACGCGCTGCTGATGGCTTTTACGGCACTCTTGGTCGTCAGGGATCGGGCTATCTCGGCTTTCAAGATTCTTCAGGTGGTCTGGCAGCGGCACAAAACCTCCGCGGAGCGAAATCTTATGCCGATCTTCGATCTTACACGCCCTCCCCAGTCCCGTCTACGGCCAGTTTCCCTGCAAATGTTCGTAATGCATTCGAATATGGACAAGGATCGGCCTCCACCAACCCTTCCAACACACCCACGAACACCACTATGAACGGCCGTGATGAAATGCTTATCAATAGCATGAACGGGATGAACCTCGGCAATGGCTTCAATACCCAAAGCAGCCCCAAAAGAGGTCTCAGGGGAATGATGTCCTGGGACCGTGAATCAAACCCAGGTCCAATTGGAGGACACAGATCTATGAGCACGAATTATGAAGAACAAAGCCGCGACCGAAGCTCTGCTCACCCGTCTCGACAGCCGCGAGGACCCCTTGGTAACAACTCTGGATTCTCGCGTCCTCGTCAGAACGGTCATCACGGTCGTGGCAGCGACGAACTGTCGCAACAATCTGGGGTCGAAATCATTGTAGAGCACTAATAGAAACGCGCGTATCTCAGTCACGTCCATGAGGAAGCGCGACGCAACGACCGAATGACCTTGTATCAGCACCCGACATACCCCAGAATAAAAATTTACGAAGTTGAGACCACTCGACCATTCGGAATGACCAGGATTGGTATCGTCCTGGCTTCCAACTGAATGGCAAACTCATGACGCATACGACGAATGACGCTACGAAGGTAGATTCAGACATATGGCTCCACAGCCTACGCCGCCACACCCCATACCATTACATCTTCACCATCACGCATCAACAGAGTCTTCCCAGATGCGATGCTATACTGTTGCTTATTTATGTTTCTGGCTTTTAAGCCTTGAATGTCCCGATTTCTGTCCAATCCTCTTCACTTGGATATTTCCCTCATGGCAAAATGTGCATATGGTGGTCGTTTCGAGAGCAAATTGTGATTCTTCAGAGTTGACCTACCGACCTGGATTTCACATTTCCATCAGAATGGAGTTTTTTTTTCGTTGTTTCTTACTTTCTTCGATTCTTGCTTTTCCATCTTCATGCCTTTCACTAAAGCTTCAAACAAGTTGTAAAACCTGCCCTACCATCTGTCTAGTCGGTTTGGAATACATCCATGGTCTTTGCCTCGAAATCATCTGCTACTACTTCCATGGTAGCTGAATGTACCTGTATTAATGGCTCTTATGTGAGCGAGCCCCCCTCCCTTCCCCCTCTTGATCGCCCGATGAACGTCGTTGGTTGGAGATATATATCGACAGGGGCGCGCTTGACTTGCCGTTCGCATGCTTTAGAGCTTTGTCTGCGAGTATTCTGGTTTGGCTTGCCTTTTTTTGGAATTTCTACTTGCTGGTTTTGTGTGTGTGTGTCGGTGGTTTGGATTGGTGGTGGTGATGGTCGAGGTGGTTGGAGGTAGTGTGGTGGGTTGTTGGGCACGACGCATACAAGGGTTGATTTCATCGGGGGTGGAATGAATGGGCTGGGCTAGAAAGGGCTTTTGGGGGATTGTTGATAGGGCGCTTTGCATGTGTGTGTGTGTGTTAAGGCAATGAGTGCTGTGAGAATCGAGTGCTTCTGTCCTGTCGTGTCCTGTCCTGTCCTGACTGATGAATTGACTTGGCAATGCTGCTGTGCTTGTTTGTGGCATTGCTCGTGCGCGTGAAGTTACGTATATACATGTATGTGTATGTCTCCTGCTGCTGTTACGCATGGTTTCGGGAATCCTGTGCCTACCTACTACTACTACCTAGTCGATCAATCAATGATTACATGCGTGAAGCGATTCAAGGTCAAGAGTCGGGAGTTTTATACGTCTTTTTTTCTTCTTTTAGATTGGTTGGCAATGATGATGATGACGATGATGCTACAAGGATCTTAACCATACAAAGTAAAACTTGTGTGTGAAAATCAGATTCGAGGTACTCCTTCCTTTTCCCCGGATCAAAGCAAGCAAGCAAGCAAGCACATGCCCAAATTTCCAACCCCCCCAGAATCCATCCACCCGACACGCCTGCGTACAAGAAAGCACATGTGTATATCAGAGAGAGAGAGAGAGAAGAAAAGAAGCAGGCGCAAAGAACGGGGAAATGGGATTTTGGGCGGGCGGGGATGTATTGACTTTCGCGCGAGACATTCCAAGAAATGCGTGTGCCGATATCGGGCGTGCCTAGTTGAAGTGTGGTTTGATGCTGAAAAAATCAAAATCAGGACGTTCGCCAGTATTACCCCATGAGCGTCAGCTTTACGCGCTGCGATTTCCTCCGATCCGACCTTCTCCTCGTCTCTCTTGTAAAACAATGGGGGAAAAAGTAAAGAGTTTCGTGTGTATCCTGTGACTGCCCACAACGAAATGTAGTGCCTTATACGGGGGGGGCCAACTATGCATCGATGGCCTTGCTCTTCTTCTTCTGCTCCACCTTCAGTAGCAACGCGCGGTTGATGTGTGGCAGTACACCTCCGAAGGCGATGGTGGCGCGGATCAGGGTATCCAATTCCTCATCGCCACGGATCGCGAGCTGAAGGTGACGTGGGGTAATGCGCTTGACTTTGAGATCCTTTGCCGCGTTTCCGGCCAGTTCGAGAACTTCGGCGGTAAGGTATTCGAGGACGGCGGTCAGGTAGATGGCGGCTTTGGCGCCAATGCGCGTCTTGTGGCGCGTCAGGTTGCGAAGATGGCGCTTTATGCGACCGCAGGGGAACTGTGGATGGCATGGTCAGTACTACCGTTTCGCATGACGCGACTTGTTGTTGTTGATACTTAGGAAAACTTGATGATCTAGGTAGGCGACGACATACTTGGAGGCCGGCTTTGGCAGAGTGCGACTTTGCGGGTTTGGCAGAGGCATCAGCCTTGCCGCCTGTCTTGCCACCTGTCTTTCCTACGAAAGCGCAAAATGCAATGTTAGATTGACTTTTTCTCAGAACATGGTACCACTCTCAGGCTTCCACGGGCGAGGACTGCGCGTACCTTTACCACCAGGCATGTTTGACGGGATATATCGACTTTGTGAGTTGGGGTATCAAATATGCGTATCTTTGCGACCGTGATGGACAGTCGACAGGTGTTGAAATGTGTGGTGGTGGGTGGTTGGGAGATGATGTGGTGGAATGTGAACTGTGGTGTTTTGATGTTGGAGGAAGGCGCGTTCGGCCCAGCCTTTTCCATGCAAGAGCTTTGACACAAACCCCGCCGCACGTGATCTTGAATGCTTATTGGAGTGAACGTACACTGTGAATTCGGGATTGGGCCTATATTTGTATGATTACTGTGTCGATGACTGCTGCCTTGGGTCGGGTCGCATCGGATACATCTCTTGATCTTGCTTGAGTTGGGCATCGGATTCGGCCATACACCGGCCGAGGCAGCAGCATAATTACTGCGATGCTGCAATCAGTCAATATAAGGCATCATGCCCTTGAAGGACCAGGTGCTCATTGGTAAATGTCGCTTGCCTTCGCGAACCAGTGTTGTCAGTATTTGAAAGTTATTAGGGCTCTGTTGCAGCAGTGCCCTAATGATTTCGCTCCTCAGTCTTGCTATTGTCGCAAACCTCGCTACTCTCTTGAGTACCGTAATCTAGGTTGAGTGACCAAGTCGTGAAACAAGTCCTACGTTCTTGAGTATGATGTGAACTCGATGGTTGACAAGTTGGAAAGGCCATATGTTCACGTGTGAGGCCGGCGAACTGCAGAAGCATCGCATATACACATCGTCATGGAAGTGCAAGTGCCCATTTGCTCTGCCACTGCATCGATTGCGGGATTCAACGAGGAGACTTCCTGCTGACTTAGCTGAAGGTGCATTTAGGCGGTCGAAGTGTCAAGATATATCGTTCTTCTGCGTCTGCGTCTGCGTCTGCAATTTCTGGTCTGCTGTTTGCTGTGTATGCACTTGAACGTGAAGCGTGAAGCAACTCAGATCGTTCCAAGTTCGGGCCGGGGAGCAACAGCTCTCTCAAAATGCTTAGCGTCCACGAGTGCCAAGACGTCTTAGCGCCTGAACCACCTAGGGACAGTTCTAACTTCGAAACCAACCTCCATGAAGCTCTCACGAACAGCACGAGACTGCTGTTCGAGTTAGCTATCGGTCCTCACCCACTTCCTCGCCCTCGACACGCGTCCATAATCGCGCCGCTTTACCTTCGTCGTTGTACTCGTAGCTTCTCGATCACCACGCTCAACTCTTCCACCCCTTGCACGGACGGCAGTGCGACGTAGTCGAACAACTTGACACACCCATCCACACGCCTGCTGCATGTTACAGCTACTTTTCCCATCGAGACGTGAAAGATCAGAACAGTGGGCTGTTGATGGCCTGGCAACAGCCCAACCTAGGCGGAGGTGGGCCAGTCGGCGGAGGTGACAACAATGGACCGCCCGCTACAGAATACACCCTGCAAGGTATGCCAACGCCACCAGCTTGCGCCTTCAATGTCCAATTGCGCATGTGTGAGTGTAGATATGTGTGAAAGCTGATCAATCTCATAGGGGTCATGCGCTTTCTTCAATTGGAATGGCACAACCATGAGCGAGCACGAAACGCATGGGACATTGAACGAGCTGAAATGAAGGCTAAAATAGCGAAACAAGAAGGCGATGTACGAAGCGCAAAGAAACTCAACGATCAGCTTGACAAGCAGATTCGCATGCTGGAGATGGCTCTCAAAAATGAGCGTGCAAAGAACAAGGCTGCTAAAACAGACGACAAGGTGTCCGGTACGGATGAAAAGAAACCTTTTTCGATACTGAAACCAGAGAAGAGCGCATCAAAACAGAGTAAACGTAAGCCCCAAAAAGTCGATTGTTCAAATTGCGTTATGCTGATATTCCTCTACAGCGCAAAACAAGCAGCACAATTCTTTCCTCGACGTAGACATTGAAGGTAAAGATGGGGGCGAAAGGTTCCGAGACGGCCAGCGCGATAAATCGAAAGCGTATATGACGAAATGCGTCGAAGAGATCACTTACTTGCTTACACCGCCGATGCATGCACCAATGCCTCCTTCAAATGCACAATCGCTCGGCAACTCCGTCCACATGATGAATTCACAAGAGCCCTTACAGATGGAAGAGATGTACCTACAACGCCAGAGAGCACAGCATCAGACAGGTTTCAACCAGTCGCATCCTTCCTCTGTCCCCAATCATCAATCCCAGCCCATTCCATCCATGTCTGATATACCGAATCTACCGTACGGCAATCAGCAAGCACCTCACATGACCAGAGAGCCATCTGGTCAACAAATTCTATCACAATCCATGGGATATCCATCTACAAGCATGAGTTCTGGACCTGCTGAACCTGACTCGCCCCAGGCATTTGTTTCCATCCACGAGGAGCCGGCCGAAAGAATTACGCACTCTTTCGACGCAGCTGGGAAGCCAGTTGCAGCACAGGAAGATGAAATATCTGGTACTAGACACATCGTCACCGACGAATCAGATTGGAACTTTGACGAGTCGTCCCAAAATTTCGAAGCTTCGGCCGATGGTCAGGCGACGCGTAGGCCTGATACTGATGTCTTTCCAAGCGCAAGCACAATTCCAGCAAAATCACCGCCTCGTATAGCCTCAAATTCGCATCGGAGGCGGAGTTCTGGACCCACTGCAATGAGTCGACATCGAAGTGAAGGGAATGAGGTGCGCGACTTGTCTGGAATGGGCAGCCGATCCGATCATCAAAACTTCACAGTTCGGTTTGCTCTGCGTGGCCATCTTGATGTTGTTCGATCTGTCATATTCACGGGTGGTGGTAGTCCGTCTGAGCCAGAGATTTGCACAGCGGGTGACGATGGTATGATTAAGAGATGGATAATACCTGCTAGCTATGCTTCGCAGCATAGCGTTAACAATGACTTGGATATACAAAGCTATTTTACACATCGTGGGCACGAGGGCATCGTTACATCTTTGGCGGCATGTCCCGCCGCGGCGAATTTTGCTACGGGTGGACGGGCATCAGGGGATGGGTGGATATTCTCCGGTGGCCAGGACTCATCCGTGCGGGTATGGGAACGTGGGCGTGTGGACCCGAAAGCAACTTTAGAGGGGCACACTGATGCAGTCTGGTCGGTCTGCGTATTGCCTACAACATGCGCTGCAGTGTTCGGGCCAGAGTGCAACAATTACGGCGGCCCTGACAGGATCCTTCTGGCATCTGGATCAGCTGACGGGACGATCAAAATCTGGGCAGTGAGCGCGCCACCCCAGGCCGTGTCGCCCTCTACAGGATCTCGTAGGGGCGTGGGTGGGAGCAGAAGAGTATCGGTCACTTCTGGCTCGAACTACCCGTCGTCGCCGCAACCTAGTGTGGCCACTTTGACGCCGTTCAACCACATGCTTGTTCATAACATAGTCCGACCTACTGCGCCATCACCAACATGTATCTCGCCACTATCACCTACAGGCGATAACTTCGTTGTGTCATATACTGATTCAGCAGTATTGGTCTTTGACACAAGGACTGGGGATGAAATCATCGGTATGGCTAGTGCAGAGACGTACGATGGTAACCCGAGGACAGGTATCAACACGGTCGTGGCTTCATCGTTAAGTCTTGACGGTTCCGGGTCCGATAACGGCAGGATACCTGAAGATGAGAGCGTCATTCATGGCGCAACCGGCTCGATGAGCGAGGGAAGTGTTGAGGGTGTCGTGATTAGCGGGCACGAAGATCAGTATATCCGTTTCTTCGATGCCAACAGTGGTGAGTCTGCAGTTCTTCCTCAATGAACATCCGCTGACGATGGAAAGGACAATGCACGTACAGCATGCTCGCCCACCCTTCTGCGATCTCTTCGCTATCGCTGAGCAAAGATGGCCGAGAAGCCGTCTCGGCTGGACATGACGCCTCGATTCGGTTCTGGTCGCTTGAAAAGCGGATATGCACTCAGGAACTGACTAGCCATCGCATCATGAGGGGTGAAGGAGTCTGCAGTGTCGTTTGGAGTCAAGATGGCAGACTCGTAGTGTCGGCAGGGGGTGACGGAGTTGTCAAAGTTTTTGCTCGGTAAAAATCAGAGGGCAAAAACGATACGAAGACAACGAGGAATGCTAATACGATATCAATGGACAGATCTCCTCACGAGCTACCTACACGCGAGGTTGGCCGATGCCCTAAATGGTCACTCACGCGACTCTTCGACTACGTTGTAATATGAGGCGATCACCTGGTTACTTGTGCGAGTTCATGGTGTCTGCCTCTTTCTTTTCTTTCTATATACTTTTTGCTAGGTCGCACGATCTTGGACCTGGATAGTTCGCAGAGAATTGCAAGTCACTGGATATTGCATCGAGCCGTGCTTGTCATGGCACTACCGAGTTAGATCTAGCAGAGCATTCTGTGGGACTCCCAGCATCAGCTCAACCTTCTTGTGTAAGATAGAAAAGTGAAAGCTGTCACAATGCATGAGGGAACGGTTTTGAGTAGTCGTGAATTAACGTTGTGTGGCGTGCATTCAAATATCCATGCAACTCACAGCGGCATCTGCGTATGTATATGAGATCTACCCGTCCCACGCACTTCGGAGTTGTAACCTCCTAAGTGCTCCCGACTTGAAATGTACATATGCACTTCAACGGTACTATATATATATAAAATAAAGATAGCGACGTCTATATAGCTAATACCATATATTTATTACTTAGTAACTTCTTCCTAGTTATCTAGGGGTTAAGTACTCGTGTTCTAGTTATATTTCTCTATAGTAGGCACTTCTATAGCCTATTTTCGAGCCTATAATTATAATATTAGACGCGACGCGTATATTACGTGATAATAACGCGATAATAACGCGCTAAGGCCGCTAATAATCTAAATTTCGCGTTCCGAAAGTCACGAATAGTAGATTAGACCTTCTCCTCCTTATTTTAGTATATATAAGGGACTTTAGGCATGGTAGTGTTATTATATTTAAATATATTATCTATATAGTACCGTTAAAGTGCATATGTACATTTCAAGTCGGGAGCACTTAGGAGGTTACAACTCCGAAGTGCGTGGGACGGGTATAGCCTATCATCATGATGAAAAATACACGAGCTCCCTGAATATTTAGTCATATGCCGCCGAAACCAGGAATAGGCTTCTCTAATTGGCTGTCTTCTCCCGTGCTACTGGGACATCCTCGGAACATGGAGCGCATCAAGTGAATCTGTATTCTGTAAGCTGTCCTCTCAAAAACATCTTCCGCCTCCCAGGCATCCTCTGCACATCTCCTTGGGACCACAATTACCTCCCCACTACAACTCCAGACACTCCGTACACTTACCTCCGCCACTGCCCAACACTACACCCGGAACCCATCCCACTACAAAGCAAACTCACCATGGACACCTTCACCCAGCTCCCCATCCACATGGACCCCCAAACAAAAGCCATAACAACCACCCACCCAACCCCCGCCCTCACAACCGAACTCACAACCCTCAACGCCCTGCACAAAACCCTCCTCAGCCTCGACGGCCCCAACACCGTGCCCCCACCCCCAGTCCCCGTCAACCCGAAACGCACCGCGCAGATCAACAAACTGCACGAATCCGGCAACGCCGCCTTCAAAAAGGAGTCCTTTGCCGACGCAATCAAGCTGTATGGTCTCGCGATCAACATGGCGCTGCAGCGCCCGCTGTGGGAACCCAATGGGTTGGTCAAGGAGGAGGTGGCGGGCCTGTATGCGAATCGGGCGCAGGCGCACATGCAGCTGCGGGACTGGGTGGCCGGGGCGGCTGATGCGCAGTGTAGTGTGGAGATGAAGAGGGCGGGGAATGGGAAGGCGTGGTGGAGGAGGGGCAGGTGTTTGCTGGAGATGGGCCGGGTGGAGGAGGCGAGAGTTTGGACGCAGCAGGCTTTGGAGCAGGATGGTGAGGTGGCGGAGTTGAAGCAGCTTGCAAAGGAGATTGCGGAGAGGTTGAAGAAGTGAGGCGGCTTGGGTTGGAAATGAGTTGTGAAGACAGAGCGGTGCATGGGTTGGCGTTTCGAATCGTGAGGGCTGTTCTCGATTTTCTCTGAGTTTCATTACGGGCTTCGAATTGAATGCTTCAAATCCACGCAGCGGAATAAATGGGATCACGTCAACATCTTCAATGAAATATCTTGGAAAATACATCGCTAGGCTGAGATGGTTGCCCCGAGCTGCCAAAATTTGCCCAGAACTCCGTCGTGGTACGCCTGTACAATATCCATTACAGAAATCAACTTTAGCTCGACCGAGCCACGACCATTCAGCTGAAGCTGTATCCCCCACCCTGTGATTGTTTCCTCTGCTGCTCGTCCCGATATCTCTCGTATCCATTGTACCCTTGTGACTCGTCTCGGTCGTCGGCCGTGTGAGCCGGAACATCGCTGCGTCTATAGTCCTCATATCCGCCGGGGCTTAGCGCACTAGGCTCCTGATAGCCGCTGTACTCGGTCGTGTCAACAGCGGTAGGTTTGCGATATGTGCCAACACCAGCGCCAGCCGGGCTGTGATACGTAGTGTCGTCGTCAACATTGCTCCAATCGATGGGGCGTCCTGGATGCGTCTCATCTATCGTCGAAGTATTGAGCATGTATTCGTCGCTTGTCCTTCCGTGGTCGTTCATGTCTGCGGACCATTCGTGGGCTCCATCGGCATTATCAGTCTTCTGTGCTTCGAAATCTGGGGCTTGGGTGCGTCCGTTCGGGCCCACGCCGCCGGCCATGCCCGCAAATGGAGACTCGCCCGTTTTGTGGAAGTGCTGCGCCCAGTATGCAGATATGCCAGTCGTGATGAGGAATAGGACGCTTGAGGGGAAAAGGTCAGCTTCTTCTCCGACGTATTCTGCGCTGTATAGCTAGCTACTCACAAGACGACAGCGCCCAGGCCTACTGTTGCGCGTGATATGTTGCACTTTCCCTCCGAGCCGTATGCAAACGTCGTGCAGTTGCCGTCGTTCTCGTCGAGATTCGCGTCTTTTGCGCCCTGTCTTATTCCCGCTGAGTTGTACATGGCGACTGAGATGAAGGCGGCGAGCCATAGGATGGTATACAAGGCGTCGATGCTAATAAAGGCCCATACATTGGCGAATCGTACTGTTCGCTGCCACATGGGCACCATCACTAGATATAACAACGCAGGGACGGACAATAAGCACTGCAGAGAGGGGTCCTTGTTAGCGAATTGTCTGCTCAGATTACGGAGAAAGACAGCTCACCAATGCCAGAAAGTACTTGGTGCCACCGCCGACGTAGCCGCCTTTTGTGAGGATGGCGAGAGTGATGCATCCTGCAACGAAGATAAAGAGGACTTGAAATACGTGGGCTACGATTTTGCATTTCTGCGAGTAGCTCTGAGCTATCTGGGCGAAGCCCATTATCACAATCTCTATTATCTGATAGAGTCTCTCTTCTTTTCAAGCTTTCAGTCTCTGATCCAAGGATGAATGCGGTAGCAGGTGGAGAGCCGATCGTGCGGCTGGCTGGGCAAGGGCGTCTTCACGACGTTTTGTGACAGGTCCTCCGCTGAGTTGAGGGCGCGATCGTGAAGTGATGGAGCAGGATGGCAGGTATTACCGGTGGAACAGAGACGATACCAACAATATTAACGACAAGCAGATCAGATCGACGACAAGAGAGGAGTGGGGAGAAAGCCTTGCGGGCGCAGTCTTGTCCAAAACAAGCCGCGAATCTGCTTTGACGCGCAAGGCATACACAATACCTACAGTAACGGATTAGCGTCGTCCCCCGGCCGCCCACCCAAAAAAAAAGTCGGCGCGCGTCTAGCCAGCCAGACATAAAAGGAGTGGAGGTCGTATTCGTAAACAGGCTGATCGGGCTAGGATGGCCTGATGCGATTCGCAGGTTTTCCTCCGATGTTGGTTCTCTTGATACAACGCCCAGACCCTGTCTATATATCCTGCAAGTAACTGTATCTTGAACCCGGCAAAAACCTCATCAATAGCACAGAATCCAGGTAGAGAGAGAGAGAGAGAGAGAGGCCTTGATCGCCATAAGGGTCGCGGCCGAACGAGGAAGGGGCGGGAACCAGCCTGGACCCTCGGACGCGCTTGCCCTCCCCGGGCCGCCTTTAGCGATGTTTAGACCAACACTAGCACTGACAACAAACATACCCTGACAATTCATTGTCCTTTGCTTGGCTCGCTTTCATGCTGCTTTGTTGTTGGCCTTTAACAATGACCACCCTTAACAACGTACGCAGTGCAGTGTCAAGAAGTCTGCTACCGATTTGCTAATGCTGCCTGTGAAACCTGAAGGCTGCGGGTGGAATCCCCTTGCGTTATGTGGTGGCAGTGCATGCTAGTGGCGCACCAGCTTCCTCAGCTTGGTTGATTGTGATAGTAAGCCATTGCCAAAGATGCTGGCTAGGACTGATACAACGTATGAGTTTATGTTTGTCTGCGCGATTGTCAATGGGCAGTTCCAGCTTCCTCCGTGCGATGAGCCATAATGATGACTCCTCAGTTTGGCTTTACGTTGACCCGAAACGGACATCGTCTTCTGTAATGGTACATCATTGAAGCAAGCGTTCAGGCTCTTGTTTACCTGATTCACTCAACCCATGACACCGTGAGCTGAGTTGTTTGAGCTACATTCACCCGCTTCTGGTCCAAACTTTCGACCAAGATCAATATAAAACTGTTCTGTTTTGCAGTTCACACACGACAGTCATGCATAAGGACTCCTAACTTAATCTCGCACATATTCCACATAGCTTGTTACGTTAAGCGGATTCCTTGATTGCTCACGGCACCCTCCGAGACATCATATACGGTTCATCCAACGAACCTAAACAATCCCCAACAAGCCGAGATGCCTAAGCACAGCAACCTCACTTCTCCCTTTGAACCTACCCTAGACCTTCGGTCTCCCTCCAAAGAACATGATCGCGTCCGCAAGCATTCCGTGAAATATGGCAAGTTGAGACATATGAATCACAATCAGATCATTCGACCGATCGACTGCCCCTCTCACACATCCGCGATGGACACCATCCAAGCCAGCACCAGGTCACATACCCACAACGAATGCCTTCTCGACCACCCCTCCGACACACTGCCAGAGGCCGTAACAAAACACATGTTATGGAAGCAAGCTCAACTACTAGAGCACGGATCTCCCAACGGCGGACGCAGAATCAAGGGCAAGGGCTGGGGCCCCAACAATCGCAAGTTCATGATGCTGAAGGGCGGGGTGATGACGCAAAGTGTGAGCGAGGCTCGAGGGGATGTGTTCTACCAGGGCGAAGAATGCGAGTGGGACGTCGATGCCGAGTTCAGAGCTGCTGAGCTGGAGCTGTATGGACCGAGAGCGGACCAGAATAGCGACAGTGTCTGGGACATGTATTCTTGGACAGATGATCGCGGTGGAGGGGAAGGAAGAGGAGAGATGAGTAGGCTTGTGGACTGGGCTTTGGCGAAGTCTGAGGAGAAGAAGTGGAGGACAGTGGACAGGGAATGGAGCGAGGTTGCGGAGAGCGATGTTGAGGACGAGATACTTGATGGCCCGAGTGATGATGAGATGGGTTGGTGTTCGGGGAATGAGTGGGTTGTGGTGGAGAGTTGAGCTTCCCATAGCGTCAGACATGTTACTACAAGTCCTCGTCTGCATGAATCATTTCCACTCGTACTATTGTATCCCGTATGAAAACGATGTGTTTTTCCATTCTACCCCTGTCCCCGGACTTGTGTAACATCGATCAGTCAAGGGATGGGATCTGGGAGCTCGATGGATGGATGTTGCTGCCTACACGAGTTTCCGTCTGAGCGTGAAGATTTTATTTACATCATTCACTTTTGTTACGCAGAGACAAACGCATGACTACCGTCAGCAGGCCGCATGACATGCAGAAACAATGCTGCGATCATAATACGACCACGCTGCTTCCCCTACATGACATCTTTCCATCTTCCATGTCAAGCTCGACGAGAGATTCAACCGAACAAACCCCCACGCCCTCCATGTCGTCCATAATGCCAAGCGCCATCACCACCGCCCAAACAACACACCTGCTGAGAATAGCGCTGCAGCCCCCTCCAGACAATGTCACCAACGCGACGAAGATTGCGCACATGCGGGAGCTGGAAGAACTCTTCGACTATCTCGAGGCGAGACGCGAGTCGGCCGAAAATATGAAGAATGTCAACCGCATCCGACTTTCGAACATCGAAAGAGATATCAACATACTGATGAACGAGTGGACTCGTCTTCTGCGTCGATGGAATGTTGTAGTTGATGAGGGCGTTGCTGTAGAGATCGGGCCTGAGAATCTGTACTCGGGCGTCGAGTGTGGGGAGATGGCTGATGATAGAGAGGATATCGAGCCTAGGGATGGAAGGACTGTGAGGTCAAGGCCGCTGGTGGAGTTCTCGTGAGCACGGTACGTGGTGATGATATTGTCGCGGCTTTATGACACGTCGCATACTGCCATGGAATTCGTAAAGACTATAGCATCGAGAGAAAAATTGAGAAGTCGACCTGAAATGGAACACTTTGGAATCGGGTTGCAAAATGATAATACTAAACACATAAGAAAGCCGGGCACTGATAACCTAGACTGAGAGTCTTTAAGCAACATCCCTTGTGACGGATTTGACTCTTAAATGAACAGAATTGATGGCTTGATAGCCTGCGGGACGTGTGGAGCCAAAGTGTACATAGCAGGGTGTTTCATGGAGACAAACACCATCACCACAATCAGAATCCCAGCTGTCCACGAGGTCTGATTCCAAAAGTATGATGTAGTGATACAATCCCCGCATTTTTTGCAGTTACCAAGGCACGGCTCCATTAGAGCTAAACCGAATTAGGTCGCGCATCATACGTAGCGCCCAAGTAGCTTCGCATGCTTGAAGCATACCACCACATCCACAGAACGCTGATTCCGGTTCGCGATGTGTCATATGTGACCACATGGCCTTCGAATCCTCCAGCGGCTACGTTGCGCCCTCTAATCTTAAGGACCATGAGGAACAAGCGCTTCCAGTCTTCAACTTGGAGCGAGTCGCGCTCCAGTTCTCGGTTGCTTCAGACTTCGTCGCAGCCCAGGTAGCTAATGATATTCTCATCTTGGCTTTGACGACAGGCAGGATACTCAGAATAGATCTAAGCAATCCTGCCGACATAGATGGTTAGTAGTAGCCATAGTAGTCCCTCCAGGCTCGAGACACTGACAAGAGTAGACATCGACCTTCCCAAGAAGACTACTGAAGTCGGAATTATACGTCGACTATTCCTCGATCCCTCTGCATCGCACCTTATCATAACAACTACACTCAATGAAAACTTCTATCTCCATGCACAATCAAGACAACCGAAAGCTCTATCGCGCTTGAAGGGCGTCAACATCGAGTCGATATCCTGGAATCCTTCCCAACCGACGTCTACGACGCGTGAAATCTTGATCGGTGCGGCGGATGGCAACATTTATGAGCTCTACATCGAGCAATCGACTGAGTTTTACCGTCGGGAGGAGCGATTCTGTAAACATGTATACAGGGCGGACAGTGCAATTACAGGTATATGGACAGACACTCTTCCGGGAAGACAAGACACGCGCCGAGTTCTCGTGGCAACGGAATCAAAGCTTCTTCACTTCGTAGGCAAAGTCGGCAGACCAGGTCACGAAGGCAGCGCATCGATTTACTCTCGAATGTTTGAAGGCGAAGCACCCACAGTGCACAGTGTTCCGGGAACTTCGCAGGCTGCAGTATCAAGCCTGGCTATCTCCCCTGAGTCGCCAGAAGATTCTGTTTCTGCTGGAGAGGAAAGGGTGTTCGCTTGGCTTACGTCGAGAGGGGTGTTTCATGGCAAGCTCCTTACGTCGCCTGATCCATCTGAGCTAGGCAACAGAGTTTACTCAGAGGCCAAGACCCTTCCACGATCAGTCATACCACCATCACAAAGCTCGACCGGGCGACCGCGAGCTTCACAGGATAATGTCGCTTCCATGGTCTTGACTCAATGGCACGTCCTGCAGTTGGTTGAAGGAAGATTAGTGGCTATCAATAGACTAGATGAAACAGTCGTACTCGATCAAGAGGTCTTGGAGCAAGGTCAAAGCATACTCGGCTTGGTGGCGGATATGAAGAAGAACACGTTCTGGCTGTTCACATCCCAAGCGATCTTCGAAATCGTCGTAGAAGACGAAAGTCGAGATATCTGGCGAATAATGCTTCGAAACAAGAATTTCGAGGCTGCTTCGAAGTTTGCAAAGACGCCCGAGCATAGAGATGCTGTCTCGACTGCATATGGTGATCATCTCGTTGGACGGAACCAGTACATGGAGGCGGCCGTGGTTTACGGGCGCAGCACGAAACCCTTTGAGCAAGTCTCTCTGACTCTCATCGATGCGGGAGAGCAAGACGCTCTTCGAAGGTACCTGACGACGAAATTGCAAAACATGAAGAAAACTGCGACCATGCAACGGATCATGTTGGCGACATGGCTGGTAGAGATCTACATGGCGAAGCTGAACTCACTGGACGATACAATCACCACCAAGGCAGAGCTTTCTGAAAGTATGAATACTGCCGAAACACAAGACCGCTTGTCAGGAGTGCGGAAGGAGTTCCAAGACTTTGCGTCCAAATATCGATTGGATCTGGACCGAAAGACAACCTACGATATCATCAGTAGTCATGGTCGCGAAGAGGAATTGCTCTACTTTGCGAATGTCATCAACGACTACAACTACGTATTATCATACTGGGTGCAACGCGAGCGGTGGAGGGAATCGCTTGATGTGCTCATGAAACAGACCGATCCGGATATCTTTTACAAATATAGCAGTGTGTTGATGATTCATGCCCCAGCTGAAATGGTCGACATCATGATGAGACAGACAAACCTTGATGCGCGCAAACTCATACCTGCATTCCTGAACTACAACAACACTACGACCTCGACATCTCTAGCACAGAACCAAGCAGTTCGCTACCTCCAGGACGAGATCAACCGGCGCAACTCTACAGACGCGGCAGTTCACAACACACTGATCTCTATATACGCATCGAGCCGGTCCCAGGATGAAACGGCACTTCTTACCTATCTTGAACAACAGTCGTACTCCTCTGAGCAACATTACGACGCCGACTTTGCTCTCCGACTTTGCATCGAGCATGACCGAGTTCAGAGCTGCGTACACATATACAGCTCGATGGGCCAGCCAATTCAAGCAGTAGATCTAGCACTGAAGCACGACAAGATCGATCTTGCCACTTCTGTAGCCAACCGCTCGGATGTCACACCAGCCCTACGGAAGAAGCTGTGGCTCGCAGTCGCTAGAAAAGTCATCAGCCAGACGCAGGGCATCAAAGCAGCCATTGAACTGCTGCAAAAGTGCGACCTACTCAAGATAGAAGACCTCATTCCCTTCTTTCCCGATTTTGTCGTCATTGACGACTTTAAAGAAGAGATTTGCAAGGCACTCGAGCAGTATTCACAGAACATGGATAGATTGCGTGAAGAGATGGATGCGAGTGAGGAAACGGCGAGGCATATCAAATCGGACATTAAAGCCCTCGATCAGCGATACGCAATCGTCGAGCCTGGTGAGAGATGTTACGTATGTCGTCTGCCATTGTTGGCAAGGCAATTCTTCGTCTTCCCTTGCCAACATGCGTTCCACAGTGACTGCTTGGGCAAGAAGGTTGTGGAGCTTGTGGGTACTGCGAGAGGGAGAAAGATCAGAGACGTAGAGATGGAAGTGAGCAAGGGCACCAGTGTGGGTGCGAAGAGGGAGAAACTAGTCAAAGAGCTGGATGCTCTGGTGGCAGGGTCATGGTGAGTGTGTTGTTAGACGATGTGACATGGACGTGATGCTAATACTATTCGTGCAGTGTCCTCTGCAGCGAGCTCGCCGTGCGGCTCATTGATGAGCCTTTTACGACGTCTGCAGACAACAAGGATGAATGGGCTTTGTGATGTTATGACGCATATGGTGATTGCAAACAGCCATGACAATAACACTACAGTCTCAAGAAGCGTACCTTGTTACCTGTCACTGCGACGCCGTGTTTGGTTGGTGGCAGCAGGGCTCAAGGGATACACGGCGCACCCACGAGTCAAAAATGGTCTGATAATTGCATCGAGGTCGGATTGCCTGATTGGGACTGCACCCTGGGGGCATATTTACGCGTGGCTTATTTGCCGGGGAGACCCTGCAGGCTGCGCATTTCGGAGTCGATACCGTAGGATACCCAAATCGCACCACGGTCCACAATGCAGACATGAACGGGTAACCGGACCTGCACATACAGTGAATGCCAATGGCAGTGCATACGAGCTTCGAAGGATGGAATAGATGTACCGGTTCTTCAAAAGGGCTCTCAGATCAATTGTAGCAATATGCGTGTTTCAAGCTAAAGTGTTCAATACCACGCGAAATTGAAAGTATTAATTTAAGAGGCTTGGGACTAAATGCTCGACTAAGCTTTGTTAACTATCTATGCACGACGACGCACGCGCTTCCGACATAGGTTGCTAAGCTAAACATGTACCAGACCACATGATTATATCAAAAACGTGAGACTCTGACCAGAAAGAAGGACATTGACGTGGCCAGAAAGTCATATGCTCTGGTATGGCCCCTAAAGTTACTGGAGATTCTCTATGTGTGTGTGTGTAGTAGTAGTATTTATTGGAGATTAAAAACGCAGAGTGCTCGGTATAAAGCATGCAGGGATAGATAGGTTAAAGAGAAAGACGGCTTATTTCGTTCGAACTCTTTGTTGGTGACATGGGAAATACCTCACTCACACATAGAGGAGCTTCATTTCTGCGTGACCACCAAGAAAACACCAACCCTAGGTAGACCGTAGGATGCGGAAATTATGAGATGATTGATATGCACAATACCTCGGGGCAATTTTCTGCCTGCGGATAAATGAAGTATGTTTTTTTTTCTTTTTCTTTTTATCTCTCTCTTTTCGGTATGAGCATGGCTTAATATTGAGGACATTACAAACATAGTCTGTGCTTTTGCTGCAGGTGGCTCTCGGCTGTGCTGTGTGCTGTGCAGCTATGAACCTGTAATTAATGATGTGTTGATGGAAAAAGAAGAGCTGCCACGTGTTTGGGAAGTAAGTAATAGATCCCACGTGACCAGGACCAGGACCAGGATCCGGGGCTCTGGGGCGAGCGAGGGGGATGGATGTTTTTGACCGCTGACGTTGCCGCTGGCCGTTGCCGTTAGAAAGAAAAGAAAAAAGGGCAGGCGCGACCCTGTGCTCCCGTCGGCGGCAGCGCCATGAGCAGCCTAAGCACCCCCCCCTGCTCTCTTCTCTCACCGTCCGCTCGCTCAGCCACGTCGTCGGATGTTCTTAGACTACCTAATAAAATACTAGGTAGTTGACGCACCCATTCATTCTTCAACAGGTGGGTACTCGTCATTCGTGATGAGTGGGATGTGCTGTGCTGCTGGAGTGGATTCTCCCCGATCGTGTCTGGCTGCATACGTAGTCGCTTCGGCGCACTGACATTTTTGTCCTTGGGTGGTGGTGGGCGATCTTGATCAGCTGTCGGTCGTGGTCGTGTCTAGGTGCCAGGTTCATCAACAAGATCCGCCGTCATTCATAGAGCTGGGTTGATTATGCTTCTCATAGGAACGGACAATTCGTTGGACTTTTAGTATTATTACCTTCCAAGCATCTATAGCTAGGTGCAGTGTCTAGCCTGTGTGATAGCTAAACTCTCTTGATGGAAATGGAGCATTTACTTAAGTATACAGTAGCTGCCATGCATGGTAGATATTGTACCCCGTAGCGTGATGAAACCTACCCAGACAAAAGTCCAGCCAATCAAGCCATGCCACACTTCTACCTAGCCACACCGCCTGCCCCTCCATCTAAGCTTGTTCCCCAGCCACACCCCAACCTCTCAGTATACCAGCCACACCCAGCCACTTTCGACGAATATCTCAACCACATCAATTGTATCTTCACTCGTTCACTCCAATCCATATGCAAATCTCCTCTCCAAATCTTCTGAGTCTACTAGCACACACTTCTATCGGAAATTTCGAGCCTCCTTAATTGTTCCACCACCATCATAACCATTTCGACTTCCACTCATCTGGTTCTCGACCTGCGCCAGCTCAGAAGCTACTGCATTCGCCTCCAACCGCCTGCAAAACGCCCACCTGCATCTGCAGTCAGTCGCATTCGTGGTCAACGTCCCCGCCACCAGCTATCCTCATGTATCCTTCCTCCTCCTCGACATCTCATGGGCACCAGCACCGGCACCAGAACCAGAACCAGCAACAGCAACAGCAGCAACAACAAAAGCAGCACGACCAGTTTCAACACAGCCATACACGACATCACTCCACCTCCAGTGCTACAGCTTGTTCCCTGCGCAGCGGACATGGATTGATACTCCGCCAACATCCACCACCAACCCCTTCCCACGCATCATCCTTAGATGACAATAACTTTGACGACATCAACTTATCTGTTCCTTCCGCTGCTTTCCACCAAACCGACACGAGATACCAGCCTGGCCCCTCACCCTTCGACGACTACACCCAGCCACCCAGCCACACCCAGCGCTCTCTCACAAACACCTTCCTCGACAACTGCCGACCCTTCGTGAACCAGGCTGCCTCTACGATCCAACAGACCTCCAAAGGCGCTCTGCATTCGCCCACCAAATCTCTCGCCAGCTTCATCTCCCTCCGTGGCTCCAAGATCGCCGAAGAAGACCAGGAGCAAGACCGTCCAGTCTCCGCAAAACGTAATAGCAAATTCGGCGCGCTGTTTGTTGGTGCTTCGGCACACGTTAATCTGGGCCTCGTGCCCTCGAAGACACCACGTCATCTTCACGTTGATGAAGAAGAAGAAGAGGGCGAAGATTCAGACGACGACATGTTCACTACGAGGAATTCTACGGCGCCAACGCTGCAACGGCGAACCACCTCGCAATCCGCCACGAACAAATTCTCGTGGCTACTGCCGTCTGTCGGTGTAAAGGGTCCTCGAGTCTCGCAACCGGCGCGCACGGAAGATAGCAGTGATGAGCTGCTAACTCTAAACGTTCAGCATGCTCTGTTTCCACACGGCCCAACAGATCCACTGGATCCTGCGTCTTTCAACGATCTTCTTGAAGCTGCTGAGAATCTGCTCCAACGCTACCAAAGCGCGTACCGTTCACAAGCCGAACAGATTGCAGAACTCAAAGCAGAACAGAGCGTACAGGATGAGGAATGTGACGAGCTTGAGACTCGTTCGCGCCATCTCAAAATTCAGCTAGACGACATGTCCGCGCGAGCAGCCGAACAAGACGCTGAAATGCAGTCTCTCCAGCAGCAGCTCCAAAAGGAACGACAATTGCGGATTGCAGAGGAAGAAGCCCGTTTACGTCGCAGAACTTCATATGACCAACGTGACGACCCAGCGTGGTCTCGGCGGCAAGCTAAGCGGACGTCCAACTCGGCGATTAGCTTTACAGATTCTGGCTTCGACTCAGATAGTGAGGGCACGGCGTCGTCGGCTGCAAGTCTCGCACATGTTGAAGCCTGTTCACCAAATTGGACTTCTTACCATCACACACTCACCCCACCTTCGACATGTACTCTCGCATCGCTTCAAAATGCACAGCCACAGGAAGCCATCGCAATGTCTCTGACACCCACACGCTCATTACAGCCAAGTCGCCAGCAAGTCACCAGTCGAAAGATGCCCATGCATCATACTCGATTCGGCGACGATGAGACGGACAGTCTGAGGCAGCAATCGGGGGCATTCAATGTCATCCGAACTGTCAGACAGGAGAATGCACAACTGAGCTTGCAGCTCCAAGCCTGCGATGACGCAGTGGACGATGTGCTCGATTATATCAGGAGCCTAGGGGTTTAAGCGCTTGCTAAGGGGGGGTCGTTGGTGGTGGTACAAAGTTACATCCCTTGTGTTAATGTGTATCTTGGTAGATTCGTAAGAGCAATCAATCAACAAATACTTGGAATTGTCGCGATACGTGATTGGCTCGGGGGTTTTTGGGTGATGGGCACTCGACACTGCACAGTCAGTTTAGCACCTCACATCATAGCGCGATCTGAGACGAGGCTGGCTTGACTGCTGACTTCTGGTTCTGGTTTGGGTCTAGACTGTACGGAAGCACCGAGTGCAAGGATTGCGCAGGCCTCACCCTGCCTGCAGACTGTGCATGGCGAGAGTGGCCAGTATTTGTTCTCGCCAGATCATGCCCTATGCTCTGGTAGTGTCAGAGTCTTGACTAAGTTTCACAGAAAGATGAAGATCCACGTCCAATTACCGTGTGCAGCCCTGCCATCCCTGCCGGCCGTTCTCTTCCCCCTCAATTCTTCACAGCATGCCCATATCCCAACCGCCCCACCTCGTATGCTTTATGGTTTGACGCTAATACACCGCTGTAAGCGCAGGGTAACTGCTTCTTGATGACGGAGCGGGCGATCCGTGCTTTAATGTCGTCGGAACAGGCCAAGCGTAGGCAGCAGGGTGCTAGACGCGGTTCCTGCGAGATATAGTATGTGCATGGTCCAATTAGAATCAGTACTAAATTATTCATGTACCATACCTTAACAGTAGCAAGTAACGTTATTAGTGTAGTCCTCTCACTGTCTCATCAAAGGACAAAGACACAAATCCGCCTTCTCACCACGGGCAAAAGGAGGAATCCGATTATGCTGTGGGTGGGCTAATTAGAGAGCATAATAAAGCTTGGTTTGGTTTCACCGGGTGGGAAATCGAATATCGAGTTCCGGGAGCGTGGCACAGTCACTTAGCCACAGCATTCAGACGGCTTTGATTGGTCAAGCCCCTCTCCCCCAAGAACTTGATTTTCATAGTACATAGTCGTGTGTGCTGGCTGGGTTCTCCTGCTGCTTGGTAACAGAAGTAAGCTCAAGTTAAGCTCATCAAGGGAATCCACTCTGCTCTACCATGACTCTGGATCTATGCTGGGATGTGGTGTGTACATGGAAGACCGCGACTGATTAGATGACCCCTCCCGAGGATTCTTGCATGCAAGGTTCCGATATGCTTATAAGTTACCATGATATGTAGTATATGGGTACAAGTTGAGCCGATGGAGGGGATTTCGCCGCATACGTGACACGGTGCTGCTTGGGTGGTTTGCGTTCCTACGTGAAGCCTGTGCAAAAAAAAGGATGACAATGACCCTAACCATAGCAATGACAACAACACAACGGCCATGACGACGCAGTCTGATCCCTCATCCATCATTGACCGCCTCTCAACGACCTGGACTAGACTGGTTCTCGTATCCCGCCTGACAAACCGAGCACGATAGCCGACTAATAGGTCGCAAAAGGCCAAGGAGCCCAGTGCTAGGGGGGCTATTTATACGTACTCGTGCGGGGTGACATCTAGGCCGCATCCCATAGGCCCCTTTTCGGACCATCGGCCGCCCCGCTGCAGTCGACGCCCCAGTTAGTCCCCGTCGGGGGCCCTGGAAGCTTTTGCAACGTTCGCCTTACAGATATCCAGATCTCGAAGGCGATCCCATGAAAGGGCCTTGTCTTTTCAAACGGTCCGTTTCATGATACTGCCGCGGATACAATCCGAATTTGCCTTGCTCCTCCTTGATTCACGTTCGGTTCGAAAGGAAAGGGGGTCCGGGTCACGCGCACCCGGCGAACTGCTTGCCATACTTCTACTTGCATCTCGCTCGCATTGTACATCCTATCTAGACCGTGTACCCTCCACTTCACATGCCCACTTGGTACTTGGCGCTACGACCATGACTCCCCCAAACGGAAACTCGAAGAGGCAAAGGCTGTCTTGTACAGAGTGTGTCAAGAAGAAGAGAAAGGCGAGCACTCCGCGCCCTCCTCCTCCACACAAACCACCGCATGTTTTTGTCTAATCTGAAGAGCAGTGTGATCGCATAACCCCTTGCAGTGCATGCTGCTTTCAAGGCGCGCCAGACAAATGCAAGTACGCAGGGAACATCCAAGGCCTCACGCAGGCCGAGGAGATCCGACGCCTCAGGAAGAAGCTCGCCAGTCTCGAGGCCAGAATTCCGCCCACAGATCGATCCGACGACTCCAAATCGTTGACGTTGTCGCCAGAGGCTCAGTCGTGTATCTGCCAGAAGCTGTCCGCCGCGTCCCTTACGGAATCGCATGTGTCGGCTGGTCCCAGTATCCAGCATGCTCTCGTGTCCAGCTTCATCGCGAACGCTTGCCCGTCGGGTCACCACCAGTGGATTTGGCCGGTGGCTCAGGCCAGTGGGGATTCTCTGATGCTATGGAGAGCACTTACGGCAACGTCTTACGCTGACCAGGCGTTGGCTACTGGAGACCATGCAATGTACATGGAAGCACAGTATCATTACACCTATGCTGTCACGCAACTCCGGAACCATCTGCAGAAGCCTGGACATGCAACAAAGACATTCGACACCAAGTCTCTGTACACGATGGTAGTGTTGGAGTTTTACGAGGTGGGCATATGATTCTTCCGTTTGCCCTGTTCTTCACTGATGATTTCCCAGACAATAGACTTCCGAGATAGACAACGATGGTCTATGCATATAGATGGTGCAGGAGCATTCCTACAAGACGCGAACCTGGGTCCCGGCAACGACATACCTCCTGCCGTCCTGGACTTCATACGGCTTATGGATGTATGAAGCCCTCATTCTGCGAGACCCCCGAAGAACTCAGTGCTTACAAAAGTCCACAGATCACCATCAGCTGCGTCCGGAAGCAAAAAGGTTACTTCACACACTCGAGATGGCGCCAAGCCACCGCCTCTCCGCTCGACCCGTCCCGACCGCGCAGCTCAATCGCAGAGCTCCTAGACGTGCTAGACCGCGCCACAGGACTCATCGAAAAGGCCCATATCGCATCCGACGCCGCTGCTCGCACGCAGAAGGTCGAAGAGATGGACGACGAATACAGACGCGCGGACTTCTGGGCAGAGCTGGACGGCGTAGAGAAGGACATGATCCGCTTCATAGAAACAAACGACCACCTCAAGGGCCAACAAGCCGTCCTCACACAGCACGTCGACGAACTATCCATAGTCATCGCCTGTGCCTTCAGACTGATCATGTCTCGCATCGACACCCGGCCCTGGAGACCGTCGGAGAAAGAGAGGGTCGATCTGGCCGCGTTGCTGGTCAAGCGAGTCGTCAGACTGACCAACGAACGCAGCGACAAGACCTCGGGCGTCATCTTGCTGTTCACGCTACGCCCGGCTTTCTTCACCTTCCCGGAGCATCACCCGGGGCGACAGCTCACGAAGCACATCCTGGCCAATCTATCGCAAAAGTTCCGACTGCAGGTCGCGAACAACGTAATTGACATGTTTCCCCCGGTCGTCACGCCGGACTCGTCGCCATCGCCGCAATCGTCGCATTCCACACACTCTAATGGGAGGGAGATGGACGGCTCTGTGGATGTCGTTTCTACGACTGTGTACTAAAAAAAAGACTCGAGAAAAACAATCGAGCTGCCTTGGTCACACTATCATCATCGAGCATCTATCCATTCTCCGTTATTCGGTACTTGATTACCACCAGGATACCTGGCTGTCAGTCTGGAACTGTGTCCGCGAAATCATAGTCAGAATGCGCCCGGTTCAAGATACCCCACGCGGCTCGGGACACCCCCGCGTAATAGTACGCATTTCATTCGCGCAGTTGTCCACGCCTCAGGCAGCATTCCCCTGCCCTGCCCCTCTTCACCATATACATTTTAATTTTTTTGGAAGGACAATCTACCAGAAGAATTATCCTGCCCATTCATCACTATGGAACTTTTTTCTTTGTTGCAGCAACTGGACTGGTTGGTTCTCCGTCCGTTCCCCTCCACCGTGCGAGCGAATGCGGCTTAGTCATTGTGCCGTCGGTACCCTAAGTCGGGTCGCTCCCGCAACATGCCCGCGCGCGCCCAGAAAACGCACTGATCTCATCATAAGAATGCCGATCCGGTCGCCTGTCATCTGCTGTTAGTTAGGGTCGAAACGAAACGGGGGTGCCGCGGCCGCCGCGCGAAAGAAGTACCAAAGTATCAATTATGTCTACCTTCTTTCCCGCCCGTTTGGTTTTGGGCTAGAGAAGAAGGGCAGATCTCATTGGCTGACAAGCAAGCCGATTGGAGGAGGGAGCGTGTTCCGAGCCTCGGCGATGCCGGCTTGGGACCGTCCGTGGGAGCTCTAGAGGATCATTGGAGGGGGGGGTTGGGGGGGCATTTTATGCTTGCTGCTTTGGGTCCTTGTGGGTTGTGGGGACGCTGCTTTCGGACAGACAGGGTGGGGTGGGTTGATTTTTGTAGAAAAATCGAGGGTGGAGGGAGGGGAGACCGAGGAATGTTGCGGGTTGCGCGTGCTTGCTTGCTTGGTTGTTTACTTGCTTGCTTGCATGGCATACATTGTGGGCAGGGATCGGAGATGAGGAAAACTCACTCGTGATGTGTGAGGAGGGCCTGAGGCGATGCGACGCGCACTGATGCGTTCGCAGCGGGAATTGGGGGGGGGAGGGGGGCGACGGAGGGATTAGGCCTAGAAAGAAGGCGCGTGGTGGTGGTGGTGGTGGTGGTGGTGGTGGTGGTGTCATTTAGGAATCAGGATCGGTTTCAAGTTGTCGTATTATAGAAAACATTTTTTGTCCATGCAATTCATTCCCCGAAAAGGTTTTTTCTTACCGGTTTACGTGCGTACGCAGAGACGGCAATTGCATGGGGAACGTGACTGGGGGAAAGCTGGATTCGGTCGGAATGTCCCGCGCCTTCTCCGGAAGGTAATGTGAGGAGGATGAATGAATGAAAGATGTTGCGAAAGGGGATGGGGTGTTGAGGGTGTGGGAGACGATCATCATGGCGCTAGTACGTGATGCTTCATGGCAGGTATCTTGGAGACTTCGGCAGTTGTTGTTTTGCGTGAAGGCTTGGTCTGGGACGAGAGAGAGAGAGAGAAAGAAGCACTGTGTCTTTGGATGGATTGTGTGTCTGCCATATGTACTGTACGTGGACGGCCTGGCCGGACTGACACAAAGAACTCGCTCTCTCCCTCGCTCTGCTTGCAGTGTAGTGTCTATGTGACTAACGTATCCAGGCCTGTTACCAACAAAGCATCCCGTATTCACAGCATGCATCTCTTTCACGATATGTTCGGTATGCCTCACAGGACAAGCAAGCCCTTCACTCAATGCCTCTTCAAAGAACCAGATTCGTGAAAGAGGCAGAGCCAGATGACCCGTCGTTGCGAACCCCTTATAACTCCCGTCTTCTACCTACCTCTAACACCCATCATCTGCATTCTCACATACAACAACCAAGCATAAACCATCCAGCCAGCAACGAAGCCCAACCCACAATCCACACCAATACAACAACCACACCACCAAAATGCCCACATCCCCCAACGAAACAACCAAAGCCGCCCTCGCACGCACCCGCCTCGCCCTCCACGCCGTCCCCGCCGACAACGCACCCCCCGCCGCCAAACAACTCTACCTCGCCTGCCTCCAGGCCGCAATCGAGCACTACTGGGGCGTCGTGGGGCAGCGAGGCGCGGCGGAAGGCGCACGTGAGCGCGCGGAGACGGAGGAGTTTCTGACGGTGCTGGAGGGGGAGAAGTTTGTGATGATGGAGCGGTGGGGGCTGCGGTGTCCGGGGAGGTGGGAGGTTGTGCCGGGCGGGGGAGGGGAGGAGCGGTTTGAGGGGTTTGAGGGGTGTGAGGGGTACGTTGTGGAGGGGGTGAGGGCGTTTTTGAGGGAGAGGGGGTGGGCTTAGAGGTCGGTGGGTGTGTGGGATGGGGATGGGGTTGTTGGGATGAGGAATGGGCTTTGTGGGGTTGGGATGGGGGTGTGATGGGTTGCGTGCTGGGCATGCGGTTGGTAGACGGTGGGATGAGTATGAGCTTTGATATAGTGCTCTCAGTGTGGTTCTGGGTTACTTGTGTCGTTATAGCTTGAGATCATGAGGTCAGTGTAGGAGCAATGGGGGATGCAGTTTAGACCGTATAAAGCAAAGCCCGAAAGAATGGTTCAAGGGGAACAGGGACAACCCAATCTACAGCATCACATTATACATACTATGATCGAGACGTGGTTAAAGACGACAAAGATGACCCTAAAAATGAACTCTCTGAAGGGACCACAAGAGGAGAGGAGAGACAGCGCTTCATCAAGTCGGTCTAGCACTGCTCTATCTCAGCAACGAAACCTGAAGACCCTGCCTTAGCTATATCATGTATCTCACGGCTATAAGGTATATAAGGCATAGAAAGTGTAAGTAGTCTATCTCAACCCGTGTAGGTCATCGTGAGCCAGTGGTAACATCTACCATTATCGTGCAGCATCATGTACCAAGGTAGACCAATCCCAGTGGGTAATAGTAAAGATATAAGACTGGCTATAAGCAAATTACGCGAACATGTCACGCAGCCCCGTGCATTGTTGCTGCGTGCATTGTGACATGGGCAGTCTTCCGTGTGCAACATCTCATGAATGTGGGCAGTCGAAGTCTGAGTGAACTCATTCGTTCATTGAATCATTGCTAGATTTCATAGATAGCAATGAGAGAATAGTAGTGGTTAGGGTGACTAGTATTTTATCTTTCTATGATTTCTTGTCCTTGACAAATGTTAGCGGGACGAGTTGATATATGTGGAAAGAGTGGCGACGGAGTGTGTTGTTCTTGCCTTTGTCGGACGTCTGAATTGGCTTTTCTCACATCTCTCTCTCTCTCTCTCTCTGTCTCTCTCTCTCTGTCTCTCTCTCTCTGTGTGTGTTTTTTCTTCTTCTTCACCCGTCTCGTACAAGATCAACGTCTCTCGGCACGTCATTGCCAATAAAGTTGCACCTCATGCAATCATCCGCACTGGCTTTTACAGTGAAGGAACTGCACCATGATCTGACACAGAGATATCGTATCCACGGTGCTAGAGTCAAAGAATTATGGCAGCAATTCGATTCATCTCAGCGTACAAACGTCTTCAGAGCTGGTGCGGCAAATGGTGATGTTCTCCAACATCCTCGCGATCGATCATTGGGCGATGCATACAAGATGATTCCCGAACTCAATATCCAGGACATCAGCACCGATGCGTCCTTTCTGTTGAACATATTGGAACATCGCGCAACGACCGAGCTCACCCACCAATATGCGTCTGGTCCAAATGGACAGATCGGGGATCATCGGCATATTCTTAATGCAATTGACAAGCAAGGTCTACGACACGCACAAGCCAGAGCGCTCGAGAATTGTTTTGCTATGTTCATGGTCGAAGAAAAGTACGGATCCTTCTTCAACGTTCCATCACAGCACAGACGAGAGGTACTTGCAAAGATTTCGCTCGCCATAGAGAGCATGGTCTGTGTACCACAGGATGTTGGGGAACTCATTCTGAACCGTCAAATGTATACCCTGCAGACTTTGGTCATCTTAATCGATGATATCTTAGAGAGTTCAGCAACGAGAAATACCAAGTCATGCGCAAAGAAGTCCTCCCAACCTGCCACTGCAGCTCTTGAGAAAATGGCGCTCAAGGACCGCCCTCAGAAGCTTTCTGTACCAGATCTCGTTATGGCAGCATCCGATCAAAAGGCGTCACTCCACGAATATCTGAGTCTCTTGAGGAATGAACCAGTAGTTCTAACACATGCAGTCAGCGTGTCGTTCTTTGCGCGACCAGAACTCGTCGCAGACGAAAAAGGACGTAGGCTACCGGCCCATACTGACCGGCACATCAGTGCAGCGGTGATGGATGCAGTAGTCGGGGCTGTAGCCGACGCAGCCATCTGGGACTACATTTACGAGCTCGTACAGCTTCTTTCAAGCTCGGTTGATAAGGTTCATCGGGCTGTGGTTCTGCAAGAGCTATCAAACGTGTGCCATCTGGAATTTACTCGCGCCCAATCTTGCTTGAAACGGCGCCTTGCAACTTGCAGCGGTTCGAAGTGGTTCAAGAGGATATCAAATGCTACTACCCACGGGAATGCAAAAATAACGACTAAGACCCAACCCGAGCAATTGACGAGGCTTGACCCACAGCTCCACTATCTACTTCGCCTCTGTGACCAAAGCTTGACGCCGATACAGGCAATCGAGTGGATCCAGAAACTGGATGCTCTTCACAGAGCTCATCCTATGGAGCGAGAATCCCTGGTTGAGCATGAGACCGATGCTTTAGCACAATTAGCAGTCATCGTTGCCTTTATCAGGGACCTATCACCTGTTTTCTCAATGCCGTCCGTGTCACGCAAGAAGGGCCTCCTTTTCGTTTCAAGAGAGAACGCCTTGGAAGAAGAACTTGGGAGGCTGAAACATGAACTCGATCTTGGCGAGTTTGCCGTCCCTATCGACAACCTTCTAGAGCCCGACATGGCCAGATCCGCCTTGAAAGCACTGAACGCATTCGTGATCCAAAATGCAGGCTCCAGGCTCGGATCATTGTTCCAGGACATGTTGCAGGACTCTCTACAGGATTTGAAGAATCAGTACGAGCACTTCAAAGACAAGATGGAAAAGGGGCAAACTCCAGCCGTACCCCCTGTACAGAAGCCATCGCAGGCAGAAGTGGTGGAGCAACGCAAAGTAAAGGAGAAGACTCGGCCTGCTAGCGTTTCGGTCTTTGATATATCTGGCCCGAAGATCGAAGAGACAGCCGAAACAGTGCCGGCTCCCAAGCCGATCAAGGTGAAGCCAGCAACTGCTGAGCTTTTCTCAACTCTTCTTGATCCATCGATACAAGGTGCATCAATCACGTGGATTGGCTTACAGTCAGCTCTATCAGAACTGAGATTTTCGATCAAGCCAAAGTTTGGCTCTGTCTTTGCGCTCTATCCCCCAGAGGACATGAATGCTAACAGATCCTTGACGGTCCACCGGCAACATACTTCCAAGATTGAAGGCCACAAATTGCACATCTTTCGTAAACGCTTTCAAAAAGTTTTCGGATGGACGAAGGACACCTTTGTCGTGGATTAAATACCAGGAGTCACCGAAATCACTGCTGGTGGTATTTATGAATGTGAGTCGATAAATCATGCAATACTTAGGCCTGATCTTAAAGAGGCTTATGGAAGGGGTCTCGAATATCGAGTCCAAGCAGGTCATGTACTGATATCATAAAACCACAAACTAAGTATAGTTGATAGCTATATTATAACATGTTTCCCAGGTAGTATGTTCCTTGAACGCTCCGCACAGTCTATACCTGCGGTCTAGCAGCTAAACAACTTCGGTCCTGGCACCGTATACGTCTGCGCCTTATACGAATCGTACGTGATCCCAGCATCACTCCCCTTATACGCCCCCGGAAACGCCACCAGTCCACCAGGAACCGTCGTCCTACCCCCCGTAACCTTGACCTGATGACACCCCGGATAGAACTGCGCACCCGGATACTCATACGCACTATGCAGCGCCACAATCTCGTGCCTAACAAGATAATACCCGGCCTTCAAGCACCCCGGAATCGTATACTCCACCCCGGCATTCCCACCCACCATCAGCCTCGTGTCGCCCCACACATTGCTCGTGCCCTCGCGTCCGCTCTCCTGCACCTTGAACCACACCGCCGCGGCGCCGGGCGAGTACCCCGTGCACCCGCTCTCCGGACAGCGCGCCATGTACGTGATTGTCGGCCCGACGTGGCTGTCCGGCCAGAGCGTCCAGCGGAGCGTGACCTTGGACCCGGCGGCGGCGGTGGCGTGCAGGGCGGCTGGGGTTGAGCCGGAGATGCCGCCGGCGGTGTAGCCGCCGCATTGGAGGTCGATTAGGGAGAGGTCGGTGACGGGGCCGTTGCCTTGGATGGGGCGCGAGATGCGTGGTGGGATCGGGGACATGTAGGGGTCTTGGTAGGGTTCTGGGATGGGGTGTTAGTTTTGGTGGGAGACTGGGGATGAGAGGGGGATGGACAGGAGAGGGAAAGCGGGGGGAGAGAGACGGACGGTAGAATTGGTAGTATGTGCCGCCGATGGTTGCGTTGTCGACGTAGCCGTGGGCAGCGGCGAGGGTGGCGGTGGTGAGGATTAGAGTGAGGGACTTCATGGTTGGATGGGTACAGTAATGGGTATGGGATTGATGACTTGAGGGTGAAAGAGAATGGAGAAGAATAGCGAGATTCAAATGATCCTTCCTGTAGCTGTGCTCTTCGGGGTAGCTAAAGTTGAGAAGACGATACCAGTACAGTACCTATCTGATCCACGGCTGGGGAAAATGATTTTGTATGTAGTCTAGTAGCAACCACTCTCCACTCTCAATGCGTATGATACCGACGACAGGTCACTTGGGAAATAGAGTGCTCCAAGACACATCCCAGTCATGAGTCCACAGCATATACCACAGATCTAGGGTATTCCTGAGCAGCGTGGCAGGCACGAGGCTCTCCGCAATATATGCAAAGCGGGCCGACGGAATATCATGTACGACTCTGAGGCTTGAACGGGCGTACATTTATTGGCTTTGTCCATACTAAGCAAACAAATTGTCGACTCATGAACAGTAGTAATACAAGAGTCAGGAGGAATCTTATATGGAAGCACTGAGATGACGTAACAGGGCTGCTACGCGCGTGATGTCGACGTTGTGGTCGAAACGCCGGAATCGATGTGCTGAACCCCGGTTGGCGGATAAATGATGCCGTATAAATGGAACTGCACGTCCATCCACTTTGAAGATGGTTTGATGTTAGCGCTGGATTGATACTTTCAATTCCCTCGGAACTGTGAGAAGGACAAAAGTATCTACAGGTTGAGCTTCGTAAGTCGTTTGTCCACTTTTTTTTGGAGTAGATGGATTTTGGTCTTTCTGAAGGATGTTCATTGCATCTGAATCTTGAGTCTCTGCCTGGAATGGATGCTCTCACTTCAACGCTGATGGACCATGGCGCTTTCACGAGAGGTTCTATCGATTGATCGTTCTCTTGGGGTCCTCTCTTTGGCTATCCAGCGCCCTCTATCTCGTCCTACGAGGGTAGTAGTATATCCAGAACACTCATGAACCTTCCGGAGATATCGCTAAATTCTGCACGAACTTTACGATAGCTTAGTCACAAAGACCGAGATGTAAAGCTGATGAGGTACTCTCGCACCACGCTCATACGTAGAAGCATAAACTAGCAGGACGCATTACATTCACGGCAAAGGAAGGTCAGGTCCTTGGAGTCGGCATGTTCAAACATCAACTCCAGCGCTTTTCCAAAGCCGTACAGTTGAAAGCATTCCATTGCTGAACTGTGCTGAAGTCAAGAGTTGGCATACTTCTGGGGTCAGATACGCATGCTGGGTAATAGTCTAATGGATCGTGCAAATACTAACTATGCCACCCGTATGTCTTTCAACCTTATCATAAGGGCACTGCCTAAGCCCATCTGGCTCTTTGCAACGTCGCTCTAGCCTCTGTCACAAAAAGCTGCCACGATCGCGTCACCCAATGAATCGCAGTGTGCATAGGCATCGTCTTGCAATTCCGAACGTAGATCGTCCTCCTCTTGACGGCTTATCATGAACGAGGAGTTGCGATCGTTGTAGATAGACATGCGCATCCGACAAGGAGATCACTTAGGTGCGCGTAGGATGGATTCTGTGGGCGAAGGTCGAAGGGTCCTCTCGCATTTCCAATTCTATGGTCTAGATGTCGCACATTGATCGGCGCGCCTACTGTTTCCTAATACCAACACTGCAGGTCTTTAGTCATGAACAAAAGTATATAAGATAGAAAATATACAAAGGTAATCCAACAATAAACTATATATAAATCTTAGAATAAATGAGTCTAAGCTTATAAAATTAGTATAATATATATAATATATCCATAATAGTCTTATAGTTTTAGACTCTGTATAAGTAGCTAACAGTATTTAATATTCCAATTATCTTGACCAATTACAATAGTATAAAAAGTGGAAATGCATGGTTTTAACGAGGGCGAAATAAGCAAAAAGACATGGACTAACTGGGAATTGAACCCAGGACCTCTCACAATTCACAGAGATGCGAAGCGAGCATAATACCTCTATACTATTAGCCCCATGATATCTGATGAATGAAGATACTGTGATTATATTTTTTGAAAACATTTTTTGGAAAGCACTTTTGTCTTACTAATCCTTTCAATTCCTGGTACACAACATCTCTGGGTAACGATATCTTAGCAGTGAAGAAAGTGACTGAGAAAAGCCCACTAGACAACGCTGGAGATCAAAATACACTGTTTTCCTTGAGGATACATTTCAGACTCGGTGCCAGGTACTGTGCGCTTTTGGCTTACTAGCATAGAAGTTCTTTATTGATAAATTACCGTAGCGGTGCACGATGCTATAATATCTCAACTTTGTTAGGTAGATCTGAGTCCTATTAGATCTAGCAGTCTCCGAAAGAAAAGCGATAAGTAATAAACCTTTTTGTGTTAGCTTCATAGAACGAAATACGTACTACAGTCAAACTACGTCAAGAAAAAGCAGGGTGTATAGTGAAAACGAAAAGAGCTCTCAAATTGAATAAATCAAGATGAGGCTCTTATGATAACGCCGTGCTCTATAACCCAAACGACGGCGATGCGCTGATAAACCTGCTAGTAACGACAATAATGACCACATGATGGTGAGGGAAAAGACTCGAAACAACCAGTGAACCGGAAAGCGCTGAAACCGAACGACGTAGCTCAAGAGACCTGGTATTTCATGTGACAATCTCCTCAGGACGAAACAATTTCCTCGCAGCTTCAATCTCACCCGCCCTCTCTTTACCACATCCAAATGTGCAGGATGGAGTGCCACAGCCTTGCCAGAACAAGACCTCCTCCATCTCCGATTCAGTCAGCATCTTTACAGGAAGCAATCCACACTCTTCGGGTTTAGCGACGTCTTGATAACTGAGTAATTGTTGCACAGTCTCGGGAACCGGCGGAGGTGTTCCGCGAAATTGGCATCGCATTAACATTTGCAAGTATGGAGAGAGAGGCGGTGGAACGCGAGCGAAACGTCCTTCGTCTGTCATAAAAAGAGACCCGAAGCTCTGCCATGGAAAAGCAGAGAGGAAATGGTGTTCGGGATAGACGTCGTAGCCGGGGCCGCCGTGGTTGCTCACTGATGAGAAGCGCAGGAAGACGTACACAAATCTGTGCGCCGGGAATTGCGCCATTATCTAACAAAATTTGAGTTAACGACAAGTCTTTCCGTTGGGTATAGGACAGATGATTAGTATATTAGATTGTGATGCTAGCAATGAGGAATATGAGGTCTCATACAGCCCAAGCTGGAAACTGAGGCGGCGCGGCGGTCAACCTGAACATATTTAGCTAGAGGAAACGACAAATGTAGACTGTGGGAGCGTACATGAGAATCTCGAAGTCGCGATGTTTGCGGAGCTTTCTTGCGTCGCGACGATATGCGTCCATGACCTCTGGCCTTGGTGATGCAATGTTTTGACGCCCGAGTAGTCTGTGCATCGAAGGCGAAGTTCTGAACATAGGATCAAATACGACGAGATTACAGGAGCCGTCCTTTCGACGTTCAAATCCAACAATAGTAAGCGAGTGCCCTGGATGCTGGAAGTATATTGGCGGTGCAAGGGTTCTATGGACCTTTTGATCGGCGTCCGTGACAAATTGTTGGAAATAGCTCTCAACAAAGATTAGAAGCTGATCGAGCGCTGAGCCTCGCTGACCATCTGAGAAGACTTGTACGCCACTATCTATCTGGAGGTTGACAAGGACGGATTGAGCCTGAGAATGGGACATTAGCCGGGGTCAGTGACAGCAGATATGCGAAAGTAGTATGCATGTAATACAAGAAGGGCTTGGTAGACCTACCTCCGGTGTGCCGATCCACTTTCGGGTTTTCCTGATACCACCGGTCTGGACTCTGGCAACTTCGTTGATACCTTTGTCCCAAGCATCTTCAATTATATCTTGAAGGGCTAGAATGGTTGGTGTACGGCCTGGAAATTCAGTATGGCCTTGAGCTCTGGCACCTTGGATGTACGAGATCAACATTTGAAGATTTCGGTACCCACAAAAGCCCCCTTCTTTAGGGGTGTGACAAATATGCACAGTACTCGGATGGCAGTAATACGCTTTGCGGACGGATCGATCCACGTGCGACAGCTGCGCAAGAATCGAGGGAATTCCTGGCGTCTCATTCTCGACAACCTCTTGCTTTATCAATCGGCCGTCTCCACCGATCCGGTTGACGATGGATATTTTGGGCCCATCGGCAAGTTTCTTTTCCAGCCAAGCCGGCATTCTATCTTCCCAGGCGTAAGGGCCGAGCTCCTTCTTCTGCACAAACGTCAGTGAGCTCGTTGCTTGGTAGGGCTAATCAGACTCACACCCAGCCGAGCACTTTTGATTCTCTTTGAAATGCGAGCCTTGCTCGTGGTAGAAGGGGTACAAGTTAAGACACTCCGAGATAGGCTGGATCTTGAACCCGAACTAGAATGTCTTCGTTTCTGACTTGGCAGTTGCCCGGATATGTTCATGGAAATATTCTCGTTTAGTAATGAGGGGTTTGAGCGCATATCATGATGTTTGGAGCGTGTAGTGGATGAAGTCGATGAAGATGATGGTAAGTAAGTGTTGTGCTTTTCCACGTCGTGCAGGTCCAAATGGTCATTGTAGTCGTCAAGCAGGACGTACTCTCCACATTCGGGACAGTCCACGAAAGTGTGATCATCATCATCGCAATCAGCAAGTGCGCCTGAGACTTGAAAGGTGGTTGAAGCAGAAGCGGAATCAGCATCATCTTCAGGAGCGATCCTAAAAGCAGAGTCTGGTGTGTGACTCTCTTCGATATGTAGTTGCAGCCAATACACATCATCTTGAGAGAATGCTGCGGAGCAAAAAGGACATTCAACTAAACTTGGGGCCATGTTGGGCTTGTTTTCGCGATGTGTGAACGGTCCGATAAAAGGATATTGTGAGAAGAGCTTGCAGCACAGCTGGCCTTGGGGAAAGGAGTGTCTGAAATAACTGAATTAAAGGCTTCCCTCATATCATAGCTGCTTGCGTTCGGAACATAGTGAAGAGGCTCTGTCACGTTCGCACAGACATGTGGCAGGTAATCACCCGTGATCTACTGGTGACGGGCTTGACAACTTCGAGGACGCATAAACTCTGATACCTAGCCTATCAGCAAAATGGCACGCTGAAGCAGTTTTCAATGGGTGTTTGGGCTCGAGAGCAATGAATGAACGATGACAGGGGACAAAGAAAACAAAAGTCAGTCGAAGGAGGTTTAGCTAGACAAGCCATGCTAACCGTAAATAGATTAGCACAAGACGTCACAGCGGGAAAGGCATTCTGCATTCTGCACTTCTGCCTTAGCTTACCTTTTCCACAACACCACCTGTGATATTCACGATACACGCCGCGCATTCATTTCTCCCCCCTCGCGATTGCAATACAGACAGACCTGATAGCACACATCGGAACCTAGCCTCCTAAACGCTCTGAATCCGACACACGCTGCAGCGCCCTCCACGAGGAAGCTTCGCACCGCATGGTCTTTGCAACTCTTATTCGCTTGTCTGGTCTCTGCCTTGCGCTCTCTACATGCCACCAGAATTAGCTTAATGACTTACTGAGTACCTCATCGCGCTACCTCTATTACTGCTGCGAACAACCTGTGATCGGCGCATCTACGCCACATCTGCTCGAGGACATAGCGCATTCTGTGCCCATATCAGGTCACTCAAACATTGCGCGGCTTCGCCAGCGAGTAAATTGGGAAGGTCTATAAATTGAGCTCCTCGGTTGCTGACTTGGCGTAAGACGATCTCGGCAAGGTCATGTCAACCAAGAAAGAAGCGGCCGCAAGTGTATTGCCAGGACCGCAGCAGCAGTCGCAACATGAGGTCGTGTACCCAGATTCCACAGACACAAAAAATATGGCTTTTACAGACTGGGACGGTGTAAGCACTTTCGGCGAGACATCCACGAGTTTACCAAACAATCCTCCATTCGACAGCAATCTTTTCGGCTCCAGTATGCCCTCAGCTGAGCTGCTTGCACAACATTTGACCGCGGACGTAGACCCAGCCACATCCAATCAACTAGTGCGGAGGAATAGGAACAATCAGTTGGCATTGCAAAATCGATCGCTGGATCCAAATACGTGGCAAGAGTTAGGGACCGATGCACAGGCAGCAGGTTGGGAGAATGCGGAAGACGACGAAGACCTAGAAGAGAAGGCTTTGCAGGCGCGGAAAGAAGCCCAATCGAAGAGGAAGACCATACCACCGTTCGTTCAGAAGCTCAGTAGTTTTCTCGATGAGAAACGGAATACAGATCTTATTCGCTGGGCAGATGATGGAAATTCTTTCATCGTATTGAATGAGGATGAATTTGCGAAAACTCTGATACCAGAACTTTTCAAGCACAACAACTATGCCTCCTTCGTACGACAACTCAATATGTATGGATTCCATAAAAAGGTCGGCTTATCAGACAATTCGATGAAATCTAGCGAGTCAAAAGTCAAGAACCCGAGTGAATACTACAACAAATACTTCAAGCGAGGACGTCCTGAACTACTCTGGTTGATACAAAAGCCGAAGACGGCGGCTGCTGGGAAGCGAAAACGAGATGATGATAAGCCAAAGGGAGGTGATAGCGATGATGAAGCGGGGAAGAAATATTTACCTGCCATGGAAACACGTAGTGAGAACGAGGGAGTCGTCCGAATCAACCAGGATATGGCAGTCATTCCGTCTCGAGAAATTACGAATATGAAATCTGAGCTACGATCCGTGCAACAACAACAGAAATTGATATCCCAAGCCATCAGCAGGATACGGCAACAGAACGATCAGCTTTACAACCAAGCGCGAGCATTTCAGACCCTTCACGATCGACATGAAAACTCGATCAACGCCATTCTAACATTCCTAGCTACCTTCTATAACCGCAGCTTGGAGACCAACAATGGGCCCAACCTTGCCGAGATGTTTGCTCACGCCATGCCACAAAACAACCAAAATCATGGCAGCGTAGTAGATGTAGGAGACTATCATGTAGAACAAGATCGAAGTAAGGGTACTCCACTCAGACGAAGGCCACCACTTGCTCTCCTACCAGCCCCTGAAACGAAAGATCCCACGGCTAGCCCGTCTACCCAGGCCACGCGCGCTGCGACCACACGAAGTCCATCTATGAGACCAGTCAGTTGGCAAAACGGCATCTTCAAGTCCGCAAGGCCATCCAATAGCCCGGTAGCGAAGTCGAAGAGTCCTCCAATCAAGTCGGAGGTTTCGACACCGAATGCCACGTTCGCAGTGCCTGAAAACGACGAGATCATGTCCGTCATCCAAAATAGTAACGCAAATCATGACCCGAACGCATCGCAAGGCCCTCAGCTCGACTTCGATGCTGCCCTAAATCATTTCCAAAACTCATCTGATGGCGGCCAATTGACCGCACAACAACGAAATCAGCTTCTCTCCTACATGGCAGCTAACAGCCCAATCTCTGCCGCTCCAAATGACAATGCGCTTTTGAATCCTGACCCTCCACCGATACCATCGCTGGATACTTTCACAAACACACAATCTCAGCTCGATATTCTGCAGAAGATGCAACAGGAGCAGAACGACAAAGTCCAAGCATTGGCTGATCGTCTGCAACCATTAAGTCCCACTGGTAGTATCCCAGGCTATGTCGCTCCATCTGGTGATTCAAACAACTTCTACGGCAACTTTGCTGGTGCTGAGCCTAGCGATCTTGACATCAACTCGTTTATCAATTCAGACGACTACTTTCCCAACACCGAGAGCAATGCGCAATTTGCGAGTGCGGGTGACTCTACTATACCTGGCTTGGACCTTGACTTTGATAACGCAAATGCCTTCAACGACGTGGACGATTTCGGAAATGGTGCTGATGACTTGTTCGGGACTAATGGCGGAGACTTCACCGGATACGACAATGGCGTCAGCCTTGACGAGAATCGTATCGAGAGTGTCAGCAGTGGAGCACCAAGCCCGGCAAATCCACCCGAATCAATTCCTGTGGCCCAAGACAATACAACCAATCCCAGAAAGAAGAGAAAAAACAATTGAAAGCGCAAACGAGATTTAAGGCATTGTAAAGTTGGTGGGATGTGAAGTTTGTATCTGATTACACGTGCAAAACGTAATTATACCGGCGTGACCGGTCATAGCGATAAACTGGGCATTTGAAAGGAGCTTTGTTGGGATGGATATAGGATTTGGGGGTTGGCGGAATACCTCATCATACTTATCAGCGGATTGGCCGCTGAGCGATACAAGTCGGAGGCCAATATCATAGAAAGACTTGTACTCTGTAGCGCATAGAGAAACCACAGACCTTGAAGTATCACCTCGACATTTGTATGTCTTATCAAAGTATACACAATGTAGGCCTCAGGCAGCAACAGCCTTTCTCGCCGCGGACAAACTTCGGTATAGAATTAATCTCCGATCATACATCGTCGCAGAACAACTCTTCAAGCTTCGAATTGCATTGCACGTAAGACAGTAACTGCTTTCGCTTAATCGCCGCTTCTCGAACCCTCGGACCGGAATCAATATAACCATACAACACATTTCACAAATGGACTCGCTCGGTGCCGCGTCCAATCTGGACTTCACCAAGCTCTCCGAGCGCGACAAGCAAGAGCTGCAGCAATTCGTCGTGCAAGAGAGCCAGAAGGCTGCGCTCCAATCGAGTACGTACCCAACCCAACACTCTTGATCCTATGGCCAGAGCCAGACTTTCTCTCTCTCTTTCTCTCTGGTACTAGCATATCTTTCGCAGGCGACGGTTCCCCTTGTGGCAGAATGCTTGCGTGCTTGCTATGGCTAACCTTGCCGGCTAGATATCCACAAAACGACAGATATGTGCTTCAAGAAGTGCGTTACTAGCAAGATCTCTTCGGCCCAGCTGGATCGGTATGAGGCGCCGTGCATGGAGCAGTGTGTGGAGAGGTTTATGGATGCAAACAAGGTGGTGTTCAAAGAGTTGGATAGGATGAGGGCGTTGCAGTGAGGGCGGACTATGGAACTTTGGTTATTGATAGGGCAAACTGCCATGAGACCGCATGTTGGGTGGTTGCTGTTTGCCGATGTATGATATTTGATACGGCATGGTAGAGGTTCATGATCCTGATGAGTACCTCAATGGCTGTAGCTACTGAGGTAATCGTCTTTCGTGGCAAAAATGAATAACACATTGGCGGAAGTATATAAAGGTGAGCGGGTATCTGAGTTGGCACGGGTATCATCTTTTGGAACGTAGATCGCGCAGCGCGCTGATCCTATATATTGCCATCATAACTATATGCGGCGAGAATCCTTATCCCAGCCACCATAAGAAAGTACAGCCCAATCCCTTTTTTAAACGCTTAAACAATGGAGAGCTTGGTCGCAGCGATGTCGAGAGCATCGACGTCTGGGGTCAGTCTGGCATAGGCCTTCTTGGTGCCGTCTGGTCTGTATATCACTGTCAGTCTTGTCATTGCAAATATTCGCATATTTTTCCATACCGGATAAGTGTGTTGATCTTCACGCAGTCCACGTCGTACTGAGTCTTCAGCGCAGCCTTGATTTGGCGCTTGTTGGCCTTGACATTGACGATGAAAACGAGGGTGTTGTTCTCCTCAATCTTCTTCATTGCGGATTCGGTGTTGAGCGGGTGAATGAGCACAGTTGCAGCATCCATGCGCGGCTCCGAAGGTATCGACTTGCGCGGGTATCGGGGAGTGCGAGACAGACGCAGAGTCTTCGGGCGGTGGAAGGTCGCCGAAAGGCGGACCTTGTTGGCCTTGTGCGAATTGACCTATATAAAATAGGCCGTCAGCGATGAAGTGCTGACACGCCTCAAGGATTGGAGCCTCTTACGCCTTTCAGAGTTGCCTTCGCGGCAGCGTTCGCTTTCGCAGACTTGCTGCCGGCTTTGGAGCCTATTAAGTAAATTTGTGTCAGTATAGAGTTCAAAGTAATCGCAAAGCCAGATCGAATATAGGGAATGAGGACAATGGTATAATCATGCGTACCCTTCTTACTGTCGTTTGGCGCCATCTCGAGCTGTTGTGTTAGTGGTTATGGTCGGAGATGTAAAGTTCGAGAAGTTCGCCGAATCGTTGTGGGCATCTCGAAAATCGAGTAGGGCTAGCGATAGCTAAGCGAGAGACGTGTCACGTGCAAGTTGCATATTCTATATAATAATAGGGTATTGACCTACTACCACATACGCTATTTGACAGCCGAAACTTACTTGCAATTGGCACTTTCAACATGTTGAATGAAGATTTTAAGCAGCAGTGAAAAATTGCATCACAAGCCAACTCTACGCCACTCATCTCCTGTCTTAATTACAAAATTTACATTTCCACCTCTCCTGTCGTATAAATACCATGTGAGCTGAATTCCTAAGCTTTCGACAAGCGTGTGCACCTCTTCTAATATACGCATTGGATCTTCGTTATGTTCTCCAGAGTCAGGGTGATGGCGCTCGGATAATATGACCGTTACAGCGACTTCACAGAGTGCTGCCGGTCGTCCATAGCTTCGACATAGCGTCGTCAGTGCTCTTACCACATGTAGAGTACTATGTGCCTTGTATTCGTGAGCAATCGTTGCGGAACTGAGTGTCACGTTTGTGATCCACAGTGATTTGAGATTGGGTGGAAGGCGGAACCCAGCGCTAGACCTTTGGTCGTTAGTGGAAGCGGTGGCGCAAAGAAAAGTGAGGAAGCCATCGAGTGGGATGGCGAGAGTAGTGAGGTTTGGGCAGCCAACGGAGAAGTCTAGGTAAAACTTAGGGCTGTCAGAGAGGCTTGGGAGAGCGTCCTGTGGCAATTCTGTCGAATCTTTGATTGCGCCGGGGACTTCGCATGAATCGTCGAAAATGAGGGTATGGAACTTCTTCTCTGGTGCCGAGAGGCGAAGGAAATCTTGGACGTACACCCACATGCCGTTACGTTCTCCTTCGCATATAGATGTGAGTCGAATGACTGGAATGGACATGCTTCGACGAAGAGCCCTGCTCATGGCGCTTAACCCAGTGACGTCAAGCCCGAGTGTGATCGATTGAACAGTAGAACACGGGTAGAAACCCTGATAATATGCCCCGCGAGACATATTGATGGTGTTTATGCCCATAAGCGAAGTCCACCCGTTCTGGACGATATGCTGATTGATGAGAGAAAGATGGCGGAGTGATCTGAACATTCGTTGTTCATCTATCGCAGGATACTTTTGTATTCTTGTTTCCCACTGGATCACATCGTGAAGCATGTTTCTCATCGATACCATTTCGTAGCCTAATACCCCCGGCGACCTGGGGGACATAAGTTGTAGATGCGTTATATTCTGCGCAAGGATAAGTACTAGGACGGCACATGTGCTGTACGCGCCCCTGTCAAGTCCATCCAAAAGGCGTGGTACATCCTGTGGCTCATTATATGCCTCCAAGAATCCAGGCATGGATCTCCCGAGTACAACATCTTCCACTAGGCTCATGTTCGCCTTCTGCTCATCCGAAAAGTCAATACTGAGTTCTCGCACACATGCCCTCAGATCTGGGCGTCGCAAGAGCGTCCAAAGCAGACGAGGCGGTCGCCTGCTCCTAATTCTAGTTAGATCTTCTGAATTAAATGGTCGACTGGTCATGGGGTCTAACGGGTAGAAGCTCTTCTCCGTATGAGTCTGCAGATGAATCGATCGATATCCTCTTTTCTCGTAGTGCTCATGCAGGTAATGATTCACTTGGCAAAGTTGACGAAAGTCCCGGGTATCCAGGAAGTCGAAAATACAATCCTCGAGTTCCTGTGGTAATGCAAGAAGTGCCATCTTGTGGGCTTCAGATGTTGATATCTAATGTAAAGTGGCGTCTCATGCAGGGCAGTTTGGGCAGTTGTAAAAGCGGTAATATGGACAGGATGTCTAATCAGGATACAGGGAACGTGTGTGACTGATCTGTGGAAACGTATTGAAAATGTTCGGGTGCGCATTAAATGACGCATTGATAAGATCCGGATAGTATCCGGATTGGACCTGAGGAGCGGCTAAAGTGCTAATCTAAGTAGGGCTAGCCGATATGAATTAGCTGCCCTGTGTATATACTCGTTGGAGGGAGTATGCGTTATCAGTATGTGTAAGTACACGCTTATAAGAGACCTTATATTTCATTTCGAAATTTGAAAATGGCCAGTCTTCGTTAAGACTTGTGGGCAATATGTCGCGTCGGGACGGAGCACATGTTGTATAACGGATTCGTAGGAACTTTTTGGGGAGATCTTCTTTGAGTTATATTAGATGCAGGTAGTGATCAGAAAATCAATTGTTTAAGTATCGATGGATAAATGAACAGACCTGTCTTCGAACCCGATAAGATACGCAACACACCACACATCATCAATTGCTATTATCGTCCTCATCTTCTGCACTGCCGTAGAACAGGTCTGCTTCACTGTATTGCTGCCTGAGACCATCATCCACAAGGGCATTATGCCCAGTGTAAATATCAAGTCTTTCATCCTCATCATACGCATTCCAGTGAGTAGAAGGTATATCCATATTTGTTCCCTGTTCCTGAGTGGCAGTTCGTGCGAGACCGGAGGGAGTTTGCGAAACAAGACACGCCGCTGTTTGGCAATACACACATAGATTGAACGTCTTTTTTTGCTGAAGATGCGGTATCGATCTCTTTCGCCTGTCAGTTTCGCCACTGGTTGACTTCTGTGATGCACTGTGTCCTGAGTCTTTTCGAGCGTCGGATCTCCTTTTCGTGCCTGCTCCACGGGCGAAATGTGGAATTGGGCTTTCGTTCGCTGACTTCTTAGCGGTTTGAGGGAGGCCCTTGCGACCCTTTGCGGTCTTGTCGTATCTGGGCATAGTGTTCATAGCTCTAGGAACTCTGCTGATGGGAGTCGACGGTGTTGGTGGCAGGCTCATAGTGCTACGTTTGTGTGCAGAAGGAAGAGGCTTGTAGTTCGTGTTTGCCTGGCGAGACTCAGACGCAAATGCCCACCACTTTTCCAGCTTTTTGCTTCTAGACTCAAATGGCGCCAGCGATCCTGCATCTGGGGTTGTAGGTATAGTCCTGGGCAAGTGAGCCAAAGTCGGGGAGTCGGGCCTCATCCTGAGACTAGAGTGTGTATTGGGTGTCTGAGTATGGACAGGGCGTAAAGAGGTAATGTACTCTTGCAGACCCGTCAGGGTGATGTTGGTTCCCATTGGTGGAGGTGCCATTGTAGCTTTGACAATAGTCTTGCGGTGAAGTTTTCGGTGACGAGTGTGTTTTGGTTTCAAATTCCGAAAAGTGGCAGAGTTTCTCTTTTTTCTTCTCTTCGAGATGGCCATCGTGCTTTATTTATATTGATGGTTGCGCTCTGAACGTTCCTATTGATGGTTGCGCTCTGAGCATTAAAAGTGGAACCTAAGGCTATCATTCCGTGGTTGTAGATGCGATAGTCATCCGTGCAAATCATGGAATTCTCAGATAGATCTTGAAGATTTGTAGCACAGTCAATTTCTGTAGGCGAGTATGAGTCGCGGGCTGCTGGCTCTTTCCCCTCAGACGGCATGTTCATAGCTATAGAAACTAGAGAAGAATCAATCACTTCCACACCAAACGACAATACCTACCCACTACCTACATAATTATTAACAATGCAGGCACCGCCGTCGCAATCCTTCCATTTTCAAAACCCTGATTCATCTCTATGATGCTGGGGGGTTGAAGATGTGGTCTCCCAAGACGTCGTGATGTCTGAGTAGGTAGACTGCGCAGGTCGAGAAAAGGGTGCCAAGGTCATTTCTCTCTGCCAGCAACACTTCCTCTATCCATCGAGTTTTGAGAGCCTAAGTTGTGGTGCGCATCTGTTGCCAGCGAAAGTACGCAATAGCGAAGTTATGATCTCATATTTGCTTACAAGTTTCGCTAGGGCGCCGTGGGCAGGACTCTTCTGCGAAGTCTCACCCTGAAGTCTACCCCCGGTGCGCTCCACGCACCTGGGCTCATTGAAGGCTTCACATCAGCCGCGCTCTTATCCATCAACTCCGCGTCCCACAAGGCGATTACACCAGCAACAAATGCCACAGATATCTCTGCTAGGGCTTTGCCATCGGAGCCGTGACCCCACGATGGTCCGCCCATCGCACTCCATCTGACAGGGGATATCTTCACACCCTGTACAGTACTTTGGGGCTCATCGTCTTCCGTTTTTGGCTCTTGAACGTGATGCTGGCCTGGCTGCCATGCTCCGGGGTTCAAGAAGTACTGCGGAGAGGAGTAGTATAACGCACCGGCCAGATGAACCCATTCACCTTTCCGCAAGCGCCATACGACTGTTTCTGCTGACTGTTCAGATGATGCAACTGTCACTTCGGAGACATCGATATCTTCTTTCAATATCGACATGCGCCACGAACTGTAATTGACACGCAATGTTTCGAGAAGGCAAGCTTGTGCCACGCGAGAGTCCGCGAGAAGCGTCGATGATGATAATTCCAGGTAGGGAGGTTCAGATATTCCCAAGGTCATAGCAGGTTGAACTGCTCTAACGTGAGGCTTAATTTCCGTTCGGAGTTGGAGCATCATGGACGACTCGGCGTCGAATGCACAATTGGCATCGTTCAAAAGGTGGAACAATAGCCAAAAAGATTGCGGGATTATACAGGAGTTGAGACGCCATAGAAGTGCCAAAGTAGTCTTGGCACGGTCCTCTGGACACATTCCACGTTGCTTTGCGTTTTTGGCGAGGTCGAGGAAGAGAGAGCTAACATCGCTGAGGTCTCCATATGTCTGTATCACACTCTCCCCCATAAGTGACAGATCGAGAGCATTATGGAAGGCTGTGAGATGTGTCAACAACCTCCTCCGCACAGCGTATGCGGTGACGATCCCTGGGGTGGGAAACCATCTTGGTAAGCCAGCTCCAAGACTGAAGATTGATGAGTTTAGCGTTTCAAGGTCTTTCGCAAGATTCGAGTAGTTGTTGACAAACGATGAACCTAGCAGAGCCGATGTGATGGCATAACCAAGAAATTCCCGCACAATGGACCTAGATATATATCAGAATACAGATCGCATCTTCGGGTACCGACTTACGACAAGGATGTCTTTGCTGTTCCATTGGAACCATCTTCTTCCTCGACATCCACCCCTGCTGTTCGTTCCCACGGCATCTGGTCGATAACGGTTGGCATGAAAGAGACAAGATTTGGTAAGTCTTGCTCCAGTTTCTTTATGAAGTGTTCAAAAAAGTCACTGGTCCTCAGCTGCACGTTAAATTCAAATTGTAAATGATCAATATCTTCATAATGAGAGGTCAACCCAAAAGCATTGGTCAACAAAGTCCTACGGACCAATGTGGAATCTAAGGCTGATGGCCCGGCTTTCTCAACCTCCTGTGCTAGATGCGGAGACACAACAAAGTTGTGCTTAGCTCCACCAAATGAAAGTGCTAGAATAGGTTGCGAGCACTTGTCTCGTATCATCTTCCACCATGCTGAACCGCCAAATACTGCTGGGACGATATGCTGTAACGCCGGGATCCAGTAAGGCCGAGTCGGCACTGTGCGAATTTTCCCGGAATTATTTTTCGTGGTACTGAACAAGTAAGACGATAAGGCTCTCGTGGCTATAATGGAGGCCAGCGAGGCCACTATAACTTGTAGCGCGACAGTTTTCAGAGCAGTGATGTAGTACGAAACATCGAGATGAAGCGGTCCATATGTCAGAGCCACAAGAACGAACGGGGAGAGGAATGCAGCTGATATCAGGGGAAAGAAGAGAGTTCCGATGAGCGCATTCGATGCATGGATTGATAAGAATAATGCTGCTGATGAGGTAGTCATATTCGATTCCTCAGCTTCTGCCGAGACCTCACGACGCAGAAAATGGTATGGGTTCGGCGGTGCCTCGATTTTATCACCGCGTCTTCAGTTTTCCATCAGTGATTGGGTGGCTGGATCACACACCTTTGAGAGAGCGGAAATAAAATCGACTGATCAAAAAGCCAGAATGTAGATGACACAAGGCGTTGAAGCCACAGCAGTTTTTGTTGGTTAGTTGAACGGATGATACTGACTGGAGTTGCAGCTGCCAAGATGTAGTATGACTCGCGTGCGGAATTCAGCGCGCCACTATTGATATAAATTTGTGGCAGAATCCTAAACATCGACCAGATAAGCAAAGCAATAGACTAAGTTCAACATCACAACTCAATTGATTCACTCATTGTTCCTTTGACATTGATTGACGTACCAGAAATGGCACCAACTGCACCAACACATCTATATTTCATCACAGGCAACGCAAATAAACTCGCTGAAGTCCAAGCTATTCTCGATGGCGTGATAGAGCTACGAAGTAAGAATGTCGATCTAGTTGAAATCCAGGGCACAGCAGAAGAGGTCACAATAGACAAGGCGCGGAGAGCGGCAGCAGCAGTACGTCACGGGCATGGTCTACTGATCATTATTTTGACAATGCCTAGGTCGGCGAACCAGTACTCGTAGAGGACACATGTCTCTGCTTCAAAGCTATGAACGGATTGCCCGGTCCATATATGTACGAGCACTTCGCAACGGCTATCACTTCTCTATGTCTTACATATCTTAGAAAATGGTTCATGAAATCTCTTGGCCCGCACGGTCTGCATAAGATGCTCGCTGGCTTTGACGACAAGTCTGCAACTGCGGTCTGCAATTTCGCATACTGCGAGGGTCCAGATCATGAGCCAATCCTTTTCCAGGGTAAGACCGAAGGCAGATTGGTTGAGTCGCGAGGTCCCACGGTGTTCGGATGGGATTCAGCGTTTGAAGTTGGCGGCCAGACGTATGCGGAGATGGAGAAAAAGGACAAGCATGCGATCAGTCATCGAGGACGGGCGCTGGATAAGCTGAAGGAGTGGTTGGCACAAGCAAGCGATGCATAGAGTACCGATATGACCTGACGATAGCACCTCCGTGTATGAATACCGCGCGGTATTGCAGTCCAATTGGACGCTCGTTTCTATAGCCGTACACCTTCACCAATTTGAAGGGAAACGCCGAAGCCATGCAAAGCACTTTTCACCCACTCACACAACCAAATTTTCATGTGTTGGTGGTGGTGGTGGTGTTACTGTTGTTGTTGTTCTTCTTCCATGCCTCCAACCAGCTTTGTATTCTCTCCACGTTGCGCTCGACATCCTCCGCGCAGTCACTTTGCAATTCAACGACGATCTCTTCCGCATAACTTTCGCGCGCCTCTTCCAAGATAACCTGCATGATCTCTGAGTCCATGTTCTCCTCAATCTTCCTCTCCGGATATCTGCGCGCCTTCATGCGGTCAAATAGTAATGTGGAGTCGCATCGTATTACGACAACGAGGTCGATGAGCGCTTCGGGAAAGAGCTCGCAAGCGTGATAGTCGATTATGTTTCCGCCGGCCTTCAGGCCTGACTCTATGTGATCAAGAAGCTGTTTGGAATACGAAGTCAGAACAGGGGAGGCAGAGTGGCCACAGATCAACCCCAATGGTTGTGTGCAGCTTTTCGGAATGTATCACCTTGTCTTCATCCAGAATATGCGTCTGCAATTCCTCATCGTAGCCGTCATAGCAGTCCTCTTCTTTTGCGATGTCATTCAGCGATATGTGCTTCAATTGGGTGTTTGTTGCGAGGAGTTCAGCATGTGTAGTTTTGCCTACACCAGGCGTGCCTGTGATCACAATATTTGGCTGCTTCCGAGACACTGCCATCATCAGTTCAGTACGTTCCAAGGTCGTATGGTGAAGTATCAGTATCGAAATATTTAAGATGGCTCAATAAATTATTTGAACAAGCCCGATGTTTAACCGTCCGCATGCGTGGCCCTGGCTTGAAAATGGCTTCAGCTTTACGGCACCTCCTTCGTACTAGAAATATCTGGGAAACTCAAGTTCTGTACATGCTGTGAAGCTAGTAGAGATGTTCTGTATCCTCATGATCTCATCTGCTTAGTGCTACATTTTCTACGTTCAAGAGGCTGGATCATATTGGAAGAGTCATGTGAGATCTATTTTATCTCATTCATTTCTTTGATATTGCCAAGACCTCGATCTGTAGACACGAAAACGACTTCTTCCAAGATTGATCGACGAGATCTGCACTCGAGTTCCCACTAGCCTAATCGGTTTGTGGGGGCAGTGTCTAAAGTTCCATTACACACTCCTTTGTCCATCAAGGCTCAACCGGAGAGACACGCGTCGCCTCGTACTTTCTCGCGATAGGCTTGTCCGGCTTTATAGCTTGTTCTGCTCAGCGTTGCCCGGCCACTGGTAGCCAGCCTAGGTGTTGTTAGGGTACATAGTCATCGGAACCTGTCGATTACTTACGGCGTCACTAAATTTGTAGCCGTACGATGAAGTGAAATCATCCAGAACTGCCGGCCCTCGAGAACCATAGGGGTATTCCATAGGGATGATTTCCTTATTGTCATCAAGATAGTGTAGGAGAGGGGAAAAGATTCTCCAGCTGGCGTCAAGCTCGTCGTCGCGGACGAAGTTCGAGTGATCACCCTTGAACGCGTCTAGGATGAGAGATTCATATGCCTCTGGAATCTTAAGGTCCGAGAACCGTCGTCTATAGGTCAAGTCGAGCTCTGTCACAACCGTCTGCATGCTTAGACCTGGTAGCTTGGAGTTCATCTTGATGTAGACACTTTCGTTTGGCTGCACGCGAATGACGAGTTCATTGCGAGGAATGTCTTTGAAGATACCAGAAGTGACATCCTTGAATTGGATTCTGACCTCTGTCTTTTGTTCATTGAGCGCTTTGCCAGCCTTGAGAATGAAAGGCACGCCGTCCCATCGTTCATTTTTGATGTATGCAACCATAGAGGCGAAAGTTGGGCATCGAGAATCCTTTGGTACAGTATCGTCCTCTTTGTAGCCTGGCTTGCTGCCATCGAGCGATTTGCCGTACTGGCCAATGATAACGTTCTTGGGCTCCAGAGCAGGCATACCACGGAGCACGCGGACCTTCTCGTCGCGGATATCTTCGGCAGAGAAAGAGATAGGGCGTTCCATAGTGAGAAGTGTAAGGATTTGCAGTAGATCTACTCAGTGTCAGGCGCAGCCTTGGAGCAGAATATGGAGAAAGCCAACTTACGGTTTTGCATAACGTCACGGATGATACCAAACTCATCAAAGTACCCACCGCGTCCTTCTGTGCCGAATGGTTCCTTGAATGAGATCTGCAAGTCACGTCGTGAGACAAACCATGTTACGTTCTGGTATCAGATTATCTCTCACCTGCACGTTATCGATGTGGTTCCTGTTCCAGGTGGCTCCGAAGAATTCGTTACCAAAGCGTAGTATGAGTATGTTTTTCACCATTTCTTTCCCGAGGTAGTGGTCGATACGGAAGATTTCATCCTCCTTCCAGTCTGGTTCAAGCGCCTTCTGGAGCTCTCGCGAGCTTTCGAGATCCTTTCCGAAGGGTTTCTCGACCTATCAATCTCAGTCAGAACATGTCTTCCAAGGAGGAGGGGCTTGGGATTTTCGCAGCTCACAATAACGCGAGTAATACCCTTCTTAGGGTAGCAGTTCTTCTTCAGGTGCCTTGACACATCAATGAAGACGCTTGGCGGCAGAGCCATGTAGAATACTCGATTTGTCTCTTTGCGCCCCTTTTCCAGCTCGTCGAGATGCTTCGTCAAGTTGATGAACGAGTCGTCCTGGTCATATTGTCCAGAGATGTACGAACACATCTCGCAGAACTCATCCAACTGTTTCTCCATGTCCTTTGTGGGAGTCTTGATATATTGTCGAACCCTCCGTAGATACTCGCTGTGATCCATTTTCGTCCGCGCATACCCAACGATTTTGATGTTCTTTGGGAGGAAATTGTTTCGGTGCTTTAGACTATTAGACTCACGACCTGTATATCATGATGGGGAGCTTACGAGTCCGAATAGAGCTGGGAACTATATAAGCGTTAGCCGACTTCTCTAATGCTGTTCAATAATTGCCTTACAGTCTTCTTCTTTGCTAAGTCGCCGGATGCTCCAAGGACGACAATGACCGTATTGTCTTTCAGCTCAAGGGTGCTAAATATGCATCGTTACAATCAGCCAGGTACAATGTTGATGAATGGTGTATCGCGGGGTAGCTCCCAACAAGATGATGATGACTGCTGCGAGTCTTCGTGGATATCATGGCAGCGCTTGCCGAAAGAAATAGGTATCAAGAGTGCCGCTGGTACTTTGATGATCCTACTGAAGTAAATAATGCTAAAACCTACCCGGCGTTCGATTCAACCTCTGGTTGGATGAGTGTGTCTGCCATGATGACCTGTGGGGTAGAGAGTGATGATTGGGGAGGAACGCTGGAAAAAGGTTGTGAGTAGTATCACGGAAATTATAATTTGAAGATCACAACGTATGTCCGAAAGAGAGAGAAGATAGTACGAAGGGTACACTCGAGGGGTGAGGAAGGCTTGTTGACTTTTCGGTGAAGTAGTGGGGTTGCTGGATTTATCGGCGGCGAGCGGCGGAACTTTCGCTGCGGGCGGTGACCTCACCCTACGTGGGATCTGATTGCCCCCCGCTAAGTCAGGGAGGTGCCGTGCCAGACCTGTATAGCTTATCCGCTCTTCAACCCCTGGGAATAATGAGATTGCAAGCTATTCCACGAATGCGATCGTGTAGATATTGTTATGTACTACTTATTCCGCACTACACCCAACGCCATCGGAGCTGTTATGAGCGTCTGTACATCGCGATAAGCTGAGAACTTTTCCGAGCAGGCTGGACGCCGCTTCGACAGGGGCGCTCAGTAAGCTCCCCATAAAAATTAGCAGCTCCGTACTTCGTTGGTCTTTGACAGCTTAAGAAAGAAAGCTCTCGGCGCAGACGGGCATTCTAGTGTGTTTCCTAAAGTCCGTTTGTATGGCATTTTGTTTTCCTGAGCGTTCGGTGAGACCCCTGCTCTGGCTCTGACGACTGTGCCGCCGATCTCGCCATGCATCTCATCATACTCTGCTTCAGGCAATTGTTGCCATACGTGTGCATGTCATGCCTACATCGTCTCGCGTCTGCATCGGATCGCGTCTAGCTGAAACGGTAGAGATTTTTCTTGTTATCTGTGGAAAGTACTCCGTGCCCGTTGTTGGGCCTCGAGTACCATATTGTTCCATTCGAACAGAAATCGGCCAATGCAAAACGAACATGTAAGTACGATATTGGGTGGTTGATCTTACGTACACTCTTCAAAGTGAGTATCGCAACGAGTGGTCTTTAACTGGTAGGCTTGGATGTTCCCCTCATCGGAGGTCTGTGACGGGGGCCCGCATGACAATTCAGTGGCAGGACTACTTGCGATGAGGAAGCGCAAAAGTTTGGGCGTAGCAAATGGAGCAACAGTGGTGGAAGAGATTACGGTATGAGTGGTCTCTATATGATGCGCAGGGTAAAAATACAGCAGTAGAAGGGAGAGGAAGCATAACAATGATGTCCAGACTGCTTCTACGAATCTAATTACCTGGGTACAACCCGACCTACGTTGGACGAAGGTAGGTAGGCTGTCGCGTTGAGAAAGCTTGGCGTCCTAAGTCTGATTGGCTCGCTTATTCGCACACTCAAGGCAACATCACGAAGCGCACCACGACTTCATGTCAATCCTCATACTAACCCAGCAGCCACCCTCGACGTCTCTCTCCAACACTTATCTCCCTTCATCAAGTCTAGGAAGTCTTCAAGATGCCTTCAGAAGCCGGCCACAGACGTAAGTTCATCTGCAATCCAGCTCTCGCCTTGGAATCTATCACCAGCGCTCGATGCCATCTACGGTTTCGTGCAGTCCCCAACTCTAGACGCAACATGCTGATATATGTCTCATCGCAGTATACGTAAAGTGAGTACTACCGCTCATAAACGATGGCCACCCACCTCGCTCGCAAAGCCGTGTCTGCGACACCTGCGATTCGTCTTCACGATCCGATTCAAGGCCAATGAAATATGGAAATAATGAGATTGGTAGACGACTAACATGATATCATCAGGGGCAAGCACGTCAGCTACCAGCGTGGTAAGCGCAACACCAACCCAAACACCAGTCTGCTTCAGATTGAGGGTGTAGCAGACAAGGAAGCGTCGAAGTAAGAAAAGCCGTGAACTCGCACAAAGTCATCACAGAATTAACATTGAGAATTAGCTTCTATCTCGGCAAGAAGGTCGCATTCGTGTACCGCGCGCAAAAAGAGGTCCGTGGATCTAAGATCAGAGTGATCTGGGGCAAGGTTACGCGGCCACACGGTATGAAGAAGACATTGGAATATTTAAATAGCATTCGCTGACACGCTATCTAGGCAACTCTGGCCTCGTCCGGGCCCAATTCCGCAACAACCTTCCTCCTAAAACCTTCGGCGCTTCCGTTCGTATTATGCTCTACCCTTCTTCGATATAACGTGTTCTTTCGACGGTGTTAAGGCAGGAAAAGACGAGGAGATGGAGCGTGGGTAGAGGATGAGAGCAACAACATGCAAAGTCCTAGCTGATAAACAGCCGGACAACGCTCAATCAATCGACTGCATGTGGGTTGTTGCATTGGCATGTCTTTCTACGGCGCCTGCATTTACTGTCGGATAGGCTCATAAAAATGTGAAATCCTTCAACGGCCCAAGATAAACCAGCAAGAACTGTGAAAACTTTGAACTTGGAAAACTGCTCACTTGAAGATAGTCGGTCATCTGCGACATGGACACTGTGCTTTTGGTGGAGATCTCACCAGCTTTCTCCTGGAATTCACCAAAACTCGCTTCATCGAGAAGGCAACCTCGCATGACACAATAGGGTGCTCGTAATTTGGGGATTCATAAGTGATCAGTCAAAACGCGTTTCATGCTACCGTGAGAGTTCAGGTACGATCGAAAAACAAGCCCACGAATGCGCATGTGCATGAGAACGACACCCAACGACCGCAAAATCATACGAACCTTACGTATGCTCTGACACCACCGCAAGCAACCTCAAGAAATTCTGATACCCCGTCCCTCCCTACTCCCGCCATCGCCTGTCGTCCGCCACTCAAATCTCAATCATCCTGCGAAAATCCCACCTCACCGCCCTCCCTGCCCAGCACCACCAACTTCTCCCTCATCAGCTCCGCCCTCTTACTTATTCCCTCCTCCAAGCCCCCAAAATCACACTCATCGACCCATTCCCCACATCCATGCTGCAGCACATTTCGCGCCCTGTGCCTACTCCCCTTCACATGACCCATACTCCCATGCAGCGTCATACGCTCCTTGCTACTCACATACACCCCCCGATGCAGTATATTATTATTATAAAACACCGCATCACCAGGCTGCATGCTCACAACCCTCTGCCCCTCCAGACTCCCCTCATACGGATCCGCATCCCGCTCCACCTGCGTCCTCGCACGCCTATGACTCCCCGGCACAACAATCAAGCTGCTATCCTCATACAGCGCCAGATTCCACTGCGCGTGCCACGCAGGCTCGTTCAATCTCGCCAATTCCTCATCCGCCGTCGCAGCAGGCGGAATGTCGTCCCTGTGCCACCGCAACGCAAAGTCCTCGTCTGGCCGCACGAGCAGGTTGTACAGCTCCATGATCAGATCGTCATCCGTGCAGTCCAGCAGCGTCCTGACTACGGCTGCAATCGTGGGGTGGAAGTACGACGCCGCGAACGTGGACCCGTGTGGCATGGATGGGTGGAGGAGGTGTTGCACGCCCCTAGGTGAACGAACGTCAGTTTTCTCTCGTTAAAGGTTAAAAAAATGGAGCGGTGGGGTTTTTACCATATCCCGCGCGACGGGTCAGAGGGCCATGGCGGGAATTGCTTGGGCAGCGTGCGCATGTACGGCCATTTTCCGGCGCGGGTTTGCGCGGCGATGTGTGTGCTTGCGGCGCGCAGGTTGGCGAGTTCGTCTTGGGAGAGGACGTTTGGGATGACGACGAAGCCGTCGCGGTTGAGTGCGGCTAGGATGTCGGTGGTTGGAGGAGGAGGAGGAGTAGCTGTCATGGTGGATGCTTTTTTTTTGGTTTAGCTTTGGACTGTGTGGTATGGAAAAAGATCGAGGTGAGAGCGGAGGCGAGGAAGCTTGGGAGGTCAAAGAGTGAGAGAGAGAGTGAAGTATCGGAAAACTAATTAGTTCTTGTCAGATTTGTGTAACTGGGATGTTGAATGTTCAAACGACCGGTGCATCAAAGGCGGGGCTCGATAGCTTGTAGACGGGGGTATGATTGGTTAATCGTGTAATAAAGTGTATCTAGTAGATTTCCTCTTTGGGCTTGACAGCTTCTTCCGAGGTTCGGTAGAACATAGGGTCTATGCTTCCCTCGACGCTCGAAGCGGGAACTGGAGGATGTTTCGTCTAGGCACGGTAGTTAATAGCAACAATCAGGTAGAATACAGAAGGGGTTTAATTCCCATGTGAAGGGTATGATTGTGAAGTACGGGACTTGAAAATACGAGTGTAGATTTATTTGCATTCAAGTAGTCGCGATATCTCTTCTCAAACTACGACCTGTTTGGTCTGCTCAGATATATCTATTTCATTCCTTGCTAATGCTAGAATGTCTTTCATGCTCCATTCCATGCTGATCAATATACTAATACCGTGTCGTCTCGATCTTGCAATATATGCTTGTATAATGCTTATGATGTTCCGCTCCTCATATGACGTACTAAATATACCCTCAAACGGGAGTGTAAGTGTAGACCTGTCGGGCATCCCTCACTGCCTCACTCGTAAGCTCGAGCATTGCATGCCGCTCCCTGCCCTCACCACGGCCTGGATGCGTCGGATTATGCTGGCATCTGAGAAAGGTGCCCTTGATCGTGTGAACGATCGCTGCTTTGCTATGCTTGCCGACAAAAGGTAAGGCCCAATTTCTACGCTCTACTCGGGATTGCCAATTCTTGAGAAGCTAAAAGGGTGTCAGTAAACCGATCTTGCGCAAATCGTAGTCTTGGTTCTGCGTACCTCACGTTGTTGTTCCTCTCTTTCCTCAGTGACTTGGTGGTCATCGCTGGAAAACCGTACAAGAATTGGCGTCGTCCACGAATCGTGGTAAGGAACGAATTGCAACAGACAGTGACCTTCTTCACCGCAGCGCAGGCATCGTGAGCAGCGAGGTACAGTCTTGTCGCATGGAAGCCCTTTAAGCACGCACTGGAGACACGATGTGACCCATACCAACATTGGCTTTGTTAGAGACGGAATCTCCGTATTCACCACAAGGTCGCGTGGCGGTGATTCCGTAGGCGTCCCAAGAGCTGATTCATCGTGGGGAGCTAGATTAGTAGTAGTAGCTACATTGGAAGATCTGTGTTTCGTAGAGTCGGTATCTGGCTGGTCACTAGCAGAGTACACCGAAGATGCACCAGTACTAACGCTTAGGCGATCATCTTCGCAGACTTCCGTGTTGTGCCTCTCGAATATGGACGTTTCAAGTGTGAAGGTGGAATTTGGCGAGTCGTAGTGACTGAAGGGTAGATCTAAGGTAGCGAAGCCCTGAGATCGAGGAGTAGTTGGTGGTTGCAGAGGTTTACGATCCGACGCCGTTGCGGCCTCTTCAGTTGTAAGGCCTTCTAGCCACCCGTGTATCGGATGATCCTCCTCAACGGGTGCCATGGGCATGCAAGTGCTTGATATTCAGGCGATACTGCGCTATACAGCGACGGCAGCAGTCGTAGCAGTCGTGGTGGAGCTATAGGGAGTAAGATCAAGGTGAGCGAGGTGTAAAATGCTTCTAGGCGAGAAAATAAGCAGTGAATTAGATAGAGAGAACAGGCTTATCGCCAGTTCACTGGAAAGATCTTCACTTCACTCCAGTAGGATGCCTGTGTCTGTGTTTGTGCGGTAGAAGAGTATTGTTCGTTTCGTCTGATGAATAAGCCGTTGTTTAAGTGCTTGTGCCGGTCGCGACTGCAGTATCTAGATTATCGGTAAGACCTCACGACTCTCGGAGATTCTCACTTAGAACTCCTAACAACCTGTGCTGCCAGTGAAACTCTCGCCCATGCCGAGTAAACAGCGTCAAACAACGAATGAAGGGGTATCTTCTCTTTACTTTCCAACTATAACAATGTTCCCCCATTGCCGGCGACACTCCAATGCCTTATTGGCTTCGCATCTTGCAGTTCTACGCACCACCATAGTACCTCTTTTGCTTTCTCTATCTGGTCGCCCTCTTCATACGCTCTGGCTAAGGTATACCAAGCCTCCGAATAGTCCCAGCCAGACCCAAGCTTCGTCAATGATGATAGAAGTCCATAAGCGCGATCACGCGCCGCAAGACGGTTCAGCTCACTGGGCGTGGCCTTATTTGCTGCTGATGGCGCTTGTAGATGGACTTGGTGTTTGTGAAAATCATTGATCTTGGGTTCGTGGTTGCCAGAACCTGTCTTTGTTGCACCCTTCTGACCTATCGATATTGAAGGCGTCAGCATGCCCGTGCTTCGCTGCGGTTCCTGAGGTATTATCTGGGAATGTATATCTAGCAAGATGGAAGATAGTCCAACGATGGCGGCAGGATGGTAAGGATAATGGGACAAGGAAACCTCAAAATGCTGAAGTGCATCATGTGGTCGCTTCTGCATCTGAGTAACGTTGCCTCGCTGAGCTGGATGTTAGTACTGTTGTTACGATGATGATCTTACTATTACTCACGGTCGCATTGACATCGGCCCAGAGCTCGTCCACGCTCTTTCCGCCACCCCACCCCTTTTCAGCAGTGGCGAGACTCGAAGAAGAGTTACGCGCTACCTCAGCCTCAAACTCTTGCACAAGATTTGCAGCCTCTGCAATGGCTTCCCTTGATTGATCAAACTGCTCTGCTCTAGAATATAGTTCAGCGATATAAAGCCATATGTCGCTCAATAAGGACGTCTTATGACGTCTCTCTTGAATCGCAGGAAATCTTGGCTCCGGCGAAAGTACGCCAGATCGCGGCAATGCAGATGGTAGCCTGACATCCTGCCTTGGAGGTTGATGGACGTGACCTATGGGAGCAGGCGCAGCTGTATGACTCATGTTATGCGGCAAAATGCCAATGTGCTGGCCTGGCCCTCCTTCGACTGAGTGCGGACCTGAGCTCTCTGCGCCAGACTGCACACGGAACTTAGATGATGCAATCGAATTCGCTCGCCCGTAGTCCGCATTTGGGTTGGGGAGATCTGGCTCGGAGTCGGGCTGAGGGGCTGCAGTCTCTGAGGATTGCCGATGAAGACTGGCGGACTTCTTCTTTTGTAATTTGCTACCGCTCCGATGTGGGGCTTGGTTGGTACTAGATGTACGGAAGATATGATTGACGTCTGCTTTGCTTCTACTCTCCTCATCGGTAACGCGAATTGCAGGGGCTGGCGTTGGCGCTGAGCGCGAATGAAGGGTCGAAGTATCACTGGATACGGGCATGCTTCCCTCAATTGGTTTCTCTGCATTGGTGTGGGACGCCCAATGCCTGCGAAATATGCTGTGTCGCACCGAACCTACCGAACTTTTCGGAGGCACCACTGTCTGAGGTGTTGGAAGGTTCCGCTGCCCAGGCGTTGTGTCCGGATACAAACGTCCGAATAATGACAAAAGCTCGTCGCTCGAATCGACTGCCACGGTCGCGCCGTCTAATATTTCGATAAGAGCAAGCTGCGTCATCTTTATCTGAAGAATTCCCTCCTTCTCGAATGACTCCATACTGTCGACTAAGCCTTTGGTAGCGATTAAGCTTTTCTCATCCACGGGCGACATGTCATTTAGATGAGAGCTCCGGTACTGGTCGCCGGCTCCGAAAAGAATCTCTGGGTCCTCAAATTGCTCGAAAGCGGCCTCACATGCTTTGATAGCAGTCTGCGGCTCAGATCGAGCCGTTAGCAGCAAGGAAAGTAGATGCCAGAATGGCATAAGCTTCCTTTCTCTTGTAAAATCGTCTTCATCAGCCTCTTGCTCGTCAGGGATCTCCCCGTCAGGCAGCAGCGCCGTTTCTTGCGATTTTGATGACAACGCATTCTTGACCACGCGTGTAGCACCGCTTATATCCCGCATTTCGGCGAGAACCAAAGCAAGCGCATATTGACTCTCCAGGTTGTTCTGTGCCTCGAAACTAGGCTCTAAGGCTTTGCGAAGATTCTTGACAGCATCAATCTGTAATGTCGATCGTGCGGATGCTTCAAAGGTATGGCGAGCCCACTGTGCTTGACTGATGCCAATAGCACGGAAAGCTAGTGCACGCACTTTTGGTGAGAGCGGCGACTCTGCAATCGGCTCTATAGACTCCGCTGTGGTCGCTCGGCTGTGAGTAGGACTGATCGGCGCACCTGAGGGAGAGCTTTGTCGTAGCCACGCCTCTATAGTTTTTGCTATAGTTCTGGCCTTCTCCGCTTCATTCTTGGTACCAAATCTGCAGAGCACACGTATGGCCTCTGCAGCAGTACGAATAATTGTATCGTCTTTGTCCAACCCAAGATCCTCTTCGCCACTTTTCGCAGTGCGCTCTTTGCTTCTAGTCACCAAGTCCAAGTAGGAATCAAAAGCTTTGAAAGCAAGTTGGAACTCTGCAAGGTATGAGTGTACACTAAACAAATGTCGTAAGATCTGAGTAGAATGGAATGTCTTTGCTGCAGCGCGGTAGAGAATCTGTCTCGTGTTAGCAATGGGATGTTGGCTTTCGATATTGCGAACAAACACACGTCGAGAACCTCGCGGGCTACGCCTGGCTTGCCCCCTTCACCCAGCTCCTCGTCAGACCACGTCGGGCCGCACAGTACTCTCCAATTATCGATGACAGCATCCACCCAGAGTTCCACCTCATTATTGCTCTGTGTAGCCCGTGGGAACTGCGTCTCTTGCAACAGTTGCGTCTCGTACAATGCCTCGACCCTTTTTAACTCTGCACGCTGGTGGAGTCTTGCATTTTCAGGTATTACTGCCAAGGCAGCCGGATGCTCCAAGTCCTTCTGCAAAATCATCGAGAGGCTGTCGTAATATGCTTTGAGTACACGTCTACGGGAGGAGACTAGAGGTTTAAAGGTACTCGTGGACGTAGGCGCTCTTTGGGCGAAGAATCTGGTCCACAGTCTGTATGCCAGCAAAGCTTGATCGGCTGCAACTTCTTGTTCGGAAGGCAGTGATTGGTCAGATAAAAGACAAAGTCGGCTGAGAAGCAGCTCGGTCCACCTCTGGAACTCGGACGAAGTAGAGGATATCGACTCTATAGAGGACAGGAACGGTAGGATCGAACTGTACGTCTGTATCGCACCTTGTGCACCGCTACTCCTCTCTTGAGATATGCCTAATACGTGATGTTAACACATAGCTCTATGGCTGATAGTAAGCTTCTTTCACCCTTGAGATATGCGCCTTTAACCACACACGTCGACGTCCAGGCCGTGAGCTGCTCTTCCTCCTTGAGTTGACTGTAGCTAGCTATCAGGTCCTTGGGAAACCTAGCTACTGCAAGTCCAGGTTCGTCAAGGGTGGAATGCATCCAGCCCAAACACACATTTGCCTGAAATGCATCTTGCTTGTACTCCGTCTCTTCTTCGATCGCGGTAATGAGGGTGGGGATGAGTTTAGGTAGGCTCGTTGTGGATGTAGAAGCCGCGGTGGCCGGTCGACGCTCGTTATACGCTGCTATCTGGGCTTCAGCTCTTGCTGTCAGTATAAGGCCTGGCATGAAGCATTAGCTCCGAGCCATATGTGTTGAGTTGTTGCACTGATACATTTGCGATGGGGCGCGTGCTTCTCCACTTTGCGCGTGAGTTCCGAGACATCTGACCAATGTCCACTGCAGCGCGCAGTGTCCAATTGGGCTATGTAGCGGCCGGCTTTCTCGGATTCTGGGTGCTGACACCAGATGAGTAAATGGTTCATGAGTGTGGGTGAGGCTGCGGTGTGGAATGCAGACGGAACCGAGGGGTGAGTCGAGCGATAGATACACATACCTTCATGGTGACACAGAAGGCCGGCGTTGTGAAAAAGTTCGGCTCAAGTTCAGCTGCAAGCAGCTTTGGAGACTTAATCTGACATGTTCAGGAGTATAGTATACAGAAGCTGTAGACACACAGGTAACGTCAAGGATAATGAATCCTTGACAACGAGACGTAACCTGGCGATCCCATTGAATGAACGGGCCGAACAGCGACCCTAGCACCCTAGCGCTGAGTCCCTCAAAGAAAAAAAATATCATCTCGGCCTTAAGGACTTCACATGCAGCATAATATCAACCATCCAACACCAGTGAAGAGTTTCAGCGGGTTGAAAGCAGCGTGGAGGTTATATCTAGACTCATGGCCACTCCTGAAGGTCCTTCGCAATTGGCGATCCTCAAAGCAGTCACGTTCCGAATTCACTCCACACCAGTGGAACAGCTACCGCAATGCATTCCATATCTGACGGGGTCACTTGCATCGTGTCGACAGTTACTATCGTCTGAAACCAAGTCCAACTCTAAGAAAGCCTCAGAGGCCGATGTCGCGCTGAACAGGCTGAGGACTCAACTCTCAACCCTACTCCAAGACCGTTCCATTCAGGGAAGATGGGCCGCTATTGTTTTGGTGAAGTGCGTTATCTCCCTGGGAGGATGGGAAGTGCTGCAGAAATGCAAGCCTTGGGTGCAGAACTTGCTTGGGACGTTATCAAAGCCAGATCCGCCAACTACCAAGAAGCTCGCCATCATCACGCTCACGAGAATCTTCTATCTGTCAAAGGAGTATCCTACTTTAGTCCGAGAAGTCACCACTCCGTCTTTGACACCCTTTGTCACGAGCTGCATGAGCCTGGTCTTTCCGAAGACTCTGTCATTGGTAGAACAACATACATCCTCTCAGAGAGCTTTGTTGGCTACAGTCCTCGAGGCTTTCAACACTCTTCTTCCGCGACATCCTACCATCTTCCGCCCGTTTCTGACCCAGATCAACCTTCTTTTATCTCAGTGTATAGCTCCAACTAGCCCTACCAAGAAGGCCTTAGTACCAACACTCGATGCTGAGACTGTAGATGCTGCCCAAAGACTTTTTGTCCTGTTGCACTTCTCAGCACCAAAGGACAAGGGCCCGGAGGAGTGGTTCCAGTCATACGATAGCACAATCAAGGCTGCGCATTCTGTAGCAGACCGTGTCTTCCGATCTATCATTGAGGCATGGCAGTCAACAACAGGAAGACAAAACTCAGTCACAGTAGCTTCGTTCAGCGAAGATATCCGTGAGACTGGAGGAGGCCTTCTCAAGTCTCCCCCGTGGCATGGCATCTATGCAGGCGGTGAGCGGCTTGTTGGACTTCTGGGCTTGTTGAGGCATTTTGTCACGACAAACACGACTGCTCCTGTTGACTTTCGAATCGGACTATTGGCGGACTTGCTTAGTCGGATATTGTCACTTGCAGTACCATACGGTCGATCAGCAAACTGGGGAGATGGTATTCAGTACAATCCCCAGATCGGTAAAGATGAGCGCAACGCACTATTTACTCTTCTGCCGGGCATTCATATAGCTGCGATGGAGGTTCTCCTTTCATTGGTTGCTCGATTTAAAAGCGCCTGTCTTCCATTTGCGCATGTATCGCTCGAAGAGGTCATTGGAATTTTCGATGCCGAGAAAGACGTGCCATTGATCCGGGGCGCTGCATACTTGGCTACTACAGCCTTGTTGGACATCGCTGGTCGTTCACTCACCAAACAAACGGTGACATCGCTCTCCTCCATTGTGAGACCGGCCTGTCTCGACCTTCTCCCGCAAGCAGAGAAGCCGAGCGCGACAGCTGGTCTCGAGAAAGGCCATACAAACAGTACCACAAAGCAGAATAACGGCGCAGCAAATCACAGCAGCACTGCCCAGACTAGCTTCCCTGGACTTGAATCCGCTGCATCGAATCTTCTGTCCGCCTATCTCTCCACGATCCATACAAGTCTGATGCCAGTCAAAGTACGGTCCGAGATCGAGCGCATCGCTGTTCTCCTTGACAACAAGGATATTCTGCTAGCCTCTATACTGAACCCGCGAGCCTTGCAAAAGAAAGTGACGGCTAGTCTTCTGCCTCTAGCAGCTAGACTGCGTCCAGATGATCCCGCGCTTGAAGGTCTGCTTAGACCGCGAATGCCAGCCATACGGCATTACGTCGGGACGGATCTGCTTGAAGACGAGGAAGTGTATGACGATGATGGTGATGAGATGGAGGTCGAGGAAGAACCGGAAGAAACTGAACAAGTGGAGGATGGAGAGAAAACAGGCTCGGAAGCACGAGACGACAACAATGAGAAGACAGATCAAGCAATGGTTAGTGAGGATTCATATGCCACTTCTGAGACGAAGACTTCAGATCCTTCTCCCGGCCTGGTGGACGTCACCGATTCCACAACGGCAAAACGGCCAGCGGCAACACCTCTTGAGCAGTCGTTTGTGGTCAAGCGAACGCGTGTCGAGGCTCCTCCCGTTCCTGTTGATGAAGCACCAGTTACCGAGAACGAGACTCTACCGTCCCAGCCGGTCACGGTAGTTGCCCCTGTCTCTAGTGTCACGGCTGTGCCCGTGGTATCCACCACTGCTGAGAGCAGCGACAGTGACGATGAAGACTACGGAGAATTGGTGATTGGGCCCGATACAGACGACGAAGCTATATAACTTCCAGTACGACAGGAGACTTGAATATACCTGTACTATACTTAGATAATGGAGCCAACAAGACGTGGTTCTCTCCCTGCACGCATACTTTATTTCTTATATCTCTCCCGCTCCCTCCTTATGATCCTCCTCCCTTTCACCATTCCCCTCCGCGTTCAAGACCAACCACCCGGCAACAGCAATAAAGCCTGCGTAGGTGACCCCAATAATCGCCCTGCCCCTCCTCCCCTGCCTCTCCTTCAACCTCTCATCCGTCCCCAAGATCGTCACCGCATCCTTCAAAAACGCATAACTCATCCCACTCCACAGCGTCGTCCCCGCAACCCCAACCTGAAACACCCTCGTAAACGCATCCCAGCTCCCCGCTCCCCCTCCAGCCATCCCCACACCCTGCAACACACCCGCAAGCGAGCCCAGCAGCGGCGCAAGAAGCGCCGGCGGCGCAGGCATAAGCGGGAGGACCATATGCCAGCCAATCAGCAGCAGCTGAAGAAAAGTGTTATACTTTGACAGCGTCGTAGGATGGACCTGCGCCGACGGCAGACTGAAATCCCAATACCTCGCGATCGTCTTGGGGGCGGGCAGACTCGCGCCGCGATAATAGAGCGCGGCTACGGCCAGACTCACGTCTCGGCCCAGTATGCATACTGCCAGCGCGGCTGGCATGCCGCCGTTCATGGCCAGGGTTGTGACGACGATGGTCATGAGCAGTTTGTCGGCCATGGGGTCGATGACGGAGCCGACGACTGTGGAGAGGGAGTACTTGCGTGCGATGTAGCCGTCGAGGAGGTCGGTGATGCCGGCGTAGAGGAAGAGACAGAGAGCGGGCAGGGGTTGAGAGGTGAGGATTAGGTAGCCGCAAGCGGGCGCGGCAAGGAGACGGGTGAAGGTGAGGATGTTGGGGACGTTGTATATCTGTTCGTGGGAGGTGAGGGCGGCAAGTTTTTTTGTGATAGGGGTTTTGGATGGTGGTGATGGTGGTGGATGGGGCTAGAATGCATTAGCTTTATGGGAATTTGTGTTCGAGTAGTTGTGTCATTGAAAGGAAAAGCAGACGAGAGGTTTTGATATTGGGTTTGATGCGTTGTGTCCAGCACGTGACTTTATGGAAGAGAACAGTGAAGATTGTAGACATGTAGAGAAAGGGGTTTCAGGTGCTGATGACAGAATATGCCACAATTTACCTTTTGAGTATCTGAATTATTGTCGTGGTTCGCCGCATATGCTCGTCTGCCGAGTAGGTTAGTACAACATGGAAGAGTTGTTTAGGATGCACAGCATGCCTGATACACAGAGAGCCCAGGGCTACACACTGCGGCCTCCATCGTTCTATCTTATTTTGATTGAGCAGTCTCTGCGTTTGTAGAGAAGAATGGAGGCGTTCATATGCAAGAATTGAAGATGTCCCGAAAGGTGACACAAACTTGGAAAGCCATGTCTTTGGAGAGGTGTTCACAGGAGGACGCGCCAAGAAAGAAGCGCGAAGAGGACGAGCAGAATGTAAGAAGAGCGACATTGAGCAATTACATGGCATGTGCTGTTGATGCTGCTTGGATCATGGAGATGCACGCGACACGGTTTTGGTGTTTAGGAATACTTGGGGTCGGTGCTCTTTCTGCCTCAGGCATTATATCCTTCGTCATTGTCGCCTTATGGCCTTAGCGCAGGACGTTTCAACATTGGTACGCGAACTCAACCTCCTACCTGGATACGACTACAACATCATGTATAGCCTTTCCTGCCACTATTCAGGCTCTCGATAAACTGTTTTACTATGTTCCATCGTCAAGTAGCGGTGGAGTCATTCCAGTGAAGTGAAATGCCCCTTGATGCCTGCGTAATCTAGGCAACCCCCGGCCGACTGCTGTAAACCATGGAACCTTCAATTCACTTCAACACATATTTTCAGTTCCACAACACAATGTCTGCTTCAGGTCTCGCAGGCTAGTTCCCCGCCACCTATTTTATTTCTTATGGTCAGCCGATTTCTGATAAATACTTCGCCCCTCACCTTTCTCTCTCTCCCTCTCAACCAACTCCAACTACAACCCTGGCTGTCTCTCTCTTACAAGACAGCTCTCTTTATCTCCTGAATCAGTTCATCTACGAATTTCTTGTCAATCATGTCTCTCACCGAGAACGCAGTCATGTCAGACGTCAACCTGAGTACTGCTGACGAGGTTAACGCGCCAGAGTCGCTCCTACTCACACTGCCAATTGAGCTCCGCCATAAAATCTATGGCTTCGCCTCTCAAACAGAGTTCGGCCCTGCTCGAAAGCTGAGAGAATGGTTCGAGAAGGTGGATCGCGAAAAGCAGATTGCCAATGGTTGGGTTGCATGTGAATATGCGAACGGTCGTCCACAGCCCGAGACCCTCGCTGAAGACCAACCCATAGAGGACCAGGACGGTCAAGGTGGAGATCAGATCAGTACTGTGCAGGCTGACCATGACGTTAACTCGGAAGATGAAAGCTCTGATGGGGGGGACGAGGAGATGACCGATTACAATGACGACGATCTGCATATGCTCGCCAACGGTGAATATGATAACATGCCCGGCTACAATGACGACGACGACCAAGTGCTCACCACCGTTGGGTATGATGACATGCCCGGCAATAATGGCGACGATGACCAAGTCCCGCCCACGATAGGGTATGGGCATGCGTTCTATGGTGGTTTCGAGCCCCACGCCAATGCTGGAGTCGGTAGTGTCCACGATTTTGCCGCACCGTGGAGTCATCACCCACCGGGCGGAATTCCCAGCGGGTGGCATGTCAACATGCCGGAGGAAGATCCTGCGGCAGAATCGGATCAAGACGCAGGAGAAAGCAGCACTACATCTGCTGCTGTACCAAGTCATATACAACCTCACATGACATGGTCCGATATAATAGCGAACAACAACCAGACTGCCAACGAGATCGAAGCTATCAATGAGGACGTCCAGCCCGAGCAGGACGAAGAGGTCGACAACGACAACGAAGCTTCTGAAGAAAATGAAGCTTCCGAAGAAAACGAAGATGTTGCCACAGCTCCACCTCAAGACCTTTCGATCCGACCCGTGGCCCACCGCAAATGGCAGTTCATCCCCCTTATTGTCCAGCTTTCCCACACGCCACCACCACTTTCAATCCTGCAACTCAACCACGAAATCTATGCCGAAGCATTGAGATATTACTACGGTCTGTGCACTTTGACGTTCAACGTCACGCGTTCCTTCGCACACCAGTCTTTCGTCGAAGACGACGTCATCCAAGCCCTCAGCGACGCCCCCTTCTCCCCAGTCGAGCAGCTTCGCAAAGTCCGCCTCATCATCACCTGGGACACCATGTTCATCAAGTCGTGTGGAGAGTCACTGTGCGAGCCCATCTGGCAGTTCAACCTCCTGCAGCGCGTCCGCGTGGCCAAGGACATGATGGCCAAGATGCCTGGTCTCCAGGATGTCGAAGTGAAATACACAGATTCCGAGGACAGTGCCGAGGCGCAGTACTTACTGTCGCAAGTCCGTGCTATTCTCGGCGAGTTGGAGATACTTAAGCCTGAGGTGCAGGTCAGTCTGAAGACGACCTTGCTCGAGAACGCCGCGAGGGTCTCGAGCCAGTCCCTCATGGGCAAACAGCGCATGCAGTTCAAACAGATAGTTGACTGTGGTCAGAACTTCCGCTAGTGGTCATGGGCCGACACAACGATGTCTTGAACGGCAGACCTTGTCGATCATGTAGATGCGACCTATCTAGCTTCGCTGCTTTTCATGATGCCGATGATCCAGTTCCTGGCATCACACTTTCTGTTTTAGAAGTCACAACGCCGCGAGGCACTACTTTCTTCATTATACTTTTATATAAAAGCGTAGTCTTACCATTCCACTTCACCAAGGATAGAGACTCGGATGTATGCAGAGGAACTCTTGGAGAAGGCAATGCGCAGATATGTAAACCTGCACTCAGATCTTCCATAGTGCAATTACAGCTATAAAACTTACTTACCACTGCCATTTCTCGTGCAAACAAAGTGTTGATGTAATTTTACTACCCGGCCAGTCTGTACTCACCAGCCAGTTCGGACGCAGCCCCAAGATATATCATACATATCTTCCAACTCGCCATACTTGAAGTGTACACCATCGTATACACGCCCCCCGTCGGCTCTGTTGCGAAATGATTCCAAAGTGCCATCACTGCTCAAACACCACTCCATCATACATACATGTCGTCGAGGAGAAGCTTCTATTCTATACAATATCTACACAAGACCATACCTCCCGCTCGCACGCCGTGCCTTATATCCCTTCTCATGTCCAACATTGACATTGCTCTCATCCTCACTAACACGTCTATACACCGCCTTGAGTGCCGCATATATCCTAAGCCATCTGTGTAAACTAGACTCGTCGATTAGATTTCATGCATGGTAAGTGTATGTTTGTCACGAGGAGAATGAACTGTGAAAGTGAATCGGTGGAGGCACGATCGTGTGGACTTGATGCGAGATTCAAGTGTGATGTCGATATTAAGTCTCTGACTTCTTGCTGATGCGTGTGTGATCTGAAAGTAAGGCTGGGCTAGAGCTTGATGAGTATATACGTGTGACATGTGAGCGGATACACACAAACCAGCAGCGCACTCTTGCCTCACCCGTTCATGTACACCCTGTATAGCACAAGACTCGGTATCTAAATCAACCAGACCCAAACGCAACCCACGCAAGACGAACGGAATGGTCTATGGGCAAGAACCACTTTCTGCTCATATGTGCTTCTATGATACTAACCTACTACACGCTGGGAAAGTTTGCAAGGACAGATGAGTATGTAGTTATTGCCTTTGCCTCGCGGTTGTAGTTATGGTGTGTTGATGCTCTTTCAATGTCTTTGGGTAGTATGTGCTACGTGGTCTAGTGATGGCTTTGTCCGCCTTCATATCATGGAAACACTGTCCAAGACACCGTCCAAGATACAATCCACGCCTCACTAAAACAGAAACCTTCTCAGCACCATCAATCGTCAATATCAAGCGCAGGATGTATACGAAACCAAAGACATCGTATCCATACACGCACACATCGGCCTACAATCCCGGCAGTACATTTCTCAGAACGGACCTACGTGCTTTGTTTGTTCTTTGTCCTTTGTCCCTTGCCCCTAAGAAGTGAGTGGTAGATCTAGAAAGGATGCCATTTCTGCTAATGTGAAAAGCTGGTGAGCTCAGGGCTTGTTTGTGTATATGAGAAATAAGGGAGACGTGAGGTTTTTGTATGATTTCTAGTCTGTGTCTGCGCCATTAACCCCATGATTCCATGCACTGCATCCATTCCAACAACTCCATCGATCCATTCATCCGTATATTCATGTTTATATACACAGCAGCATAACTGTATACTCTACTTCGACGTTTGGAAGAGTGGGCTTGGAATGTATATATGTTTGCGTACTTGTTATAAAGTCTTGCATGGTTAGGCATAAATTGATTACGTTGGAGGGGATGCGATGGGTTGTATAGCTAGATGATATGCTGAGCACTGATGGGTCGTGTGAGGAGTTTATATGTGTGAATACATACATGTCTCCAATGGACATTTCAATGCGTCTATGTTATCGCTGTTGAGGTTCATCTACGCACGTCTGGACACACACACAGCATTGTATACAACATACACATGCAGGAATTTACCTATAGATACGCCATTTACATACACCATATACATAAACCCCAGTACGAGCAGCAGCAGCACCACCACCACTCCATCCAAACCCTCAACCCACCCACGCCGTATCGCAAACCACGTCTTCAACGACACCAAAGCCCATACAATCAACCCGCACCACCCGCACCACAACACCAAACCAGCCCACGCCGCACAACATCGCACCCAGAAAACTCACCCAGCCAGACAAACCAGCCCACCATCCAGCCAGCCAAGCGGCGTACCCGACAAACACAAGTGGACCCAATCCCTGCCCCCGCCCCGCCTTGCGCGCATGACGTCATACATCTCAGCAGCCGCCCACCATAGATATCTGACAGCCTCTACCCGGTCCTGAAACGAACGGTGTAGGTGCCGTACCAAAGTATAGCAGAGCAGAGCAGAGCATAGCATAGCAAGCTACCAGCAATGTGTTAATTAGCAAGTTGTGGTTAGTAGTTCGCAGGATGGATAGCAGATCAGCAATGATGATTGATTGATTGATTAGGTCGCGGTCGCGGCACACACTACACACATGCACGAGAAGTTGGCTAGCTAGCTATGTAGCTAGCTAGCTTTCATGCCCCGGTCCGCGCGAACGACCAAGGGACGAGCGAGCGAGTGAGAGGCGTACTGTATGTAGCGGACCGGACGCGTTGTTGTGTTATTGTCATCGCGGCTGTGCTGTGCTGTGGTGAGGTGAGGTGAGGTGACTTTAGTTGGGTATGGGAACACTATGTCGCGGTCTATTGAGAGGAGGGGCATGTATTGACTATGATGATAGTGATGACGATGACAATGGGTGTATCATTGTTTCTACTCCGGCCGAGCCAGTCGGGTAGAATCAGCAGGTCAGTGTTCCGTATGTCAGTCGCTGTCAGTCTTGTCGAATCGAGGCGAGAAGTGGGTATGTAGGGGGACTGGAGTCTGGACAGCTAATTAGAGCGGAGAGGGCTTTGAATCTAGGGCCGACACCATCGAATTATCCGTTTACAGACAATAGATAACTAGCATTGGACATAGTGGATAGGGTGGACGGAGTGGGCGGTGACAGTGCATATGCATGTTTGCCTGTTCTAAGCCTGAGTCCTGGTAATTAGAGAGAGCTATATCAAACGGTTAGAAGCATCCAGGACGCGGTCTTGTACGGTCACCGGTTTTTCTAGCGCCGGCAGACGCTGTCGATGTACCGGTCTTCGGTATGTCTGATGATGATGATGAAAAGCCTCATTCTGGTTGCTAGACTTGTGCTGCGTGACATGGCGATGGGTCTTCAACCACTGGTAGAGAGACAAGTAAGGGAGGGCGGGGAAACGACAGAGTACCTAGGTAGAGAGCTGTTTCAGATAGACCAGACCATGCCATGCAATCGCCGTTCGTATCGCCAGCCATCGCGCGAAACAGAGACGCAATCCGCTCAGCATCATGACAAAACGTCCCTTCCATGGTTGCGGTGTGAATGCTGTGTTGTTTTGTCCTACTAATTATGATGAGAGAAGTGTTGGTTGTGATGGGGAATGGCTAGCTACATGGCTAGTCGGCGCGCCGCCGCGCCGAAATATGTCACCGTTAGGCCCCCCTCAACGCTCGTTGAACAGAGAGCTGGCAGGTAGGTAGGCAGGCAGTAGTAACACAGGCTACGTAGGATAGATAGATAGTTAATAGTTAGTTTAGAAGAGGGGACGAAGCGGAGGGACAGGTTGCGGCCGTAACAGCCAACGGTCATCGCAGTAGACAGCATGGCGTGAGAGATGGAACAGACAGACATCATCTTGTCTGCAAGGGGTAGTGATGGGCTCTGAAAAGGAGGCTCCCATCCTTCTAGGGCTTCTTAGCTGGACACTTCAGCCTTCTACCGCTGGTGCTGGCGCTGGCGTTGGTGCTGGTGCTGCAGATAGGGCTACTAAGTAGCTGCTATCAACGTCTTGACTCCTCAGTAGGGGTCTTGGTTGACAGTCTTGAGCGTTTTGGTCTAGCTTGTGAGTCTGCCTCAACGCTTTGAGATATCACGTTGAATGAGATACCAGACTGACCGCCTGCTCTGTCGGCCCTGGAGGGAGGGATCCCTGCTGCTGGTGACATCCAGCCATAATAGTGACAGTCCACATTAGTAGAATCGATAGACAAGTCGTCTGAGCGAACAGGAATGTCCGCATCTTCGACGTGTTGTCGAGAGCATGATCAGGGACAGACAGACAAGAGCGGACTGTGAGGTAGGCGGACAAGCTATTGCCTCCGCGATGCGCATCGGGAGCCCCGTGCTGGCCGGTGGTGCTGGGACCCGCGACCGCACCAGACATGTAGACAACAGCAGTGAGCAGCCATAGCACCAGCAGAACGTGATGGGGCGCACGGACAAGAAGCAGCGCCATGAGAACGTTCGACTCGTGGCGATCACCCATCGTCCATCACCCATCACGTTGGATAGTCGGATCTGTGAGATGCAGATCTGGCGTCTATGCGCTCGCGTGTGAGGCAGGGAACCTCGGATCCGCCGCCTACTACTCCTACTCCCTCCCTCACTGCTTACTCCTCACTGCCCATTGCCCCCTCCGCTCAAGCCACCACCCTCCACTAGTGATTCGCAGCATGTCTCAGTCTGCCGTCTCGGAGATAGCTGGGAGTGAGCATTGCTGCTGCGAGAAGCACGAGATGTGATGGGAGGCGACGGTGTGGTTGAGCGTGAAGATGCGACGTGCCTGGCTGAAACGACGACTTGCGATGGATGTTGAAGGCGAATGCGAATGGAGGCTTGCCACGGCATGTCGATCTCTAAGCCTTTCATGCTGTAATATTGATATTGTGTTGACACCAGCGAACAGTCAGAACACAAGCATAAACAGACAGCGTCTTGTCCTAGACCCATCCATCTCCGTGCCAGTCAGAAAACAGACATGCATCGCAAAGTTGTACACTTGTACTGGCATGAGTCGCTCGTGCGCGATGACTGTCCAGTGCCCGTGTCGAGGTCTCCGACCTACTGACACAGCACAAAACTCGACCAAGAGAATTGTGACGATGGCGAAGACGAAGCCGAAGACGAGCATATTATCCCTGCGCCGCGAGTTCTCAGTGGTTTGGCTAATCATGTGTCGGGAGCTGTTATGCACATTACTCACCTACTACCAAGGTACCGTGTATCATCTTTGCTTTGTAAGTTTCTTCCCAGGACGCGACTCTCAAGTAAGCAATCTTTGGCATGACTCCAGAATGCAGCCCAACAGGAGATGACGCCATCTTCACATTCGCTGCAGATGTCGTGCAAGACGTCGTGCAAGTAGTGGATCATCATCAGGGAGATCACTGATCATCAGCAAGGCAAAAGCTAAAGCATTGCTGCAGCCTAAGGCACCGAGAACTGCTTCCCACCACATTGCAGCCTAAGGCACGAATACACCTTATCATAAGCACTATACCCAAACCATTCCCAAACCAGGCCTCCCAGTCACTCAACCTCCTCCCCCAAAGCAGCAGTGATCAGACAAGGAGATACCTCTAACAAAAAACCCGAGATGAACAAGAAAATAGCGTACCAAATTTTCTATTCGTGTTGCTGATGTCGATGTCGATGCTAAAGATGGCCAGGCGGAGTCGAGGCCGAGGCCGAGGCCGTAGGGCGTGAACGATGGCTTGCTTCGTTAGTTAGTTAGCTTAGCATCTCTCCCGGAGCGTATTCCGGGGCATGGATGGATGGGATGAGATGGAGGGTGGTGGATGGTGGAGGAGGAGGAGCTACCCATGGGGCTGAATTGGTTGCGGTTTGTGGTTGTTGGGTTATCATGGAGGGAGGGAGGGAGGTTAGTAGGTCATTTAGTAGGTTAGTAGGGTATGGAGGTTAGGTTAGGCAGCACGACGGGAGTGAGTAAGTGACTGACTGATCGCTAGTCGTGTGAACTACTGCAGTGAGACTGGCCTGACGCCTTCGTGATCTAAGAGCGGAAGATGGGGATGAAGATCGAGAGAGAGAGAGAGGGAGTAGAAAGTGACTGCTGCCCGTGTTTCTGCTCGATCTGCACTTTTCCAGGACATCAGATTACTGCCCGACTGACTACCTGCCTAGACTCAGCACTCAACCCGCACCCATCAACCACCACAGCAAGAATCAATTCCAGGCCCTCCAGCAGCGGCAGCGGCAAATCGCGACTAAAAACTCCGGGGTAAGCCATAGACGACGACCACCACACAAAACTCCCGGGGAATATCAATTTAACCACTCAATTAATCAATCAGCTAGTTAGTCACGTAGTCACCTAGTCCGTACCAAAGACTGGCAACTCGCCCCCAGATTATGGTGTTGTATGCCCCCCAGACGGTCCAGACGGGTGGTTTGTGTGTGGTTTGTATGGGAGATAGAAAGTCGGGAGATAGATAGAGATAGCGAGGACAGATAGAGAGGCGCTAATTAGCGAAACCGATACAGAAAATAACGGTCGGAATCGAGGCCGAAGCCAAGCACTTTTTTAATTAATTTCACGGGGAAGATTTGGCGGATACGGCAGATAGGGCAGATTTGGGGTTTGCTGATTCATGGCGTGCGGGTTGTTTTTGGTTAGTTTAGGCGGTTGTTTATGGTTGTTATTGTTGTCGTATGAGGTAAGGGGGCTTTTGACAGGCAGACAGACTGACAGACAAACACATGACAGTGGACAAGTAGTAGACAGACAGGCAGTAGACAAACAAACCCACGCGATGCGCAACGAGCCGATTGGCAACCTCCCTTGCCCAGGAATAAGATGAGAATAATTAATTAAATACAGCATAATGAATCCTTCCCATCTCATCACGAATCCGAGCAATCACGTGCTTACCCAGGTACATAGTACTCGTACCTACGTACGTACCTGCTTACTCACTCCCTCACCTCCTCACTCAGGTCTCACGTACGCATTCCCGGATTACCTGATTCGTCGTGCGCAGCACTGCAGTATTACAGCGTATTCCCACACCGGACCCCGCTAAATGAAATAAACGCGGAGATGCGAGCGCGGCGCACGGCGGCGGCGGGTCGCGGACGGGGATGCGCAAATCCGAACCAGGACTACCTGAGAAGTAGGGGTGTGTACTGTGGTAGGAGGAGGACTGGGAGTAGTAGGACTGGGACTGGGATTGGGACTAGGTAGACAAGCCTGTGGACTAATTAATTACAGGGAGGAGGACATGGGCGACGTGCATGGATTCGTGCAGCGTCGGACGGTCATGTGAGTTGGCGCTGGAGGAGAAGCTACTCACCTAGGCGGACAGGCTGAGTGCTTGAGAGTGTTTGCTTACTCATCGTATCTTGTCCGACTGTCACTGGCAGATGCTCCATGGAGTCCAGCTAGCCTAGGTAGCCTTGGTAGGTAGCTGGAGGCCGTATCGGAGAAGGATGATGGTGTTTACTGTTACTACTGCTGCTGTTACGTACTGTCACTATTGCTTGTTGCTCTTACTGCCGTCATGTGGGGTGATTCGAGTGCAGTGCAGAGATGCGATATTGCCATGAGCTATCAGGATATCATTCGATGAGGGGCATTTAGTTAGATAGATAGGATAGGGCCTGAACACCCTAGATCCAGGACAAAGTCTTTCGGCCCGGATGGGAGGACACGCACGCAGCTGCACGCACGAACGGAGGAACGAAACATGGGCATCGATGTTAGGAGCTTAGGAACGTGGTGGAGATGGTTGAGGAGGGGAGTTTGAGAATTGGGCTGTGTATGATTGTGGTTATGGGGATAGTATTCCGAGTTCACGCATCATCAGCAAGTATTTCATGGCGCATCTGCCACTCCATCAGAGAAGACGTCGTTTAATGATGATGAAAACATGACGACGATGATGACAGTACTGCATGAGGAGTATGTATGTATGTTCGTTCCATGGAGAGTCTGCAGGCCGTGTTTGAAGACAGCATCTGCAGGAGGTCGCAGGTGGGGTTGAGAAGGGGGGCCCATAATTAAGATTTTGAAGTGAAAATGCTGGATTTGAGAATTGCTGCATGCATGCAGGAAGGGATGTATGTGTGGGGATATGTGGGTGTAATAGTGCTCGGATTCTCCTCCTACAACAAATACCGTGTATGTGCTGGCGACTCTATCACCGCCTTTTGGCAGAGTGTGAGAGTGCGTGCAGTGCAGCTAAAAGGTTTTTTCATGAGGGAGTGAAGAATGGGGGGATACGGACCAATCAGCGAGCGAGGCGGCAGATTTTCGAAGGATTTAGGGGGGGGAGAACAGGATGGCAAAGCCAACGTCGTTGATTAGCTGTGTGTGTGCTGCAGCAAGCCCACCCCCCCAAAATCTCGTACTTCTCTCCAATTGGCTAGCGTACTAGATGCAGGCTTTGTCATGCGGGCCAGGACGAAAAGTGAGTTGAGTTGAGAGGATATAACTAAATAGGCGTGGACCGGATCCTGACATGCATGTGGTATTGTGGTGCGACAGAGTGGGCAGTGTGTAGTGAGGAAAGAGAGCATTAAGGCAGAGAGGTAGAGGCGGAGATGGCGCACACGAGGAGATTTGCAGCACAGTGCGCTTGGGACAGGATACGCCATAGATCTGAATTGGTAAAATGCTGATCACGTATGAGACTAACATCTACAGGTGGTGTTAGTCTCCTCGTGTCGTCGATAGACGGCACGATATTGGTGATGGGATGGATGATAGCTGCTGATAGGTACAGTATGCCTGCCCAAAGTCATAGGGCGTGTCTCTATCTATTGCATATTTGCACGTGTTTGTGATGCCAGGAATTCGAATAACGCGTTGCCCAACTGCACAGATCATTGCCAGGGCTGCAGCAGACTCGCATGGATTCATGGACTCATGAATTGCTAGAATCGATGGATCAATACATGGGGAAATATTGCCCCCTCCCCGCTCGGTCAGTACTCGTCGGCTGGCCTTCCATCAATTCTCATGTGCATGTTTTTACTTCGACATCAGGAAAGATGGGTTTTGGTGAAGCGCAATAAGATGATACATTGGAATCCGAATACGATCGAATCTGAGCAGCCGGAGCACGATCCGTACGCTGCTCCTCCAAACCTCGTCACTGACCACTGTCCACACTGACCGCTGCTGTGTTGACCCAGTCATTCCCTGCTTCGGCCGCTTCGCCCACTTCTCTCTTCCCACCCCCCCTTGTCCGCTTTCCTCCACTCAGGGCTTCTTAATATACTATCGGCAGTGCTGTACCTGCGTACGTAGTATAGAACACTTACTTGTTAGCAGCAGCAGTTCATGAGTCGTGGATCGTTCAGTCGTGTTATTGGGCAGACTTCTGCGTTGGACGGAGAATTAAGGAGGGACGAGAGGACCGGGGATGCCTGGCGTGAAGCCCTAGAAGGATGCTAGAATGCTGGATATGTGCGCCACCTTGCACCTTGCACCGACCTTGCAACTTCTCTGGGTTGATGTTATTGGGCTTTGGCGGAGGAGGAGGGGGGGGGGTCCTGGTGGCAGCTCGGGAAGGGAACAGCAGCTGGACGACAACGCCGAAAACTCCCCCCCAGACAAGTCGTGGGCAGGTCAGCCCAGACTCAGGCACCGTCCACTGGCAAAACAGGCACTTCAGGCACTTCCAGCCCACCCGCTTTTGGCGACTCCCGGCAACCTTGGGGGCGCCGGCTCAGATTTGATGGAACATGTCACCACTCCTCATGACTCGTCCCTACCACACACACACCACACACACACCATACACTCACCACACATACATTCTTACAGCACACACTCACAAACACACATGGACTCATTTCCCTGCCGGCCCAGGTTCACTTTCAGGCCTTCCTCCAGGGCTATGTCCAAGTACCGGTCCGGCGCCGGCTGATGTGTGCGTGTGCCGCCCTCATATCTGTAGAATCTGTCTATACGGCCCTGTCCTCCACACTTTCTGCCCCATTCCATTCTACCTACGCCGCATCATGTCTCTCGTTCGCGTGGCAGCTCGGATGTACAATCAAATCGAGCTGCTTCTCCGACCACGACGACGACTGCCGACCTCGCCTCCTGCAAGCCACCAAGTTGCCCCCAGACATCTTTCTATTTAAAAACAGCAGTCTTGTCTTTCATATATGCCGGACAAGTCAGCCACCTCGCGTGGCGTCGTCTGCTGCCTGTGCCGATCTGAGCGCGGGGGTGGACGTGCCTCCTTGTATGTCTTGATGGTAGTCCTGGTGATGTGATGCTGCTTTGTAAGGGTACGTACCTAGGGCCGGGGTGTTGCAGAATTCTCTGCCGCTCCACCTCCCACACACACACATGTTGACTCCTTGCACGCCTGAGCTCGACTCCGTTCCGAGCGTGAGTTTCGGAAAGTGGATCCCATTCATCGTCTGGCGTGTGCGTTATATGCATATGCCCTGTCCTGACCATCCAACGGCCCATGAACCTCAAAAGATCTTTTGTTCGCTCTTGAAACCAGGGTCATCCCGGAATAGAAACCGTCGAGAGATGAAATGTGGGGTATGATGAAAAAGACGATGGCGTTCTTGCTCCGTGCGCATCCATTTTGTGGCGGACGGCGTGTGAGATGAGATAGTCAGCCCTGAGAGAGTCCTGACAACGACGATGACGGTAGGACCATCTGCCCATCTGAGACCATCTGAGACCCCATCTTGAGATCAGCCACCGCTTTGGCCGTTTCCCAGATTGTGTGTA